CATGTTGTGCAAAAAGGTAGAGCGGTTGTTAGATGTGCGTGACTATTGGAATATATCGACCAGCGCGGTTAAGAGATGATGGGGTATCGAAGGTAGAATACCTTGGGCACCGGGTCTTATACCAAGGGCTAGAGCCCACCCAAAGGACCTCCAGTCGTTGGTCGACCTAACCGTTGCCAACGACACTCAGAGCCATGCAATCGTTTTTTGCTTTCGTCAAATCTTTCTTAGGGGCCGAAACTAAGGTAGATTCATTAAAGACAATGCAGTGTATGCATCGATCCTCTATGAGTTACGGGAGGTGGATTTTCATGCTTGGCGATGTTAGTTGAGGACGGTTGACAGTGTGGTGGCTAAGGCAGAAGACGAGGAGGAATGGTCCAGGGCCCAAGTAGCTTTAGCTATGCTCAAGAATATGATTGCCACTGCACCTATCTTGCGACACTTTGACCCGTCTAAGGACGCAGTAATTATCGTTTATGCAAGTGAATGGGCCATATCCGCGTCGTTGGTGCAAGACTATGGTGGCATTCTAATGCCGGTGACTTTTACGAGCCGGGACCTTAAGGCCAACGAATTAAATGCAGTATGGTGAAAAAAGAAGTGCTGGTTTTATTACGAATAATGGAAACTTGTTTTACGATGTCCCACTCCTACCTTGGTAACTGGGCTGCCCTCTTGTCCCAATAGACTAGGAGATTGTTAAGTGCAGGAAGGGTGAGGAGGACCAAGTGGTGGGGACGCTTGCAGCCAGTATTATTCCTCGCGAAAGTGTGGCCTCAATTTTGCCGTCAATTGACCCCAAGAAACAGGCGCGGCAAGTGTTCGACCTACACCAACTGTGGAGCCTGACGAAGGGTTATACGTCATGAGTTTTGATGGGTCGGCCCGAGTAAAACAGGGAGGTGGAGACTGTAGCGCTTTTGTACGGAGATTATCTAATTGGACCATAGTCAAGGCTGACTCGAAGTTCCTTATCGACTCTACAGTAAATGAGGCCGAGTATGAGGGTATGCTACTGGGTTTCGACCTGTTAGAGTCTCTAGAACGACGGCGATTGATCACATGTGGAGATTCCAACTTGGTGGTACGACAAATGCGGGGAGATATTGAGTGTAAGGCCGCAGGATTGTCTCCATTACAATCAAGAGCTTTGAATAAGCTGTTGTCGTGGCCTACCCAAGATATCGTACATGTAAAACGTGATTGGAATCAGAGTGCCAACCATTTAGCCGGCAAAGCCCTGCGTCAAAAGGAAGGGATTAAGTCGATACTGGAAGGAGAATGGCCGAATTTGGAAGCAATTTATCGATTGCCAGAGTTACTAGTTCCCAAGGACCAAAGTTCATCGGCCAAGGTGTTTGCGGTTACTCGATCTGGATCTCCCATCAAGATGTCAGGAGAAATCTGGCAAGAGGGTGTGATAAAACGACTACGACAGATCAAATCAGGAAGGCACAAGAGAAAGAAGACTGGGTGCGAGGTTTGAAGGCATACTTGAGGGGAGATTGGGTCGACCTGTCCATGAAGTCCGCTCACTCGTGCATTAAGATGGCCAGGGCCTACGAGATAAGTGAAGAGGGACTACCATTGTTTAGTCCCGATCAGAGGGTCGAGGGATACGACCGAGAAGTAACGGCTAGACTAGTGATACCCGAAAGTCTCCAAGCTGACGTCCTGCATCACTACCACGCCAGTCTGGAAGGAGATCACCAAGGGGTCGAACGTACCTATCACCGAATCCGACGGTACTGCCATTGGAGAGGACAGAGGTATGTAGAAACATGTGTGGATTGCGAGACAGGGAAAGGAGGACCTACCCTGCAGGGCAAGACTCCAGGAAATGTCGAAGCAACATACCTTTTCCATATTATAGCGATGGATCATAAATTCCCTCTCTTCCCATGTCGCACAGAGGAAATACCGAGCTACTAATTTGGGTCGACTTGTTCACGGGGTATGTGATGGCCAAGGCTAGTGCGTCGCGAACGGCCCAGACGATAGCTGAAGGGTACGAAAAATGCATTTTTTGCCGTTTTGGTGCTAGCGAAGCAATCCGCCACGATCGATAGCCAGGATTTATGTCGGATTTCTTTCGAGCGTTTAGTCGCATGGTGGGCCAGCGTCAACAGGCTACCATGGCCTATCAACCTCAGCCGAAAGGTACCGTGGAGAGGATGGTTTCAGACCTTGACTAGGTCCATCAAGATGTATGTCTCGGATGTCGGACAGCAGGATTGGGATGAGTATGCAGAACGACTAGCGTTTGCGATGAACACCGCGCAAGACCGATTCCGGAAGGAAACGCCGTTTTCTATCTGGTCCATGGTTGGGATGCTAGAACCACCCTCGAGGCTACATTACCTGTGGTAGATACGCGACGTCGGGGATCTGGACCACGCAGATGGAGATATCACATTCAGCAACACTATCAGCGGGCGAGCGCCCAGGTGAATGAGAATCTACGAGCGGTCAGTCAAGCTCGGATCCTAGCCCATAATGAAGGGGTGGTCGACCACAAGATCCAGCCGGGAACGCAAGTGTGACTCTATCTGGACCTCGTGAAAGAAGTGTACGCCAAGAAACTGGCCTACCTCTGGCATGGACCATTTAGAGTTCTAGAGTTGGTGGGAGAGCACGCAGCACGCTTGGAAACTCGAGGCACGGAGTACAGGTCATTTCAGTTGTACATCTGTCCAAACTCGAGAGAGTCAGAGAGTTCCCCGACCGACCGAAGGCCGCGTTAGAGACGGAAAAAATAGATCGGGTCGACTTCGATGAATGTCTGTTGCCGGAGGAAAGTTGGGCAAGAGAGATGGAAGAAGGAGAGTACGAGGTCGAGGAGATTTTAGAAGCCCGCATTGGAAAGAAATTGCTTGCGCACGTCATGGAGCGGCTTCACCAGACATTCAAAACGACGATCACTGCGTCACAGTCGATGAAAACGCAGTGATCGTCACAGTCGATGAAATTGTTTACGGCTGAAAAGGACCCGAAGCGGACCTGGCCCGAACATTATCTCTATTTGGTGAAGCGGTGCTGACGCGCAAATGGTCGACAACATTGTCCACTATGCGTCAAATGAGCTACACATAGTTCTGATGGCCAAGTATGACGATGCCGGGTAGACTACCTTGCCCAAGCTGAAGAGCTTCCTCATTTCGCCGAAACTGTGGAGATGGACACGCGCAGCGCTGCCTCTTTTGGCAAGGACGTCGTGACACACGTTACCGAAGGGAAACCGCTTGTTGATCCATGCACGTGCTATGGATGCGGCCAAGTAGGACACATCTAGTCAGTTAGTAGTAATGAGCGGACAAAATAGACGAAGAACAATGGCAAAAAGGGAAAATGGAGGAGTAAGGCATAGACCAAGGACGTTGTAAATCACACGCTGTCTGTACAAGACGCCAAGACCGATGAAGACTTGTGGATACTGGACAGTGGGTTCAGTAGGCATCTCATCAACAACTAGAAGTTTTCGAAAATGCACGAAAGTGTGACGACCAGTGCTTGGTCGCCGATGGAAACATGCTTTGCCTGACGATGGTCGGAAGTGTGTTGCTTCGCGCGATGGCTTGCGGAAGGGCAAGTATCATTTGCCTGACTGAAGTCTACTATGCTCCGACGCTTACTCGCAATATTATGTCTTATGGAAAGCTGGAGCTAAAGGGATATGGGCTTAACTACGATAACGAACAGCGTGTGCTTATATCGCTTTACTCTGGTGCCGTCGTGTTTGATGTGGAGATGCACAACAACATGCTGGTTGCTGAGACTCAAGGCGTCAAGGTCGGAAAAGGAGTGATTAATTCCATCATGATTGCGATCGACGAAGTTGGAAACCAAGAACATGATGATGGTGTGCATGCTGGGACGCTAATGCATTTTCACGAACGTTTTGGCCACCTATCATATGAAACTATTGAGAGGATGGCGCGTGAGCCTGGATACGGAATCCTGCTCACATACAGGAAGCGGATGACTTGCATCACTTGCGCCAAAGTGAAGCAGTCCAAGAACGCACAGCCCAAGAAAATATACCGGTTTACACTCACCGATCGATCGCATTGGTAGTGTGATCTGCTCGGATCTAGAAGGACCGATAACGCCGAAGGATCAATCGGGAAATTGATACCTTGCCAATTTTGTTGATCACAAGAGCAACTACTGCCGCGTGTTTCTTGCGCGTATCAAGGATCAAGCTGCAAAATTTTTTGAACATTTCTTGGCCTTTTTTGAGAAGCGCTTTAATTGCAAGGTACATGTGCATCGGACGGATGGAGGTGGAGAGTACAAGAATGTAGATCTACTATGCAAGTCAGCTGGCGTAGCGAGACAAGTGAGCGAGGCAAAAATCAAGCGTCAAACGGCAAGGCAGAACGCATGCACCGAACTGTGCTAAACATGGCGCGCTCCATGATATTTTCGAGCGGTCTCCCGCTGTCATTTTGGGGTGACGCGGTTGAGTACTCGGCGTACATTTTAATCGAAGCCCGTCTAGCTCGAACAAAAATTGTGCGTCGCCAATCGAAGTGCTGACTCAGCGAGATCCTGAAGTACGTGACATCGTTGCGTTTGGATTGACGTGCACAGTGTGTTGCGACCTGACGAATAACTCACTTGGACATCGGGCGTGAGTTGGAACGATAGTTGGTTGCAGCGACTAGACCAAGGGATATCGTGTTTATCTTCGTAAGGAGAAGATCGTCGTTGTGACACAACACATGATGAACATTCAGACGCTTTTTAAAGCGGACGATAAGCAACTTAACCGCAGTATTAAGTCAGAAGATCACAATGCTGGTTCACTAGAAGAAAAGAAAATCTTTCCCAGTGACGGTGGAGAAGTTAACGACAAGAAACAAGACAAGACAAAAGTCAAGCGGTGGACTCGCGATCCGCATGGCACACGTGGAAGAACCAAGAGGCTGTCTACTAATGAAGAGGACAAATTAAAAGACGATGTACCGATCGTGCTACAGTCTACGAGCCGGACCCTAAAACACACGCTGAGGCGATGCGCGGTCCAAATGCTGACGGTTGGAGCAAAGGCAATGTTGGAAGTAATCCAGGCGCTTGAAGATAACGACGTCTGGAACGTCATGAAGTGTCCAGCGACTGCGAATTTGCTGCATAGCAAATGGGTATACAAGACAAAGACAGATGCAAGTTGTTCAGTGAACAAACTCAAGGCACGGCTCGTTGCTTGTTGCAATAAACAAGTATTTGGTGTCGACTATTTACTTACCTTCGCTGCAGTGGTGGACCTGTCAACGATGAAGGTGATCCTGGGACTCGCGGCAATATGGGGTGTGCCTGCGAAACATTCATACATCCCAAATGTTTATGTAGAGGCTGACAAGGAGGAGCATTTGGAGATCTTTTGCACGTACCAAGTGGTATGAAGATTAAAGGCGAGCAGCTCAAGGCACTTGGAGTGGACAGCAAAAAGGACGTCGCGCTCGAGCTAAAAAAAGAGTCTTTATGAGCTTAAACAGGCTGGACGGCTATGGAGCCAATTGTTGCGAGCCAAAATTATTGACGCAGGATTTGAGCAGTGCATTAGTGAAATGTGCCTGTATTACAAGTGTGACGAGAATGAGCTGATCGTGGTGGGTGTATACGTCGACGACATCCTAGTAACGGCGACCACGGCAGCCGGTGTGGATTGTTTTTTAACGCGATGGAGTTACTTTCGATTAAGGACCTGGGGCCTGTCTCCAAGTTTCTTGGAATTCGAGTCAAGAAATTTAATGCGTGCGTATATGCTCTTGATCAGGAGGAGGCGATTTGTGGGTATTGGTTTCAAAAGGTACGCTTTCGCAAGGTCACAGTTTATGGTCGTTTCGTAACGGCTGCCGGAGATTCAAGGCAGGAATGGGGGAAGCGTGAAAGGTCATTGGCTGGTAATGTTTTATAATGATTGGTGGTGAGCAAGGTAGCTTATCATCAACGTGCAGGTAAGACGTTAATAACAACACAGTATTCATTGAATGAACTTCCTATCGAGCACTACGTCTCTGCTAACACCATCATGTGGTAGAAAAATGCGAGGGAGCGTGTGTTGCCGTTACTGCAACGGCGCACTCTTGACTCTACTGACAGCAGTATAGTCAGCTTATACTGACACAGTGTAAGCGGGTACTTGTACGCAAGCATGCAGTAGGAAGCAAATTTGCCTACCAGGAACATTTGTTGGATGAAAAAGGAAAACTGTTTTTTAGATGTGGCCAAAGACTTTTTCAATCTAAATCTTGTTAATCTTACGTTAACTATACTTATCTACTAACATATTTGGCGACCGCCATTCATTGCGCGCGTCCATTTTTCTTCTATCCTTCGTTGGCCGTTGCGTTGGCTAATACAATGGCCTATATCAGCCAATAGACGGAGTCTAGCCAGCTTCAAGGAACGTCGTATCTCGTAAGGTCATATACCTACAATATGATTCTATTTATAATATTCACACTGACACCTAATGATGGTGTCATGTTATGTAACGAGCTTACCACAGTTACAGAGTTCCATGAAATACATCATTTTTAGCAATATCATACGATTGTTTGGGTTTTATTTGAATTTTATCTTCCATTTCGTTGAAAATGAACTCTAAGAGTGCAACATTGGCGAAACAATTAGTGCCGTCCACGTACGTACAGCAGGATCTCGAGGCACTTCAGTCAGTTTTTTTGCTCAGCGTCGCCTCCCAGACGAAGGCTGGGACGACGCCAGTGTGGAAATGCTGTTGCGGACATTCTCGGCTATGGACAGCAATAACTTCCGGGATAGTGTAGGAGCTGGGGAGCGCGAAGCGCGTGTATTTTCTTCTCTAGTGGCTCGTCGTCATTTTGGCTTGGCGCACGGTGTGGGGAGATCAGAAGACCTGGCGGCAGTGCAGCCCAAAGCTGCTGGCTTGTCGCTCATGGTGCAGCTGGCCAACGCTTTAGCTAAGGACGTGTTGCGTCTTGCTGGAATGAGAGCAGTGCAAGCAGCGCTGGTGCTACCTGTCGCAACAGGTATGTCTCTTATGCTTGTTCTAATGCAACTTAAGAATTTCAAACCCAATGCGCGTTACGTCATTTGGCCCCGGATTGATCAGAAATCTTGCTTCAAGTCCATTTCGGCGGCTGGACTCATACCACTAGTGCTACAAAACATTCTAGTGAAAGAGAATGGGAAGTGTGGTGGATATTTGAAAACCGACTTGGTAGGGATGGCAGCTTTAATGGATCAATACGGGAGTGAAAATATTTTGGCTGTGAGTAGCACGACGAGCTGCTTTGCTCCACGAGCATATGACCGTGTGAAGGAGATTGCTGAGCATTGCCAGAAGCGAGAAATTGGTAACAGATAGCGATATGTGTCGCTTGACTGCGCGATAGCTGACGAAATATGTCGCTGTGCTATTATTTTGTCGAAAAGCACACGTGATAAATAACGTGTACGGCGTCCAGGTGTCCGCTTGCGTTCACCAGACAGAAATGGCTATGCGCACTGGGCGGTGGATGCTGTCGTGCAGAGTCTTGACAAGAACTTTTTGATGCCGGTGGGTGGAGCCATTGTTTGCTCGGCATCTCGTGAGTTGTTGACAACGTAGCAAAACTTTACCCTGGACGTGCTAGCGCCACCCCCACGCTCGACTTTTTTATCACTATGCTTCAAATGGTTCGTTCATTGATAAGCAAACCAATTGCTGTCTCTGTAACATGCGTGAAATGTTCAGTCATGCTTAATTCGGTTGTTTGTAGGGGAAGAATGAGTATAAGCGGCTGCTTGAAGAGCGCAAGCACCTTGCAGCTTATATGCGTGAGAAGCTTGAGGCCTTAGCATTCGAGGAGGGTGAGCGCGTGATACCAGTTTTCAGCAATGAGGTAAGGCCCATCAGGCACAGAAAGCCCAAGTGTTGAGGGTGTTAATATAATCCTGACCCTTGTGCGTTTTGCATGCATAGATCTCTTTCGCACTGACTTTAGCGACATTCTGTTCGGAAGTCGAAGATAGACAAGAGAAGTCGCGTCGGCTGACAATACTTGGTGCAATGCTATTTTCACGCAGAGTATCTGGCGCTAGGTGAGTGTTCATGTCATTATGGGTGGATATGTTTTCTGACTTTAAAGCTAGTGGTGGTCCAGGGTAGTATCATGCCTCGACCGCAAGACTATTGCTGGGCATATATTTAACTCTTTTGGAGCGCATCATGACGAGTATCCCGTGGCGTACGTCACATTTGCTTGTGCGTTGGGCATGAAGCGAGCTGAGGTGGACTTACTCGTGACAAAATTGCGAAACACAATCCACGAATGGCGAGTGAAAGATAAGAAAATGCCAGTCACTGCTTTTTCCTCAACTGACTTTGACCAGAAGACAAAAGACATGGTTTAGCAACATGAAACCAAGTATGCGAGCGTTGTCCATAAATCTGTCATCTTCTCAAACTGCTTTCTCTCTACAGACGAACAGCCACGATGAACATGATTAGTGCTTCTTGCCTCCGCTCCTGGACTTCCGCAATTTCTTTTTGCCTGCGGATAGGGACCCAGCGTCTTGATCAGCTCCCGTCTTCGTCTCAAGTTCTCCGAGCAGTTGGTTGGCAATGGCATCGGCCGCCGCTGCGGCATCTACTTCCCGGCGGCCCTTAGCACCCTCTACAGCCTTCTCCGTGAATGTAGCCATAAACTTGGCAGACTCGATCACGCGCGGGTCGTCATCACCGAATGCCTCTTTAAAAAGCAAGTACACCTTTTTCTCGTAGGCAAGAGCCTCGCGGTAGCCGCCAGCAAGGCTGCATGCCACGGCCATTTGGTGAAGCGTGTTAGCCGCCTGGTTGCGATCAAACTCACCGCGACGAAGAGACTCGCGGTGGCACATCAGAGCGAGTGAAATCTGCCCGACGTCCTGACACATCATACCCATCTTGAAATACAGCGAACCAATCTCCGGAAAATGAGGACCACAGCAGAACTCCAACAGGTAAATGGCGCGGCGGATGTGCGGCACTGCCAGGTCCGTTTGGGCGTTTGCGTGCAGGAACAGCGCCAAGTTTGCATGCGCGTATGCGGTGTCATGGTAGTCAGCACCCTGGAGCTGTGTATACAGAGCCAAGGCTCGCTGCTGCTGAGCGATAGCACCAGAAATGTCGCCAGCGTGGTAAAAAACAGTAGCGAGTGATGAGCTGCAGATAGCTGCATCCTCATGGGCTGCACCACATACCTGAAACAGCAGGGATGATGCTTCCTGAAGAAACTCGTACGCACTGGAAAGGGCACCCTGACTCAAGTGCAAGCGTCCACGCTCTAGGAGCTTCTTAGCCTGTGCTAATGGGTGGGCAGGCAATGACGTCTTTACAACAGGCACAACGCCAGTGATGTCATCCAGGCTAATTGGCGTAGATGACGAAAATTTGTAGTTACGGCTTTCCACACGTAGGCCCAGACGCTGGCACAGACGTCGCAGCATGACTGTCTTGTTCATTCGGCTAGTAGGGAATGCGGCACCCTCACCGCTAGACTCGTCGCGGCCAGGACCCCAAATAGACAACTTATAGTCGAATCGGGCCTTAACCTCGTTGTCAATGCGCGCCCAAAGCGACTCAGCATCCAATGAAGAAGTCGTTGTATCATCAGCATTTGTCTCCAAGACATTCTTGTTTCCTAAAGCAGATCCGAGAATGCCATTGAGGAGCTTCACAATAGCCGGTCCAGGGGCAGCACGGATAGAGTCATTGGAGTTCAAGACGTCGGCCAAGATGTGCTTAGCTACGCGCGAGATCATTTCCACTTCAACCAACTCGAGCAAATACTTAGAAATACCGCTAATTGCCTCAAGCTTCTTGGCAAGTGATGCCAGACGGCCTAGGTAGCGCATGTTAATACCGCAGGAGTGCAGCAAGTGTGTGAGGGAATAGCCATCAGCGGGGGCAATTGCACCACGCCGAACGTCAGCCACAAAGGCCGGTATAACAATTTTTTGCAGGTACTCCGCGGCATCTTTTGCAGCCGTCTCATCAGTTTTAAGCTGTTCTAGATCAGTTGAAGCAGTGTATTCCATGAAGACATTCGGGTTTAGTAGTACCGGAGGAATTTCTTCTTCCTCCTCATCCCCCTCTTTATGCTCACTCTTCTCCGTTTCTTCTTTCTCAAGTGTAGAGTCATCCTTCTTTTCAGAGTCAACATTGGCACTATCTCCCTCTTTCTCCTTATCTGCGTCCCCCTTTGCCGCCTTGCGAGCCTCGCGATTGGCGCGGCGAGCTTGGTTCTGCTTCCACAGCGAGTACAGATGGACCAGTTCTGGGCGTAACAAAGCAGCATAACCCTCATCATTACGCGTAAAGCACAGCCCGTCTACTTCAGCTGCAATGGTTGCCTTCTCCTCTGTGTTCTTAACACCTGTCTGATTTTTGTAAAATGTCCAATCCTTTGGGGTAATGCGGACCAGGTCCAGAACATAAAGACGACCGTCAGAGCCCTGAATTCCTTTAGCCTCAACTGCGCTACAAATAGTTGCGACATCGGTGCCTGCTTCATCGCCGTTGGCAGGAAGCACACCAATAGCCTCTTGCTTCTTCTCAGCAGCCAGATCATCTTCACTCTTGCCGAGCGGCATAATGCTACGCTCTGCGATGTGCAACTTTGCGCCTGCCTCAAGCATTAGCTTGTGCATCTTGCTACTTGCTGCAATAGTCTTTCCGTGATCGACGGAGCCGTACACAAGCTTGGAGGCAGCGTCTCCCATAAGGATGCCCGGTATAAGGCTTTGGGCGATAACGCGGACACCAAGATAATCCACAACCGTTGTGGCTAGCGTGTGCAGACCCCGCACATCCGCCTCGTTAAATGCCTTCACACCCTGTAAGTCACGGTTTGCAGCCGAGTAGGCATTCTCCTCACCACCAGCTGCATCCTTTATGGACATGCCGTCAATGGACACGGAGAAAAAAATGTTGTTAAAAACGTAGACGTGTGTACTCTTGTCGTCCATGGGGTTCATAGGAGGAATGTTTCCCTCAACGATAGCCACCGCGCCCTGTGTCGCAGCTTCGGCGAACTCCGTCACGATCTTGTACATTACACGAGCGCGCACAATTTCCTCCTTGAGTGAATCGGTTGGCAACTCGCGGCAGCATTGGTACTCTTCATTCCAATCACGCAACACACCACGTTCGTCCATACCGTACGATGCGCAAATTTCATCCTCAGCGCGGTTAAGGTCGAACGTGTGTTCCCCGTTGAGGAAACAGGCGTGTTCCACGGCAACTTGCCACCCAAGTTGGAGCCCGCAGCTACTATCCATTCGATCGAAGAAAGCCCTTCTTTAGCTAGAGAAGCAGCCTTGGCAAGGAGTGCACCGTACGACTCTCTAAACTTTGGCGACACTGTGCTCAATACATCCACCAAGAGGTGCGCATGGCTCGCAGACGTCTTGTGCGGGCGCGGGTCAAATTTGGTGGCCGTGGAGCGGTTCACGAAGAAGCCGTTGACATGTGCTGTAATGTGGTAGCGCGTGTTATCGCCAGCGACAACTACCTCCAGATAGAGCAGATCACCCGCCAGCTTACGTGGACCTGGGGGAGGATTGTAGCCCGAAAACACGATGCTTTTCACACAAACAGGAAGTGTAGCGTCCGGTTCTTGTTTCTTGTCTTTCAGCTCGTTTGCTTCCATCTGCTGCTTCTTTTGCTGTATTTTTTTCCCTTTTTTCTTTTTCTGGTCTTTGCTCTTAGTAGATACTTCCACTTGGTTTTCTTCCTGTGCACCAGGATTAGTTCCTGAAAAGGAGTAAAACTCAGCAAGGTTGGGTACAACCGGCACTTCAATTCCCTCGAGCTTATGATGAATCTCTCTCAATCGCTTAAGCTGCTGCTCGGAAATCTCCTTGAGTTTCTCCTCATCCGTCTCCTTTTCCTTCGTCGGCTCCTCGATCTCGTCAGCAACATTCAATTGAGAGTCGAATTCTTCACTTAATGCCTGGGGAATCGGTGGATTGCTATTGACATCACGGAAGCGACGCACGTGAGCACGCACTTTACGAGCATCATACTTGTCCAGCACTAAACGCAGCGTAACGCCATCACGCACAGCCTCATACTCACCAAGTTCTACATAGTCATTAAGTATTTGCCATGTATTATCCATAAGGCTTTTCACTTCCAAATGATAACACGTATAACACGCAAGTATTGGAATTTCAGCAATAAGCTGACGCAAAGACATTACCGTATCCAAAGGACTCACGTTTTCTAAACGTATGGGTTCCTTAGTTTTATCACAAGGCGGTACTACTAATACACTAAATATTGTCTCCATCATCTTTTCTTCCTGTTGCTTTCCGTGCTCAACAGTCTCGTCACTGCTGTCCATAGTAAAGACAAGATAGATTTCAAACTACTTGAAGAAACTTGTAAGAGAGTTGCGTTACAATAATGTGTGGTGCGCAAACGATGAGGTGCTTTTATCGGATTTGACAGGTATATCAGACTTACACTGAGTCGTCAATAAAAGCACAAAAACCCTGTGTTCGGACCAAATCAGCTGACAAGATCCTATATAATTGGGTCGAACTTCAAGGAGCATTCAAACTTGCACTCATTTTAGTCGAATCTTTTGTACCTATTTTTTGATACCTAATAAGTCTCTTATTTGACATGCTCATAACTAAAGCTCTTCGCTGCAGTTTCCTCGTGTCAAAGTCGTTTTCGTTTCGTCACTCGCTTGCCCCCTTTGCACTTCGAGCCATGAGTTCGGATGAACGCCTCAAGGCCGATATTGCTGCTGTCTCGTGTGCTGCTTCGTCTGCTGATAATAAAACCATTTTCGATAAAATCATCAACGGACAAATCCCGGTAAAAATCGCGTACGAGGACGAACAATGTTTAGCTTTTCATGACATAAATCCACAGGCGCCTGTACATATCCTGATCATTCCCAAGACACGCGATGGTCTCACTCAACTTGCGCACGCGGAGGAGCGCCACAAAACAATCCTTGGCCACCTACTGTACACCGCCAAGGTGGTTGCAAAGCAGCAGATGCTGGAGAAGGGTTTTCGAATCGTCATTAACGATGGAGAGGACGGCTGTCAATCTGTATTCCATCTACATTTGCACGTTCTTGGTGGACGCAAGCTTGGCTGGCCTCCTGGATAAAAGCGAGGCAGCTACACGTTAAAATGTGAGAGATGACTATCGATCAAGAGACGAATGCACATGCCTGCCAATCACACATGTCACGAAGAACAGCAAATGACGTCATAGCTTATCGTGCATATATGATAGTCGTATAAATGTGTTAATGGATTCATCCTCTGCCGCTAATTTCCATATGGAACTGGTTTAGAAATGTCTCCATAAAAGCGTGACGCTCATCGGCCAAACGCTTTCCTGCGTTTGTCTTCATCATGCCACAAAGTTTCAGTAGTTTCTGGTCAATGTACAATATTTCATTGCCCCGTCATAAGAACATCACAAGCTGTGAGAATCAAACTGTCTTGCACATTTTTGAGAGCAGTAGTGTACCTCGTAGAAATGGTTGATGGTAGTATTGGGCCGGTTTGAGTCCATGTACTGCTCCTTAGTCATGCTATCAACTGGAGGTACGTTCGACTCATAGAGCGGCCGTAGCTTGTGACCTCCGTACGTGAAACAGCGAGCAATTCCGACAGCTCCAATCGCATCCTACCCAAACAAAGACGTTAGAAAACATCATTATCTCTTGCATTTACTTGACATAGTCAACAATGCACCAGTCGATCGGCGTCCTGGACGCAGCCGTATTCAACCGAATACGATCGCTGACAAATTAGACAGTAAATATCAGCGTCAGTAGTGGTCATCATACCGATTCCAGGCAGTCAGCATACCTCGCTTTTTCCTGCTAGTTCTTCTTTGAACCCCATGCTGTCAACAATGTCCATCACACTTTTGATCTTCTCCATTGGTACATTCTCGGACCGCATAAATGCCACTGCCCGCTTTGTGGGTCTGTCTTTATCATTCTGGTATTTCCAGTCGTCGATATCGTGCAGGAGCGCTGCAAGATCCACGATCTCCATGTTCTCCTCAGGCACACCCTATTCGTACACAAAGTTTCATCAGCTTGAGCCAAGAACTCCGAACGCAGCTCTACTGACACCCACCTCCTCCTTCGCCAGAGTCTTTGCCATTTTCCAGACGCGCTCAATATGTTGCCAATCATGCGAAGCATCGTTGTTCTTCAGCTGCTGCTCCACAAACGCCGCTGTGCGTTGGATGAGTTGAGATGTAGCCATTTAGTCACTCCAACTGTTTTCAGACTGTTTTACCAATTAGAGCCATTTGCCGCTATATTGGCGCCAAAGTAGTTCAGTGGTCAAAAATAAACAGTAGCTTCAAGGTGACAAGCTCAATGACAGCAATGTGGTGTGGTGGTGCCATCAGAAATAGCGTTGCAAAGACTTGTGAGGAAGAGTGAATCACTCTTGTTACTTCTGTCGCTTAGCAAATGAGTGCTTTGTGTTAAGTTTCTCGCAACTGGTGTAAGTGATCCTTAAAGTCGTGCCTTGAACTACGTGCGACGTCTCTAAAAATATAACAAATGTATTTCTTCAGTTGCTTTTACTCCCTCTTGCAGGAGAAGGATAGCACAAAAATGAGCTCACGTGACAATTGTTGTACGCAATCTACTGCGTGCTGGCTCAAGACGATCAAGTTGTGGTGTTTGCTGAGTCTGACTTGTTATATGCACTGTTGTTGAATGTACGACGTGCTCAATCGACTTGGTTCTTGACCACACGGCAGAACAATTGGCAGCTTTTGACACAAGCATCCATGTGAAAACCATAACGCGAATATGAGCCATACACTAAAGCACAGGGTCTGTCTAATGGGAGCATATATCGATAATACCCTGAAGGATAAGTAACGGTAATGGTGCAACTTGCTTCAACCTGTGTACGTATCACCACCACCCATGATACTTGCACTTCCAAAACCAATGCAACCCATTTGAATTATCTATCCTCTGCTCGTAGAAGTAGAAGACGTGACTTAGCCAATTCTCTTTTTCGTCAAAAATCCAACCACACTCTTACGATCAATTCCAAAGCGAGGCAACGCCTTTTCCGGCCAATACGAGTTTTGTTCACTATTGATGGATGCCCCTGGTGGAATCAGGTACATGTTGTACGGACACTGGGGTGATATGAACAGCGCAAGCACACGTGAATTGCGCTTTCTTTTGTCGGAATAACGAACTAATTGTCGCACAAACTTCCAGTGATCATACGCAGATTCTAAGCAAAAAAATGCCATTGCTGAATCGTGAAGATTACGAACCTCGGTCTCTATTCGTTCCATTACCACAACTCCACGCTGTGTCACTACGATACTGCGGCTATCTGGAAAGTGTTTGGGCACCATTCCATTGCGGGTATGGCACCAAAATGCATCCACCCGAAACTCGTGGAGGCTGTTAGCATCAGATGCATCCTGGATTCGAATCAGACATGACCAAGCAATGGATTTTTTGACGCTTGATACTTCGCCATCAATCTCCATCTTTGTATCTTCTTCATTGATTGGTTTCGAGTCAAGCCCGCAGTCAATCAAATCAATCAAAAATTGTGCAGCCTTCCACTCGGCCAAGCGGCGGGCCTCCCCTTCTGTTTTCCATGTTGCTCGGCACAAGACATAATTATCTACTCGTACAACACAGGAGACATCTGCATTTGCAGATGGTGTTCGAGGTGGCTCTTCTACTGTAGTTGTAATCTGATGGAAGAGCGAACAACACATGAGATTGAAGTTAGTAAAGCCAAGTATCGGTTCTTCAGAATATGCAAAGCAATTACGAACACTGGCGATGCCGGATAGCTTGAGGTCCCGAAACGAGTCAATAGGCGAGACATAAGACAAAGACTTTACGTCTAGAAAATGGAGAAGTTGCGCCCAGGTCGATCGAATCCTGTTCAACTTGTTCAGCACACCATCAACAGCAGCATTACAAGCATCAGACTTCGCTTTCTCCGACGCGCTGAAGCGAATAACGTCGTTGACATCGACGAAAACTTCGAAAATACCTTCCTGAAGCCGCTCCATCTTAATATTCGCTGTTACATTGGGAACAATTCGGCTGTGTTCGGCTCCCCGATACTTCAGCGAAGCTCGAAGCCTGTTGATTCCAGCACATAGCTCATCTGTTGGAGTGAACAGGCTTCGAATCATGGCGCGGAATCTTGCATCGTCGGAGAGACAGCTTTCAGACTGCTCAGAATACTCCTTTTCCAGCTCACTTTCGAAAGCTTTCAGTTCTGCCGCGGCATTGGCATCTGGAGCTGCCTTAATGGCTGATGGATCCCAGTCATCCTCATCAGACGCTCTATCCGAGTAGTTATCGTAGTCATCCTCATCATCATTGTCCATCTCGTCGTCGCTGCACAAAATAAGATTGGCCTTTTTCACTGGAGTGACTGTCGAAGCTCCAGACTGAGATACCGCACCCGTATGTGCTGTATTTTTGGTTCCGTTCGACAAGCATGATGAAGCTGAGCTCATTTTCTTCAGCGATTCCAGAATGTCACGCCATCTTTCGTTAGCAGAACGCTTAGCATCTTTTGCATTTAGACAAGCAGTTGAAATTGCTAGCGTATCGCGGACTTTAATAAAATACATGAACATGGGTGGGACAAGCTTTTCCGACGTCGACACCTAATGTTGCAGAAGTGAAGTAAGAACAATCAGTTCACCGGTCAACCTTGCGCCAATTTGTCGAACATTAAATGCTGATCATTACCTTGTCGTGATTTTTGGCTTGTGTCTCGTTTCCTGCCATCAATGTTGTCGGTGTTCGAGCTAGACGCTCAATATACGTAGAAAGCAACGCCTTCCACGTCTGGATGATTCCATCTAGCATATATACCAAACTCAAAACTGCCTTATCTTTTGCAATTTCAACAGACGGTCCTTCTCCACAGGCCTCAACCACGCTCTCTGACGCAGTAAGCTCCCAACAAATCAGTCCGTTGCTCTTCGTTGTAGTGGTCCGGCAAATCTAAAGGAAGTTAGCGCAGTGCACATGCCACACTGATGTTAGATCCAATCATACACCAACCCAGCGCAAGTGCACAGCCTACCGTAAAACTGGGCATCAGCTCAATAAGTTCAGACTTCGCGCTTATATCCCAAGTGATTGCCTTTACAGTTTCCACAACCTTATCTCGGTCTCGAAATAGGAGCATTAACAGCCCCTGATACACGTCCGACTTCGCCTTTGCTACTTCATCTTCAGAGCGACAAGGTGTATCACGGTCGCGATTTGATCCGCTTCGATCCTCAACAAACAGGTTTTTTACATTCGCAGCAGACGCATCGTCACCTCCTCGCTCAGAAAGTTGCTTGTCAGATCGTACAAGTGGTTGTCGTTCAGGGGCGGGATACGATAAGCGAGGACGGGCAGCCCCGCGCTCGTCTTCACAAACATCTACATCCGGTGCATAACGTCGCTTGCGCAGAATACCCATCGACTTTAACTCTGCGACTCTCTTGTCAGTGTTATTATTTTCACGGCGTTCGCATACGTAGTCCATCTCATTGAAATCACATGTGCGTTTTGCGTCAGCCTCAGCACCTTCTCTCACATCCGTGCTTGCTACGACTTCAGCCTTGATCTGTTTAACGCGGTCGCGATTCAGATTTTCTTCGTACTGGTCAACTAATTCCATCAAGAATATCATGAGTGCATCGACTGCTTCGCCTTTTGTACCAGGGAGGGATGAACCACGTCTATGTATGAGCGGAAATTCTTGGATTAGAGCCACAACATCATACACGACATTGTCGGGGTCTCCACTTGGCTTCTCAAGAAGCTGTCGACAGCAATCCGCATTAGTTGTATAACGTCATTGACCAATGTCATGCAAAAGTAAAGCAAACTTACCCGCACTATCCTTTTTTTGATGAGGTAGTTAAAAGCTGCGTCCTTCACTTTTCGAGAATTGTTAGCTGTACAAAAACCAAATTGACCTTTCAAGTACACCAGCATGTCACCATATAGTCGCCGGTGTTCGCTTATTGCTCGGGTTAGCCGCGATAGTGCGCCAACGGTGGCATCTCGATCGATTGTAGCAGTGCAGGCGAATGACAAATGTCCTAGCCGGACATGGGCACTGTGTTGATTCGGTCCACTCAACTGCACCTCGCATCGAAGCTGAGCAAAGCACCCATCAGTTACCATCACCATTAACAAAAGCATATTAAAACTCACCTTAAGGCCTGTAGCCAATATGAGTTCCTTGTTCATGACAAGCGAGGACACAGTCTGAACAGCAGTTGTTAGTTCTTGAAGCGATGACACAAGGTCGACATTAGGACCAATCAGAGCCATCAGATACGATCGACCCTCATCCACACCAAAGGTCCTTGTTTTGATAGATGTGTTATCTTCGTTTGATTGCTTTTGAAGAAGTGGAGTGGCAGGGATCAAAGCTGATCCCTGTGTAGACTTCACGATTTCTTTAGCAGTAGCAATCTGCTCAGGTGTTCTATCCATAGCAAATGTCACACGTTTATTCGAGACATCAGCTAATACACCCGATGAGGATGATCGCGAGCTATTCTGGCGTAAGATTGATCGGGTACTGGAGTTTCCGTTGTACGAATCATGTTGACGTTGAGCTGGACTAAATAGAATTGCCGTACCTCTCACCTGCTGCGTCAGCTCATTGGTCATGACAGCATGCTTATTTACATTGCGAGCCTCTTCAGTTTCATTATTGGTAATTGCAGCATACCATTTCCGAAACCTGTCCGTAAATTGAAACGTTCTATCCTGCATCAAAGTGTTTTTTGTATCACCCGTCATAACCTTCACGTACATCAGCAATTTTTTTGCTGAGTGCAGTCGTTGTACTGCTACTCGGTCCTGTTTGATCAACTCGTCGTACCGTTTGGCTAAATTTAGGTAATGGGTAGTCATTTCATCAAATAAACGTAGAATACGTCCGGGAGTACGAACTTGTCTTGAATCTGCCTTTACTGACGTCCCTAGACGTACAAAACGTAAGACGACGGTCCTCCATGACAATTTACCATGTTCCTGTTTGATCGTAACTTGATTACCAAGAGCAGCAACATCTTTATGAAGCTGCTTTAGTTTTCGTGGACACAAGAGGAGATCTTCTGTAGCGATTCCAACTAAATAGTCGTCCGCTTCAACAGTACAGATAGGGGTGTTTGTTAACGATCGACCTGCTAGTTTATCGAGAAATTCCATTGAATATTGAGGTGATGCGACCTTTTCCACTTGAAATACATGTGAATTCATTGTAGCAGTCACCGAAAGACCAAAATGTGTCGTAAGCTCTAGATTTTCCACGGGATGACGTGGGAGTGAGTAATGAACTTCATACGCGCGTCCAAAAGACAAGAGATTTCGCACAGCAAGAGCTACTTCCATTCTCCACAAGCGAATGCTCATATCAAATGCTAATTCTACGCTGGCTTTTGGTTCAATCCTCTCTGCTCTAGAGCTCATTCTCTCGTCTGCTCTTTGTAGGAAGAATTCGTGATTTTTTGTTGATTAGTTCTGGTCTATATTATTGACACACACAAAAAACCTTTGTGAATTAATAACATGAAGTGGATTGAATATGTTTCATAGCGTTTGTCAATTTGTTCATTAGAAGGAGTCGGGATTAGATGGGGCTTTATCAGACCTAATTACTCATATTACTAACTCTTATTAGTGCTTGTTGCAAATGCTCCCGCTTTCAATTGCCTCGAATAACTCATTACTCCATAAGAAATATGCGGCTAGCAATGTCACCGACAAGCCAATCAATGCCGTCAACGAGACCGTCACCAGTAACGGCGCTGCAGGAAATGATACTCCAATGTCGACTAGAAAACTGAGCTGAGTGTAGACCTAATGCGTCTGCAATTGCTGCAGAAGAGAGAGCACCAGGCAAATCTTGTTTGTTGGCAAAGATGAGAACCGTTGCACCAGCTAGTTTCTACTTGAAAAAGCCACAATGAATCCATTAGGAATAGTTAGCATCAAATTATTCCAGTGCAGATGATGAGCAATTCAAAACACACCTCTTGAGACAACAAATTTTCAAGTTCACGCTTGCAATCCTCAAGTCTTCGTCGATCGGCGCTGTCTACTACCCATACGAGGCCATCCGTCTATGAGCCACACACTGTAAGATCTGCCATAAACACTCAGCCAGACGTTTAAAGCATACTCAAACCTGCTCAAAGTAGTTTCGCCAATACGACCGAATTGTCTGCTGACCACCGACGTCCCACACATTCAACTTGAAGCTAAAAAGCGATGGTAATCGACAACATGAGATGACTGAGTGAGGAGTCTTTTACGTGTTTAGCGAAATAGTAAGCTGTACTCACTCCTTGTACTCAAGAGTCTGGATATCAAAGCCCAAAGTAGGAGAAATCTCTGTAATGTCTTGACCCATATATTTCTTCAGGATTGTCGTCTTGCCGGCGTTGTCCAGACCTCTACGAAGACGCATCGAATGTCCGTAAACACATCACTCTAGCAAATGTATCGATTCATTTTGCATTGGAAAAGAGAAACGATGACAATAACGCTGAGACGTACAACATGAGAACACGAATCTCTTTTTCCTTCTCCTTGACTTTCTTAAGAATACTCAGCAAGCCCATTGCGTCGGAATATTCCAGCGTCTTCTCCTCAAATGGCTCGAATTTGCGACAATCTTTTGTAGTTGGATAAAACTAAATTATTCATTGTATTGCAATATTGCAATATTGCAATACTGCAATACCCGACAGTACTTGTCTTTCATGAAATATACTATTTGGATTGCAACAAGGTAACTCGACAAGTAATACTTTTTCATACTACGTAACAAAGTACTATCCTAACAAAGTACTATCTCAATAAGTACTATCGTAAAAAGGGTACTATATTTCTGTACCAATGACTACTATTTTGTCAGCCTATACTTGTTGCCTATATAAATGAATACAATCGAATAAAATGAATCGCATATTTGGGAAGAAGAAACCCGAGGCGCCACCTATTAACGTTTCTGATGTTGGTGGAAAAGTTAGTGCTCGAGTGACTGATTTGGATATAAAGGTCAGTTCATACACATGAATGTCGATACTTTTTGGATTAATAATACATGTAACAATACCGTGGTTGCTAAGTATTTAACGTTGTAGATTGAGAAATTGGATGAGGAACTTCGCAAGTATCGCGAGCAAATGAAAAAGGCACGAGGTCCTGCCGTCAATACGATCAAACAACGAGCGATACAGACGCTTAAACACAAGAAAATGTTTGAAGCACAGCGAGGCAAACTGCAGGCTCAGTCATTTAATATTGAGCAGGTTTGGCAAAGCAATTGATGTGTGACATGTGATACAACACAACAAGCGGTGACGTTATTGCTACGTCAATCATGAATCATGATATAATGTATAGGCGGCATTTGCAGTTGATACAGCTAGGGACACAATCTCTACTGTTGCTGCCATGAAGAGCGCAGCTGTCCAACTGAGTACGGAGACCCAGAAAATTAATATCTCCGAGCTGGAGGTGCGTTGCAAAATGGGTGTCTCAAGGTGTCTGTTGCATTGTTGCCAACAAACCTGACACTTTTTGTATATATGATATGGTAAACAGGATGTACAAGATGACATGGCAGACCTGATGGAAGATATGAACGAAATCCAAGAGCTCATGGGTCGCTCCTACGGGTATGTTATTGCACATGAAAGCCTAGCAACTAGTGATGCTTCAGAGCTGTGCTGAACTTTGTCTGATGCTCGCTTGATACATTGTTGATGCCCTTCTTCATGCGCTGCAGAATTGGAGATGAGGTCGACGAAGAAGAATTGGAAGCAGAGCTGGAGGATCTGGAGGAAGAGTGGGGCAAGGAGGCGGCACTCGGTCAAGAAGCGGAACAGGCGCCGTCCTACCTGGCACCAGCACCGCACCACAGACTACCTGCCGTGCCCTCTGGCACTTTAGACTCGGAAACGACGACGCGCACTACCGATGAGTTCGGCCTGCCTGTGGCATCATATTCGACGTAGCAGTACATCCGTCGGACAATAAGAAAACGAGGTTTTACACCCAGAATATATACAATGTACTACTACTACGAACTACCTATTTACTACTACAAGCTGACGCGAAAGTGAAGTGGACGAACATGGATACACTAGGCAAAGCTTAGACAGCCAATCGTTTCTCAAATTAAATTTAAAACAAAAAGCCTAACGATTTCAGTAGGATATGTATTATAACAGCAAACAAAGCCATTTAAGTATTATCTCTTGTATTTGATAAGGTTTCACTATCATAAGGTTTTATATCCTGACCTCTGCATTCTTTAGCTTGGTTGGCTCACTTTCGTCTTATTCATTCGAATCTTTATTCAATCTTCAGACCTTCACACATACTCATATATACATCATAGACAGGAGTTTCGACAGTCAATTGATCAGTTAGTCACTCAGTCGTCAGTATATCAATCATGGTCCGTGAGAAGAAAGAACCACGTGTGAAGAAAGAGCGTAAGGGTAAGAAAGAATCACGTAAGAAAGCAGCTGAGGAGAAAAAAGCAGTTGAAAAAGCTGAAGCATTGGGAAACATGTCGCATGCTGATCGTCTTGCTGAAGATGGTATTATTGCTACTTGTTCACATAATGTACGCTCTGTACATAAGAATTTTAAAGATATTAATGTGCTTAACTTTAGTATTACATACTTTGGAAAAGTCTTGATGGAAGATTGCGATATTTCACTGAATTATGGCCGTCGATATGGTCTCATTGGTCGCAATGGTTCAGGTAAATCGACCTTTATGAATGTATTGGGTGCACGTGGTATTCCTATCCCAGAAAGTATCGACATTTATCATTTAAAACATGAAATTGAAGCAAGTGAGATGACGGCACTGGAAGCAGTTTTATCTGTAGACGAAGAACGTAATAAACTTCAAGCCGAAGCGGATGAACTGTCGGAGCAAATGACTGATGAGTCAATCAGTGAGGAAGAGAGTGAAGCCATTTCAGACCGTCTAACGGACTTATATGAGCGTCTTGACGAAATGGACGCGGCAACGGCCGAGGTCCGTGCACGCCAGATTCTCTCAGGCTTAACGTTTTCAGACGCCATGATGGAAAAGAAGACCAAGGAGTTCTCAGGAGGTTGGCGTATGCGTATCGCTTTAGCTCGTGCTTTGTTTATCCAGCCGACATTGCTGCTGCTAGATGAACCTACTAACCACTTGGACATGGAGGCCGTTGTTTGGCTTGAGGATTACTTATCCAAGTGGAAGAAGATTTTGCTCATGATCTCGCACTCGCAGGAATTCATGAATGAGGTCTGCACGACTATTATTGACCTCACGAATAAGAAGCTCGAGTACTACGCTGGCAATTACGATACGTACGTGCGTACGAAGGCGGAAAAGGAGGAAAACCAGATGAAGCGTTACAACTGGGAGCAGGACCAGATCAAACACATGAAGGAGTATATTGCCAAGTTTGGTCACGGTTCTGCAAAGCTTGCTCGTCAGGCGCAGAGTAAAGAGAAGACACTTGCCAAGATGGTGCGTGACGGTCTGACGGAGAAGGTTGAGCATGAATCAATCGGTGACTTTAAGTTTCCCAATCCAGAGCCACTGCCACCTCCAGTGCTAATGTTTCAGAATGTATCATTTGGCTACCCAAACTGTCCTCTGCTTTACTCTGGCGTGGAGATGGGCTTGGACTTGGACTCGCGTGTCGCCCTCGTTGGTGCCAACGGTACAGGTAAGACGACACTATTAAAGTTGATAACGGGAGATCTTGTGCCTGTGGCAGGCAACGTTCGGCCACACAGCAAGCTGCGTATCGCGCGTTTCAGCCAGCACTTCGTCGATATCTTAGACCTGACTAAGACACCACTTGAGTACTTTCGGTCACTTTTCCAGACAAAGTCCGTCGAGGAGGTGCGCAGTTATCTGGGACGTTATGGTATCACGGGTGACGTGCAGACGCAGGTTATGGGTCAGCTATCTGACGGGCAGAAAAGTCGCGTCGTGTTTGCGTACATGGCCCAACAAAACGCACACATGCTGCTGTTGGATGAACCTACGAACCACTTGGATATGGAATCGATCGATGCGTTAGCGCGTGCCATCAACAACTTTGAGGGTGGTATGCTGCTTGTAAGTCACGACATGCGATTGATTTCGCAGGTTGCCAAGGAGATTTGGCTTGTGGAGAACCAATCTATAAAAGTGTACCAAGGTGAGATTTCGGACTTCAAGATGCGTGTGCGCAAGCAGCTCAAGTTGGCGGACAAACCTGTCGTTCCTGCGGAAGCGTAAGTGCTTTGACAGGTTGATCGTCCATAGATTCTTGCTACACTTCGAACTGCTGTGGCGAATGCCGATCACGGCGCGTTACCTATTCATATTTGATCACCTTGCTGACTGATAACACATAGATTGGAAAATCGCATGTTATGAAATTCTTTCGGAGTATCTGCTTCATGAGTTGTCGCTGATATGATTGTTATCTTCGTGAATGACTCTTTTACCTGCTGTATCTCATCACCTCAGGAGCAAGCGTTTGACACTGAACCAGGTAAATGAGTGCACCCTTACAAACTTTGAGATGACAGGAAAGCGTAGACCAAACGGTAAACTGTAAATTATCCATCAATGATCGTTCAAATCAATACTGGTAAGGTTGCTAATCTGGTCTTGAGTGAAGCCACCCACCCCTATTGTCAATCCGGCACGCTCTCGTCCTTGTCACCGTAGTTGGAAAATCGACTCATTTGCCTGTGCGCTCATTCCGAATGGTCTCCAGTAGCCCTCCCAGCATCTTGTTCTTCTTCACATTCTCTATCACGGTATTTAGCCTTGGATGTGAGTCAGCGTCACGAACAGCGCTGATCGCATCGAGTGCACGCAACGCGCTACGGATGAGATCCTTGACACGTTCGACTTCGGGTCCAACCTGGTCTTCCTTAACTTTTTTGTTAATAGTCTTCTCTAACGGCTCCACTAACGCGTCTAGTGCGCTGACAATACTGCCAGGCTGCACATTGCAGATCTTGATCAAGATCTGGTGACTGAGCATCTGGATGTCGTCCTGGTCTCCAAGACCTCGCTTGAGTTGGTCAAAGAACAAAGTGATATCAAGCTGCTGAGGCAGCATCTGGATTAATGTGTCCACACACGAATATGCAGCTTTTCGAAGAGGGAGGCCATCATCCACTTTGTGTTTGAACGGACCAAGGTCCACCACACGCTCCAGCTTGATTTCAGTCGTTTTCAGGAGCATGTGGAAAATCCGTTCGCGAACGTATGGCACTAAATAGTGAGCATGGTGGTGAGCAGCCGTATTGAGCATCAGCAGTGCGGCACGACGCACATGCAAGTCTTCGTCTTCAAGTGCAGCCAAGAAAGGGTCGATATGAGCGAAGATCGCATCGACTGCTGGTTTCTGGGCATTTGTCGTCATTGCGTACTTAAGACTCGTTAAGGAGGTCCAACGTGACCATACGTTCGAAGATCCACACAGTTCCACCACAATCGACATAAGCTTTGCACTGTTCGTCACAACAAGCTTTCCCATGCACTCACCAACCATGTTTCGCACCCCTTCCTCCTCACGAGCACTCATTTTCTGTAGAACCGGAAGCACGCGGTCCACATACATCGCAAAACCATGGTGAGGTTTTGCTGCATGATCTGAAATCACCTCGCGCAATGACGTCAACAACAGATACGAATTCTCTCCAAGTTCCAACTTTACGATAATGGTGTCCAGATATTCTTCCATATTGCCAACGCAGATACTACCGAGCGAATACGCAGCTGCTGCCTTTACTTCTTCACCAGCATTGGTGAAGGAGTCGAGAAGGATATTTTTCACGTCAGTATAACCAGCAAGTTTAAGCTTACGGCCGAACTCTCCCAGGCAGTAAAGCGCCAACACTTTGTTCTTTTCAAACTCGCTTTGTGTAATGTCATCTACAAACTTTGCAAAAGCCAACTTACGGTTTTGTTCCGTCGTAGCCACACATGCATCAGCGACACACCTCGCGATATTCAGCATAGAGTGCTTTGACTCTTCAGAAGGTGTAGCCATCAACGCCTTAAAAAGCTCCATAAAACTACTATCTGGTGAATTCAGTTGTGTCAACTGCGCAAAAAAGCCCTTTAAGGCATCCAAAGTGGGGCCCTGGAGCATAGAGCTATGGCACAGTTCCAGTGCCTTTACTTGGGCGTTCTGAAGCAAAGCATCCGTCGACGCAACATGCGGGCAAACGCGAAGAGAGTTTGATACCAATGTGATGCTCATACGGCACAGCTGTAGATCTATGTCCACAAGAAGAAGTGAAGCTTCAAGCACTATGTCATGATGAAGCGTCTCCGACATTTTTGTACCCTTGTGAACAACCAGATCGTTAAGAGTAGCCAATGTTGCCTGCTTTAATATGCGTGACTGCTGACGAAGCAGCTGGGCTAGAGTCTGGGTGCACTCTACGAGGATCGGAGACATATCCAAGTCAAGCTTTGAGCGAGCAATGACTCCGATAGCCTTGATGCTTTGAATGCGCGTAATTTCGTTGTTGAGACGCTCCATTAATAAGGGGTACACTTCACCCACCCGAGGACCAAGCTCATTACCTGTCAAAGTTACAACACTCATTACTTCCATGCATATGTAACTCCATCAATAATATGTACGTACCCAGAGTAGCAACAATCTCGCCGATAGTGCTAATTGCAGCCTCTTTGATTTCTTGGTCGATGTCATGGACCTTCAAACTAGGCAACACCGCATCAAAGAGAGGTACAGCGTACGATTTGTAAGTGCAGTCTCCACTGTCCGAGCGGATAATACGGACAAGAGATTCAATCAATCCAAGCGCTTTCGCCACCGTTTTGTACCAATCTCCCTTCGCACACTGCACTGCAACTTTAACGACAGAATCAATGTGCGGTTGGAATGACTCCACATTGTGGGTATCCACAAGCAACCGAAGAAACAAAAGCGCTTCCAACTTCAAGTCGGAGTGCTTGTCCTCGACTGCATTGAGAAGATTCGGCATCAAATGACCAATGTAATCTCCCAACTTTCCATGCTCTACCACCGCCAACTCACTCAGCATCGCAACCACCGCACAACGCGACGGAACTGAAGCCTTTATTCCAAACTGCTTGTTCGCTCCAAGAATAATTGCATTCAGGTGCTGTTCCAGCTGGACAATGCATGCATTAGTTTTGGGCGAGTGGTGGAGAGGAATTGTTTCACTTGAGCTCGGAAGTGTCTTGCGAGTAGCGCGAAGAAGTTCTGCAAAAACGCCAAATACGTCAATCCGTACGTTTTCTTCTCTCTCTTTGAAGCGCAAAATTAAACGCGGAGCGCACTGAATGTACAACTGCTCCAAAAGTTCTGGTCTCGTCGTGATAATTGCTGTTAGAACGCGAAGACTAGCACGACGAACTTTCCAGCTAGTGTCGTCGTCATCGCTATAATCACCTTCCTCGTCGCTGTATTCCTCATTTTCCTCATCCATATTTTCATCTTCGTCAGCCGAGTCAATGTAATTGTAGTTGGGGTCATATGAAATAAACTGCATCGCAAGCTTGAGGATAGCCTCCACATGAGGCGCAATATCGTTGTGGCATCGGATCAAGAACGCCTCAAAAGCCTGAAAACAGTTTCCACGAAGCTCATCTGAATCTTCGTTCTGCAGTGCTTCATCCTCAGGATCTCCACAGAATTGTACCAATATGCGTATTACCGCATCCAGATACTTTCCAAGACGATGACCTGCCGTACGCGACAGCGTCCCAATAGTCTGGATTAGCGTGCGCAAGTTTGTCGAGTCTGTCGATCCCTGGATGCCCTTGATCAGGTGCTCCACCAAGCGACTTACTAGCATATCGGATGCCATAACACCCAGCGAGCCCACACACGCCGTCGCACGTTTGCGTACAAGTGGAGATTCATCCATGAGCTGGACCATCAGCAACTCCATAATCGTCGCATGTTCCGTGGCAACGTCGTAGCCAAAGCGACGCAGTAGATCCGTGAGAATATCAAGGGTCTCAGATTTTACAGCTGCATCTTTCTCTTTGCCCAGACCTGTCAGTAGTCGCGTGCAGATTACCGTGGCAATGGATGCCCCTGTGGTTTGTGATACATCTGCTACAATCGTCTTGAGTCCAATGGAATAAATGTCCCGAAGCTCTGATTTGCCATTGAGAATGAGGTCGCAGAGTTTTGCACAGATATCTGCCACTTGATTGACCTGAACTTTAGTAACAAGAATGCCAAGACACTTGACAGCAATTGCTTGAACATCATTTGATTTATCGTCCAATTGCTTCAATACAGCTGCACACACTCTACAATGTGATTACAGAGTCAGCGAGAGTCAGGACGTACTTTGATTCTTCCTTTATTTCGTATCGAATTGCAACTCCAAAGAGATAGTAAGTACACGTACTTTGGCTCGAGATACACTCCAAGGTCAATGTCCTTGCTAAGTTCAACGCATAGATCAGACGTCGCCATGTAACGTTCATCCTTGTCAAAGTCCGTCGTCTGTAGAAGAAGAAGAAGATGGAGAGACGACGGGTACATTAATACATACAATTACATTGTGAATATAAGCAATGAGAGACAGCACGTACTTTGTCCAATAATTGTGCGATCTTGTCCTCACTTGCACGCATTTTATCTTTATTTATATGGAATTTACTGTAGAAAATGAAGTTAAGAGGAGTGAGGAGGAGAAAGGATTTTAACGTGAATTGGGGGGTTTTGTTGTTGTTGTGGACCACATGAAAGCGACCATCACTCTAAAACACGTACTTCAACTTTAGCGTTGGTAGTCACAGATGTCTTCAGTATGTGTTCATCATCATATATATGCTGTACATATGATGATGATGATGATCATATTGAGAACAAAAGGTGTTGGTGCTAGATTGTATGCAATGTCAAAGACCGCGTTTTAAATACGTGTGGAGACTGTGTGCTTGGAAGCCATGAGGGAACAAATGGACACAATGCTAGTAGAGTTTTGAAGAAATGACGGACAGCGTCGGCTTGAACACTTGTCCACAATTGATATCACAGCAAGAGTCGATTAGTGCTATATATTCTACATTAGTAATATCGTGCAGTGTTTTAATCTCGTTATATTGCAAAAAAACAAAGGAAGATGCTAGGGCTGCACGGTAAGATAGACTAGAGCTTAACTGTGAGTCTCAAGTTGTCTGCGACGTGTGCGACAAAATGGCTACACTTTTGATGGCTCTTGGTCAGGTCTTGAGATACAGTAAACTGTTTATTCAACATGAAGGCATCTCGTCCTGACACGACGATGGCTGCCAACACGACGACATTCAGCGACCTTCCATTGCACAGAGATATTGGTCATGCACTAAAAGAAATGCGTTTCCTTCGTCCATCACCCATTCAGCTGCATGCGCTGCCCGTGGCTCTGTTTGGGAACGATGTTATTGGTCAGGCCAAGTCCGGTACGGGTAAGACGGCAGTCTTTGGGATCACCGCTATCGAACACGCAATTCGGCACGTAGAACAGAGACGTTGCAGAAGAGAAAAAATAGTGGTCGGTGATCCATTAGCGTTGATATTAGCCCCCACCCGAGAGATCGCGGTCCAGATTGAGTGTGTGCTGCGCCAATTGGCACGATTCCAACCAGAGATTATTATCCGCACTTGCATTGGTGGACTACCGATGGCTCAAGATCAGGTGATGTGGGTATATTTGTAGGGTTTTTTGATGGTGGTACTGATCTGAGTGGCGCTACTATGCTTGCTTGTGCAGATACACCTGGCAACGGGGTGTCATATTGTGGTGGGCACACCGGGACGTGTGATGGCGCTTATGGAGCAGTGTTTGCTGCCATGCAGCGCTATTCGATTGCTGATACTAGACGAAGTCGACAAACTAATGGCACAAGATTTTGAGAAAGATGTAAGAACACGTAAAGGTATCCCGTATTTGACTGTCTCGAGGCTCAACCATTTGCCTCATGTCGATTGCGCAGATCCGATACATTGCAAACGCTATTCCTGAAAGGCGGCAGGTGTAATAAAGTTCTTGTAAGTGATAGCTGCTTGCAACTGTTTACTCAATTGTATCGGTGCTGGACCAGACACTCGCATTTTCAGCCACCTTCACACCTGACCAGTTAGTTGCTCTGGTGCTGGTCATGAGAGCCCCGCAGGTTTGTATACTTGAAGCCAACATTGGATGCAAAGTTGATTGTAATGCTTGTGCGATGTTTCTCACATTTTTTCTACCACGGGTTACTGCATAGATCGTTCGAGTTCAAGGCCCACAAGAAGTGACAACTGAGTTCATTTCATCCTCCGAAGATCTTGCTAGTTGGGAGACACGCGAGCAGTCAAAGACGCCGGAGCTTTGGCTTCGCCAGGTGCGGCAGTTTTACAGCGTTATCAAGCCATTGACCTCGTCACATGCCGGGGGTGATACGCTTAACATGAAAGCCAAGGTGGTGAAGCTGGTGGCGATTCTATCGGAAATTGTGTTTGCACAATGCATGGTGTTCTGCAACGACAAATTTCGAGCTGAAGCCTTGGCCACCGCCCTTTCTAGGCAGGGCTGGCCAGCAGCATGTATCACTGGCTCACAACCTCAAACTACGCGCATGGAAGTCATGGAAGAATTTCGAAAGACACACTCGCGTGTATTGGTGTCAACTGATCTCACTGCGCGAGGCATTGACGTTGACAAAGTCAATTTCGTGGTACGCTGTGAAGTAATCAATGAGGTGTACTGTCATAAGAAAGCTGCTGATTCTTGTAACATGATCTCGTAGGTAAATCTAGATCTACCCCGGGATCCAGTGACGTATCTGCACCGTGTTGGAAGAACGGGCCGTTTTGGCGGAAAAGGGTTGGCAGTGACTTTGCTCTCGCATGATAAAGTCCAAGGAATTCATCTTCTCGGGCGAGTTTTTAAAATGGAGATTAGCGAGCTGCCAACTCCAATTCCAACAGAGATTTACACTTATGCGGCTGAAAATGCAGACGATAGTGACGAAGCAGAGCAGTTTGTCCCATGTGTCGTCACAGAGACGTTGTTCGCTAATGAGAGAAGCGTTCAGAGTTCTTCTGATAAACTTGAACGCAAAGTGGAGACTGCCATAGAAGACGAAAATGTCGTGAACAAGTCATTGCCGAGAGGATGTGTCAATCCATATGAACAGGAAGAACACGCATACGAGTACTGGGTGAAGTTACTGTAGCTGGTTAACCGAATGCTGACAAGCGACGAGCAATAGATGAATCATCGACAATGTTTGATTGATTGCTTGCATCAATCACCCTTAGGTGGTGATTGTGTCTAACTGAAGTGTTGCTTGCTATGAAGCTAGCCATCATCAAGGTTATCTACTACTATGATACAGTCATTGAATAATCTAATTTCGTATCTCGCGCCATCTTGAACAGTCTCGATCATGTGATACCTGAATGGTATACAAAGATCTAAACTAGGAGCTCATTCTAACAGTAGTAGCAACACTGTCGACCCTTGAGCAACTAGTAAACGCACAATGACGCCCAAAGGAGGCCAAGCTTAATCAAAACCTCTTTATCTCGTTGTCACAAGTTCTTTATGATTGCAAACTCAGTGAACAACGCCACGTTAAAGATACAAATGACTGCTCCGTCCCCCGATATCTGTATTTGTTGTTTCTAATTAACCTGTGATAATGTATGATCTAAATCGATATAAAGTTTCACTTTACATCGGTGTATCATCCGTCAAGTCAAGTCAACTCATTCTCTTTCTCTCTTTCTAACCTGTTAATTTAAATACTCAAATGATTGTTCCGCCCTTGGCATTTAATCGACTTACTTGAACACGAGGTTTCGTTCAAGTTCTTCTCACTAGTCAATTGTCATGACAACTGGTACCAAGCACAAACTTACGTCGTTATTGACCGCCACTACTGAATCGTCTCTATCTTCATTATCTTCGATTACTGATAGCAGTAACAACAAGAATGAAGTATCTAACAATCCTCTACATCAATATATCTCAGCCAAAGAGGTAGCACATCATCAAGTACGACGTTCGATCAGTTCAACGAGCCGTGAGAGCGTATCCAGTCTCACTGCTAAAGACACCAAGGCCTCCTTCATGGGATCGTCGATATCAACCTCTAGCAGTACCCGGTGCTCTTCACCGACCTCGTCACCTATGACCGAGTCGATTTTGAAGGTGGTACTCATTGGGGATTCGGGTGTAGGCAAATCAAATCTTGTCATGCGATTTACCAAGAACAAGTACATGCCACACAGTTTACAAACCGTGGGCTTTGAATTTGCAACCAAGACTATTCGAGTCGGAGACCGACGACTTAAGGCACAGATTTGGGACACTGCAGGGCAAGAACGGTTCCAGTCGCTGACTGCCGCCTACTATCGTAATGCAGTAGGCGCCATGATTGTGTACGACATTACAAACCGCAGTTCGTTCGAGCATGTCACAGGGTGGTTAGCACAGGTTCAGGAACATTCACATGAAAGTTTGGTATTGATCTTGGTGGGGAACAAATGCGACCTTGCTCACTTGCCTGAGAGTAGAGAGGTGTCGACACTAGAAGCAGCAAGATTTGCAGCAAAGCATTCGATGGAGTTTCTCGAGACGTCGGCTCTGGATTCGACTAATGTTGTTGATGCTTTCAAAAAGTTGATTGTGCCGGTGGGGCGTTTACTGTCTCCGTCTGAGCCAAAGAAAATTGCACAGCTGCCCCCAGGATGGCGGCGTGTTTTATCAAGAACCAGGCCAGGTGAATACTCGTATGAGAACCAGTATACCAAGGAGCGGATCTCATTTGCTCCAAAAGAACCGGCGAAGCCTTCTCAGCAGAGATTTCGAGCGCCAGCTAGTGGGTCGAAAAGCGGACCAGCGAGTGTCGTCACCGTCACACGCGAGAGCCTCCAAAGACAGCATCAAAAGGCGTATCTCGCACAGAACCAGACACCACAGTGTGGTATTTGTGCAAGTAATTGCACTATATTGTAGTCATTGGGTGGATTGCTGACGGTTTGCCTCGTCGTCATCAGGCTGCAAGCCAGCTCGTCTTTTTCATCACCGAGCCAGCGGATTCATTACAATGTGCGTGCTGGCCCAGGACATAGTATTGTAGCGAGTACACGAGTGAATATGAAGGGTAAAAAGCAGGATCAAATAGAAGCAGGTCCGCTACATGCATTTTCAAGAGTAACACTAAGCTGTTGTGTAACCTTAGAATGAGTTGATTCACCGTCGTGTTTCTTCGTACTACATAATTTATACCTGCATGACAAGCTCAGACATATAAGTTTCTTCGCGTTTTTGTTTTTCTCGATACAAATTCCCAGCATCATAGATATGCACACCGACCAACGCATTGCTGGCCACAACCATCGTCGCGTCTGCGATCCTTTCCTTTTTGCTCTTTACTTTGAGCGCCGAGTTACGAAAAACACGGCAGCAATAGTCGCCACAGCAAGCGCTACAGAGGCCAGCTTGCACTCCGTCGGGATTGATGATGCCCACACTCGCTCGCCCTCACCACAAGCCTTCTGGTGTTTCTTGCTGATGGTCTTGCGAATATACTCAGCCACGGTCGCGCTAGAGTTATTGGCGACTGAGAGCCGAGTGGGGAGCGATTCCAGCGCCTTCAAAATCGGGTGCTGCTCGATCTCTGCCTCACTCACACCAAGAGCTTTCGATACAACAGGCAGGAACTTGCCGTAATGGGCAGTGCCAACCACTACCACAGCTAAAATGGACTTATCGGCAAGCGCGTCCATGCCAAAGCGCATGGCAGCAGCCGCTCCAATAGCACTGTGCGGGTCAAAGAGGTAGTGCTGCACCTGCTTGTACTGCGCGATAGTGGAGCAAACTTCGTCCTGGAGTATCGCATACGATGCCATCTCGTCCTGAGCCTTGGCAAGAAACTCACCCGAAATTGTAAGCTCTCCACTTTGTTCAAAGCTCTGCATCCAATCGCGCAACATATCGTGATTCTCGCCCGACAAAGCAAAAAGGTAGCGCTCAAAGTTGCTGGACACACAGATGTCCATGGACGGCGAGATCGTGTGCTGAATGTCATGGCGATGGTACTTGCCCGTGGAAAAGAAGCGATGCAAAATGTCATTCTCATTCGTGGCCACCACCAGCTTTCCAATGGGTAGGCCTAGCTTCTTGGCGTAAAATCCAGCGAGAATATCGCCGAAATTGCCCGTGGGAACAGAAAATGCAATCTCACCTTCCACGCCTTGCTCACGAGCCCGGAAGTACGCCCACACGTAATAGACAATCTGCGCCAAGATACGCGCAAAGTTAATCGAGTTGACTGCGCCAAGATGATACTTGGCCTTGAATTCAGCGTTGGCAAACAGGTCCTTGACAATGGCTTGACAGTCGTCAAACGTGCCCTTGACAGCAACATTGTGAATATTTTTATCCAGTACCGTAGTCATCTGACGTTGCTGTATAGCACTCACACGTCCCTCAGGGAATAAAATGAACACCTCGATATTCTCCTTGCCCCGCAGACCATAGATGGCTGAACTTCCTGTATCACCAGAAGTAGCACCCACAACCGTGATCTGATGCGGAGATGAACCTACAGGTAGCGTCTCATTTTTACGCTGTAAAAAGAACTCGAAAAGATTACCAAGGAATTGCAATGCAATGTCCTTAAAGGCAAATGTTGGACCATGGAAAAGCTCAAGCACTAGCATCTGATCCGAGACTTTCACAACGGGCGCCACCTCCTTTACACGAAATGTAGTTGAGTTATAACTCTTATTTACAAGTGATTGAAGCTCAGCGCGTGAGATCTCACTCTCGTCAATGAAAAGACCCATAACCTCTACAGCCAACTCCTGGTACGACAGCAATGCCCACTTGTCCAATGCATCAGCTGGTAGTGGTGGAAACTCGTTGGCTTCAGGCACAAGTAAGCCACGATCAGATGCCAGACCTGTGAGCACCGCTTGCTCAAAACTAAGACCACGAACGCCACCTCTTGTACTACGATAGTGCACCATTCTTTGCTTCTATTTGTTTCTACCAAGCAGCAGTCAAAGCGTAAATGCCACGATATAGGAGATAATGTCGTTGTCGTCACATTCGTGCGACAATATCTTTGCGCAAACGGACTCACATGATAACGTGGTGCACATAATAACCTGATGACCCGCGAAAATGTATGTTTCGACAATGTTTACTTCTTGTCTTCTTCTCCATACAAATGTCCATGACCCTCCTCCATTGTCTACACACTAACGTTTGTTTCATTCGTGTGGTACAACAATCTCTTGTCTTCATTGCTGCTGGAATTGGCAACGATTGCAGTGCTTAGAAGTGACACGTGAAAATATGGTCGACTTTATCGATTGACTCGATGAAGTGGTGTGCTTAAGAGAATGTTAGATACATGAAAGAGATGACAACATGCAAAATCTAGCGGCAGCTGAGCCAATGATAATAGTCCGGCGCGGTTGCATAGCGTGATACAAACGTGTAAGAACGGTTTATCATGCGCATAACTTCTTTTCATACGACTGTCGTCACCGATATGAAAAGCAAACGGAGAAATACATTTGTCGCAGTGTTATCTCCTACGGGTTCCACACACTTCTTCATGCTTTCATCCAATGGTTCACTTCAATCCGCATTTCGTTCGTGTCTACCTCATCGTAACTGATTGAGTTAGTTCTGACCAAACTGGAACATGGTAGGCTGGTCAGCGGTTGTGCCGAATTGGAACTGCTGTGCGTTTGCATCCGTGTCAGGCGCTAGGCTATCTTCCGCATCCTCCTCGCCGTTAAAGTATGTTTCCACAATTTTCAAAGACTTCATGTAAATGTCTGTAACCACATCATGAGTATTAGTACGCGCCGACAAATACCGCAAAAAAAGTCAGTTGCCTTACCCTCGTTCACATGGTACTGCAGAGCCTGAATCTTAGTCACGCCGTCCGCTTCATCAATCATCGTTGCAATGTCGTTGATGTCGTTAGTCTTCTGCTGATCACCGGCACGCAAAATGTTTTCGAGGCCCTCCAGAGCCACAATCACAACCTTTGCGTCTTTCACCTCCAGCAGATCGCACAAAGGCTTAATACACCCTGTGATGTAAAGTACCAGCATTAGCAACACCAGACGCTAAGGTAGTACGCAGCAAGACAAGCAACACCATTACACTTACCAAGAGCGACAAGTTGCATGATCTGTTCCACAGAACCACCAGACGTGGCGTTCGACACAGCCCATGCAGCTTCCTTGCGAATGTCAAACTCAGCTGTGGATAGAAAACTAATAAGGGACGGGAAAATGTCGGAATCCATAATGAACTGGATCTGTTCCCGATTGCCAGCTGTGATATTAGACAGTGTCCAGCAAGCCTCCTTTCGGATTCCCTTCTTGGGACTTTCCAAAAGTGCACGCAGGCACGGTAACGCGTTCAAATTGATAATGACCTGCGTCTGCAGGTCGTCACCAGTCACGATGTTGCCGACCGTACGTAGAGCAGGTGTCTGCACGGAAGGAGAGTGGTGCATCAGCAACTCCACAATCCGCCGACACACACCAGCCTCAATCACAGCCTGAATCTTTTCGTTCGTGCCATCCGACAGGTACGACAAAGCCCAGCACGCATCTGTCAACACTTCCTCATCGTGGGTGTAAATGAGCTGGCCCAAAGTTGGGAGCGCGGGCGCCACGAGATCGAACTGCGGTTGAGGCTTGCCTCGGCAAAAGTTGGATAGCGTCCACGTAGCGTTACGAAGCATCGTTGGCTTCGAGTTCTCTGTCAGTTGCTGCATAAGTGGGCGCAATGCACCGCAACGCAAAACCATGTCACGACACTCAATCGAATCACCGGCAATGTTGCCAAGAGCCCAGACGGCTTGCTCGCGCACATCATCATTTGTGGACAGTAGTAGCTGGCAGAACACAGGCACAGCTCCATGGTTAATCACGACCTCAGTGTCTGCAGATGTACCCGAAGCAATGTTCGTCAAAGCCCAGGCAGCCTCAAACTGCAGCGTGGGAAAGTCTTCGCGCTGAAGGAACTGCACAAAGATAGGAACGACGCCGGTATTGATCACCTCCATAATAGGTGGGTTACGCTCTGTAATACAACGTACGCAAGTGTGAGTCACCATTTCTTCCTAACAAAGACTCTACATCACGTAGCACAAATGCTCACCAATGGACAGAAGTTTACGAAACTTGGTCACTGCTTCAAGTTGCACAGCTGCATCACTCGACCGCACACCCGCTACCATTTGTGGAAGCTCCGTCAGCTACAGCAGACACAAGAACAGTCAGTCAGTCAGTCTCTGTCCTCCTCCCTTTGTATTTGTATTTCAAAGTAGCAACTTTATACCCGTTGCAGTAACGTCAACTCTCCAGCAGTGTCCCCCGTAGCAGGAGTTGTTGTAGATCCATTATCTGCTGGTGTCTACACATACAATCATCATGAGTCTTGCTTTGTCTAGGCACTTAATTGGCAAACCTCAAGAAACTACAGTGTTTATCTATCTACTCTCTCATCATCATTAGGTTCACATAGTATAGCTATTCTATGTGTCGATGATAATTAGTATCGTCCTACCATACGACGACGTTGATTCATACGATCTTCCTTAATAGTCTTTCGGATCTGCACAGTTGTTTCCAAACGACTACGACGGGATTCATCGGCATCAATTCCCTTTTTGAATAAATTCTTACGCTCTGGTGCTTTTCCTGCGGGGAGTGACATGTTTATAATGCAAAAAGTTACGTTTCTCTCTCTTTCTCTTCCTTAACGAGGCTGAAGGATGAGGAAAAAGATGAAGAAGAAGAAGAAGAAGAAGAAGGAGGAGGTTGAGTTTCTTCCCTTTGTGTCTTTCCTCTCTTTTGTTTAAAGGCGCGGTACTGATCGCCAATAAAAAAATAAATGTAAACCACGCAAATCAAAGAAAAACAATTCTTTTTTTTTATTGCACGCGAGGTTTTTTCTACTTGTTATTAGAAAAACCTTTCTTTTTACATACATTCATTCATTCATTTAGAAATCAATGTAGCCATTTAACACCACAGACATCTTACAGGGCGGAACAAGTATCATGATTGAGTCAATATGTCGTCACACGGGTGTATAACCTCATCTTCTTTTCACATCAATGCTCGTGTATTCTATGTTCTTGTACATAGGATTAACAAGGTGCAACAAGTAATTCATGTGTATGTATGATCTGATACTGCAAGATGATTGTAGAATAGAACGAGGCCAACGAGCACGACTTGATCTACATCTCACTGTATTGCAACGTAAAGATCTTTACACGCCAAGAAGCTGCATGCACTACGTACGAACGATCTTATATAACAAGGCTATTTAAGGTGATACAGCACAAGGTAGAGATTCTGGCGAAAAGACAGGGTGAAAACTCAATATCTGTACAAACAGTGTGGTATTCCTGCTTGCCCGTGGAAGCGCTTATCGTGAACGGGTGTTTCAGGAGTCTTTACTTTTGAAGCACATTGTGAGAATAATGGATTGGTTTCCATCCATCTTTTTAACCAGTGAAGACCTTGTCACTTCAGAGCTCAGGGCAAAGTTTTGCTTGACCTTTGTTTCTGGACTTCCCTTTTTGGAAGCAGCTGTCGTGTCTACAGAAGGATCCTTGATAGAACAGAGGACAAGCATGTGTTTTTCAGAAGCACAATGAGCGTATATACCAAGGCGCTAACAACTTTTGTTGATGGCCACAAATCGTCCGATATGTTTCTTGCTTCATGCGAAGGATTAAAAAGTTTATGCCATAGTGACAGTGCATTAGCTGTATTGGGTAATGACGTGCTGAAAGATTTCGAGACTCGACTGAGGGAACTTGTGTTCCCTTTGCTACAGATTAGCGTGTACTCGATGGAGTGTGTGGTAGCTCTGCTGGAAGTTGCAGTTGGTGTGGTTCCCCTTGTCCAGTCGGTGGAACATGATCAGCCAACGGAACAGGAGCCGGCGCGAAGCGAATGGCTCGTGGCAGGTTTGCTGCACGTACTTTTTCACTGGGAATCGTTTGAAGACGACCTGGATGTGTCAATACTGTTTACACTACTGCGTCGATTTTGCGCATCTTCAAAAATTCGCAACTTCTTGTACGAGCACGTGGATTACGGCAAGTTGGTGGAAATCTTGGTTAGTTTTTCCCAAGATAGCAAATGGCGACGATGGCGCAAGTATGCGTTGAGCATGTTGAGATTGCTTGGGGAAGAGGGTGCGCTAGAACAGGCGAATCAGATAGGAATCTTAGGTCCCGAGCAGGCCTTGTCAAGTAGCTCACATTGTGACAGCACTACATGCGCTACTCGTTGCTTTCACTGCCGTCAAGTAGTATATACTCCTATGCAAGCCAATCTGTGCGTTGTGCCTTGCTCTTATTGCCAGAAGCCAGTTGCGGTCGCGTCCGATAGCCGCCCTTCGACAGCTGATCCCACACTTTTTTCTGTTTTGGACGATGGCAATGCTACCAACGATAGAGCCTTCTACAGACTTTCCTCTACTGAGGATCACAATTTTGTGTGCGTCAACTGCAACAACGTACTAGAACTTCCCGACGGTCTTAGCCCTTCGGAGATTGTGTGCCCCCATTGCCTTCAGCTTGCCTCTGTGAAGAAGACAAACCAATCTGGAGTTCCAGGGTTTAGCAGTGAGACGAAAAAATCGTCGGTGCGGTCAATGGAATCTGGAACAAGTCTGCGTAAGGATCCCTCACTATCTGGTATCAATGTCCGGGACACTAAAGTTGTGAGTTGTGGTCACTGCAACAAACACTTGATCGTGAAGAATGGCGCGTCTGCCGTCAAATGTCCGTCGTGTCATGGCGTGTCCAAGTTATCAACTACAACAAGTAAGTTGGCTGAAATATTTATGTGCTACTGACTATGTTCTAACGCAATCTGTTGTGTGTCTGTAACGTCGTTATCGTTGGCCCAAGAAATGATGCGATGCAAGAACTGTAATACTCTCCTAAGCCTGCCCGCGGGTGCCAGAGCGTACAAATGTATGAAGTGTCTGCAGACTACTCGACTATCGTAGCGTTAAGGAGCTGAAACAAACGTGTAGGTGCGAGTGGCAATGGTGTGGGACTTGCGGTAGATTTTTGTCCCAATTGTTAGTATTGATTGGCGTTGATATGGCGTCATATTCACCGAGTTGGCTCAGATTTTTGACGATAGACGTGTTTGCTGGACCGACAGAGAGTAAGATTTTGGTATATAATGTGTGTGGGTATCATTCATTCGTACTTGTTCAACCAACGCAAAGCTTACAGAACTTCTTCCTAAAACAATTGACTCGAAAGTAAAAGAACTTGTAAGGAATTTCGTCAGAGAACAAGTTGATGCGCAAAGCTTTGTTGTCACCTTGAACGTCTATTGCGGATGTCGACTGCCCTATAAGATCTACCAACAATTTAGAGGTACGTAAAACCTGCAACAGGCGTTATCTTATGACAGTAAAGCTAAGATGCCATTCGTACAATCGAAGCTGAACTATATTGGGGATACGACAAGCGCCATAATGGCGAAAGTTACAGCGTTCTCTCGTAAAACCATACGAGTGTTCATGGAATTATAGTAAAAGTCGGTGCGTATCCTACTACTACCGACTCTGCATTCACTTATTAACGCCATCGGCTGGTGGTAGTTGTACTTGTCCGAGCCCCGCTTATCTCGAATGACGGTTTAGAAACCAGCTTTTAAACCAGCAAATTCGACATTTATTGAGTCAGCAACTGTCGCAAATGCAATTGCTGGTTTCTGGTGTCCGATGGTGATATTACTTGCAGGTGCAATGTTTCAAAGAATACCACTGACTCACATTTGTTCCAGTACAGCTGATTTGGTTCAATCGTAATACCTTTAGCGTTAATACGTAAACACATTGGCACGTAAGAAGAGTCGTGGTACCTTAGTGGTGGAGAAGACATACAAATTATTGGTTAGAGTACCACGTCGAAATTGGTCTGGTTGGTACCGCTTCTGAGACACTCGACAAACTCTCCTCTTGTTTTCAGCTGCTGTCAATACGTTGTACATCTTCAAAAATGACGTTAACTCAACAAGTGGTCCCTTATCCAAAAACATCACTCCTTAACTTGCCATTCATCGAAATGACCACTACCAAAATCCAGATTCTTGTTTCCATGATTCCAGGTATCGGCGATGCCGTTCGTCAACGTCGCCAATGGCTTCATCCCTCGCAGTCACACTGTACCAGTCGTCCAAGCTCGGTATCGTCGACCTACCCATGCCTGTGGTTTGTCATTACAATGCCAGCAACAGCCAAGTAGGCGTCAATAATCGCTTTTGTGTGGCTTCCGTGACCGCGCAAAATTGCAGCATTTTTGGTTTTTATTTACCTTAGACACTTTTAAGATCATTTGTTGGGCCCAAGCAAATGATTTTAAATTTTGGTGTCTGAAGCACAATGGATTAAGACTCCAACAAGCGCTTAGCCCTTACGTCAAAAATATTAGATCGTCACCACATCGTAAGCTTGTCATTATGTGTAATTGAAGATATGTTTATTGCGTAATAAATACGTTACGCAGGCTGCGCGATAATTTTGATAATCGTGGCAGCTGACACTGTTGCAATCTCCTATGCGTCAGCTTTGTGTAGCTAGTACCATGTTTTTCTTGCCTCTCCAAGAAAACACCGAATGCGTACTTCTGACACACAATTAATATGTTTACTTAGCTACGCTGTGTTCACTAGGACGACTTGCTCTGTTTGCTGCCAATTCCAGACTGAGTATCTCTGTACCTACCTGCGCTTCGAGCAACCGTTCTACGCCTCTGTTCTTCAATATCTTGTCCCTCGTTATTCCAACTGCCAACTGCCACGAGCATATATAACACCAACTACTCGGTGGCATATGACAACAGACAGCCCCGTCCTCACGTCATGACTGGTCTCAATGAACACTGTCGAGCAACGTCAGCGGTTGAGCAGATGTAGGCGTTGAAGCATTCGACTGCAAAGAGACACACTAGCTTGTAATTACACACTAATATCATCGGCATAAAGGCTTCAGAGTTAATGACAGTAGTGCATATATTCGATCAATGCGTTTGAAAAGCCAACGGGCAAAACAATAAAAGTATACGCTAATGCATAGTAGAAAATAAATCTCACTGATATATCAACACTTTATGTACTCTCAACTTGCATCGTAAATGACTGACGTAACTGGCTTTCATTCCGTTATTGCTGTCTTATCATTTCGGTTGAGATCACTGAATTCCATCCACAACACTTCTATCGCGAATAGAAAACATCCAGGATCTGAAGAAGATAGACCACGTCCCCAGTGTCCGCGATAACGTCAAAGGTTGTTTTAATTTTTAAATTATTTTTTTATAAAAAAATTATCAATTTATAAAGAAAATGAAAACAGTAAAATAGAAAAAATACTTTTTCAAATTTATTTTTAAGAATAAAAAAAGGATGATTAAATAAATTCCAATAGTTGAAATTGAAGATTATCCAAAACCTAGCAATTATTTTTTAAAAAACAAAAACTAAAATATATTTTATTTTATTTTTTTAAGCTTTAAAATCTTGGTTTAAAATGTATAAAAACTTAAACTTTGTAGTTCGATTCCCGTTTTTTCCGTTAAATTCTGTTTTTAGCAAAAAAGACCACGTCCCCAGTGTCCGCGATAGCGTCAGAGGTTGTTTTAATTTTAAATTTTTTAAAAAAAAATATTAATTTATAAGGAAAATGAAAACAGTAAAATAGAAAAAATACTTTTTCAAATTTATTTTAAAAAATAAAAAGGATGATTAAAAAAAATCTCATAAGTTGAAATTGAAAATTCTCCAAAACCTAGCAATTATTTTTTAGAAAAACAAAAACGTTTAAAAAAAAGAAATAAAAGTCCAGCGTTAAAACAATGTCCTCAACGTAAAGGTATTTGTTTACGAAATTAAAAATGATAGTATGAGTACCGTTAAAAACTTTGAACTCGTCAAAAATACGAGTTCAAAGTTTTTAACGGTTTAAAAAAATCCATAATTTTAAAACTTAATTGAATTGTTCCTGAATGTACTCATACTATCATTTCTGTCGTGATATAGTAGATACGGTGTTGTGGTGAGCGATCAAGGCAGAGTGGCAAGAAAAACTAGAGTCATTCCATGGATCTTTCAGTGTGGGGCATATTCAGGGTGCAGTCTTCCTCTTTTTCGGAGGGGTCTGGCTATCAGTCGGTCTCCCCAAACATTACTTCTTCGTCGAAGAGGTTTGGCTATCAGTCGAGATCATCGATTGCTTGCTCTTTTTTGCAGGGGTGTCGCTATCAGTCCATCCCGCCGAACTCTTCTGCTTGTAGTCCATCATTCTATCAGAAATTTTTGCCGGTACCAATAATTGAATTATCTTCACGTGATCTACATTGGTTCTGTCCAGCGCGTAACTGAATTGTTTGCGAAAGTTTTGGGTAAGAGGCTGCATTTTGTTGAGATCTGCCTGCTGAAGCATGTCCACGAGATCTTTCATATTATAGAAAGTCTTCAATATCGACAAAGCAGTAAAGTTTTGATATGTGCCATTTTCTTCTTCAATGCCAGTTTTTTATCTCGTTCGCTTTATCTCGCTTGAATTTTTCTGCATATCTCAACCAGAAATTGAAACGAGGCTTTTCAAAAATATTGCCTTTGATCTGGTCAAGACCGAAAAGTATGAAAAGGTTAGTTGGAGACGTGTCTTTTCGATACCAAATTTTCATAAGCTCTTGTAGCACCTTCCGTGTAACTCCAGTATATGGATACTTTTGCCTAGTATATGCCATATCCACCAATTTGGGGTAGTTATACATCGAATCAAAAAGCACGACTTCCAGCTCAGTTTTTGTGTTATTGCAAAACCAGTTGATATAATCTATCCAGGTGTCTAGCTGCAGCACTAAAACACGAGCAGGGTCGATTTTGTCAAGCTCCAAAGAAACATAGACATCCGCTGGGCTCGATTCCTTTGTCATCCAGTCATTCCATAGGAAATCCAGATACTTTCTTATTTGATTGCTATCATAATTGTTACTAAACGTTTCAAAAAGCGTCGTTCGACTCTCCGGGTGTAATGCGTTGTAGTGTTGTATGTACTTAGACCATTGCGGGAAATCTAGGCTGGTCAGAAAAACTGTAATGTCTTTATATTCCTCCGTCAACTGCAATCTCTCAAGAACTTTGCCCGGTGTTGCGTCAGTAATCAGCCACTGCTCATATAATATATCGTCCAGTGCTAGAGCAGGGTCCACCTCCGCAGTTGCAGTGGTTATGTCTTTGTTGCGGACTTTTTCCAGTGTTCCAAAAATCGTGGTTTTATCGTTTGGGTGTTTTTGTTTGAACCATTGTAGGTAGTCAATCCAATATACAAGCAACGGGTCATTCAAAATTTCATCAACAGTTTTCGTATTTAGCATCAAAAAGTCCGTAAAAATCTTTTCAGGCGATATATCACCTGCCAGCCACCCACTTTGTTCTTCCATTGGTTTTGTTTCCCAACCAGTTTTCTGGATGTTTAAAGTTTCCATGATTTTCTCGAAACCGTTAATCCCAAAGCAATAGATAAGGGCATCGTAAAACACAGCTCCATCACTTCGGACACACTGTTCTTGAAGTTTCCCACATACGACTTCCAATGGTCCAAGTTTGGTTCGTGGACATACTTGTCGATCACATCGTAAAGATTCTTTATATTCAAATCCTCCTGTGATGGATGGTGTTTTGCAAGCAAGTTCTTGAGCTCAGCGCTTATTTTCAGGACGAGCGTGTCAAAATCAAAAGGAAGGGTAGTCCTCTCCTCTTCAATAGCTTGTGCAACTTCATGCTTACTATCCAAATTCAATGCGCTAGCGTTCGCTTCGAGCCCAGCAATAGTCTTCAGCTTGATTGTCTCCTGTGCAAGTTGGTGTGCCCTCAAGGACCTCGTCGTGCCAGCTGGAAATGGATCTGACCTGGATATTGTGTCCAGCGACCTTGCTTGTAAAGAAACACTCAGTCGACATGCGGTCATAGCAACGCACGTGGTTGCACAAAGAAGTCGCATGCTTTTAGCTTTGATGAATGAGGTTAAGCTCTTTGAATGGAGTTTAGAAAAGTGGAATTAAGTTTAAAAAAGCGGGGGGGATAAATTTCTGGATGTGCAAATCTGTTATGTCCTATATCCTGTAAAACCTTATGCGACATGATTTGGTATAATGACGAGCCAGCAGCAGAATTTCACTCTCTTTCAGCTTTTCTCGGGTTTTATACACTCAAAGAGGTTTGTGGTTTTTAATCTCAACCAACAAGAATTGCTAAAAAGGAGTGTCAGCGGTGTCCAGACGATCGGAACGGGCGCCATTTAGACGGAGGAGATGTTGCAGATGACAGATCAGGCATGTGCGCTATGAAACGATCTGTTTAAACTACTGCAGCAGGTTTTGCGCGAGCAAAGAGATAGAGACGTCAAAGCAGGGGGACGAAGGGTAGAGAGCGTTGGTTTGCTGCGATGATGACGCAATAATAGAGACCATTGCCTCGCTACTTTTGAACGCGATCATTGTGCTGTTGCTATATATCTGATACATTATTGTTGCTGCTCATTGAGCTCAAGATTTGATTACAATAACGCCGCTGTCATCACTTTTACATCATTTCAGACAAGGAATTCACAACGCGAAGCAAACGACCCTGACACCTCTCCAGCACTTTTCGATGATATTCAGCGATCGATGAAGCCCATCTGGTATAGCTCGCATAATGAGCCTACTACTTAATCTCTTGGTCTGCAGACAACGCGACAGGGATAGCAGACACGGTGGTTGTAGTTGGGATGAATACTTTCATCAAGCCGCATTTTTTAGTCCGTCAAGCTTTATCCCAAATACCAGGTAGCTGCGTTCGAGGCCAGCAACTGGTGCCTGATCTGCACATAGTGTTTCTTGCTATAGCAGGCTCACGGATGACTTGACTTGCAGTCAGTTTTGCAACAAACAGCACTTCTTGGCGGCCGTTTAGGCCGACTTCTTGCAGCGTCTTTTCAGCTGCTTCATCTCCAAAAAGGTGACGTGGATATGTAGCCGCCAGTTGAAATAGCTGCGCGTTCTCGCCCGTAAGTACCTTGACGATTTCAAACGCTTTGCAGCAAAGACAAGGGCAAGAACCGGCGCGTAGCCTGCTAGCCTGCTACTCAGGCAATCTGAGCACAAACACCAGTTCATGTTCTTCTGCAAAAGGTTCGGGCAACAAAGTCGCCATCTTGTTTGCTTTTCACTGCTCCTTTGCACTCTTGCGCCAGTGCTATAACGCATAGCCTCATTTCCATTCGCTTCTCAGCTTCCTTTCCTTCATCACAGCTTACATGGTATCACATCCACCCCAAGAATTGTGTTGATAAGGTTACCAGCTCGCTCGGTCTTCAGTTCCGATACAAGCACTTCCAACCGCCTCTTTGCGATGTCTGATGAACAGTACGTCACCCTCCGTCAGTGTTGTGCGCGTCTTGAGTGAGCGCTCAAGCACCATAATCGCCAAACCCTTTCCTCTCAGCTGCAGACTCGCAAACTTTACCTTCTCCAAGCGCACAAAGCGCACCTGAACGCTGTCTGGTAGCTCTTTTGTCCGTTTATATAGCAACGCGGCGACGATCGGTGGCAGCCACACCCTTCCTTCGTTCACCACAATCTCTAGTACTCCTGCGTGTGTCTGTCTTACCGTTAAGACCTGTCCATTTAGTCTTGCTGACTGATGTTCGAACGACAGCTCAAACGCGAACACACCGAGGTCTAGCGCGTTCTGTGGGTCAAGCTCCTTCAGCGCCGACACCGGCGATGGTGATCCATAGAGTTTGGAGTCAACACGACCCAGTGTGAAGGCCCTGACAATATTCAAGACGTCAAAGCTGTCAGGACTTTCTTCACAATGCAACTGTGAGTGCTGCGCAACTCTCATTATACTGACCGGGTAGACCGTTCCAATACGAGTTCATGATAAACCATCATCCAACACGTCAATTTATCTTATTGAACTGCGTATTGTGACGTATTTTCATTGTGCAGAGTCGTACAAAAGATGTGAAGACAAGATCAATTTCTGTGCATGCAACAGAGACTTTAAACCCTGTGCATCACTACGATGAGACAAAAATAAAGCAGCTTGCTCCTGTGACAACGTTTCTCCAACACCTTAATGAATTCGTCATGTTTCAAATATGCAATGTGCCAATGCTAATCATAGACAGAGGGTAGACCAAACCTTGTCACAATCAACATCACCCGAGCGCCGTAGCGTTCGTAAAAGTATCCACCAATAAGTGTGCCCGACGCTAGCGCCAACCATTTTGAACAGCACTCAACACATCCATGACAGTTCCCTCGCATCCACAAGGCGCTGCAGAAAATGCGTACTGTGTACAAGCTGCCCACGTCAGTCCAAATGTGATGCCGTGCAAGCACTCAGCGCGTACATAAGCTTGAGCTCCCATAGCAAGTGGCGATATTTACTTGATTGTTTTGGTAGCAAATGTCGTGACATCGTAAGATCTTTCTATTGTCTGAGGATATCGAGGCTGCACGAATAGACTGAAGTTGAAATCGACCTGCTAGCATTTGCATTAGGGGTGACAAGCCTTCGACATGGTTTTTCTTGATATTAAAATTAGGATGGAAATACGCCATGCTTTTTTCTATACTGACTTCCCCTCCCTCGTCCAATGTCAACCAACTACTGTTTATCAGAGATGACAGAGATGTTTCTTACTCTATTAGAATGGCAAATGTCAGACTGATGTGCATGATGACCCATGATGATCCGAGCTGAAGCGCATGAAGCAACAAATTATAGGCGACAGATCAAAGCGTTTCTGCAAGATCTTGATACCAAAAAGAAACTTTCTGGAGCGTCTGTATGTACTAGTTCGTACATTTAGAATTCTGCAACGTTTGCATCTGTTTGTTTGAATGCAGCACTATTAGCTACTAAGGCTACAAATCACACAAATGAACCTGTTTACATTGTCGATCACGGATATTTTGCTTATCATACAAATGGCAGCGCGTGTTGACGAGGCCCTAATGCTTGGGTTGTGCATTGCCACTCTGTTGTATATTGCATTACAATAGATACGAAAAGACCCATGCGTGTGCGCAAGAAGCTTAGACCTCTATATCTCTTAGGTAATGCAAGTGGCAACGTACGCGGTTCTTGCTGCTTTCACGGCTATTGAACATGTTGTATAATGAAAAAGATGAATAATTGCAGTTGAAGGAGGTTATATTGGGCAAATTAAATATTGCAATATTGCAGTTGAAGAATTATATGAGGCAAATGAGGTATTGCAATATTACATTTGCAGTGTACCCATCCCAGAATATTGCATTTATATTTGAATTTCCAAGTTGGCAATGTGGAAGCGGCCACTTCGCGACGTGGTGTTGCGCTGCCATGTGGGCAACTTGCGTTTATCCGGAGTAATGACGCGCCATGTAGTGGAAGAAGTGGCGCGGAGGTGGCAACTTCTACTATCTTCTGAAGGAACGAAGCTCTGGGGTGAGTATATGGCAGGTACAGCCATGCTCAGCTCGTTTTTTAAAGGTGAAGAACGCGTCAAGATGATGGTCAAGACGCCCAATATACAAGAGCTTTACGTAGAATCAATGGCTGTTGGAGAAGTACGAGGTAAAGCCGTCTATGTGGATCATTCTCTTGCTGGAGCACCGGAAACTGGAGGATTTATGCATGTCTCGAAGATTCTGTACGGAGCGGCGAAGCCGTACAATACATCGATTGAGGCATCTGGAGTGCCTGAACTGGACTGGCAAAGGTTCTTTGACGTGTCGGAGCAGGTCCCAACCATTGTGCGCATTGATAGCGAAGCTGACCATGATCATACTCGTATTTGTGGCTTTATCGTCCAGAAAATGCCCCCAACAGAAGCACATGAGCGCCAGTACGAGCTCGAGGAATTGGCGTTGAACAAGCTTCCATTCTTAGCTGCTGAGATGAAGAAAAACACAGACTTGCTAGAGTACTTGAACGAACTGATTCCAGGTGCTGATATTACCGATAAGAAGTGCAAGCGAGTGCCATTGGATTACTACTGCCGCTGCTCTAAGGACAACTATGCACAGCGTCTCAAGGATATGGGCATCACTGATCTGAAACAGATTGCTGCAGACGTCGGAAATGCTGGCGTCGAGCTCACTTGTCATTTTTGCAATGACGGACACCACTTTACTGCTGTCGATTTGGAATGTCTGATCCAATCGCTGTCCAAGTCTTAATAGGAAAGAACGAACCAAGTAGTTTATCGATACGGTTATAGAGAAATGAATATGACACAAGTCATCTATGTGTTCGTCTAGCCGTCTTGACCAAACTCCTGCGTCCATTTCACAAAGCGGTTGAGCTCATCGGGGGCGACTGTTGCTGTTGAATGCTCCAACACGCGTGTGAAATCACTCTGTAGTCATAGACAAGTTAGCCTTCTGTGCAGCAAGGCAAACACTGGAAAAAGAAATGCAAAGCGGCCCTTTACCATTGAAATCATCGGTGGCCTCAGCTTTTCATCAGAAAAGCCGCGCTCTGGCAGATCGTATAGCCGCATGCGTAGTGCCCCGCAACGTCGACACGGGGCCCTGCAGTCCGAGCATTTTGAGCGGCACGAAGAGAGCTTCATGTGGCAGTAAGCGCACGGCGGGTCGTCTTCGCATGGAGTCAAAAATGGACCATTCCGAGTTGGATGCGCCTTTGCATCGCACTGAAACGCAAGAACAGCAACTTGCGTCAAACAAATGCATCGGCAAAATTAGATGAATCAACATCATCCTTACTGGAGCAAAAAACTGCGCTTGCTGGCACTTTCGGAGAGGTTCCATTAGGGCATCTCGGACAAGCACCGAAATATCTGAACCTGAGCAACTAGAGTGACACGACATCGAAGTCAGCGCAAAATTGCATCATATCTATCCAGTTTCACGATAGTTGCTATCATACCCCTCCGTTTTCTCGGCGATTGCAGTGAAGTTTGCATCGCTCAATTCGTTTGGCGTATCGCCGAGGTGTATTCCCAGCATCACCTTCCGAGCGTCCACCTCAGGAAGAGGAATGTAAATGCGCTTTTCGAAGCTGTAAGCCCCACACAACGTCAGTCATTTGCAAGCTTTTCTTTATACAAACGAGGTACGAACCGTCTTCTCATTGCTGGATCAAGTTCCCATGGCACGTTCGTGGCTCCAAGTACCAGAACGCCATCATGGTCGTTGCCCACGCCTTGCATCTGCACAAGGAATTCATTTTTGATGCGGCGTGTTGATTCGCTTTCGCCCTCGGATCTGTTTGAACACAGCGAGTCGATTTCATCTATAAAAATAATAGCAGGCTTCTTTTCACGCGCCATCTCAAAGAGGTTCTTGACCAACCTAGTAAGTAAACAATATATATGACCATCAAGTCGGCAACTGGAAGCGTTATTGCTGAAATCAACATAATGTAACGTACTTCTCACTCTCGCCTTGCCACTTGGACACTAAGCTCGAGGACGAGACGGCGAAGAACGTGGCGTCTGCTTCCGTCGCGACGGCCTGGGCAAGGTAGGACTTACCCGTACCAGGAGGCTACAACAAACATCAACGTATAGATGTATACGTCTGTGAGCGCCAAAATAGTACTAAATTCAATATGAGTGCTCAAAAGACATACCCCATACAGCAGTATACCCTTCCAGGGACGTCGCTTTCCCGTAAAAAGCTGTGGGAATCGCGCCGGTAAGATCACAGCCTCTTTTAAAGCCTCCTTCGCAGCATCGAGTCCAGCAACATCGTTCCATTTCACATTAGGCTTTTCAGATACAACCGCCGCTGCATAACATCACCCAAACTTCATTAATTAGATAGCTATGAGAAAAAGCCTCATACATTGCTTCTTTATTTCATACTTACAGGCCAATGCACCTCGCAATTTAGCTGTTTCGACATCTGTCTCATCATCATTATCTTTTTCTCCTCTGTACATCACAAATCATATCAGTCTAGGGAGAATAGATCCATATATGATGGAGATACAGAGTATAAAACAACAACTCACTTGTCCATGTCAACTGCAGCTGCCACTGCCTTTGGTCCATTATCCTTTTCCAATATCCCCCGTAACTGCTCTGCACGTGTCATATATCCCTCTACACGCTTCATAATAATTTCCTTTGATGTAGTATTCTTTTCATCTTTGTGTACATCCACATCCAATAGTCACATACAGTAGCAGAGATATTTGACAACATGTTGCAGGATTCATGCTATACGTACATTTAACACCAATCATAAAATGCTCCAGTGCTTTCTTATACAGCCGAAAAGCCTCTTGATAGTTTTTACTATTGTCCTCATGAATCGCCTTTGTCACAATCTCAATTGCCTGTGGAATAAACTTATTCTCCATTGCAACGGCGTCTTGCCTTCCAATGCTTTATTATGACAGGACGATAAATCTGCCATGGTAATATGAACGATCATTCTACTGGTAGAAAAGATTTCAATTTATACCCAACCAAAATGATGTTGAAGACAGTGTCGGACAGTAAAATTTACCAGATACCGCAAGTGCACTTTCTACCCGCTTTTGGCTACACTGGAATTGACGGATGTGATTAGTAGACAGGGTGTATCCATCTTATCACTGATTGGCTGCAAATGGATGGAGCTACGCTTGACGGCTAATGGTTCAGAACCAAACCACACGCCAAAGACGTTATCCGACTTGTTCAACATGACCGACGTCTCACCAGTGACTAACCGCAAGCAGGTGGCTATCCTGGACTTTGGCTCACAGTACAGCCATCTGATTGCACGCCGTGTGCGCGAGCTACATGTTTTCTGTGAGCTCTACTCCTGCCTCGTTAGCGCCAACGAATTGCGTCAGCATCAGCTCACGGGCATCATCTTGTCAGGCGGTCCGCAGTCAGTCTTTGATGTAGGCGCACCCCACGTGGACTCGGAGGTGTGGAAGCTTATTGATGAGAAAAAGCTACCGGTGCTTGGTATTTGTTATGGTCTGCAAGAATTGGCCTTCACCAACAACGGCGAGGTGGCTTCCTCACAGCACCGTGAGTACGGGAAGGCTGTTGTCACCCGCAAGAGCGGCGTGGAATGCGGTGGTCTCTTTGAAGGCCTTCCAGATGAGTTTCAAGTGTGGATGAGCCACGGCGACAAGCTGCTCACCAACCCCGATGGATTTGTGGACATCGCCACGACTGAAAACTCGGAACACGCCGCCATCGTTAATGTGGCTCGCAAGTTTTACGGCATTCAGTTCCATCCCGAAGTGACTCATAGTCCTCTTGGCAAGGACATACTGCGCAACTTTGTGGTCAATATCTGTAACTCGCCTACAGACTGGGACATGCGCAGCATTGCGGACGCTTTTATTGAGGAGGTGCGCGAGACCGTGGGTCCTGATGGCCACGTGATTGGTGCTGTAAGCGGTGGAGTCGACTCGTCCGTCGCTGCTGTGCTACTGCAGCGCGCTTTGGGCGATCGCTTCCACGCTGTGCTTATTGACAACGGCCTTTTGCGAAAAGATGAGGCTATCGAGGTCGTTGAACGACTGCAGACCAAGTTGGGAATCAACCTTAAATGTATTGACGCGTCAGACCGTTTTCTGTCTGCTCTCAAGGGAGTTACGGAGCCTGAGTTGAAGCGTAAGACGATAGGCAACCTGTTCATTGATCTGTTCCAAGAGGAGGCTAAGCGCATCGGACATTCAGTGGACTTCCTGCTGCAGGGTACGCTGTACCCGGATGTAATTGAAAGCGTCTCCTATAAGGGCCCATCAGCCACGATCAAGACGCACCACAACGTTGGTGGACTTCCAGAGAAGATGCACCTGAAGCTTATTGAACCGCTTCGCGAGTTGTTTAAGGACGAAGTCCGTGAGCTTGGTATGGCTCTTGGCATCGATGAGCCTAGCGTGTGGCGACATCCATTCCCGGGACCAGGCCTTGCGATCCGTGTGCTTGGTGAGATTACACCCGAGGCACTGGACACTCTGCGTCACGCTGACTCAATCTTCATTGAGGAGCTGCGCAACAGTGGCCACTACAAGACAACGGGCCAGGCTTTTTGCGTCCTACTTCCGGTGAAGTCTGTGGGTGTTATGGGCGACGGCCGCACATACGAGAAGGTTGTTGCTATCCGTGCCGTCAGCACGTCAGATTACATGACGGCTGATTGGCACCACATGCCGTACGAAGTGCTTGGTCGCATGTCCAACCGCATCATTAACGAGGTGCGTGGTGTAAACCGCGTCGTGTACGACATTTCGTCAAAGCCGCCAGCGACCATAGAATGGGAGTAAGTGATCATGTGGAATCCTTGCTTTGTCATCGCTTCTTGCACCAAGTATTGCAACGTTATTAGGATAGATGCCGTAGATACATCAGTAACGCCAAGCTAATAGAGCAACGATACATGCATGTATAATAGAAAAGATCCAATGAAGTAACTTCGACCGGCACGCTGCCCGTTCATTGTTAGCAAAAGCATTCTTCGTACAGAAGCTAAAAAGCCTGTATCAAAACAATCAATATGAGCTTTATTACCCAAATTAAAAATTTAGGCACTTTTGACAAGTCGACCCCCGCGTTAAAGTAGTATACTAAACATTCCCTCTTTAGAATGACATTCAAGGAAGCATTTCAGTCATCTCTCTTCCAATTATGACAAAAGCCAAGCAGTTCGTCGAGTTCGGGTATGTTTTTAGCGTCAAAGTCTTTGTCTTGATTGACCCTACTTTCCTTTCATCTTCTGTAATCGTACATGGGTTGATGTATATCTGCTACAGAAAAAAAATTGTTGCAATTGGGAAGAACTATGAGGCCCATGCGCGCGAAATGGGTGCGACTTCGGCTCCGAAAGACCCCGTGCTCTTTCTTAAGCCTACTACTAGGTACAAATACCGCTTTGCATTGTAATACTTCAATGTATGGGGTTATACTATAACGCACATCATGTGATGGTAATGGAGCAGCTACGTACGCAATGGCAGTAGTATACTACTCCCTCCAGGAATTGGTGAAGTGCATCACGAAGTGGAGCTTGGTGTATGTTTCTTTTCGCTGTTTCTTAAAGTTTAGAAAGGAAATAATCAGAATAGTATGTGCAGGTGGTGATTGGCAAGCCAGGCAAAGATGTTGCCGAGAGTGACAGCATGGAATACGTCGCCGGCTACGTAAAACTTCCTAATTGTCGGTCTGTGAATTCTTGTGCAACTTGGACTTGAACTTGTTTTGTAAATGTTGTGTGTAATAGGCACTGGCAATCGACATGACGGCGCGAGATCTACAAGCCAAGGCAAAGAAGGAAGGGCTGCCGTGGACGCACGCAAAAGGACTTGACACGTTCACGCCGATCAGCGACTTTGTTCCCAAGTCAGCGGTATCGTCGCCCCACAATCTGAATATTTGGTTAAAAGTAGACGATGAAGTGCGCCAAAATGGCAATACGAGCGACATGGTACACAGCATTCCGTTTCTAATTTCTCACGTTAGTCGAATTATGACGCTGGAAGAAGGTGATTTGCTCATTACCGGCACGCCTGAAGGCGTCGGACCAGTCCCGCTTAACAGCGTAAGTCTGCTGCGCGTGATTCATTTTCTTGTATTTATACTGGCAACGTTCGCACTAAACCTTTATCTTGACTGATGTGCTGGGTATAGGTGCTTACAGCAGGTATCACGGGACTTATTGACATGCGCTTCCCCGTGGAGACGCGTGTGTACAAAGCTTAGACCACGCTTCAACTTTGCGTTGATCTTGGCATGAAATCGTCACCAACTAATCGTTTGCGTTCAAAACTCTTAAGCTTGTGGTAACAAGTTATCTAACGTGTCTGTATCATTGCTGCTGCTTCTTGCGCATAAAGCTATAATGCTGCATATTGCAAGATCGCATCACGTGACCGATTTGGTAGTAAGCTGCCGTATGAAAACACCAACACATCGCTGTCCCTAGTTGTTCGCCTTCTTCACGTATCTCTCCTTCCAACAACAAAGTGCAAGCAATCACGTCTAGCTCGCCACAGTCGTCAATTCAAATGCATTGTGCACTTTTGGCAAACGTAATATTTGAGATTATCTTGCTACTAAAGTTGAGTTTCATACGTGAAATTTGATATTTCATCTGGTAATAAAGTTGAGCTCGACAATACTCACGAATTCGTCCATTATGAAGAAGAAAGTAAGTCTTGTATCTGCGTGTTTAATGATCAAAAGACACTGTTAGAAGCTCATCAAAATAACCAGATATGTTGCAATTGTATCCTGATATCTTGTGTGTCCATTGCAGGTTTTGTTGATGGGCAAGTCTGGCTCTGGTAAGACTTCCATGCGATCCATTATCTTTGCCAACTATTTGGGTACGTAGAACGATCTTTTGACTACAATAGCAAGTCTGTTCTTACTATATCTGATGTAATATATGTAGCACGTGATACAATGCGTCTGGGACCTACGTGTACGCGACTATGGCCGAAGGGGATTGATATAAAGATACGAAGAGAGAGGAAATGACGGACTTGTGTGTTTATTATTTTTAGTGGACGTGGAGCATTCTCACGTGCGTTTTTTGGGTAATTTGGTGCTAAATCTGTGGGATTGCGGCGGGTACGCGACAGATAAATGCTCTATGCAGTTATTACTGTTCTGAAGCTAAAGCTGATGTGTATATGCAGCCAGGATGCTTTCTATGAAAACTATTTTGAAAGTCAGCGTGATCATATTTTCCGTAGCGTGGAGCTGTTGATTTACGTGTTTGATATTGAAAGCCGCGAAATCGACGTATGAAGAAAGACTAGACAAAGGTTAATGTTGTTTGGACTAGTGCTGATGTTTGTTCTGAGTTGTGGCTCGTTACAGAAAGATATGGCCCATTTTGATGGGTGCCTGGAGGCCATTGACCAGAACTCGAGCAATGCAAAGGTGTTTGTACTGATTCACAAGATGGATCTTGTGCCAGAAGACCAGCGGGAGCGTGTAAGTAGCTATATTGTCGTAGTTTGATAGGTAATGTGGACTGAGGGTGTGTATAGGTGTTTAATCAAAAAAAGGAAACGATTTTGGAGAGAACAGGCCAGCTTCCGACGGTGTGCTTTGGCACGTCCATCTGGGACGAAACGCTGTATCGTGCATGGTCATCGATCGTGTATTCGCTGATCCCAAACATGCAGGATCTAGAGAAGCACCTGAACAGCTTTTGCTTTATCTGCAGCGCTGACGAGGTGGTGCTGTTTGAGCGTGCGACGTTTCTTGTGATCTCACACGCTACTCACACAAACCATCGCGACATCCACCGCTTTGAGAAGATTAGCAACATTATCAAGCAGTTTAAGCTGAGCTGTAGCAAGACACAGGCACAGTTTCAGGGAATGGAGGTTCGTAACTCAAATTTTACGGCCTTCATCGATTTCTTCACCGCCAACACGTACATCATGATCATCATGTCCGACGATTCGATCCGTAAGTTTCAGTCTATTTGTATCGTTCCATCTATTTATTACGTGGATACTTATACGTTTATATCTTTTCATCAAATAGAACCGGCGACGATCCAACTTAATATTAAGGCGGCCCGCCCCGTGTTCGAGGAGCACGTACAGCAGACGAGCTAGAGCAGACACTACTCAGTCTTGTGGCAGCCATACTTGCCAATGTCACGCAGCAAGACATGCATGTTTCAGTCCTTGCCCGATCTAATATGAACAAGAAGCTTTTAGCGTGAATTTAAAGCATCTTTCTTTTTGTATCCACGTCAAAATCGGGTCAGCAGTTGTTGAGATCGAATCAACAACGTCAATCAAGTTACTGAGGTGGTGGTGATGGACTTGATGGTGAAACTGTTGTAGCCAGCATGTATCCTCTGCGTCTCAATGCACGTAAAATGACCGGCGTTACAGCAAATGTAAGAGCCCATCGAACGGGTGTCAGCACCTTGTAGAGCGTGTAAGCGATAAGGACGGATCCTGCCGAGTTGGTGGCCGCTGATGCCGAGACGCCTATTGAGTCTAAAATGGCTTGTACATCCACACCACTCGATGACACCACGTAAATGGTGGAGAAGGATAGTAGCGACAATACAATGTGTGTACAGATACCTACGCGTCCGTATACAATAGCAAACGTCTTGGCTCGTTGACGCCACGACAGTAGTTGAACTTTTTCCACCGGCTTCTTTATCTCCTTCTCTACATCATCGTCGATCTGTCAACAGTAATCACAGATTAGTAACACATACACACGAAAATACGTGACATTATCCATCAAAATCTGCAGTAAATCACGTCACGTAGACGTATTATCGCACCTTAATTGGCGACGTCGGTTCGTTTTCCGTAAGCGGTACTTTCTCCTTTCTTGGTTCTTGAAATTTTCTACTGCTTGAAAAAAAGGCGTACAATGCCATAGTTAGATCTAGGATGGATAGTAAACGGTGACGGGAAGCGAGATAGACGGCACGGCACAGTGGTAAGAGCTCCAGGAGGAGATCGACACAAGGATGAAGAGATAGCGACACAGTTGCTACTGATAGAAAGTGTCTGAATCCAATGATATCGTATACTTAATCTAAATCCCATACTCTGCTGTGCCGTGCCTGGATAAGCACAGAAATACCTCATGCCACCGCGTAACATCATATAGAAGAAAGACAGGAAAAGGTTGACTGTGTGTGTCCGTGTGGAATTGTCATGTTTAGTGTATCATACACCATCAATGAAGTGATGTACATCTACACAAAACATGACACTTTTGAATTCGAATGCAAGTAGCTCGTAGCATCATCATACGTCAGATCCCGCGTGGATCGCTCTCTCTCATTGCATCTTGTACACAATGTATGCCACTAACATTCATTTCATACTCAAGAAGTAGTAGTAATACTAGCAGTAGTAATAATCGTACAAATCATTCATACATGAAGCAACAAGAAGGTGACATGGCGCTGAAAACTTCAACACATGCGCAATTATTGCAAAATATTCAATCAAGTGATTCCATTGTCCAATCAAAATTGTCACAATTGATTCAAGAAGTAATTAAAATGAAAACTAAGTCTGGTGGTACGTCGTTCTTTATTTATATATTACAACCATTTGACTAAGAATTTGAAATAAAAAGAAGAGAGTGAGACGTCTTTCTTTTTTTTCAATGAAATTTGTATCATTTTCTATGTATATATGTGACTGTCTATGATTGCAGATTTTGTACCACAAATGGCTCTACAGAGTTTATGTAAAACATATCAAAATATGGACATTGAGCAAAAGAAACACTTTTTGCTTATTTTAGCACGAAATTTGCACATTGATACGGACTTGGTGAGTCAAGAGATATCAATTAGTTGTTATTGACTTTACTGCTACGTCGATTGACCAAGTGGTGCTTTGGTTTTTGGGTATTTTTTTGCTGAGCAGGTTCGACAATGTGCGGCACAATTTGAGCAGAATATGACCAACGTGAAGGATCCACGTAGTGGAATTGTGAATTGGGAACATGAAAATGTCGAGAGGTACTTGCGAACATTGCGCAACCTTCGAAATGCATTGTCACCGCTTTATGAGGTTTGAGAAATAATGGACAGACGACGGTGTGATGGTTCAAAATGATCTTCATGGAGCTGACAATGGTCTGGTCGTGTGGATGACGGTGTATAGACCTTTTTTCAGCAAATTCTGTCCCAACGAAAAAATGGCATGTTGTTTCTGGTACATATGCGTGCGGATCTATTGCAAGTTCTGCGGAAAAGTGCTGCCTATGCCGAGATCCCTGCCCTGCGCTCGCTGGATACAAGCTTGAAAGTGCGTGTTGAAAAGCTTGCTTTTGTTGTGTTCCTTTGCAAGCCTAATGATGGTCCAGTGCTTACCATCTGTCATTCATTTCGGTACAGCAATTCTTGGCGTCATGGTTTAGCGTTGGCTTTTTGAAGCTCGAACGTGTGACCTACGAACAATCGTCTGGACAGCTCTTGGAGAAGATCATTCGTTACGAGGCAGTGCACCCTGTGGGCACAATTTCTGAGCTCAAGAGACGCCTAGGTACGTGTGTGTGAAATCAGTATACAGGATGATAATTCAATATGTGATGCTCTAACGTATAAGCATGCTGTTTTGTATGTATTTTCAGGCAACGGGCGCCGTTGCTTCGCATTTTTTCACCCTAGGTATTTCTGCAACTAGCTTGCAATGACAGTGAAGCTTGGTCTTACAAGAATGCTTTCCTTTGTTGTAGTATTCCAGATGAACCGTTGGTGTTTGTGCATGTAGCTTTAATGCAACAGTTGGCGTCTAGCATGCAAGCTATTCGTGATGAAACTGAGCAGTTGATTGAAGCCTCTCAAACAAAAGCTGCAATCTTCTACTCCATCTCTTCAACGCAAAAAGGCCTTTCGGTACGTAAGACGCACTGTTTCAAGGCTTGACGTCGGACATCTTTCTGCTAAATAACCGTATCTGTCGATTTAAAATGGCTCCAGGGTGTGGATTTGGGCAACTTTCTCATCAAAGAAGTCGCCAAAGCTCTTAAGACAGAGCATGCCCATCTGGAAGTATTTGCAACATTGAGTCCGATGCCTCAATTTATGTCGTGGCTTCAAACCCAGCGGTATACAACTGATGAGGCGTTGGTTTCATTGCTGGAGTTGGACGTGCTAGTTGACGTGCTGAACGACCGTGGAAGTACTGTCCATTCGGAGTCCACCGCTGTGTCAATTATTTTGGACGCACTCTCAATCGAAGGTTGGAGCGAGGATCCAGACCTCGTTGCAGCGTTGAAGCCTATCATGCTGAAGCTTGGGGCGCACTACATCTATTGCAAAAAGAAACGCGGAAAAGCGCTTGATCCTGTCGCAAACTTTCATGTCCGAAATGGCGCAAGTTTCGAGCGCATTAATTGGCTGGCAGATTTGTCCAAGAAGGTGCGTGAGCCAGCCTAGATCATTTAGCAAGGCAGCTCTGACCAATGTGATGTCTTGTTTGTAGGGTATTGCTCAAAGTGCTGGAATGATGATCACGTACAAGTATGATCTGGCGCATGTGGAGACAAATAACGAAAGCTATTTGCTGCACAACATTATTCCCATTGGCCTTCAGCCGCAGCAAGTACTCGGAGCTCGCACGATGTAGTGGTATTTTACGTATGTTTCATTTACAGCAGAGACAATCAAACAAACAGGAACAGCAAGTCGCGCCAGTTCTTTTATATTTACTTGGTCATGATACTTCCCTTGATATCCACAGTAGTCAGGAACTCAAACCAAACTCGTGCTTCACTTGCTTCATGTTCGATACTTTTTGATGTTTGAGTCCACCGCAGAAATTGATCGCCGAGCAAAATGTTTGCTTGTTGCTTCATTGACAATGGTCAAAGCGCCTAGGCGGCATATATAAAGAGGCTGTTGCGGATGGATACAGCAACTTCACTAAATGACGGGTGCCAACTAGTCTGCAAGATTTTCTTTGAGAAATCCAATGCATCAGGATCACCTGGAGCGGGTAAGGCGGCAATCTGCTGCGCAAGGCCTCGCTGGGGCATGGAGTGGCGCCGACTCACCCGCGCAGTACGCGGCGTGATGGAAATGTTAGAGCGCCCGTAGCGGTCATAAATATGGAACTCGCTGTTGTACGAGCCCGTGATAAAGTTGTAACCGTCACCGCTAACCGCACACTCGAATTTATCAAAGATACAGTCGCTCTCATACAGATCGCCCAAACGTGGACGCAGGTGCTCATGAATCTGTTCGTTATCGAAAGTCAGCACTTCATTCCACCTGCCTTCAATCGTAAGTACATCTATTGCTAATGCAAACAGTAAAATGCTTACATTGATTGTTTGAACTGGACGCGAATTCATATTAATGTCCCAGACCTTCAGTGTAAGGAAATCGCGCGCGATAATGTAGCGACCATCGGGAGAAAACTTGATATCTGAAATGGACGCAATAATCTCAGAAAAAAAGCTTCGTGTTTCAGGGTCTTCCTGTTCTTCAAACACTGTATTTGCGTTGAAAGAAACACCACACATCACTATTTGCTTTCTAAACTCACGAAGTGCACAAAAAATAAAAGAAAACAAGTAACCCCGCTTACCTTGAGAGTATGAGTCGCACAATGCAGCCTGCCGCATATCCCCTAGCTTGATGGCACCACGACTAGTGCTATACATCATTGTGTTGCATTGTGTTGGATGGAAATCCGCGGCTGTGATGACCTCAGTCAGTTCCTCCATGTTTGCTGGCTTGATGTCCACGATATCTACACAAAAGTGCTGTTATTAAGTGGTATCTACCATTGAATATCGTATCGACTATCAAATATCCCAACACTTACTGAAACTTTGATTTGAAATGCCAAGGCTCCACAAATTCACGCGAAGGTCGTCTGCGGACATAAATGTCTCACCGTCGCTGTTGATAGCGATTGAGTTAATGTGGTACGTGTGCGCATTAGCATAGATCTTCTTGGCAGTAGATGTCGTTACTTGGCCACGAATATGGGCCTGTGGCAGTCGAATGAGCTCTGGCGTTATTTGTTCCCGTGGCACGTGGGCAAGTTCCTGTCCATTGTACGTCGTGACTTCACGAATTCTACGCTCATGTACTTTCCACAGTTTGATGGTCTTGTCATTTGTGGACAATAGACACTGCGACCCATTAGATGATCGGCACCACTTGATTTGATTAATTTTTTCTTCAATTTCCAGACTCTTTAGATAATCAAATTCGGCATTGTGGCTCTGATACTCAGTATACAGCTGATATCGCGGGTCATTTGTTCCACTATACACGTGTTGATTCTAAATTGTCCACGCCATCATTCATTACAAACGACACGATATTAAAACTTCGTATACTGATTTGATGATGATCAGTACTAGGTACTACTAGTACACAATACGTAATGTAACTTACCGATACTGGATTTCCATGGCGACAATAGATGGCAATTCGTCCACCTTTATTTCCTGTAGCTATAAAATCTCCTGATCGATCGTATTCAATGGCAGAAATCACTTCCGCTACAAAATCAACGAAACAGGATCATAAAAAAGCATCAAAGAAGTTGTGAAATTCAAGGTCACCTCATCACTGAACTAGGAGCTGAAAGATCCATGGGATGGAGAAAAGAAGAACAAACCTTCGACAAAACTTCGCGTACTATCTCCAGCTGAAAAGATCTGACCCCATTCGGCTTCAGCTTCACGTGTTGGTTCAATCATATCCACTTCTAACACGTCATTGCTATACTTTTGTCGAGATAATGCACCGACAGGTGTCTCGTATCCAATTTCCTCTTGTAAATTGCTTTGCGTCATCATGTCCACAGAAGAAGAAGAAGAAGAAAGAGACAGACAGAGCGAGAAAGAGAGAAGTTGCTTGGCTTGTTTGTTTGTTACTTGATCTCCACTGTACGACAATTGGATCCAAAAGGACTGAGCCAATTGACGTCTCTGACGGTCACTTTGATCTGCTTTCTTACTGGATTAATTTCAACTCTTTGCTGAGAATTTCTTTAACTTGTTTTCTAGGGCCGCGGGGGGGTTTCAACTAACTGATAAACAGACGGACGGACGGACGACTGCTTGGAAGAAATGGAATGCTGCAAATTACGAGGAGCAAGGTGAGATCAGGATGTTTACTACAAATCCACAGCCACAAGAGAGAGAGAGGTCGAGACAATTGAGATCGATAGACACCGACACAATGTGATTGTATGAGTTACTGTCACTCTCTCTTTAGTGATGTAGTAATCAATAGACGTTCAAACCCATTGCGATCTTCAATCGTCAGTTGTTCCATGGATTGGTTTTTAACCAGTAAGAAGTAGTAAAAGGATTCTAAAAAGTGCGTCTTTTCCACCAATCCAAAGCAACAAGTAAAAACACAATGACATTGTACCAAAACAAGGTGTAGTCAATTACTATAACACGATACCATATTTGCAATTCAGTGTAATAATCCAAATGTCAGTAAATCCAGGTAGCTAAACCTTATTACACATCGTCAAGAGATCGACGACATTCCAAGGAAACACCCACTGATTTCACCCATTTTACCCCACATCGAGACGAACTAAATAACCCAAAACGGGTTCATCACGTACGACTAGAGACCATTAAATAGTGCTACTTCCATGCAACAACAACATCATCATACAACAACAACAACAACAACTGCATCATCCCATCATCATCATCTCTATCTTCTAATGATGATACAGACGATCACATGTCCATAGATTGTCATCAAACGAAACGTCCAAAGAGATCCAGTCCCATCTTATCTCAATTCGCAAGTCTCGATGCATTATTGAATGAAGAATTCATGGAGAAACAAAAGCGTATGACGCGTGAATTCAAGTTGCAACAATTGCGTAAAGAGAGTGAAACGGCCGGACCGAAAGACACGACGTCATGTGTAGCTACTGGCACTACATTAATGGGAAACGTAATGACAAAGATGGCAACTAATCTCTCGACACTCTCGGAAGAGAAGTATTTGTTTTCTACTGGTGTTTCCATGAAGAAGAAGATGAAGGAGAAATTTGGTTATGTGTTTACGTCAATGCGTGAGGTTGTAGTAGCCGTTGGAGAGACTTGGGAATGGATTTGAGAATGGGTTTGATTCACTCATTGAGATCTGTATTTCTTCTCGTGTGTTGTTGTTGTTGTGTGATCATGTAGCCACTTGGATATCGTACATACAAGGCAACAGAGACAGAGTTACAGAGTGATTTAAAACTTGTGTATGAAACAATGCAATCGACTGATACAATTGAGCTAAGTGGACTCTTATGGTCAAAAGCTATTCTTCTTCGGTGTATTCTCAACTGGCAACAAAATGGATCGATTCGGGCTATGGAGTCTGGTACGACATTACAAATGAACTTACCTTTGAAGATTGGATCGTGGTTATTTATGACAAGTACGTCACGTGTGATGGATGTCTTGCGGGTGTAAATAGTAGGATGGAGATACGATTATTGATTATCATGGCTGGCACTTTGTGATGCACTGATGATGATGTTTTTTTTGTTTATACAGTGTCTACTCATAGCGATAGCCACGTGGTTGCAGGCTGTTATAGCAATTTGTTTCTCGTCCAGAGCTCGACTGTGAAATCATTTATCCCAACATTAAGCTCAGGACTTCCTGTGGCGTGCTTCTCCCATCCGATCGAAGATTATCGCTCAGCGTTTGGTACCCAGGCCCCTTCGATCGAAATGGAATGGAAGCCATCCATTTACGACTTTCTCAATGCCTTTCGTGCCTATGGCTTTCAGGACAGCAAACGATCAATGAGTGTGAAAAGCAAGATTTCAGTGACACCACCGTCGACAAAGAAATCTCGCGTGCTGCCGTTTCCGACGCTTAACATGCACTATGTGCTGATGTATTTGGTGCTTTGTTTGCGTACAAGGACGCTGACGTTGGAGGGCTACGATGCGTTCAGTTTTACCATGTTCTTCTTGCGGATGCAGTTTGAGAACAACATACATGCTAGTATTGTAGACATGGCTACCATCTGTATTGAAGAGCTTCTAGATGTGTTTCCACGCGCGGAATGGCGAAGGGAATGGGCGCCGCAGCTTGTTCTACGGATTGCTGGGGCAAGTGAAGGCTTATTTGATTCGGCAGCGGGCTGGCTTGCCGTTGCCCGTCGACTTCCGCGCACGCTGCGTGGCACACAACTCACAACAGGACTAGCAATCTATGTCTTGCAACACCGCATCGACAAAAAAACAAAAGAAGGGGTACGTCGATCGAGCTGTGCTCAAACCTCTCAACCTTACTAACAGAAGATACTATCGATGTGGTTGTGATGTGTAGGCTATTTCTGAGAGGCCTTTGAAGTTTCCAATCCAGAGCGGCCTTGTCGTGGACATTGTCGCTGGCATTGTGGAAGACTTGACATTCAAGTATGCGAAGACACGCAAAACAGGCAAGGCATCAAAAACTACACCGCCGTTTGATCTATTGTGTAAAAAGGTGGCGTTGATGGACCTAGCACTGCAAGCGTTCCTTAACATTCTCACTCCGAAAGAGATGCAAATTATGCTTAGCAAACTGGACCAGCTGGCTGACACACATAAATCGACTATGTCAGCAAAATGGCATGAGCTTAAGACACTTGTACGACTCATGCACCGCAAGTACTCGCCTGAAAATTTATGCATTGGCCGAAAAAAGAAACGTGCATTTTTGTCTGCAAAAACTGTGCTGTTTTGTGACGATGATGACGAGGCGCACCGTGAAGAAACGCGAGGTTAACTGGCACAAAAAAATGATCGTTAATATAATTGAAAACAACACAAGGTTGCGAAAAGCCTTGGCCACAAGAAGGCAGAACGTATCCATCCCAATGTGGTGCATATCCAATCTTACCATTGTTGCTCTTGAAGCAGCGCCGCATACTGTTTCTGCAATTTGACTTCAACCAGCTGTTGCGAGTTCACGTCATTCGCCAGCCGTGTCATGCGACTTTGCAAAGCCCGGGTCTCAAGACTTGACAAATTCTCAAAGCACGCCTGTTCAATCGCAGCATTTTGAAGCTCTGTCACGTGGTCATGCAGCGTCTCCAGGCCTTGCTTCAAGCGGCGGTACAATCCACCGTTTACGATTTGCGCACGTTCATTGAGCTTCTGCGCGCGTTTGGTAAGGAGTTGCTCAGTTTCCTTTAGCTCTGCAAAACAAGCTTGCACGGCACGCAACTTGTCGTCAGTGGATGAAGCAAACTGAAAAAATACGCCGCTTGTTCCATCACCCTCCGCTTTGCTCAAATAACGCGCTTGCACTTCTGTCCACTCCGCACTTAGATTTAAAGCATCTTTGGGCTTCCACATCTCGTCCATGCCACATAGACTGGCTTCAATCTGTACCATTTGCCGCGCACGTTCCATTTCAGCATCCGAGAGTTGCTGCAGGTGCGGCACTGCACCAGCGCTGGAGGATGTTTTGCGCTTCTTGCTTTTCTTGGACTTGCCATCGTCCACTGGATATTTGGTAACATCATGTTCTAGCATGCGGTACATTTCATCCGCGACCTCGCTCACCGCGCTGTGAATCAACACCTTTTTCACCTTCGAAGGACGAGGAAGACTCTTTTGCACAGCTGTGGACCGTCGCTTGAGTTCGCGCTCTCGATCCAGCTCGCGCTGCTGTTGCTCGCGAGCTTCTTGCTCTCCAGCATCCTCCTCCCGAAGAGCAGTGGCACGATCGTCATCAGCTTCCTCTTTCTCCGGAACATTGATCTCGTACTCATTTTGTGGCGCGGGCAAGCTATTTAAACTTTGACGAAGGCTGCTGGCCAACCGCTTCGTTCGAGCTTTTTCTGCACTGGCGTTCTCAGCTTCTGTGCCATACAGATGCTCCGGATTGATACCTAGCTCGTCACGCAGAGGCGTACGCGTCGCAGACATCGATGTTTTGGCACTCGCACCACTAGCAACAGCTGACGAGGGTGTACGTGACGGAGTCGCCCCAGCATAACCCGTTCCCTCGTATAGCTCGACGTTTTCACCACCTAGAAGAGGAGTAGCACTGTTCCGCATGGCTAGCAGGTTTGCCGTTTCCTGCATAATATTGTCGTGCACGTCTCGAATTAACGGTGTAGCCGTTGCGTCTCCTCGAGTGACAGAACGAAGCGGGGTGGCACTGTAGTCACCCATGAGAGCACGCGTCTCGGAGGCCGAGCCATTTTCTAGCGCGAGCGCAGCCGCATGGGTAGCATGCATGCCTAGTTTTGCGAGATCACTTAACTCGTCGTTGGAAATCACAGGAGCAGGGAGTTCTAGCGGAGTGCGTTTAATGGCATGAATTGGATCGTTTTTCTCATTCACTGCCGCAATGATCTGGGGTAGATTGGACTTCATGAGTGTTTTTTGTCTCTTTGCATCCTGTGCGCGCTCTTTTTTCTCTTGCGTATCACGTCTTACACCTTCAAGCTGATCCAATTGCAGAATTGCACGTTTCGGGTCAATACCTTTGCTCGCCATGCGTTTTTCCTTGGACACATCATAAAATCCCGCTGGTGCTTTTTTTCTCAAACGGAATTTCATTCGCATAGTCAATGTATTTCCGTTTTTTCACGTGTATTTTCGGATTGGACGACATGATTCCAGCTGCTTTCAGTTCTCTTTTTTTCTGTAATGCTGCAAGTCGTCGTGCTTCTTCCAATTGTTTTTCACGTGCTTTTCGTTTAGCTTTTTTTCCCTTGGTATTTGCTAATCGAGCTCTTGCTTCCGATAACATTTCTTTCTCATCTTCATCCATATCAACGGGATCAGGTCGTGCTGGTTTATTTTCTGGATTTGGATCAATTTCACCAGGTCGTAATCGTCTTGGATCGTCCTGGATATCACTACCACCACACCACCACCACCGCTACCTTCTTTCTGCTGTGCTGCATCTAATAATCGTTCATAGTGTTCCATACATTGAGCAGCTGTCCGACCGACAATTGGTGCAATAGTACGCCATTGAGAAGGCATTAATTTCACTAAATGTAGTAATTTCTCCTCTTCTTCACGACTCCATTCCGTCTTTTTAATACTTGGATCTAACCATTCATACCATCGTGCTTTGCATTGTTTGGCGGATTTACGTGATAATAAGGACGCAACACGTGCCCATTGATTCATACCATACTTCATGACAGCTGCTTTCAAGATCTCATCCTCTGTATTCTTCCATACACCACCTTTAATGATAATTCGCATGATTGATTCTTAGTAGATTTAAAGCGCGCAAAAATACGAATTAATGGGGTAAAATGTTCCTATAAAAATAAATAAGAGCCATGGATTTATTATTAATGTAATGTACATGAATTCATGTCCAACTTCATGTGTCACGACAATTTTGTCACCTCATATCGTTACTTCATATCATGGAAGAGCCACGCCATGGACGATATGAGCTCTTACAGACGCAATTAGAGGTCATTGAGCGCAATGGACGTGTATTAGAAGCGATAATAGAAAAGATGATTGCAATAAGAATGAAACAAGAGACGTTTCTGCATGAATTTGCCAAGAGTATGAATGATCTTGCAATACATGAAGATTGTGTGTCCTTAGCAAAGTGTCTTGGGGAATTGAGTGAATGTGGACAAAAGATGGAGAATGATTGTCATGATATTATGATCGAAAGACCAGAGATGGAGATAGTACAGATATGGACACAGATTCAGGAATGGGGTATTGGACCAATGAAAGTAAGTCAAGAGAGAGAGAGAAGAGAGAAAGAGAGAGAGAGAGAGAAGAGAGGACTGAATTGGTTTTGTAATGGATTGTAGAAATTAGTAGAAGATGGAGAAAAGGTGATGAAGATTGAAGCAAAATTGCAGAAAGAATACAATGAACTAAAGGTTCGTGTGTGTGTGTGTGAGAGTGAGAGTGAGAGAGAGAGAGAGAGTGAGAGCTAGGACTTGATTGTGACAAGAGTGCAAGTGTTTTGTTCCCATTAAGTTGTTGTTTCTATCTTTCTGTCAATTTATGTAGCAAGGAAGTTCGGTAAAGGAGAAAGATAAAAAGCTACGCATGCTATTGGATCAAAAACGTCGCGTTGATAATGTCCATGCATTGCTTGAGACACACATGGAAAACTTTGATCGCTATCGCATTGACAAAATGAAGGTGCAGTGGGGAATCTAAAGTACTTTTGACATGCTTTGTATTGTACAAAATGTACTAACTGTGAAATTTCTGTAGAAAATTGTCACCGAGTTAGCTCGCTCACAGGCTTTTTATCATGCAAAAGGACTCGAACTCTTTGCAGTGCCGTGTCAAGCAATTGCAACGCTCGATATCACCGAGATGAAAGGAACGACACAAGTTGCTTCTGCTGATGCTAGTTAATGCACCCTTCAAAACTCGGTCAGCTCATTCAGCATTTCCAGTGTCTACTTGCTGTGCCATGCTACACACAGCGTCATTTATTTGGTTCCTTCAAGCTATAACACAGCAGATGTGCGGCCTCGTTTTCGCTCCTTCTTCCGTTTGATATTACCAAGCTTAGCCATGCTTTCCTGCAGTTTTCGCCAGAATGAACCCTTTTCGCGTGGCGTGCGTCGTGGACTATCAGCGCCGATACCAAATTGCTGGCGCCGTGAAATTCCTGGTGACGCCGTCCAGCTTTGTGGAGAGTAGCAATAGTCTTCCAACAATTTGTCGTTGTAATAACAACGTTTCTACATCGCACAAGTTTGATCCGATTAGTCATGGCGACTCTAGCTGCAAACAGCAACACATGGACAATATCACCAACCTCTTCAAACTTCTCATAGACCAAATGTACAGGCATGTCCAAGTAATTCGCCAGACCAAGCTGTAAGCTTTCAAGGTAGCAGACGTAAGAACAAGATCGTGAGTTAGCCTGCAGCAATGTTGCGACTTTATCTTGTGCTTGTCTAACACTGTAATAGTGATACCTCATTTGTACTGGCTGAAGAGATATTCGTCGTCGAGAAAACATTGGAGTCGCTTGTGACACAAACGATACCCCGTGTTCCGACTAGATGCATAACAAAGACCGCATGTGTTCGCTTAAAACACTGTTTATATGCTTAGGAGTACATGCATGACCGTTGCTAATTAAGCGTACCTGTGGCAGCTGTGAGAATTTCACCGAGTGCTCATACATGTGTCGATAGACTGCGTCACCCAGAGATTCCAGCTCACTACCGCGTTCTTTAGAAAGATGTACTCTGTCGATGAACGACGTCCACTGTCGTGTAACAAATAGTCAAACAAAAATTACGTCAAACATACGTCAAAGCAGTCCAGACAGCAATCATCATCCATCCACAGAAGACCTACCTCCGCAAGAGTTTCCTCTGCTGTGTATTTGTATATGAAAGGATGCTGAAGCAGTGCGTCTGCCGATGGTCGTTCGTCTGGGTCCAGTGTAAGGCACTACAAATGAACAAGCAGTCAGCAGTCATTGCTTCTTAAAAGCGCTTACGAGTCGCAACAATCACAAACCTGGTCGACGAACGAACAGCAGTCTTCAGAATACATATCGACAGGCATCTTGAGGCATTGCTTATTTGCAACCTGGAATACATGTCAGACGTAAGTGCCAAGCAAAGCATTAATAGCAACAGACGCAAACTCACGGAATCAACCAGACCGAAAAAACCATCCTGCGTTGGAAGAGGATAGCGTCCCAAGGCAACAGATATCATGGCAAGTCCGAAGGACCAGACATCAGCTACGAAATAAAAAACAGTCGGTTATCCTGTTTCCTGAACGGAAATTATACACGAACGCAAACACAAACTGACTTACATGGATACGAGTAAGCGCCGCCACCTATTCGTTCAGGAGCCATGTACAGAAGAGTACCCACAAATGTCTTCGTAGTGGTAGAAGTGTCATTCAAAGTGCGTGCTAAGCCGAAATCCGAAATTTTGACATCGCCTTGTCGATTCGTGAGCAAGTTATGTGGCTTGATATCGCGATGTACCATTCGCTTCTTATGGATATGAGATAAGCCGTGCAATACACCTGTTGCTAGTCGTGCTAAAACCCTTTCATTTTGGCATCCACCGCGCAAGACAATATCCTGTAGCGATCCTGTACTCATGTACTCCATGACCATGCAAATGGAGTTCTTGGGACGATCGACAAATGCATCATAAAAGGACACAATGTAAGGACTGGGTCTGCACACAACAAGCAAAATAACATTTAGTTTTTCCAGCCAATCGATGAAACATAACCAAAGGACGTTTGTTTGTTGTATCGTAGCGTACTTTGCTGTGGGTTTACCAGTGCTTTTTCGAGTTGGAAGGTGTTTTTTTTGAGGCATTGGGCTGTCGTTGTTCGCCATTGGCACAAGATTCGAATACAGCGCATGGAGCTCGCGAACCATCTGTCGCCGCTGACCGCGGCCGTAAACGGGTACATCCTTTACCACGTAGGACAAACATTACCAAGTGAGCAAAAAACCATCGATATGACCCCAGAACAATGTAATTTGCTGACCTTGACGGCAACTACTTTCAGCGTTGGTATATGTATAGCCTTATAAACCACACCAGAAGCCCCTCGACCAACCTCCTGCACGCGCTCAAGGTTTTCTTGCAGGTGCAGACATGCAGCGTCGGGTGATGAAATACCTGCTTCTGATACTGCAACGCTTTTAGTGGTAAACATGCCGTGATTAGGAGAATAAGCACTGCCTGTGCTATGCCGCTCGCTGTCTATACAATCCAAACCAGATTATTACAATGCCAGAGTTAGCGCCAGCTGCCGAAAGCCAAAAATCTTTAACCGCACCGTTTGGAGACTGAAGTCCTGAATCTGAATCTGAACTAAAGCTCAATTTCATCATCGCCTGTTGTGCGGCACTAGGGCCACTTGCTGGGGTACTCAACCCCGATGAAGCCGCAGCTGCAATCATCGCCACCTCCATTGCATCTCGTTTAGCAATAAGTCGAGTTGCAGCTCGCTGGGCCCTCTCTTCTGCTTGTTGAGGTGTAGGCATATCTTCCAGTTTGAGCCGTAGCTGAGGACGCTTTCTAGCGCAATTACTTGCTACCACCTTCTTTGCTGACTCGACTGCTTTCCACAGCGGTGCACGACTGCGCGGAGTGGATACTGGAGGCGGCGTTCCTACCACTACCGACCACTCTGTTGATTGTGGAAGAGCTAATGGCTGCGGTTCTTTATCTTCAAGAAATAACTGCTTCGTCAGCAATTCAATTTCACTGTCCAGTTCCTTCGTAGCGCTACCCATGGTTTCCACCTCATCACCAAAATCCGTCGGATGACAACATTCATTTTCACTATCTGTTGTTGGTACTGAAGCTGAAACATCCTCTTGTGCATGAGGAGATGATAATGTCTCTGAAACACTCGGCATTTTGTCCTCAGCAACTGGTGGTAACAACACTTCATTCTCTTGTGTATGTTGCAACAACACTGAAGTTGTCTCACGGTCTTCCAGGATCGGATACTCTCGATTCATCCATGGACATTTCCATGATTTCACCTCTGCAATCCGTAGCTCACGTGGACAAATATCTGGAAAGATACGAGCAATTACTTTATCATCAGCCTATTGGAAAAAAACAAGCAACAACAAGCAACAACAAGCTCATGAGTTCCAACTGACGACACGCTCTTGCATGCTCTTTTCTTTTCAATACCTGTTTTGTCACATTTGGTGCTGATTGCGGTCTTTTCATCATTGTATACTTTTCTATCCAAATGGTGGTCGTATGATGAACTGCATCACCTGTTTGTAATACAGCAGCACGAGTTGTCGTATCGATAAAGGAGCTATGAAGCTCTACAACTGTCTTGTTCCCAACCTCTTGATCTCGTTTTTCTTTCATATTTGTCCATGTTAATTGCTCATTATGTGCGCTTTCGACACGTCCACGCTTACGAAATTGCTCCATAAGTGTTTGCCGTGAAATCTCTTCAATTGAACCGTCTAATAGATCACAACGATGACTCGTTGTGGAAGTAAGAGATGATAGTAGAATCGATGGATCAATGCGAGATGCAAATGTTTCTCGATCTCCAACAGGTTTCGACACGTGTCGATTCGTCTGATGCTGCTGCGTGATGATGATGATGATGATTACTACCCTCTTCTGGCATTGCCGCTCTCTTTACTTGGGCATGAAATAGACAGGATGTCAATGTATGAATGTATGTAGAGGCAGGCGTTTGTCTTCCCTTTGATATTGCAAAACGACTTGAGAAGAATGATGATATACAGATAGAGAGCATTTTGTACGCTTTGATTGTCTGTAAGAACTCATGTTTTTGTGATCGTACAGAAATCGATTCGTTATCGTACATTTTTGAAAAGTATGATTGCAAAATCATTCTTATTGTACACTATGATAACGACCTATAGAATGCATTTGTTACACAGAAAGTAGGTCAATGACAATGATTACTTCAACGTGTACCTCATTGGTCAATATAAAGCAACCTTATTCAGGTATGACGATGTAAAATACCGCCTTTTGTCATCAGCATTTCTACCAATCAGAAAAACGAAAGAGATCATGAGAACTCCTCGCAACGTCGTGGTGCTTGGTGGCGGCATCTCTGGCCTCACTCTAGCCTACTTCCTGCGCCAAGCACTGCCTAAATCGGTGGCTAATACGACACGAATTTGTGTGCTCGAAGCCGACACAATTGTAGGCGGATGGGTGCGTACAGCCAAGCGCGAGGGTTTTCTGTTTGAAGAGGGACCACGAGGCTTTCGACCGTCCCGCAATGGCGCTGAGATGCTGCGATTGGTGGAACAGCTTGAGCTTCATGATGAAATGCAAGCAGTGGACCCATCGGCTCATGCACGCTATATTTTACGCAATGGAAAGGTGGAGAAGCTGCCAAGTTCGCTGCTGGAAGCTCTGCGATGGCCATTGTCGCTTGCAGTAGCACGCGCAGCATTGCGCGAGCTGTTTGTAAAGCCTCAAGTGATCATGGACGAGTCAGTGTATGCATTTATGGCCAGAAGATTCAGTCCCTTAGTAGCCGAAAGGCTGTTTGATCCTGTGGCCTCGGGAATTTTTGGTGGAGACATTTCGAAACTTTCGATGCGCTCTTGCTTCCCTATGTTAATCGAATTGGAAAGAAAATATGGATCTGTGGTGAAGGGTATGCTGCTTGGAGGTATCAAAGAAGGTGACACGCTGTTGGATGGCACCAAGAAGTCGGAGTTTGTCAAGAAATACGAAAAGTCAGTGAGTGTAAGCTTTACGGATGGTATGAGCACGCTGATAAAGGCCTTGGAAGACAATATTAAGGCGGATGCGATGGCAGACCTTCAGTTGAACACGAAAGTGACGCGACTAGTAGTCCATGGACCCAACAACTCGAAAGGACCAAGTTTTGTGGTGGAAAGCAAAGACCCTCTATCAGGGGAGATTCGTGATCCCATTATAGCCTCCCACGTGTTTTCAACTATTCCCGCATGTTCTTTGGCCCCTGTGATAAGGGATTCGTCACCTGGTTTAGCTGAGGCACTCGACGAAATAAACTTTGTCGATATGGGTGTGGTGCACATTGGGTACCATGAGAAAGTGTTGTCTATCGACGGGTTTGGGTATCTCATTCCCTCAGTAGAGCGTGAAAAGATTCTTGGTGTCGTATTTGACTCCAATACCTTCCCCATGCAGAACGGGGAGGACAAAATGCAGACGCGTTTGAGTGTTATGAGTGGTGGTGCACATTTTCGAGAGGTGGCGTCCATGCCGAAAGGACAATTGGAGCAACATGCTTTAGAAGCCTTACAGCGACACCTAGGTATCACACGCAAGCCAGACTACTTGCGTGCCATGACACTGACGAACGGCATTCCGCAATACAACGTTGGTTTTAGCAAGACGCTGCAGCGTATCGAGAAGCAGGTTGCTCACAGTACACCGGATTTGTTCATGGGTGGCAATAGTTTCTATGGTATTGGACTGGCAGACTGTGTGACGCACTCGAAACAGCTTGCGCTCAAGTATGCCAAGGGTATTGTTTTGAGTGGCTAGAAGAATGATGCAGATGTATGCATGTGCACAGTTTTGGCGTTTGAAAAGTGTCTATGCAATGCGTGCACTATTATCGCGGCATGGTGTACATTACGGTGGAACCGAGTACGATACTGTCACGTGTGCAAATTGGAATGCCTCGTTGCGTCTCTTGTCCAGCGTCGTGGTGATATGACGGCATGTTGTGAAAACACGCTGTGAAAAGTCCCGTCTGGTTGATCAAAGTATATAAAGCTGACGACACGCGCATTGCGCTTCGACAATACGTGTTAGCTACTGTAATCAATCGGGGAATTCTGAATCTGTCGATCCTAACAGGTCTCATGTCTTGTTTGTCTGTTGAAGATACATTTCGGTAGTCAGTAGTATGCTGTCGGTGACTAAAATAGCTGGACATGAGTATATATACTGAATGATGAAAATAAATCGATTGAATTAATCTATATTTGTAATTCTAGATAGTCGTCATCTAATGGTCTTGAACTCACATAACGAGGAGCTACGTACCATGGAAAGTCCAAGTCTAGAGCTTAAGCAACTTGGTCGAGAGACTAAGAGCCTCAAGCACAAGCATAAGAGTAAGTATTGCTTTGAGCAGTAGTAGTAATGTAGAAGCAGTAGTAAAAGAAGTAACACTTTGACTTTGTTTACAGGCAGTAAACGCAACACTAAAGTCAATCGAGAAGACGCAATGCGAGAGTTATTGGCTGGAAAAATTGCTGAGATTGAAGTGGGTGGAGATGAGACTGTCAATGATCTTTCAGGTATGTACGCAATATAGCAATGGCAGTATTCATAGCTCTGTATAGCTCTGACGTGATGTGGGAATGAATTGTCATGGATGGATGTTAATGGTATGATAGATATTTATTTGGGTGAGACGTTGTTAGTACAGATGAAGGAAAAGGCAGAGGATGTAAAGGAGAAAGAAGGACTGGTGGCGAAGGAAAACGTGATGGAACTTGCCAGCAACCTCATCTACGTGGTATCGTGATACTAAAGAGACAGTAATTGAGTAGAGAGAGATACTGATTATTTGAGGATGGGTGGAGTGGATGCATGTAGAGTGAACAACTGGAATTTATGCAGAAGAAAATCAGCGAGTTGAACGCCAAGTGTATTTTACTCAAGCAACGCAAGGGTGCAGGTGCGTTCTCGTGCTCAATGTCTTACAGGTGGGGTTTACTCTGCTAACGAAGATGAGAGTTTGATGCAGTGAGCACGGAGCTGGTCAAGACGAACGCCACCAAGACAAAACTGGAACAACTCTGTCGGGAGTTGCAAAAGCAAAACAAGCTCATTGTAGTACGTGGTAGGTTGTAGCAGTATAACTGTTTAGCTTGTGATACATTTGATGCTTTTTTCAAACGTATTTAGAGCGAAAGCCGTCGTATTGCTGACGAGGAAGACCAGAAGAGGTTTGCGTGTGATCACTAACGGCAAGGGTAGATGCTTTCTAGGCTTATGTTGACATAACTATGGTATATTTTGGCTGCTTTAGACGCGACTTATCAGCTCAGTTTCAGAAAACGATTGAAGAAGTGAGTGCCAAAATGGACAAGCAAGGCCAAGACTACGTGGCGTCATTGAAGGAAAACGAAAAGTACGTTTTGCGCTCACTTGTTCACTGTCATGTAGCCACAAACTAAAGAACTTGTGATAACGTGTTATCGTCTACAGTCTGCAGCAAAAGCTGAAGATATTTCTTGAACAATACACAACGCGTGAAGAGCATTTCCAGCGGCAATTAGAGACCAAGGACCTAACTATTCAGCTCGCCGAAACGAAACTGCGACACCAGATAGAATTAACATCGCGAGAGGCGGAGAAGGTGAAGATTACATTAGACAAGTCCAAGGAGTTTTCCGACCGTGAGGTTCAGTTGCAAGCACAGCTTAATTCGTATTCGGAAAAGTTTGACGTGGTACAGCAAACACTGACAAAGAGCAATCAGATGTTCACTGCATTCCGTGAAGAAATGGACAAGATGGCTAAAACAACGAAGAAGCTGGAGAAAGAAAACCTAGCGCTAAAAAGAAAGTGTGCTGAGTATGACAGCGGTGCGATTGCCTCAATCCAAGGGAAGGTGGCATCTGCAGAGGAGACGATAAAGCTCCAGGAGAAGGTTAAAAAGCTAGAGAGTCTTTGTCGCCACCTTCAAGCCGAGCGCAAAAGTATTCAACAAGCAACAGATTTAAGCGCTGCAGCCGCGACAGAGTCAGCTAAGAGGTGAATAGTGATTCAGTAAAGCTCACACTCTGGCCAGATCGATAACGGTGGATTGGTTTCAGGTCTTTTGACGGTAATAGATCCTTCCTTACACGTCGCTATGACGACATATCGTTTCGACAATGGTGCTCTTTTTTGTGTAACACTAACGGTGACAGATCTGATGAGAGAAGAGCAGTACCGGAGTCACCAGCGACAATTTACATGCATGCGAAGAAGTAGACTGGAGGAAAAGACTTTGGCAACTATTTTCATACGAAGGATAAGTGAGTGCTTACAAGATATAGCAACGGTGACGCTAGAAACTGTTTTGCTTCTGAGTTGACCTGCTATCAAACGGATACGGTGACCATAGACTACAACACAAGCACAATTTTCGATTGCTCAAACGTGAATAAACAATCCTCAATCGCTTGACATTGATTGCTACATGAAACCAGCATCGACATGTTTCTTTCCTGCAGTGTTAGTAATAAACTCTCGAGACCTAAAGCCAGCAGTATGTACAGCAGTGACCCCAATGAGATCCTTATTGGAACTCTATGTTCATTAGGAAATTAGGAAATACTAACGCTTTACGGTGCGTAGTGACACAATCTCATAGTTTTCCAAAGACATGCAGACCATTTGATCTTCTCATACACCTTCTATCTATAAGATGTATATGACCTTAGCATCAATCAACTTGAGTCTTCTTTTCACACGTATCATTCGACTCTCTGTTGATGTCTTACAAGATAACGTGTCGACGTCAGCGATTTATTGATCAGTCAGTCGTACAGTTACAAAGCATGTCGGTGGTCGATTACGTCCGTATTTGTCAGTCAGACGTCAAGTGCTTTGTTATGGTAACATGTCATTGCCAACATGACATACTCAACCATCTTCTTCATGCTAGAGCTCGATATCTGCATTGATAGAGTCGATCAAAAACTCAAGAGCATTCTCACATGTAAATTCATCATCTTCCAGGTTACCGATACGAGTCCAGAACCAGCGGCTACCTCAAAATAGCAACGTCTCCTCCACTATCGTAGCTCAAATCACCCTCGCTCTCACTGCTGCTTCATTCCTCATAATCGTTGCCAACTTCTTCGTCACAAACTTGGACCCGGAGCTGTCAGTAACACGTCACTTCTAACTGACAGCGAAAACTTGGGCGAGTAGAGTAAGCAAGATCAAGTCCTCACTCCAAGTCAGCCCTTTCTTAGCATGTTCCACCTCTAACGGTACGGCTTTTTACGTAATACCCAATCTAGATGTACGACGACTGGAGGTTCTGCACGATTTGGAAGGTGTTCTTGTTGCCCATTGACCTGGATAAGGAAGAACCAATGATTTTATTTCTTGATGGGCAGCGTGGACGTATGTCGATACAACAGCACCACCGCGTAAACGGAACAGAAATAACGCCGGTCCACTAAGGTGAATCTCACAACTGCAGTCGTTTCTCCATGAAGAAGACGAGGTCGTCACTAGGTAGACATTGCATTCACACCTTTTGCAGACAATCAGTTGAATGTTCCTCCCAGTTGAAACAACTTGATATCTCCTGTGTGGATAGGATAATTACATGCTAGCAATGCCATATTGTAGACAAATCCAAGCACTATATAACTAAATTGTAATGTACAGAGCCAATGGTAGAATCTTTTTGCACAAGTCACATGATTAACCTACTGTTTCGTTAGTTTACTACCCATTACCTCATTCTCTAGTTACAGGTGCACCGATTCATGGAAAAGACTCACTTCCTGACGTTCATGCTTTGTACACGTTACAGCCTACCCCTTATCCGCCTTCGGACAAGGTGCATTCAATTACAAAGATAAACAACACCTGTTTAATACGATGATAGATCAATATCATAAGATACAGGATCTAGCCATTCCGCCGTCGGAGAAGGCAGAAAATGGCACCGATGTGCACGTTCAGAATGCCTTTTGCCCCATCACTCCAAGATCATTGCACCAATATTTGATCTCTCTTTACTCAGAACGCTTACTTATCCATTGTACTATCTGACAACGCAAGTTTCTTCTGCTTGTGAACAAGCAAACAATGGATTCTGTCGACGAATTTAAACTGATAGCGGCGATTTTTATCTTGTTGCTTGCGCTCTTGGGTGGCATGGCACCGCTACTTAGCAGCCAACGTGTTAGTAAACGTGTTAGTAGTGTGTTTAATATGATCGCAGCTGGTATTTTTCTTGCTAGTTCGTGTATGCACTTGCTGCCGGATGCACAGAACAATGCGGCGCTTACGGACTGGGGCTGTGAACACACGGCAGAAGTCTTTCTTGCTGTAAGGACACGCTACAATGGCGACCATAAACGCTGTTTCAAATGGGCCAACTTCTTCTACGGCTGCGGCTTTCTTGTGGTACTACTTATTGACGTGTTGGCGCACACAATGCAACGGTACTACAGTAAAGAGCAGCGCCGTGCTCATGGTGGAGACCACGAGCGCGACGCACTGCTATCAATTGAAGTCACACATGCGGCACAGGTGGACAACATGGTCAAGAATACTGGACACTGTCATGGCCATTTGCACGATCTGGTCGAGAAAGGAGACTATGGTACTCAAGGAGAAAGCGTTGAACTCCACGCTGACGACGGCAAAGAGGAGCCTCACTCACACATTCATGGCATCGTGAAAGGCAACTCCATTTTGGCACTCGTCGTCTTCACCGCTTTGTCGTTTCACTCTGTTATGGAAGGCATGGGCATGGGAGCCTCAAGCGCCCCAGCCTGGGATATTCTAATTGCTATCTTGGCACACAAATCACTGGCGGCCTTCGCACTAGCGCTCGAGTTCCTCCACCACAACGTGTCACGAAAGCAACTGCTATCCTCGATAGTAGTCTTTTCCATCATGACACCCATGGGCATCCTATTCGGTCGATTGCTGGTAGATTCTAATCATGCAACGCCTGCAGCTGGTGTGTGTGCCGCGTTTGCCGGTGGCACTTTCCTGTTCGTTGCCATCATGGAAATCATTCCACAAGAATTACAGGATCCACGGTATCAAATTGAAAAGTGTTCTGCTTTACTCGCCGGATACGGTGCCATGGGCGTGCTTTCGCTCTGGACATAAACACATAGTTGTGCTTATGTATATCTCGAGAAGACAAGTAATGTTTTGAACGTCATGAGGCATTTTACGAGCCCGTAAATCGATTCGCTATGAGCGAACATCTATTTGGAACTCACTGATAACGTTAGTAGTATAGAAGTTAATGAAAGAAAAAGAAACTTACTGAGATAGCTACTCAAACGACCAGACACTCGCGACACTTTGCTCTCGAGCTTAATGTGCTTGCTCATTCATTGAATCACCACTACACTGTTGCTGTTTCCGCAACTCCACACTTCAATTCTACAGTCACATGGCAAAAGATTGAACGACAGAGAACCAGTCGCTCTCCCTTCTTCTCCTTGTTTATCTGCCGTACTTCTGGAATTCCCACTCACGATTGTCCAATGGACACACTTGGCGAGTCTTTAGCCATCGTGAAATACAATGAAAGTGAAAAGCATGGTCTATATATATATGAACAAGAAAATCACAACAACAAAGAAAACGTCAAGACACTTGAGCTTGATACGATCGATCAATTAACATTCGACAACGTACTACAGACGCCCCAGGCCACGGTGCATTCTTCACTAGTAGCTGATGCCTGATTTGCTTGACATTCAATACACAAATCCATAATATGATTGCGACAGATTGCGCAATTATCCACTACAATATCTATACAACAAAGGAGACAATCACATACATTTTCTTTCTCAATAAGATCTTTCCAATCAATTAAAGTTACAATAAGCCACAAGAACGTGAACACAAACGAACCCCATGACCAAAGCGCTACAGCATTCCACTTTTTAATCTCAAATCTCTTTTCTTCATTTGATATTGCTGCAATAGGTGTTGTTCCCTCAGTCTTCATCTCACCCTTCATTTCCTCATCCATATTGTTAGTACTTACTACTATAATTACTATTTGGTGTTGGAATTATTAAGATATGAAATAGCCTATATTTGCGTATCGTACTTAACAATGTGCTTCACAATGTACTTTATTAAATATGAAAGGGTACATTGTACCACACGTCGGAGAGCTATATTGTAGTAATTGCGAAAGCTGTTATAAGATAACGGAGATAATCGTTGATAGAAAAATGTACTGATTTAGAGTAATTGCTATTTTAAAGTGATTTGTCTGGTTGAGAGAGACAAGAGCTCCAGCATATTGTTGCTTCTATCGGTTCACATCCTCCTTCTCTGTGCAATTTAGTTAAGACTCGCAGCCAAGTCATCTTCTCTCTTATGCTGCATATTTCATGCTCAACCTCTTCCTATCACACGACTATCACTACCTCTCATCGCTTTTTGGTTACTACATCCTTTGCAAGCACCCTAACTTCCCACCGAGTAGTTTAGCAGCAATGGACCCTTCGTCTGGCGTCTGCCACGTTTATTAGACAAACCCGTCTCGGACACACGCTGTTGAGGATCCTGATGCACTGGTGACTTCTTGCCACTGTGTTGCGTTCTCTTCCGCTGAATAAACTCAGTAGCAAACGCCGACACACGAGGCGTCGAGCCCAAATACGCCGCAAGGTACTCGCGAATTTCGCCAGGATCCTCAACCGAGGCGCAATATTCCAACAAGGTCACATTGGCATTGCTGTCAATAGTCTTCAACTGCTTCAGAGCCCACCCCATAAACTCCGACGAAACGTTGCTCGATCCAAATGCATTCGAGCCGTTCACGTGAGCACCGCTCGATGCGGACTCTTTGCCAACAGACTGAGCTGCTCCAAAATTCCAGAACGACGCATCTTTCTCGGCCTTATGTGGAAACGGCTTAGGTGCGCCATTAGTAGCACGAATTTGCTGGCGGCTCTTCAGTACCGATGCTGGAACAGGACCCAACACCGAACGGGAGGGCTTGGGAATTGCTGCTGCAGCAACCTTGTTGCCGGCGACGACATTGACCCAGTGCGAACTAGTCGACACATTCTCGTTGGCTCGAGCTCGCTCTTGCGCCAATCGTTCTTCTTCAGCCAAAATGTCACGCATCGACTTTGAATTGCTGCTCGTTGTGACAGTAGGTGTACCCCACGGACTTGCTACAGATGGGTGAGGATTTGGTGTGAGTGCTGGCGCTGGCTTCGTCTTCGAAATCGGAGCTGCCGGTGCGGGCGCTGCACGGGTGTTTGCTGTCGCGGCGACTGAATCTACGCCCAGCATCATCTTTAACTGAGCCCCCATCTGTGCGAGGTTTGCCGTGTTGCTTTTGTCGTCCCTCGTTTTGCTGAGCGCTTCACGTTGCTCTTCTTGAATTTCCTTGAGTGATTTTAACTTCGTCGATGCTGCAGCAGGCGACATTTTGGTCGCCCATGCGTGAGTCTCATTCTTGACGTTTTCTGCATGAGTACCGTTCTTTTTAGATGGACTCGGCTTCGTCTTCTCATTGCCTTCACCAGATCTATTATTATTCTTCTTCATGCATTCAATCAGCAACGCGTTCTTAGGCTGCTCGTGGTGTGTTCGAGCCTGGTCGTCGTTGTTAACAGCTCCCAAATCAGCTCGATGCTTCTCTTCAATCTGAATATCGTGAAATGTTGCAGGCGAACGCTCCGGTATGTCTGGTCTAGCGCCCCAAGCATCAGGCACGGCGGCACGTACTGGACTCTTTGATGCCGGAGGCTGAGAAAATTCGGGTGCCATTGAATTCGTAGGCTGTGCTGCCTGTAAGCCACTTTGCAAGCTCGACACATTTTCTAAACCTATCATTTTCGGAACACCATTCGGCCAAAAAGCTTGGTCGTGCCTCTGAACTTCATCCTTCAAAAACATCGCGCCATGGGCGACAGGCTGTGTATTCTGCATGCTTATTTGGTGTTGTGTGTGGTACTCGGACCGAAATTGAGTTTGCATGCCATCCATCCGGAAGTGGTCGTTCGGCACCGAGGTATTGTCTTGGCTTCTTCCAAACATACCAAGCGCGCTCAAAATATTTTCAGGCTGGCGACGTTGCCACGAACTTTGTTGTTGCAACAGTATTTGCTGTTGTTGCTGCTGCTCTTGTTGCTGCTGTAGCATTTGTTGCTGCTGTTGCTCTTGTTGCTGCTGTAGCATTTGTTGCTGCTGTAGCATTTGTTGCTGCTGTTGCTCTTGTTGCTGCTGTAGCATTTGTTGCTGCTGTTGCTCTTGTTGCTGCTGTAGCATTTGTTGCTGCTGATACAAGAGTGTATGCTGCTGACGTGCAGCTTCAAGACGTTGCATATCAATGCGGACCTTCTCTTCTTGGTTCAGCTGAAGCATTCGCTGTTGCTGCTGAAGCTGTATCATTTGTTGTTGTTGCTGTCGCTGCTGCTCATGCTGCAGATCCAATAAACGCTGTTGCTCACTTTGACGAGAGTTCACATGCATTCCTCCAACACCACCCACGCGTGTCGGCAGAGAAGCGAACGGTGCTTGTCCGTGCACGAACTGATTCACCATAGCCGTAAAAACACCTTCTTGACCAAAGCGAATCGGAAGGTGCGGCTTGAAGTAGCCTGCCTCAAACCACTCACGCATCTCAGCAGTCTTGAACGGTCCCTGCTGCAATCCTTGCGGGTCCAGGTAAAACCATTCGTCTTCCGTCTCCTGGCGCAGCGAGGATAAACCAGTGGAGCTTTCATCGGCTGGCATTGAAGACAACACAAAGCTACTTTTCTCTTCCAACACACGTTGTATTTCAGCAGATTCGAGCGCTTCGAACTGGTGACTTGCGCATGACTGCTCCGACAAATGCACCGTGTCTTCTTCTTCTTCCAACGGTTCGTTAGCACTGTTATCATTATGCTGAACGTCGGAAACAGGGTCATCCCATGGCGCTTCCTCGTTATCACTGTCGTCAAATTGTCCAGCAGCTGCAGCATCCTCAAGCTTCTTGTCAAATGCATCCAAATCGTCTTTCATCTCGTCCTGTCGGCAATTATAAAACGACATCAATTGCTGTAGCACACACAAGAACTCCTATGACTCGAGACTTACCAGATCAACTTTCGGTCCCTGTAGCTCCTCTCGCATGGCATCCATCTCTCGTCGGAAATTTTCCGCAGCCTCCGCCATGCTTGACAGGTCCTTTGAATCAGCACAACAAAATACCACAGCAAATAAAATCAACGCTAACCACCAGCAAGAAACTGCTTGCTATACCGAAGATAAACACGCACCATTTCATGACTTTCAACGCCTGGCTCAAGCACGTCATCCCAAACATGAGACGATCCCTCTGTGACCTTTGCACCACGCTTCCACGTCAAATCTCTCTCATTATATCGATGGTGTTCATCTTTCTGTTGCTTTCCAGCATTCTCATTCTCATCTCCACGTTGATGTCCGCCACGTGTTCCTTGAGCTCCACCAGACGGTGTATTACCTCGTCCACGACCACGTCCACGTGTCCGATTAATTAACCATTGTTTATAAATCTCTTCATAATCAAAAGGCAGTGTACTAACTGGTGGTAAACCATGGGCTGATGCAACCATTGTCTCGGGTGGAAACGTTGGTCCTTCACTGGTTGGAAAATAAAGCGATAGTAATTCTTCTTTACTATAACGTAGTACTTTATTCTTCCGTCGTTCAGCTCGTTGTTCATCATCATCATCATCATTATCATCATCCTTTTCAATCCCTACGTCTTTAGTAGATGTCAGGGTAGTACTAGTAGTACTACCAGTAGTACTAGTAGTATTACTATTATTACTACCCAATGGGAAAGAAGATGACGAAGAAGAAGATACAAAACCTTCTCCATCTTTCGACCATTGTGGACGATAAGCTGATCCTTCTGAATCAGTTCGTCCTCGTCCTTTCATTGCAAACATTGTACGTGGTCGTAATGAAATATTACTATTACTACTACTACTAGTACTAGTAATAGCTCCACTTGATGTCACTTGTTGTTGTAATTTCTTGCGATGTTTCGTAGTCTTTGTTACAAAGTCATCGTCATTATTATTCATGCTGCTACTGTTGTTGCTGCTGGTATTGATGGTGTTACTACTACTACTCATACTTTTCTGATGTGGGTTTTGTGCTCGTATTTTATTATTTCGTCTGTAGGGGGGAGGAGGAGATTCAAGGGCAGATGTATTAAGTACGAAATCTTTCGTGTCGTGTAGTGAAAGTAAAATAAAAATTCAAAACCCACGTGAGGAATAAAAAACTCCACATGGAACAACGGCGTAATTGGCGGTAAGTAAAAAAAAGTATTCATTATTTGTCTTTTATTCTGAAGCTCTTCTATACTATGCATCCTTACTATATTATGTAACTGTCATATTCATATCCGGATAGTATCGAATTCCTACTCACACACATGTTTGTGGATGAAATTTTTGGTTGTATTAGTGGAGAGATTATCCAGCATCCGAATGTTATTGTGTCTGATAATAAACCAATAGCATCAAGTACTACTACTACTACGAAGAAGAAGAAGAAGAGAAAGGTGCTTTATTCATGGAGAATCATCACTTGATGAAAGAACGAAAAGTATTTGAAAAGGACGAATTTGGTCGAGATATTCCAAGTCTTTTTCCTACAAAGAAAGAATCAAGAAGGTTGAAAAATGACAGAAAAGAAGAAATGAAGAAAGAACGAAAGGATCGAGAGAAACGCGACGACAAAGATCAAAAGAGACGAAGAAGGAGGAGAAGAAGTAAGAGTAGAGTCAAGTCACTTAGTCCACAAGGTCGTCTTATGGGTAATACACCTCCACCAGCAGATCCATTTCGGCCACAAGTAAATACTTTGAATGAATTGACTTGAAATATGTATGGAGATTGGTATACAACTCAAGAGACTGACTAACTGATTGACTGCTTTTCTCTTCTTTTGTCTGTTTGTTTGTTGTTTCGATGACGATCACTATTGCTCTCTCTCAGTTGGACGATGGTCGAGCCAAGTGTCTACATCGGCGACGTCATTATGACAGAAGTCGAAGCAGAAGCAGTTCGTGCCGCTATAAACAACGTCGGAAGCGTGATGAAACACATGCTCGTGGTAGTAGATACTCTCGTCGCAATTCTTCCTGGTCTCGTAGCAGAAGTCGAAGCAGAAGTCGACCATCTTCTCGATCTCATCGTCGACGTTCGTCGGCCTCGGTAGAAAGGAAGTGGACTCATAGCGCTTTTGATGACCGCAGTCCTAGTCCACCACGAGAGCTTGATCCATTCTATCGACCGGAACCTGAAGCTTGGGTATCGCGAGCAGGTGGTGTGTATTTGCCTCGCAAATAGAATTTCTTGAAGCGTCATAGCGTGTGAGGTCGTTTGCTACCAGGAATGTGGTGGCAGTTGAAATGAGGACGCTCAGTGCGACTGGGATGAAGGCAAACGCGGCGGCTTTGAATTTGATATTGACAGCATATGTCTTGCTTGGGCAATCGACTTATCGGCATTAATTTGTTTCTTCTAGCTTGAAGAGCTAGTGTGGAAAAGCTTGTTGAATGGTATTTTTCCGCCTTGATTCGGGATGGGGGTGGTGGCCATTGCTCTCTTGCTAGTTACGTCTTTTCTGTCGTGGGTGCAGAAACGCATCTGCACACGCTGTCTACAGCATCCACATGCCCACAGTACAACAACGGCAAAGCTAACAAGGTCAAATGGTTTGCGATTGCATGTGTTCAAGTATTTTTGGACTGAATGATTGCGCGCGTAACTATCGAGAGTTTTGCATGCGGATGGTCGTCAACTCGTGTCGAAGATCATGGCAACACGAAACTATGTTTTGTCTCAAATGCTGCTGTTTTGATGACAACTTGCTGTTTGAATGTTCACACTAGCATTCAATTTGTGAGACCTGTTTACTTGGTCGGGCACTATATGTTGATATAGTTGCTTATCCACCAGTAGCAAACGAACACGGCCTACTTCACTTTCCAGCAAAACTTGAAAAAACGATTTGAGCAAACGTACTTACAGAGCCTGAGGCCTATGGTATCTCAAATCAGCTCTATCAATGCTTTCAGGTCGTCATCTTGCTCGTACTCGAGTTACATCTATTTCGTACTTTGACACGCATATCTGCAACTCAATTCAATCAACTTTAAGGTGCAAGAGCACGTGGTGCGTCGTAGCCTACTCGATCCTCTTGCGCTCGTGCTCGTTATTGCGCGATCACATACCAACAGCACATCACTGCTGGATACAACATAACGCTTACATCCTTTGGCATGATCGACATAAGTGCGATGAATGCTAGCAGCTTGTCCACTGAGCTCTTCACGATCCCGATGGATAAGCTTTGCGCGGCGATGTGTGATAGTTAGACAGTCTTGTTTCATCCACCTTAACCGATTCCTTAGTGGGTGGTGAGACTGTAGAGATGAAAAGTGCTGGAGACGCGGCTCGAGCATCACTGCACACCTAGCTACAAAACAATCTATGCAATTCCATTTACCTCAATTGTAACCGCAGCAAGAAGCTGCACATAACTAGCAACAGACGTGAATATTACGATCACAACGCTACTGCACAGCAGCCTTTTTTCTCTTCACACACTCTAGGTCTCCTCGGGTGTATAGTGTTCCTCGAGAAAACGTGAGAGTGTCTGCAATTGCTCCGACACAATTTTAACTTTCTCACGACATATCTCCATATCCTTCTCCGCGCCGTATGTGCTTCGTTTAAACGTGCGGTAGTCCGAGACAAGATGGATGTGGTTGGCCAATTCAGTGTGAATCTCGTTCACCAATTGGAGAAATTCAGTGCACGTCGAGTTAAAAGCCAGTGACGAATTCTCGTCAGATGAAACACGTGGATTCATGTAATACATGGCATTAGCTGCCGTCCGCAGTGATGTTACTAGTTTCTAACATGACCAAATACACCAGAAAACACCACACAAAAAGGTCAAAAAGGTCCAAGATTCAACTGTTTTTTACATGCACAAGAGAGCAGGTTTATACCTAAATTTTATATTGATGGTAAACATGAAACGCACCTTTTCAACAGTATCAAGAGCTTGTAGTACGGCAACATGTCGAGAGCTAGAATATGGATCGTTTACCTCGGAGAAATGAACCCGACTGTCACTTTCGCTTTCCATATTCAGTAGCTGAATAATCAATCAGTTTAAACAGGGAGTACGTAATCCATATACCTTTGATAGTTGATATAGAGCAGCTTTTTATTGTATCAGCAGATACCTTGAACTTGAAGTATCGCTTTTACATTGTAGACCACAAACTCTCACGTGGTAAGTACTCTCGCTCTACTCGCCCACCAGCCGTTGTATAGGAGACATACGATAGAATGTCAAAGGAAACACAAGGTTGTATTCAGTTGATACTAGAAATAATTGCCACATTCAAAGACAGTCACGGTAGAAAAACACCTAACAATGTTACCATACAGTGCTCTTGATAGAGCGTATTAGACGATAGAAGGTTTGAAAACATATATGAAGCATTTCAAACACCATCGAACGTAGCTGTATGTAGTACGAGTCTATCGTGTATTCAAAAGTGATGTAAAAAAAAGTAGAAACCATGTTGTTTTGTCAAAGTTCACCCTATTTGGAGTCAATCCTTTCCCCATTGATTGCCATTCTTGTTCTTATCGCAACACGAGCATGACATCCTCAGCAGACCTTCAAGCACAGAATGAGCACATGAAACGTAAGATTCACGCACTGCTTAGTGCCAACACGACACTAGAGAAAGAGGTAGTGGAGCTTGCATTAGAGTGCGACGAACTCCAGTTTACAGCCACCAACAAACAGCAGATACTGGAACAGGAAATTGAGGCAGTGGATAAGGAACTCACGTCGCTGCGTTCGCAGTGTCAGTCAGTTATGACGAAGATTGTTAATAAAGTAGACGCTCAGATCAAGACTGAGCTCAAGCAAGACGAGACGCCGATGCGAGTTAGTCACAAACTGTCCTCAGCATTTAACCACACGTTGCAACATGCCAGGAATATGTCGATGTCTAGAGAACGACAATCATCGACGGCCAAGATGGTGGCTCATGGTCTGATCAAAGCATCAAGCTATATGACTCTACCAACAGGAAACCCCTCACATTTTGATGCGCCACGACGTCCCAAGATGAATAAGGAAAGCCCTCCAATCCTGTCGTACACAAAGAGTGCGTATGGCTCGACGAAGACGCTGCTGTTTTCGACTCACTCGCATTACGACAATTTTCGGCGGCGAAGTGGAAATTGCCGCAAGAGTTATGACCCTGTCATGGTGCTTTAAAAACGCTGCCTTGCCATTGCTAGGAGCACCGTTGAGAGGAAAGACACGTGTACTTATCAATATTTAACGCTTTTCAGCTAAGAGCTAGCTTTGTTCGTCCATTCCAATGTCGACAAAGGCTTTCAAAGGTCACACAAAAATCACTCTTTCCATTACCTACAGCTTTTTCGACAGGTAGAAAAGCAAAAGAGGAAAAGAAAAAGGAGGTTGACAACCTACAATAAGACTTTTGCAGTGGTATACTACATGTTCATGTTCATGTCCATCGATCAGTACATAGTCATAGTAGTCCAAATCATTACCATGACGCAATATCAGCGATTATTCTCAGTCCTGCAATCGATGTGCATTATGCATGGTTTGATATGTTTATTATGAAAGCACTACTACTAGAGGAGAGAACAACACGCAGTTCGAAGCGCCTGGGCAACACCATGCTAGCTCTGGAATTCGCGTAGTATCTCGTTATCTACTTACTCCACGTTAGCCGACTTCTGACGCGCCAGCTTTTGCGCCTTCAGTGAAGCTAGCGTGGGGCGCTCAAACTGGGACTTGCCAAGCTTGCGGTTCACGTAGTACACGCGTCCCGTCGAGCGGGATACCTTAGCCTCCCAACCGACAGGCAGAGAGACTTCTGGCAACGCATCTAAGTTAAATGACTCGCGCACAGGGCGATCTGTCGCCTTTGCTGCCGGTTTCACCCTTGCACTCTTTGTGGCAGGGACAATCGCCGACGTATTGTTGTCGGACGTGTTTGCAGTCTCCTCCGGCTTACTGTTTGTACGTTTGCTCCTAGAATCATACATGCCCTTCACGACCGACATTCGACCCTTCAGACTCGACATGGCACCAGTCACTCCTACCTCCATGCTCTTCACGATCGTGTTGCGCGTTAAGCTGTTCGTGGGACTGTCTTCACCGTCAACCTCCGAGACGTCAAAGCCGTCGCCGTTATCGCCCTTCTTGCTTGAGTTCCAAAAGCGAGAGCCTACGCTCATAGTCGGCATGCGAGGGAACTGACGCTCCGATCCACGCGTCTCCGAACGACGATTAAGGTCATCCGAGCCAGTGAGCGAGTCCATCAGCACGGCCTCACGCGGCTGCTTCTCCTTTTTGGACCCTAGCGTACGGAAGATTGACTTCTTCTGCGTAGACTTCTTCTCGGGCAAACCGTTCACGTGGATCTTTGCAAGCTGCTCTACCAGCTTTTTGTTGTCGGCCTCGAGCATCTTGATCTTCTTGTCCTTCTCGCGCACAGTGTCCTGCAGCTGACAGACTTTGACGTAATTGCCAGCCGATGAGAACTCCTTATCGCTCTTGAACTTCTCAATCTCCGCCTTTAATCCCTTCATCGCAGACTTTATTTCCTCGTTCTTCTCACGCAGCCTCTTGTTCTCATCTGTAAGGGTTTCAATCATACCACCAGCATCAGCCATCACCACACTCGATGCAGCAGTCGAATCCGCTGTCGTCACGCTACTGCGGCGCTGCAGCTGGGCATTCCTTTCCTGCTCTTCTTGCAAAGCGGCCTTCAACTTGTCCAGCTGGTAAGCCATGTCAGCTTCATGACGTTTCTCTTCAAGCGCAGCAAGATACTTCGGTCGCTGAATCGTCATACGAACCACAGCCTGGACGCGGACAACCATCGCCCGCAGTTTAACGTAACGGTGGCGCTTGACATAGCCGCGCACGTACCGCTGAATGATAACAGCATAGTGGTTGCTCTTGACCTCCGCTGCCACCTTCCGACCCTGAATGCCTCGCCATTGAGCTTGCGCCAAGATGAGGCCGTTCATGAACGTGTTGTATCTCCGCATAGCAATCACGCACCTGATCACTGACTGCAGCTTAATGATAGCTTCCAGTTGTCGAAGGTACTTGATGCGCTGCGTGAAACTAACCATCACATTCTGTAGGTATGTGGCCTTGGCATCCAGGAACTTCTTACGACGATCTTCGAGTTCTTCAAGTACACCCAATTGAAAGTACACACGGGTCTTACCCATTTGGTACTGCACTGGAGACTCCAGTTTCAGTTTGTCCATAAGTAATTGACACTTTTCTACCGCAGTGTTACCACCGCTAGGTACAAACAGCCAAAACTTGCTCAAAATCTCTGTATGTTGCAACCTATTCGGGTATGCTGCACGAGAGATACGAATGGCTTCAATCACACCAGCACATCGCAATTGAGACACCACCATGGACTGATCCATAACCGTCGAGCTTTTGATTGGATTCGGCTTAATACAACGCACGTAGTGGACTCGAGTAGAATTAATAGTCGCCATCAGTTCCGTCAAACTCTCTTTGAATTGAGTACCGACAGTCGTGATAGATAAAGCACCACCACGCTTTCGTCGACCGCCTGACGCTTCAGATGCAACTGTCTTGGGTTCTGGCTTCGGTTCAAAGAGCTTCGCGATGAAGGGTTTAGACGAACCACGCATGAGCTCAGACAGATCAGGCAGCAGCGAATCCTTGTGCTTCTCCAAGAATCCCACCGAATCATACATGACAGGAGCAGCATAGTGCTTTATCAGGAACTCAGTACGTGATGTACGAGGGAATTCAATAACATGTGCCATGTCTTCCCTGTGCAGGGATGTCACCTTTGACATAAAGGACTCCTCGCTACCCTTTGGTCGCATTACCTCTTCGTTCAACAGAGAAATGATGCCCATGCGCGACTCAACCACCGTCAACACATCTTGATTATCCGCGTACTCAATGTGATCCCATACGATACCTTCTTCCTCGTACTCAATCTGGACAGTCTTGAATACATCCTGCGTGAACTTTTGCTGAAGCTTCTCGTTGGCATAGTTAATACAAAACTGCTCAAACGAGTTGTGCTTGAAGTGCTCAAAACCAAAAATATCGAGTACACCCACGTGGTTTGACATATTGGCATCGTCAGCCAGGGACTGGTTAATCGTGGCCACAAGCCAGTCAAACACGTTGGAGTAAATTGCTTTGGCAAGTGCGTCACGGCAATCCATAGCCAGCTCCTTCTTCAGCGGTACGCTGTACACATCGTTTACGGCACGCATCGTACGCGAACACAGTGCAGCTTCAAGTGCTTCCCATGTGACACCAAGCATCTGAGTAGCAGCATTCGCACCACTGTCACCCACAGCAATGAGAGATTTCTCATCGTCTGATGCATCTGATTGCAACTGCACTTCACCAAGGTGAAGCACACCTGCCAGCACCTCAAACAGTGGCTGCTGATCATCACGAGACAGCCCGACAAGCTCCAGTGCCTCACGTGTCTTGTTAAAGTGTTTCTCGTCGGAAAGTCCCTCGATCTTTTGTGCCGTGTTGTTACCCGTATACATGTAAGTTTTTGTCGAGTCAAGCTGTAGCTCTGATGCAATGTCAGAAGAGTCCAGCAGCTGGTAAAAGATGTGGTAATTGCGCTCCGGTGCTTCGTGCTGAATGACACGTGTCTTTTCTAGCAAATACGTGCGGCATTTAGCACCCACGAGCGTACCATTCCTGTCAAATTGTAGTTGTGTAAACTTGCCAAATCGACTGGAATTATCGTTTCGTACTGTCTTGGCATTACCAAACGACTCAAGAAGTGGATTGACTTCAATAATTCTCTTAATCGTTGAATTATTCATACCACCAGCAATAGTAGCCAAGTGGTTCATCAGAATCTTGGTCGTCTCCGTCTTTCCAGCACCCGACTCTCCACTAACTAAGATCGATTGATTCAATTTAGATCGTCGCATATTATCGTATGCAGCAACTGATGTAGCGTAAACATGTGGAGGCAGTTCTTCCTTTGGTTGATGAAGATATCGTAAATGTTGTTCCTCCGTGTAGAGATCAGGTAGCCATTGATAAGGATTAATTGCAATACAAATATCACCCGTATATGTATAGGGTAATTTACATAGAAAACGTTTCTTAATGTTAAACAAAATAGCAGCCTCATGTAAATAATTAAGTGTAATCATATCTTCAATCCCATCCGATCCACCCGTTTCATTCTGATATGGTAAAGTCTCAAGTTGATGTACAGCTAATAATGCTTTTGTTTTCTTTTCCAACATATCCACACATCGTTCTTCCATTGTACCATCAGGTAATTCCACTTTACAAAATATCTTACGTGTCTTTCCATCACCTGAATTCTCATCCCGTAATACTTCAGCTGCAAGCCACACGTGTGTCTCGTCTGGTACAAAACATTTTGCACCGATGACCATTTGTAAATCACTCATATTGTCGTTGAAATCTTTCTCAAATGTAAACGTCTTCTTCTTGACTTTCCTTTACTATTCAGGAAGGACTTCAGTGTGACCGTGAGGAGTGCGGAATGCGGAATGCAGAATGCGGAATGCAGAATGCGGAATGCGGAAGTCATGAAAGGGAGGATTAGATACCGGTATATTATGGCTTCTTGCAACTAGCAACATAGTTACTAGATATTTGTATTCCTCTCCTGATTTAACAACTTTGAACATAGACATAACCAGGCCAGCGCAGCTGGGACGAGTAACAGCGGATGGGATTGACGACGGACAGCACGTGAAAAAGGATTTGAGCTTTTTAAGACTGCCCCCTCATACATCAGACCTGTGATTGTAATACAATCCTAGTACAATAGAGTACGGTTCGTTTTTATCATGCTTTTGTGCTAAGTTTTATACACTTGTTATACATGCATTCATTTGACAATGTATCACATTTAAAGTTCAAGTACATGTTTGAACCGACGAAAGCCTCATCCGTTGACGCTCGTTTTCTGCAACGAACATGATTTATCGTGACGTCCTTGAACTTGTTTAATGGAATACTATGTACATGTAAGACTACAGTGCAACATACCGGTAAAATCATGAGTTACTCCCTCACAGTTGGTCAAAAATGGCCACAATCCATGGCAAACATTTACATCAGGTGCTGCACTTGATACATGACTACCGTACTGCTACGTCGATCACTGTTTTCTGTGCGTTCTCAGCACGTCCTACCGCGCAGTTTCAGCTCACTTGTCTCACCTATTCGTCGCGTTTGCGTCGTCGGCTCTGGTCCCGCGGGCTTTTACGCCACCAAGTACCTGCTTAAGGAACATGCCGGTGTACGAGTCGATATGCTAGAGGTGCTCCCCACACCGTTCGGCCTCGTGCGCTCCGGTGTAGCGCCTGATCATCCGGAGGTGAAGAGTGTCATGAATGATTTTGATATGGTGGCGGCTAACAAGCGCTTCCGCTTCCTGGGAAACGTGCGTGTGGGCGAGGATGTGACGCTTGCCGAGCTGCAGCAGCACTACCACGTCATAGTGCTCGCGTACGGCGCTGCTGGAGATCTTGAGCTGGGCATTCCTGGTGAAAATCTGCGGGGTGTCATGGCGACTCGTACGTTCGTGAACTGGTACAATGGCCACCCGGCGTTCCGGAATTTGGAGTTGGATTTGAAACAGGCTGAGACGGCCGTCATCATCGGCCAGGGTAATGTAGCCGTGGACTGTGCTCGGATCCTTACAAAGAATATAGAATTGTTGGCTATGACTGACATGGCAGCTCATGCAGTGGAAGTACTGCGAAACAGCGGTATCAAAAAGGTGTTTCTGGTGGGACGACGAGGCAGTGCACAAGCGGCGTTCACGATAAAGGAAGTTCGTGAGCTGACCAACTTGGATGATGTTGCGTGCATTGTTGACCCAGATGATTTGAAATGCAGCATGACTCCCGCGTCTGAGCAGGAGATTAAGGAGCATCGAGCCCGAAAACGCATGAACGATTTGTTGGGCAAGGCGGCTGCGCAGTTCGACCAAACTGGGAACGCCAAGCGTGTTGTGCAAATCAAGTTTCTAAGATCGCCGACAGAAATTATTGCCGACGATAACGATCCAACGCGGGTGGGGGTAATTCGTGTAGAGAAGATGAAGCTGGAGGGAGAGGCAAACCAGCAGCGTGCTGTGGGAACAGGAGAGTTTGATGAAATTCCATGTGACCTTGTGCTGCGCAGTATTGGCTACAAGTCACTACCTATTGAGGCAGATATGCCATTTGACAACTGTCGCCATATAGTTTCGAACGAGCGAGGTCGTGTTGTCACTACTTTGAGGAACGGTGATAAAAAGCCTGTGGTAGGCTTATACTGTACCGGATGGGTAAAGCGTGGCCCCTCTGGCATTATTGGTACCAATATTGTTGACGCACGGGAGACGGTAGGGTGCATTGTAGAAGATTTTGCCACGGGTAATTTTCTTCACAGCGAGAATAGAGCCGATGTTGAATTGGATGGACTGCAGTCTGTAGAAAAGCTTATCAGGAAGCGCAACCCTGACAAGCAGTTGGTTCAATGGGCTGACTATGAGCATCTTAACGCCGAGGAAAAACGTCGCGGTAGGATTGTCGGGAAGCCACGCGAGAAGGTGACATCCGTGACAGAAATGCTTGAAATTGCGAAAAAGGTTGAGCAGGAACAGACATAGACGCATCGTGTAATCTGGACGCGCGAGATATGAAGGCCATATTTCTGACGCCTGACACAATCTAGTGTAGACGAAGAAAGAGTACGAATGTTTTTATTTAATGCTTGACTTGGGGTAGAAGTATCGTGGTTCACAAGCATTTCTTTGATTTTGTATCGATGTCAGCACAAGAAAGACGTTGAGCCTCTATGGCCGCAAAGTATGCACAATAGCCTAAATATTACATCAAACGATGACACTGAAGTCCTGTCGTCGTGATTCTCTCTCTTCTTCGCTGTCGTCTTGGGTGACATCGATCACTTGCGGCTCCTGATCCTTCTCTTCTTTGCTGATCGTCTTGAATGATATCGATCACTTGCGGCGCCTGCTCCTTCTCCCCTTTGTTATCATCGTCTTCTTTTCCGCGGTCTTCGGCTGGTTTTGTCGGTGGCTTTCCGTTTACGGAACTCCAGGACCTCAATGGACGCTTGGCGTGCCTTTTCTTTCGTGACCTGGTGCGAAAGCCAAGCCGATCCTTTCCCTTCTTTGATCGCTTCTGCATCGCTACCCGTTTCTCGTAATTGCTCAGTCCGGGCGATGGACGTTTTTCGCGTTCTGCCCGCGTGAGGTTTTTCTGCCATTGCCTGAGTACTCGCGCTCGGAAGCGTACTGCTTCGGTGTATTGTCGCGTCTTTTCCTCGGTCCCATGTTCCGGGTCTGGCGGTTGTAGACACTCCAGCAGGGGCCACGCTGAGGGAACATACTTAGACTCTGGTGGCATCTCGCCCAGGTGTCTTCCACTTCTTCGGTCGTTCATCCACTGCTTCATTGCTTCATCGTTTGGCGGCGTCATCTTGGGTGTGTTATCTTCTTGTCTTGGCGTTTTGACTTGGATGACCTCGCGATCTCTGTTGGTTCTTCTTACTTCTTCTTCTTCTTTGTTTGATAAATACAGAAAAACAGTCATAAAATAAGAGTCTTGTTGTTTGAGTCCTGATACCTTGGCTCAGATCACTCAACATGTAGACTGAATTGCGTCAGTTTCCTGTACTTACGAACTATCCTTCGTACACAGTCATTCATTCTCTCCAGAAACAAAAACGGTCATGCAGAGGTTGGTTCGTTAGGGTAGAGCATGCTTGGTCATAGGAAATAAGATCGCCATAGGTATCCATCAATAAGATCGCCGCAAATTTAATTTGCGCTACCGCACAATACAGCAGAGAGCAAATGTGAATAAATGAACTCGTCCACTTTGTCGGCTTGCATCTATGTCTTTGAGTTTATTATTGCTAATGGAAGCTACAATCGATTGATCATAAGCTTCGTAGTGCCTCACGATACTACAATTCTTTGTCGATATGACTTACTCGTTGCAACTACTTCAAATGTTCATTTCGATTTCCTTCAACACCTTTGAAAACACTGAATCGGGTTTTCCGTTGAAACACTGAATCGGTTTTCCTTACATAAGTATCCATTTGCTCCAGTCTTTGTTGATTATTTAGCTGATCACTCCCTTTCACGACCATTTATCATACTCAAGATTAATCATGTCGTCCAAAAGTCTTCAGGGAGACCCACGTCGTCCTGGCGACTTGCACCCGTTTGTGCGAGAGCAAGCGGACCCAGATGATACACCTGGAGATTGGTATGCCTTTTCCTCCCTCGTACTGGGCTTTCTTGCTTTTACGATGAAGGTACGTGATGTTGTATTCGCTTCTATTCTAATCGTAATTGAAATAATTTAATGTATACTTAGTGGAAGGAAATGGCGTGGGGCTCGCTACTGCTGTGCGTGGGCTCATTCCTTAACATGAAATCGCAAGATGTGAACACGACGCAGATTGCCATGTCTTTTTTCTTTTCGACGAGTGCCCTTGTGTCTGCTTACATGGGCGCCATGCGTCCTGGAATCCCCATGCCACCATCGGATCAAACGGTCGAAGTCCCCGCTTCGTAAACCATGACCCAACTACATAATAGCAGCAAACAGGCTTCAAAGATGCAAGACAGTCGCTGTAATGATGGAAGAACACCAGTCGGTTGGTACTGTATTTTGGTTTAGTGAGACGTTCTTTTGACAGCACTATCATACAGTAACAACCAGAAAAATCAATATTGACGTAAAGACGGCCGGGAGGTGGCTATATTTTAGCTATGGTGCTGGCTGTAGTAGGATCTCGTTGCTGCAAAGTAATGATAACTGGGCTCTGCAAAGTTTACCTTGAAAAGCTTAGGGAAAAAGAAGCACAATACACGAAGAAGACACGTTGTGATGATGCCGACGACTAACTCGAATGCTAAATGCTTAGTATGCGGCTGGTGTTTTGATGCATGTTTACATGGAAGGTGATCGATCAACTAGCAATACGACCTTATACCTTCAGTCCGCCCACACAGACCATCTTTGTTTCTTGGTATTCCTCCAGACCCATAAACGAACCTTCACGCCCCAGTCCGGACTGCTTTACACCACCAAACGGAGCCTGCGCCATCGAAATCAGGCCCGTATTTACACCGACCATGCCGCAGTCTAACGCAGAGGCAACACGCCACGTGCGAGACAGGTTCTGCGAGAAAAAATAACCGGCAAGACCAGCATCTGTTCCATTAGCCATTTCAACCACCTCTTCTTCACTCGAGAACTTGAACAGTGGTACAACTGGTCCAAAGACCTCCTCGCTCCAGACGCGCATAGAGTTATCCACATGAGCGAGAACGGTGGCCTCATAAAAGTTGCGTCCGATGTCACTGCGTTTGCCACCAACAAGAACTGTCGCACCGTTCGTGATAGCATCCTCCACTAGCTCCGACGTCTTAAGAAACGCATTACGTCCAATCAGTGGGCCAAGTCTCACGCCTTCCTCGAGAGCGGGGCCCATCTTAAGCTTGTTCACACGCTCCACCAGCTTGGCAGCAAATTCGTCGTAAATGCTTGCGTGGATGAAGATACGGTTGCTGCAGACACACGTCTGGCCCGTGTTGCGGAACTTGGAGGCCATCAAGCCATCCAATGCCTTATCAACGTCTGCGTCTTCAAACACAATAAATGGAGCGTTGCCGCCAAGTTCCAGTGACAGGCGCTTCACTGTCTCCGCTGACTGCTTCATCAACAACTTGCCGATGCGTGTGGAGCCCGTGAATGAAATTTTGCGAACATCGTGGCTGCTGGTCAGAGCTTCCCCAATCTCTGCGGCCTTGTCATTCGATGACGGTACCACATTAATGACACCTGCCGGGATACCAACGTCCTCTGCCAGTTTGGACAAAGCCAAGGCCGACAGTGGTGTCTCAGCAGCAGGTTTTACAACTGCAGTGCATCCAGCCGCCAGACACGGACCCACTTTCCGGGTAATCATAGCCAGAGGGAAGTTCCAGGGTGTTACAATGCCGCAAACACCCACAGGTTCCTTAAACGCCAAGACCTTGTGGTCGGGTGCCGACGTAGATGGCAGAAAGCCGTTGGAGTGCATAATCTCGTGCGCGAAAAAGTCGATGAAACTAGCAGCATAGACCACTTCTCCCTTGGCTTCAGGTAAGGGTTTGCCGCTTTCCACAGAGGCGATAATGGCCAGATCATCCGTGTTGCCCAGAATGGCTGCATGCCACTTTTTGAGCAAGACAGAACGTCCTGCAGGTGTCATTCTGCGCCACTGCTTCTGTGCATTTAGTGCTGCTGCAATGGCGTCATTGGTTTCAACGCGTCCCATGTTAGCAACACGTGCAATTTCTTTATCAGTAGACGGATCAATCACGGTAAAATGGTTGTTCGAGTGCGCTTGGACCCATTGACCGTTAATAAACCCAGTGGACTGTATTAACGCCTTGTTCTGCACTTTATCGTGGAAAAATCGACGTAAATACGACGTAGTTAATGGCCTTAGACCGCAGCACATCTTGCTCGATAGCATCACGAGGAGATCCGATCGTTTTTTTCTACTTGACGTGATGTCAAGAAGGTATATTTAGAAATGAATGTTAGAAACGTCTCCTTCGTGTGTTACACATCAACTTAATTTCACATTTTAGAAAGACACAATCATTTCATGACATCTCCATTAACACCACGGCTTCTCGTGCTCTACGGAAGTGAGACTGGCACTGCTCAAGATGTCGCAGAGTTTATACAACAGCGTGCATTCAATCGTTATCTTATGGATACTCATGTCTCTTCTATGAATGCGTATCCAGTCGTGGAACTCTTGCCTCAATGCTCCACCGTTGTCTTCATCGTGTCAACAACTGGCGATGGTGAAGCACCTGAGAATATGCGCAATAGTTGGCGCTGTTTGCTGCAAAAAAGTCTGGACAATCAATGGCTAACAGGTGTACGTGTTGCTGTCTTTGGACTGGGTGATTCTAGCTATGCCAAGTATAATGCAGTAGCCAGACGCCTCCAGACACGTCTACTGCAGTTAGGAGCATTGGAACTTATTGAACGTGGTTTAGGAGATGATCAGCATATTTACGGATACTTTGGAGCGCTCAATCCATGGCTGGAGAAGCTCTGGGCAGCTCTTTTACATTTGTATCCGCTGCCGGAAGGACAGGCAATTGATGATTCCCCGAAACCAATCGAGCCTCGTTACTCTGTCACTGTGCATCAAGATGGAGATGAAGCAGTGCAGATTGCAAAGATGCTGACGCCGAGAACGGATAAGTCGAGCTTTTATGCGCCGCCACGTATGACGGTGGGGCGTGAGAAGGGTATTTATTGGGCTCCTGTTGTAGAAAACAAGCGCATTACAGCGGACGATTGGGAGCAGGATGTACGGCATTTGGAATTTGATATTAGCGATGGATATGGTACGAGCGACTCAGCTGAAGCTCCATTTAGAGCTGGAGATATTGCTGTAGTGTACCCTGAGAATGTGACGGGTGTGGATGACATGCTCAAGTATGTGAATCTAGATGGAGACACTGTCATTTCAATTCACACTGCTTGTGGTTCAAAGCAACTCGACTTTTCTTCTCCAGTTACTGTTCGTAAGCTGTTCATTAGTTTTTTGGCAATCTTGGAAAGTCCGCGGCGCAGTTTCTTTGAGAGATTGTCACTGTTTGCAACAAATGAAGAGGAGGTGAGGTTTGATAATCATTGCAGATCCTCAGGTGTGCTTTGACCCCTGACATTTTGTATTATGTTTGAATTACAAAGAGAGAGAAACTTGAGGAGCTGTCGTCACCTGAAGGTGTAGATCTTCTCTACGACTATTGCATCCGCGAAAAAAGGACGTACGTAGAGGTATTGACGGACTTTCCCAGCGTAAAGGTGCCGTTGACAATTTTGCTGCAACTGATCCCTCGTCAACAGCCCCGATCGTACTCTATCTCATCGTCTGCTTTACTCCATCCTGGACGCGTAAGTTGCGTTACTTTTGATGCTGTGCTTTTCCACGCTTCCGAACCAACTTTCTTGCTTCGTGTTTGACAGGTGCATTTAACCGTGGCCATTGTGGACTTCTTGACTCCGTACAAGCGCCGCCGACACGGTGTTTGTTCGTCATTCTTCCAGTCACTGAACCCTTCCATAGAGCAAAAGCGTGTACCAATGTGGATTAAGCACGGTCTATTTGAGCCGCCTAGCTTAGAGCAAGACATGCTGCTCGTTGGCCCAGGAACTGGATTAGCTAGCATGCGTGCGATGCTGCAGGAGCGACGATTTCTGCGCAAACAAGCAAGTGACAACAACTCGGGAGATATCTACCTCTACTTTGGATGTCGCCATGAAAGCAAGGTATGAAAGCCTCGATTTTTGCAAGCATTTCTTGTTCGTATCAATAAGTTGTGATGCTATTATCCAGGACTTTCTGTACAAAGATGAGTTGCGTGAACTCGTGACGTCAGGCGACCTCACCGAGTTACATACTGCGTTTTCACGTGACCAGGTACATTTTGCTAGTAGCTCTTGCGATCACGTTGTGGCTCTCATCTTACTATTGTGTGATACTCGTGCAGGATCATAAAATCTATGTCCAGACGCGTCTTGCAGAGAATAGAGAGGCTGTTTTCAACTTTATCATGAACGGTGACGGGCGCATTTACATTGCTGGTTCCGCCAAACAAATGCCAAACGATGTTTATGAGGTGCTTCGAGATATTTTGCGCTCAGTCGGTAAATTGCCATCACCACTTGCAGAAAAGGTGATGAAGACATTGGCTCGAAAGAAACGCTACGTGGTTGAATCTTGGTCGTAAAGAATGTTTATGAGTCCATTCGTTCGTTCAGAGTTACAAGTACTGGTAGAACGTACGTAGAGAGAGTGCTTGACAATACACAATTTGATTTGCTAAAAACTACTATGGAGGATGTCAAGCAAGCGGAACACGTGCGGTCCTGTGTGAAGCTCATAAACGCCACACAGACGTCTCAACTGCATGAATGGAACCTTGACTCCCTTGATCGAGCTTTACATTGGGCATCTGCAGCTGAAGATATAGCAGCTAGTTATACTTCACAGCAGGACGTTGAAAGTCGTATCCATCGATGGTTCCCAGTAGCTACTTTACCTACACTCCCAGTCGATCAAGCGCTAACGGCAGATGCACTTTGCCATGCCAGAATGCATTTGTTACGGTCAATTATAAAGAGTCCATTCTTAATGTCACATCCAACACCGTCTGCATTACTAGTAACAGTGCTTCAGAAGCTGCAAAAAAGACGTGAAGAATCTATGCATTTCTCCATTGCAGAGCATTCATCAATTAGGTGAATGAAGAGCGTTTTCAAGCAGTACATAGAGAATGACGAGTTATCTAATGATTGATTGGTATTTTTGCTCTGGGTGCTCATTGACTAGTGCATTACTGACTGAAAACGTGATTGGAGCTCGTCGTACGGACGCCTTGCTAGCCATAGCACGTCGAATGAGCGACAAGTGCAAGCGCGTTCGAGTACAAGGTACAGGCGTTGTATGAAGTTGAAAGGAATTGATTGAGCTTGCAGGACTAGGAGTAGGAATTCTAATGACTTGACGTTGTTGTTATACCAAGTACTCTCTGGTTGGGTTGCAGTGTTTCCATTGAAGAGTTACGCTCTCTCACCTCGAACGCTTCAGTTGAGGGCCATGGCAAAAACATTGCAGCGCAATGCAGTGGATGCTCGTGCAGCAGTAAAGCGTGAAACATTCCAAGCCTTTTTGAATGATCTACGAGGCTGTTTTGAAGCGCCTGACAGTCAAGATGTACGGGTAAGAGAGTTTATTGTCGATGCTTGCTTTCCACTAGTGACCAAGTGCACCTAAGGAGTAGTGTCAAAACTACAGGAAGTGGTCTTGTTGATGCTTGTCATGTGCGAATGGCCTAAAGAGGAGCCACTACAACTTCGAGGAATGAAGGAAGATCTTGTGAAGATTGTGCAAGATTGGGTAACGTGCAAGCCCATTCGGTTCTGGACATTCCAGCCATGGCTAGCAGCCATGTTAGCCAGTCAATCGGAACGTCTCGCAAGCACATACATATCCAATCTCTTCGAAACAGGACTTTTGCGACCATGTACGACTGCAATCTCCGTGACGTGTATATGTTGCTTCTTCATTCTTGCTGATGTCGGGTTTCATGCAGGGGAGCGCGAGTTTGCAGAGCGGGTCGCGACGACACTTTTGCATGCGGGAAACGTTGAGCACGTACTGAAAGCAGCCTTGACGAAGCTGGACCCCCATTTGCAGCATGCTTATTTCAATATCAATTCTCGGCCCACGCTTTCGTTGCGCTAGATGCCAAGCATCGCGTTTTCGCATCCTGCAAGACGATGCAACACATTGACGACTCTACCAGTGGTGGATTGTTGCAGTGAGATAGGCATTTCCGGAAGACGAGTTGCCGCATTAAACATTCTGACGCAGGGCCGTTCTTTACCAACACTCCAAGAGTTGGCACGGCACAGACAAAACGCGTGAACTCTCGCTCGAGTTATTTTGTAGGCATGATGTACAAGCCCGGTCCAATGTCAGCACATACTGATGCGTCTCGGTAGATTTTAAGGTACCATAAACACCCTTTGTATTCGTAAGCTCTTGTACCAACTCAGTAATGGACTCCTTTTGTGATCTAAACAAGGACTCCAGCCCACCCAGCTTCACGGTAACGTTCTGGATCCGGCATATGACATCCGTTCCTATCAACAACTCCGTTTCCATGATGACTGCAGACAGCGAAACAGCAGTCGATAGAAACTTGCGATGCCAGTACAAATTCGTCTACAGCAGTGCTTATCTGCAAAACTTGCAAGATGAACCAGTATCAGGCCATCGTAAAACCGTAAGCCTCTGTTTCTAGTATCGCGTACAGCATCGCCTTGAACTCGTCACGAGCAGCATGAAGTGGCAAGTCTAAGCAGTTAAAGCAAGCGTGGCTGTGAATGAAGCCGTCGCCTGCCACCGCATTCAGCGTAAATGGGCACAAACGACCGTCGTAGCTGGTCAACGCACTAAAGCCACTCAAAGGTACACGCAACGATCCAGTCGCGAACTGCAGCAAGCGACGACGGTATTCATTCGGCATCTCGTGAACAAGCCCCCAGAACCATTTGAAAACTCGGTGGTGGCGTGATACCCCAGAATGCGTAGTGTTGCACTTCCAGTCTTCCACATCGATCTCTTCAGAGCCACAAAGCAAGAAATCAAATTCGACTGGATCAAAAAGCAGTAGCAAATTGCGAGGAATGATCTCATACAAACCACGGAGGAAGATTTGGAGCTGTGGGGATACGCTCTCTATCAATACATACTGCCACCTGCGCTCTACGTACTCAATCTTATTGCTATCCGTGACAGCAATATCTTTGCCACCTGGTACGAGCTCAACATCATGGTACCGGTCGCCATCTTTGATACTTACAGTGAAATCAAGTCCTAACATGTCCGCGTCGTCATTAGCCAACAGCCAGCGAAGATTGTTGTACACTACAGGGTCCACGTCCTCCAAATCCGAAAAACACAATGGGTAGCCTAGCATAAGTTTCAGCAAAGGTGGTGCTAAATGAAAGCACACCATCGATCGCTCCAGCAGTGCCCGACCGAGCAAACGACCAGCCGCTAGAAGATAGAGAAGCTGACGAGGTAGAATATCCGCATTCGGACAGGGGTTTAGATAATATGTCTGTTCGCTCTTGTCGGTACAAACAAAAAGTCCATGATGTGGATTCAAAAGTGCCTCATTGAGCATAACAAACCACTCGCGTTGAAGGCCTCCCGCATCGACACCGTGCTCATCAAGAAAGTTTATACGTATTGGAGAATGCAAATTTCGGAGTGGGATGACTGCGAGACATTCCATCGAGTCGCTGAACACGCTGGCACGCACGATATTAAGTCGCAGATGCTCTTTTTCGGCAGGAACTAACAGCTTTGCAGCCTTCATAACAAAATGTGCATACTTTGACGGAAAATCTTTGGCGGCGTCAGTCATTGACGCGATCACTGATGCCGAAGCTACTGCACCCGGTGCATCTTGAGCGGTATCAGATGAAAAGGAATGTACGCCGATCGAAAGCTTTGAGGCATCCACACGAGTATCAGACACAAATAACAGCACCGGTCGCTTTTCCTGCACAAATCTTTCCAAATTTTCCATGCGCCTTTCAACTGGTCCAAGAGTAGCCCCTGTTCTTGCGCAACCAATTGTGTGATTTGTGTTCCCCACACTGTGTTCTTGCTCAAAGATCAGCTCAGCAGCCCTCGGGCTTCTCGGAGCATCAGCAACATTCTGAGTTGAGATAGATACGACGGGAGATACTGTTCCTGTCGGTACTTCCGTGTGATTGGAAGAAGACGATGGCAAAGAATGATCATTGTCTGATGTATGTATCACACGAACGCTAGGTTGTGTTTGAGACCCAACGGACTTGCAAAGCACAATAGGTCTAGTGCCTACCAGCTCGAACGCAACCACAAATGCAGTCGAGATTACGTGGGCCTTTCCAAAGCGGCTGTCTCGAAACCAATACGCACGTCCTTCGACATCTAATTTGCGTCTCCACTCTTTGCGTCTCAATGCCCGTAGTCGACGACGAGTGGTCAGCGTCGAAGATCTTGCAACGGGAGCTGACAATGTCTCGTCTACTCGAGATATTCGCCTAAAAATCAACAAGAGCGACACCTTGATAGCATGAGTCTTTCCCTTTGCGTGCCCATCGTTCTGTTCCTCGTCACTATCTTTTCTCTCAACGATCCATTCGCCACAAACTGTACAAAAACGAAAACGTTTAAAGTTTTCAAAGCCACAGAATGCGCATACATGAAATCCTTCTTCTGCATCTCTGGATACACACAAGAGTTTACAAGAAATACTGTCAAATCTTTGCCTTGATGCCTTGTCATTTCATACCATCCACAAACATGGCAAACCTTATTGCTGCATCTAAACGCCGATCCTTGGATCTACGTCCCAACAAGATAATTGTACCATACAAAACATTAGACGATTGCAATGATATCATCATCAGCTATGATTTATCAATTCCAAGTGTTGCTATCATATCGATACATACTCAATTAACGGTACATTGAGTTCTGCTTCATGCTGAAAATTCTTAAACGATCGGACGAGGATCCACCCAAAGCACAGAGCAAAGAGTAGTACAAACACGCTTGCTACGGCAATAGTTTCTCCTGGCATTCCTTCCTTAGATATAGCGAGTAACTTGACGAGTGTGCCCGATCTCTTGCATTCTGATTCCTTTTTCGACCAAAACAAGGGGCAGACATCAGAAACCACAAAATTCGATACAAAATCTGTGATATACGGATTTGAATATGGGGCTGTAACACTTTTTGGGGTCGTGAATGAATCCATATGTACAAAACCGAGACATGCTCATCTGGTCCAAGTATGAGTCACCAATAATGTTGTCACAAAAATGTTTTGAAGTGGTTTTCTTCCGCTTACATTCCGTTAACATTGCACATTGCAATCATCTCTGGTCATTCATACGAACAGGTGCCCAAGAATAAGGTAAAAAGCCTCACGATATTCTTAAATTTATTCAGCAGCAAATGCTGCTAGTTACAAAAAAATAGTAAAGTGACGCATTAATGAAGTCGAGATATTATTTCCACCTTACCACCACGTCAAAACGACAGCATTCCATGACGCTACTTTCAACTCATGCTGTTGTAAAACCCGTGAGATCGTTGTCCAACGTAGCATACAACATGCTCTTCAACTCCTTCTTGTTCTGGTACAGCGGCAAATCCAAACGGTTAAAACATGCGTGGCTTGAAATGTACTGCGTCATTCGGTACGATACACCTTTGAGGTTGAATGGACATAGACGGCCATCATAGCTAGTGAGGCCACGGAAACCAGAGAGCGGCACGCATGTTGATCCAGTTGCGAATAGCAAAAGTCGCCGACGGTATTCATTTGGCATTTGACCAACGATCTCCCAGAACCACCGGGTCACATTAGCATCCTTGAGATTTGGAGTGAGAACAGTGTGAGCTTCCCAATCCGTAACGTCAATTTCGGGAGATCCACACAAAAGATAGTCAAACTCTTCTGGGTCGAAGATGAGCAGCATCTCACAGGGAATGACTTCATACAAACCTGTCAAGAATGCGTACATTTGATCTGCCACACTCTCGAAGAGCACGTATCGGAAGCGACGATCCAAATACGTACGCTTGTTTTCATCCGTGACAGCCACATTTCGTCCATTTGGGATCAGGTCCACCACCACCCTAGATTCATTTACCTGCTCAATTATACTAAAATCGAGCCCAAGATCATCCACGCCGTCGTTGTCCATCAACCACTTCAAGCTGCGGTAAGTCTCTGGATCAAGGTGCTCCATATCAGCAAACGTCACTGGCACGCCCAAGATCACCTTCAGCAACGGAAGTGCGAGATGAAAACCCCAGATCCCACCTTCCAACAATGCCCGGCCAATTAATCGCCCGGTGGCAAAGTAATAAGCAAGGTGGTCCTCCCCCACATCGGCACGGGACTGCGGATTGATAAAGTAGCTCTGGTCAGCTTTGTTATTGCAGATAAAAAGTCGCAACGTCGGCGAAGCCAGCAGCTCGTTCACTAGCATAAACCACTCACGATGCACACCACCAGCATCCACGCCACTCTCATCCAAAAAGTTAATGCGCATGAAGGAACGCAAATTCTTAGGCTGAATACAGTACATGTGATCCAAAGACTCTTCCAGCATATAGTCACGGTGCACCGACAACTTCAAAAACTCAACCTCTGCAGGCACAATGAGCGAAGCAGTGCTGACTACAAAGTGTGCATACTTAGTAGGAAAGTCGCTAGCCGCCATGACCACCGTTTCCTTTCGCCGTTCAGGACCAGCATCGGCAAGTGTCAAATTTCCCGTCGAGAATTTAGCTGGGCTAGATGTCGAAGCCTCTGTCAGCTCTACCTTCACGTCTGTAGGTAGCACCGGTTTTTCAAGCCCGTTTTCCATTATATAATGCGGCCGTGCAGCAGCCACAACCGACTCAAGTTCCGTCGTCAATTCTTCCTGCTCTTTGTAATTCTCCTGCTGCAGTTCCTCCTGGTCCTTAGTCACGCAGTCAGTCTGCTCCTCCTCATCACTCAGCTCCTGGTTCTCTGGAAACGTGAAACTCACCGTATACCCAGGCATGATCGTGTCCATGTCTGTACTTACTGGCAAATTGCCACCTCCACTGCGGTACCAGAAAAGATTACCTTCCACATCCAACTTCCTGCTCCATTCTCGACGATTTCTAGCCCGACGTTGCTGTCGACTTAGCGACGATATTTTTCTCGGTCGAGGTGATAGCAAATGTGATGATTTACGTCCATTAATGACCATATAAGCTGCTCTTCCTCGATCCGAGTCCTCCATAGGATGATGTTGTACGTCCTCATCTTCACTCCCATCTTCAGCCGTTGTCATGGACATGGATGGAAGTTTATCACCACATAAGACACAGTATTCAAAACGTTTAAAGTTCTCAAAGTTACAACTGGCACATAAATTATAACCAGCTTCTGCTTCACGTGTAGCTGCATCAATTCGATGATCAACTGATTCACCTGAAAGCAATGGAATTTCCATATCAATCATATGACGATTCCGTCGACATGCCATGCACCAAACGACAATAAAGACAACACATAACATTCCCATTCCAATCGATTGATAAAGCACCGAGGACTTTGTTGTTCGGTCATTGTCCATGGCCACACCGCGTTGTATGGCCGATCAATTTGTGTCACTAGAGCAAGTCAGGACAATTTGCAGTGTCTTTGTACACAATACACCTTCCCCCTTTGGGATTCCTACGATTCCAGAATCCAGTGGGATTCATGATTTGTAAACTTGATGTGAAGACGATGTAGACAATTGAAGACATTATTGATATGCTCTCTTCTGTTATAACATGTCTAAAGATGATTAGTAACTACTGGCACACGGTCTGTATTTCCTCGTCATCTCTTCTTTTAATGCAGCAGCGAGATACTGCACTGTATATAGCCTTGGCTTTTCTCTTGTCCATAGATTGACAGCTGGTAATGATCTGCATCTGTTCTGTGTTGAGAAAACAGTCCTACTTGGTACCTATGCGACATGAAGGTTGATGTGAGACATATGTCTGTGAAGTAGACGGAAGTAACAACCGTGGTGACAGAGGCTTTCTACTCTAGACACTTGAAGTTTTTACTTTACAAATGTGAACAGTATGCAGTACGATCACCCTGAAGATTTGATGTTGTGAGCAATTATAATTTATGCGGCCGAGACATTCATAAGAAGACGACGCACCGAGAGATACGTGTAGAGAGGCAAAGGCTATGGAAGTCGGAGACTTGCTTTTTTTGGGTGTCGTGTTATTGCGAACTGAAGGTTTAAAACCTGTAAATGATACTCGCACGTGTATCAACTTCGATCTCTAAAGATAAGAAGAAAAAGCGCAAGCAACCAACGCTAGTGTTCCTGTACTTGTACGAGTTCACGCTAATAGTGACGTTGCTTTATATATAACCGAATGAAGACAACAAAATACGATGAACGCATGTGTCCTGGACCTCAATGAAAACGCCAAAAACGCTGTTGTTAGGTCCAAGACTCAAGGCTCGATCTTGACAGAGAAAAAAGCCATGACTGAAGCAAACAGGATGAGCACGCTGAGCGAGGATCTTCCACAGCTTGCTGAAAAAGATTCGAGTTGGTGTGTAGACAAACGAAAGTGTACACTGATTGGAGATGATTCCAGAAGGCTACACGATAGAGCAAGATAATTGATGTGGGTCAACCAGCACCACCACAGCGCAATTCAAGGATCGAATTGAACGAATCCGAGGGTCCTGTGCTCGAAAAATCATTTCTGAAAGGCCAAGGCTCGTTTTTTTTGTAGCATATCTGTCTATTGTCTCACGTTGATCTTTTCAATCTCGGTGCTCGTTGAGGAGAGTACGTACAATCTGTGTGACAAAGCAGTACAGCTGAAGACATGATGTCGCACGAATATTTTCGTGCAATCTTTGGCTATTGCGGCTCACACCGTTGGATACGGCTCAAACCCATTGTGTCAAGAAAAACAGCACCTAGCTGACATAGAAGCTCCAAGTTGAAAGCACGCATGAAGATACGCATTGTAATGAGGTGTCAAAGGCGGTATCATCGAGCCCCACAAGAACAAAACACCAGCAAGAAGACGATGTATTTGGTGATAAGTTACTGGGGCCACAAGGAAGAGGCAAGAAACAATGCTACAAGGAAGAGGCAATAAACGCAGTGCGTAGTTACTTTGTCCTCGCCTATAATACCATTTAACTAACTATTCATCACTTGCAGTACTTGATAACTGCAAGATCTAATCGTAGCGTCAAATGAGTGACCTTTCTAAGCAACGAGATTTTGCGTTCACTTGCATGATTGTACCCAATTATTGTCAAATCTTACCATTTCTATATCAAGATTTCTAAAAATAAAATACCTCAAAAAAGACAACGTATTTCTAATTTCACCATCATCATGTCGTTCGCAGAAGTGACGGCTGTGGATGCAGAGTCGAGTTCTTCCACGTCTTTTCTCTCTCTCTTTGTACACTGCAGTCACACTAGGACCTCTTGTTCATCATCTGAGTCTGTATCTCCTTCCATTCATATCCAGCTCGTAGATCCACCGACGTTGTACGAAGCTGACGTCGCTTCTTGTCACAAGCCACGGGCACTCGATTGCTCAGGTGCAGAGTATCTTGCAGCTGTAGAGTCAGCACTGATTGCGTCATCATGTGATCAACCATGTCGCTTTGAATTCCGATGGTCGAAGCAAAAAAGGTCGTTGACACTCATGGAACGTGCAGAGTTTGCCGTGAAATTCTGTGCTATTGAATTTCAAGTATCCAAAGATCTTGCAACGTGGCAAGAACTGCTGCATCAGATAGCAACGAGACAGAGAGAAGATTTGAAATTGATTGTGGAGAAACAGAGTAAAATGGAGCATTGTGAGACGTTGTTGAGACAAAAAGACGTGCTGCTCGAGACAGCATTGACTGCCAAACAACAGGTAGAGGATGAGTTGTTTGTGGGTTTTTGTGCTGTATTGAACGCAAAGAAAAACGAGATACGGAGACTGCAATTTGAAGTTCAGAAGGCTCAGGAGATGCACAAGTTTGAGATGGAATCGGCGACGAAGAAACGAAAAGTTGCAGCACCGAAAAGGAACAAGAAAGTGACAGGAGCAAAGTTAAGGAGGAAGGTTGAAAAAGAAGAAGAAGATGATGATGATGAAGCGATGAGTGATGAGTCAAATGGAAGCCATGGCAATGCTAGTGAGGAGGAGGAAGATGAGCGAGAACGTGCGAAGAATGACGCGATCAAAGCGTATGGCGCTCTTCCGACCAATTTGCGGTCGAGTTCGGTGCAGATTAGTTCTGCAGAAGACTTGCTATCGAGTATGGATGAAATCATTAAGAATGAAGAAGAGAAGAATGAAGCAACACAGAGAGGAGACAGTCGGGATGGCACAACTATAATGGCTGAGCCGGTGGCCAGCAAATCGCACGTACGGACTGTGGAGCCTTCAACGCCGTGGACGAGAAAAACTGCAGCTTTGAAGGTTGAGCCGACACCTGCACCAAAGCCCGAGTCAAAGAAGCCGTTGCGTGTAGTATCGCAAGTTGACGAAGCAATGGATCCGGAGGAGGAGGACATCCTCGACATGTTGTCGTAGTGGATTTTGCTGCAGAATGAGTAACGATGGTTTAAATAGTATATGCATATCGTCTAACGGCTACAACGTGTTCCGTCTTATACGACTTCCAGCAGAAGTTGCCACCATTATTCGTGTTGGCAATACAATCAACCAACGCAAGCAACCAAAAAGAAGCATGAGTCACTGTCGAAGAACAAGACGTTGAGCACTGTATAAGATCGCAATGCTGTGAGCATCAAGTGGGTAGCAACAAAGAAAGAGTTGAGTGAGCGCTTGAGAAGCTCAGTTTCGGTGAGCAATCAGCAGGAACAAGGAGAATACATCTTCCATCTAATGAAAACAAGCGGTGATCCGTATTCCAAGCAGCATCTGTCAATCAATGAAGCTCAGCGTTGAGTATGTCGACAACGAATGAGACTCATGACAACCGACACTCGACAAGTCTCTCCCGTGGTGATATGATGAATCAAGTCTATCGATCATCCTGCCGTTTACGTTTGAAACAAGGTCACTCACTTTTGCATTTCATTGAACTGTGTGTGGCTTGTCAAGCCTCTCTCTCTCTCTTCTTGCTATTCTTCTCACAAATGAAGCATCGAACTTCTGATCTGCAGCACTTGCTAAGTCTGTGCAGATCGATAGATAGATTGTTTAGAGCTGCTATTCCTATACATATAGTCATTCCATAGAGAGCGACACAAAACTCATACAAGTCAAGTAAGCAACAAAAGTCTACCATGAGCAGCTCACTAAGCGATAAGAATGCACTCGTACTGGAATTAGGAGCACGATATGCCCGATGTGGTCTCTCTGGAGAGCGTGCACCTCGATGTGTAAAGCGTTGGCAGGTACGTTCGGTCGTGTCTTGATGAAAGTATTGGTCTCGTTTTTTGCTGGCTCTAGATCGCCTATGAGTGTTTCCAGGTGGGGGACCTGTTACAGACACCATTGAGCGCCAGTGAATGGCACGAGTTTTTGTGTTCAAAGCTGCATACATTGTGCTATGAGTGAGTGAGTAGTTATGGCATGTTCCATTTGGGTCCAAGAGTGTTTACGACCTGATGTTGCCACAGTTTGCTACTCGTGAATCCGACACGTCGACGTTTTGTCGTGTGTGAAGATCTACTGCTGCCTCGAGTGTTTCGAGAAATGCTACTACGTGTTCTCTTTGATGTGTTCAATGTAAGCTGTTGCTTGAGTGGCTCCTGTCTATCTTTCTATGAGACTGAAAGATGGTGGGGTTTGCTGTCTTATAGGCGTCTGCAGTGACACTGGTGCCGTCGATGTTGGCAGTGCTGTACGCTACGGCCAATCATACAGCATTGGTGGTAGATTGCGGCTGGGCGGAGACGCGACTATTGCCGGTGTTCAAGGGCATTCCTCTTCCTTACTTTTATGAGAGTTAGTATGGAGTCGTGCGTTAGGAAGATACAAGAAGAAGAGGACAGGAAGTTCACAGCTCTCGTTGTTGCTTTGCTATTCTTTAGCTGTACCGGTTGGAAGTCGAAACTGCTGTGAAGTTATTCAACGTGAGCTGAATAGTTCGTGTGATCAGCGGATGGACACGTCCAAGCTTGTTAATCCAGTGACAGATATCGTAGCAGAGGACATTCTTGAGCGGGCGTGCTTTGCCCAACAAAAGGTGAGATCTAGTCATGAAAGCAAGAGGTTTTTTTACTGCCAAGCTTGACATACCATCGACGCTCTTTTGTTTGGTAGGATCCTTTGCCAAACGTTGTTGATGCCGAGTTCCAAACACAAGGCAACGACGTGCTACAGGTTCGTTTACGATATTGCACATGTCGGTCTTGTACAATGTTCCAAAGCTTGAAACGGGAAAAGCTGAGACTGTAAATTGCTTGACAGGTTCCTGGATTCTTGCGAACAAGTGTTGTGGAACAGCTCCTTTCGGGTAAGTTTTACTCGTTACGTGATCCTGCATTACAACACACACGTCCAGCACTTATCATTTCCATTGACCAGGTGATGAAGGCAGGGATGGGACCTCCATTGTTGATGGGATTGTTCAGGTCTTGAGAAAGGCCCCTCTTGACGTTAGAGCGGCCATGCTGGAGAACCTGCTTTTGGTTGGAGGAACCGCTATGATACCTGGTACGCCTGACGCAACAAATGAGTGTCATGTGTTTTGCTCATGCTAATCTGTTTCTTCTGTCAGGGTTGGCCCAGCGCGTGGTGGCCGAAGTGCGCGAGGCATTACACCATGACAGCAAGTTTGCTTCAGCTTCAGCCACTATCGATAGAGCGCAGCTCGTTCAAACATATTTCCCTCGGAACATGCTTGCATGGGTAGGCGGGTCAATTTATGCTGCCACTGAAGGCGCACGTGTCTCGACAATTTCATCGCAAGAATACAGCAGATCCAAAGGAACCAGTATCCCCGATTGGCTTACGGTGGCTCAAGATGGCTTCTAGGAGTTTCAACACAAAGGTTAGTAGATATTGTAATGTTGAGTGCTGCAATATCTCGTTTCCTGCTTCAATTTCGCCATTCTGAGCAGTAAGTGTATGGTATGACCTCGTACTTGTTACTGTCCACTGCAGTCAAGTAGGAGCATTCCTTGCTGTTCACACTTCTGCATGTTTCCGAGCTCAGTCCATGAAGCTGTCATGCCAAGACCAGGTGTTGTCGTCAGCTTGGTGCTGCGCTACTAGGACGCTTATGGGACAATTTGACTGGGCAGAGCTAACTTACGTGGCTTCAAATCTTTCGCTGCGTTAGCATCTTAATATGTTGGCGATTCATGTATTCTCGCGGCGTTCCTCTGCAATAAGCTCGGAGTCTGCCTTTTTGTTCGTGCAGCGATGCGATTGATAGCAGCAGCATCCTCCTTATCCTCATCACTAAACTCGTTTTCGGCTTTCCACAGGCTACTACTGCGTTGCCATTTTCAAATGCTTGCGGTAGGTTTTCGGTTGATGCCCTCCTTCGAAGCAAGAGTACTGGCAGTGAATGACAAGCTGACTCGTACCAGAGCATTCTTGCTGTCGCAGTAACATGGGAGCGATGATGCAAACTCAAGCTTTGATTCAAACCAACATGTCCATTGTAACACCAGTTGCCAGTACTTGTGCAAGGTCAGGATGTCGGTTGATACTCCACTAGTGGTGTACGTCTGGTCGCAAAAATTTCCTGTCACCTGTGCACTTGCTTCATACATTGCACCGCGAATGGCTTAGTTGATTCTGGTTTTACACCAGCATATAACGTCTCCTACAGCGCCAGCTTCTTCATGTTTTGTTGCAGCTACTTGCATTCGTTGAGTACGCAGATGAGTGACAAGCAAAGACTGCCGGTAGAAGACAACCTGAAGCAAGAAGCCACGCACTTAAGTCTTCGTGGCCACGAACGATATCTACATCGTCAAAACATTGACAGACCACTACTTTGGTTGAAGTAAGTTTATCATCTCCATTCAACTGCACGAGTAGCTCTTTCATAGCTTTGCAATCAACGTTCTCGCTATAAAGCTCAACAGTTGTAGACCCCGTACAAATTCACGTTGCGTCGAATACTTCGACGTCGGAGACACCGCCGATTGCTCGCAAAATACGTTACGACGTCTGCTCTATTGGCAGCGAGTTTGCATTCCCTAAGTCGACTTTGTTGCCTGAGCACGCACTTCCACAGTAGAATCGTGTTGTATGGAGACTGTTGTAGCTAAAACCGATTGATGTACGTCAATGTCAATTCATCGTGTAGGACCACGTCGTCGAAGACCAAAGCCCATCGAGGTCTTCTTCAAAGCTGCACCGACTGAAAGAACATCAGCATTCCTTTGTTTGCGAGCCATCGTGATCTCCTGTAATATATGGGAAGGAAAATGCCTGTCATGTCCATATGGACGAAGCAAGCCTTCGACGGACCGACGAAAAGAATCAGGCAAAATTGCGGTATCGTATTGTTTGCATGATACCCGCAAACTGTATTGAGCGCAATTAGATTGCTCTCCCACGTTTCCTGTCACTAGTAGCAGCAAAGCTACCATTTACGCGGCTGGGCCCATGCATCGTCGGGCTTCGAGCCACCTGGTGCCGCTGTCGGTGGGCCACGCTGAGAAAGAGGCTTAGCCCACGCATTTCCAGCTGAGTGGGCACCGCTAGGCTGTGGGACTGGGATGGCAGCACCTCCAGGCGGTGGGCCCCAAGCTGGACCAGGAGGAGGAGGCGGTGGCTGACGACGAACGTGTGGGTTTTGGACGCGCGCGTGGTTGCCACGCAAAATGGACTGGATCTTGGTCGCGGCCTGCGCCTCCGTTAGTGGCAGTGCCTCTGGGAAGGCCGTACCAATCTTTGTGTCCTTACCATGGCCAAAGCTGAAACACTTGATGTTGCACAAATAAGGCCCAAGCTGCACGTGGTTGTTCTCTTGTCCATTGAGGAAGCACATCGTGTACAGGGCCATTTCAAACTCTGGACTTACTCCAATCAAGCTGCAGACAATACAAAACATGTTCAATATCAGCAGATTGTTGATACAGAATTACCTGTCCAGTGCTACCTTGTCGACACGAGCTTCGTTTCATCTTCCCACTGAAACTGAAAAGTAACAAGCTGCTCCTTATTATGCGGCTCTACAAACTTGCATCCACGCTGTCGAGGACGGATATAGCCCTTATAGTTAATGCGGCCATTGCGTTCTTCATTGTACACTTGTAACCAATTGTGACAGCCACATATCTTGCCCTGCCTCGACAACAAATCAACATACCTCAAAACAATCATAAGCAACCGATTTCTCGTTACATGGAAGAGCTCTACACCTCAATCTACCAGACTCACATTCTTTTCTTCTCCCACAAAAACATGTTCAAACCCTGATGAATCATTGCGGACTTCACGTCGATACATTCCAAACCAAATCAATTCAAGCTTTTTCTTAAAGTCTTGAAGATCTCCTGTCACCTTTCTATTCTTTAGCAACCATCTGTTCATTACACGAGAGACTGCATTACTTATTTCCATTACCCCTTAAGCTTCATTAGCTCCTATATAATCAACACGCATGAATGACGTACGCATGTGCATAACGCATGGGTGGCGTCTCAATCACTGCATTCAAGAACGTATTATTCTCCAAAAGTTCTTTTGGTGTGACTCTCTCGGTTACACCCGTCTATATCATGAAAATATCAAGTAAAAGCATTCACATGCCATACATTCCATTGTCAGCAAACCATTATTCCAGTGAAAAGACCATGACAAGGTTCTTCTTTTCAATTTTGTCTAGTAAACACTAACCTCACGCTCGTAATTGTCCAGTAAATGAAACAATAATTGGTAAGTCTTACGTTCAAATATACACGGATCAACAAAGGTAAACAATGCATCACGTGCAACGTCACCATGAGCAAAAGCATTCTTTCCTTCCTGTAGATTAAGCTCATAATGAACATTTGGCTCTAATCGATTCGTATCGAGATCCCATAGTTTATTACATGCAGCTGAGAGACACTTGAGTTCTGTATCTAGGAAGAAGAAAGAGGAGAGTCATATTGAGTAGATAGTAGAGTGTTAGTACATGATGTGTGTGTGGAGACATAGAGAGAGAGGGAGGTAAGAATAGTAAGATTAGCATATACAGGATAAACTCGTGCTTGTCATTATTGATTAAATGCTCTTTGTAAGGTTTTTATGTTTTGAGTTTTGATTTGATTTGAAAACATAGGGACGATTCGTAAGCAAGTCAAGAAATGAATTGCAATCGTCCAGAGGATGACGTAATTGTTGAGACTTCAACCCTTTCATGTTGAATATAATCGAATTTTAATCATCTTTTATTTGCTTTACTTGTAGGTTAAATTGACCTATGATCGATCATTTCCCTTTACAATTGCATACTTTGTCCATCATTCCATCTATGAGTAGCTCAATGATGTGCTCTTCTCCGCATCCTCTCTCACTCTTGTACTGCCGTGCACCTCATTGAGCTCCTTCCTTTCGTCCTCTGGGTGATCTAGCCAAGCTATAAGCACATCATGTGGATTCGTCTTGATCTGTTGCATTCACATCGACTGCTTTACTCGTCCGTCTCCAGTCACTCGCGGCGTTTATTGTCTCTCCGTGTCTTTACATCCACTCGTGCAGTATTACAAGCAGTTGTCGTGCCATCAACACCTGTGCACGAGTCAATTGGTTCCGGACATTGTCACATCTTGGCTCCTGGTATGGGCAGTTTTAAACCTCATCTAGAGCCCCATCAATCGACGTATTCCGACTTTCTACCCTTAGTACCATCCGAGTGTTTACATGTGCGCAAACAGACGATGAAAGCCAAGCAAAAGGTGACGCAAGGTCCATCTTCTTTCACGGCCATGTTCCGAGATATGTCACCTTATATTAATTTCCATCGAGGAACGACAATGGTGATTCATTTACCAGGTCAATTGGTAGCATCGAATCTCTTTAGTGCCGTCATGCACGACATTGCATTGCTCAATACTTTTGGCGTTAAACTCGTGCTAGTAGCAGGCTCTCGTCCACAATTAAACCAACAGCTATCACTTCGAAAACTTTCGCAACGATTTGATTGTGGGATTCGAATTACAGGCCCCACGGAACTGCAGTGTGCAATGGACGCGGCCGGATCCGTGCGATTTCAGATTGAAAGCTACTTGGGACGAGGGATTGTCAATTCACCTGGACGAGCGCGATCCATTAATGTTTCGTCGGGCAACTTCATCACTGCGCAGCCCGTTGGAGTCCGAGGTGGCGTGGACTTTAAAAACACTGGAGAAATGCGTCGACTAAATGTCAAAAAAGTGCGTGCTGCATTAGATGACGGCGATATCGTCCTAATCTCGAGCATTGGATACAGTGCTAGTGGTGAAGTCTTCAATTGTCTCTCCGAACAGGTGGCCAGCAAATGTGCTGTTCAGCTTGAAAGCTCAAAGCTCATCTTTATGCACGACGGCGAAGAGTTGATTGACTCGCGGTCAAACTCAGTAGTACATACACTTGTGATTGAGCAAGCACAGCAGTTTTTGGAGCTCGCACGGCAAAATCCGGATATTAATGGGGACTTTCTATTGTACTTGAAAGAGTCTACTAAGGCTTGTGTGAACGGGGTCAAGCGCTCGCATCTTGTAAGTCGCCATGTTGATGGTGGCTTGCTGGAGGAGCTGTTTACCCGTGATGGTGAAGGCATTATGATCACAAAGCACATGTACGAAGGAATTCGCATGGCTACAACCAATGACATTGTCAGCATCATGCGCCTCATTCAGCCTTTGCTGGACGACGATGTGCTGGTATCGCGTGATCAGGAGCAAATTGAGAGTAACGTGAACACCTTCACGGTTGTAGAGCGAGACGGTGCTATCATCGCTTGCTGCACACTACAACCGTATGAGAACAACTTTGCCGAAATGGGTTGTGTAGCTGTGGACCCAAACTATCGCAACCTGGGCAAGGGTAACGCCATGTTGGGGTACATCATGCGCAAGGCAACATCCATGGGCATTACAAAACTGTTTGCGATGACGACACGAACGGCGCATTGGTTCTTGGAGCGTGGTTTTGTCGAGGGTACATTGAACGACTTGCCTCCGTCGAAGCTAGCCAAGGTCGACGTCAAGCGCAAGTCAAAGGTCTACATCTGTGACATCAGTACGAAAAGAGCTGTTGACGAGAAAGAGCTTCTTCTTCGGATGGAATAACTCCGCCGCTTGTAAACTTGCAATCGAGCAGAATTGCCAGCAGCAATTACTTAGTTTGGAAAAGAAAGCGGCAGGCCAGTCCCCATGTCTTTGCAGAGTAAACGCTCGGATGTTTCCTCCAAATGATGTCCGTATACTCCATGCTCGTTCAACCTTCATTAGCATTGATGAGACTCTCTCCTGACTCTACTTTGCAAATCCGTCTCGTGTTTATAGGCAAAGCTCATGTATCCTCAAAAAACAAGTGCGTGCATCCATGGTATAGCTACAAAGCCTCATGTCGAGCACTCAACAAAGTGTCGATTTCCTGCAGCATCCACAGCAATGTATCTTGAGGTACACTTCCTTCCTCACACACAACTTTGTCTATGCCGTATCATAGATCATTCTAGTAGGAACAGACAGTGTCCTGCTGGCATAACTCGTTTGTGAGCATTAGTCCGTCTCCAGATATACTTAAAGTGCGGTGGTATACTCTGTAGAGATCAAAACACTTGTGTGTCAAGTATTCCGTCGCTTGTAAGCTCATCTCTCGCTGTCTTGACAGCAATTGCCCAATTTGCAGACGGATTCAAACCTTGTTGTTGACATCCAAGGCGCTCGAGAGCAGCAATGATACGCGCTAGTGGTCGATCCTGTACCGTATGAAGCAGACACAACAAGGACATCCATGCTTCATACTTGCACCATTCCTAAGCAAACCAAAGCAAGCAAGTGTTTCCTACGACAGTATTCGCATTACTACAATTACAGCAAACTGCATGCTAAATGACAGTTCTAAGAAATGTATTCTAGGAAGGCATGAACGTCTAATAAGTTTTGAAGATCGAACAGGATATTATCCTGATATCGGATTTTTGGATTTATCATCATATTTAGTACGAAACTACATTTATATCAAGCAATTATATTCATTGCAAATTAATAATAGAATAGCAGCTTCTACTTTTAGAATGGGTACAGTTTTTTAGATGGGTATAGTTTTTCAGATGGGTACAGTTTTTCAGATGGCTACGGATAATTCCAGACAGCTAGGAACCAGTACTAAAACACTATTCATGTGGTGTCAAACTCTTGTGCGCTCCTCGTCTTTACTGCGCTCGTCTCGCACGGCTTCTCAGTCGCTTGTATGTCATACTCTATTCGATAGTTCGTTGCCAAGATCTCTACGTACCTGCATCAATGTATCCCACAGCTACAGCCGATTTTTCACTACTCAAAACGTAGACAACCATGGCGCTCCTAGTACGACTCGTAACGTTTCTATGGATTCAGCTACTGAGTACGTAGGAGTTCCAGGTGTCAAAAGCCCTGGTGACAAATTTGTCATGGTCTATACATGCAGCGTGTGTAAAGTACGCTCAGCCAAGACGATCAGCAAACATGCTTACTACAAGGGTGTGGTATTAGTGCGTTGTCCTGGTTGTGACAACTTACATCTTATTGCGGATAGGTTGGGATGGTTTGAGGACGATAGTACAGACGTGGAGAGTCTATTGCAGCAAAAGGCCGAGAGTGTTCGTTTTGTTACAGGTGATGATGTGCTTGAATTGACCGAAAATGATATTCTTGCCATCAAGAACAAGGATTAGACGACAAAAGACAATCGCAATTGAAAGTTCATTTGTGCAAGAAACATGTCTGATGAAACTACCTACTCTACCTCTGTGTTGCCCCCTGCTCATCCTCAAATACTTGTTCAAGCTGTCACGTACATGGTGGTATTTTCTAGCTTTTGTCCAGCTCGTCCTGCTCGAAGCGGCTATGCTGGGTTGGTTTGTTATCCCTCGGCCAGGCGCTGGAGCCATGCCTGCCGACCTTCACCGCGAAACATAACTTGCTCATGTGTATTCACCTGCACAGACGGGTTGGCAGACGCAAGCTTTGTGGTCTTTGCAAGGCGCGTCGAGTCGATCGTGCTTGTTTCGATGTGGTGCTTGCGCTTTTTGATTTGGTTCATGTGACGCACCATGTGCTCTGACAAGCTCTCTTCTTTTCCATACACACGTGAACATACAGGACACTTGAACCACTGCTTGCCATTCTTCGTCTCAATGATCGGCTGGAGATGTTCAGGCATCACGACGGGCGACAAGTTGGCTCCACTTGAAGTTTTTTCTTTGTCCTCGTCAGGTTTGCCCGCGCATTTGTGGAATTGCATGCCACGGCGAGCATTAAACTTCATTTCACATAGTGTGCATGTAAATGGATGCAGCGTTTTCTCATCTACTGCCTTGTTTGGCGGGAGTGGTAGACTAGCCATACCCGCTTGTTTGTGCTGGCCGATACGAATTCCATTCTGTGCCGAGTACATCTCTTTACTAGTCTCCATATAAGCAGCGATCACACAGCCTGCCACCATGGCATCAAACTGGTGCACATGCTCACGGACGTCACGAAACTCGGCAAACATTTTCTTTGCGCGACTGCCTACAATCTCGTGCAAATCCAAGTTGCTCATCGTATGATCGATCAGACGACATGCTTTTTGTTTCATCTACAACGACGTCATCGACGTAAAGAGACTTTGCAAGGTAGGCGACAATATAAACGAGACCAATCGTACCTGGTCTTTGTAGCCAATACGCGTCCTTCGCTCATCCTTGCCCATTTGACTAAGGTTCATCTCGACAAATTCTGCTGCACGTCTTAGATTCCCAGCCATTTCACCATCCTAAAACAAACCAGCAAGCGTGAACAATGTGTGCGCTCACTCGACCGTTTTTCACACCATCAACCTCGAATTACCTGCGATATCAGTGTACGCAAGTTGTGTCCCGTTGAGAACAACTTATTAGGCGCAGGTCCATGATGTGATTTGTCCTCTTCACCTTCAAACTTACGGTACGCGCTACCTTCGTGCACAATATGATCTTGCACTACTGTACCACACCCATTTCCATCCAATCCATTACAAATTGTGTCACCCCGCGCATAATCTGTAATAAAATTGTTCTGTTCTGTGTTGCCGCATGTCTCGCATCGAAACCGTGGTGCTGTGAAACACCCCAATCAGAGAGAGTGAAGGAAGCAAGCAAGCGCTTTTGTTACCACCTTTTATTCGTATCAAAATGTCCTGCCATGGGTGGATGAATATATTAACCCAATAATTACCTGTTTTCTGCTCCGCATCAAGCTCCGAGAACTCATCAGCGTCCGACTTGCCTGCTTGTTTCATCTTGCGGATCAACAACATGACGTCGTTCACTTGAAGTTCCGGTACCAACAAGTTCACAATCCGTTCCTCCATGGGCAATGATGGTTCTTCTGCTTTTCTAGCAGCTTTAGCTGCACGAGCAGCTTCTTCTTTCTTCGCAGCTTTCTTGGCAATCTCTGCTTTGTTTTTCCTGTCAACCTGCTGCTAACAGCATTAAAACATAGAGCAAAGTCTTTTCAGTTTAAAAACCCTCCATAAACACGTCATTGCAATGCTTTATATTACTATAACAAGCGGAGTATTTTCCACCGATGAGGGGTAGTCGCTATGAACGTTTGTTTCGGCTTGAGCAGGTCCAAAACCAGCAAAAACATCGTCGTCAACGCCGTTATCAAGCGCCGCAAAGAAATCGTCCGCACCAGCATCAAGGTCCATTGATAGTAAGATTGTCGTTAGATAAACGGCTACTGTAGATCACGTCAAGCGGAGAATGCCTTGCGTATGAGAAAGATAGAGACAGAGAGGCGAGTGAGTACGCAGACGTCCTTCTATTAGTTCCTCACTTCTTTCATACAAAGTGAATTGGTGAATGAATTATAGTAATCAAGGGGATTTGATAGATAATAATAAGAGAGAGAGAGAGTTATTAAGAGGGTTGCCACTTGAAAAGTCGATGAGTTGCGACATAGAGGTGTATTGTATAAACCGATGAATGAGTTTGAGAGGTGAGCTGTAGCCACGCTCTATAGTTCTAAACGCTTCTCCTCCTCTTCTGACTCCTGTTCATTAATCTTATCAACTGGATCAGGGTATGAATGTAACTCAGTCTTGAACAAGTACAAGTCACGAATTCGAATAGGATGGGGTAGACCATGCTGTTCCGTTAGCTCAGTCTTGATGACATCGTTGCGTTTTTGGCACGCTAGCTTTTCAGCTGGGTTGCCACGACCAATCACGTGCACACATAACTTCTTGGGAGTTTGTAGAATCCACTCGCGGTAGAGCTGCACCATTTCGCTCTTGCTTAGCGTCTCCATCTCCTTCGCAAGCTGAGCATCCATGTCAAAGGCAAAACGATGTGACGTAATTTCATACCAGTAACGATGTGTCGTCTCCAAAAGGTTATGATCGGGCTCGAGTTTCAATAGAATCTGCGCTTGAATGTGGTCATGAAAGTGCTCGTCTGCCATCATTTTGATTGCCTCTTCAAAGTCAACCATGAAGCGGTCAACGCACGAGGAAATATACTCGGCCGCAAACAGCGATGACTGAACCATCACACCGAAACCCAAAATGCCGTTTGTCACACGAACGGTACATGAAACATCGTAACCTAGTTCTTGCTTGGTGCGCAAGGTGTCAAAAAGTGGTTCTTCCATCAACTGATGCAGTAAGTCTGCATAAGCCAGAGTACGCAACGTTAGTGGACCAATCTGATAGTACAGTTCCACCTGTGTGTTCGTCTCGGACTTGTTCTCGCTACGCTTCTTCAGTAAAAAGCCCATAGGCGTCTCTGGAATAATATTGATGAAACGTCGAGGGAAATCGCGCAGCAATAGCGGTGCTGACACATGCTGCAGCTGGGCTTCGACGTTGGCGATCATTTCTGAAGCGACGGTATGGGATATATTTCCATGCACAAAGCTGGCTAGCCATGTTTTACCCGACCATAATTGGCTAGAGATAAATTTTGTGAGAGATCCCGCGGTGGCAGCCTTGATCGACTCTAGCATTTCCTCTATAGGGAATGACCGCTTTTCCAGAAGTTGCATTCGGAGATACTTTGCTTTCTGTGCAACCTTCATGATCGCATTTTTCGATTCGCGCATCAACTCCTCGCGCATCACTTCAAAACGCGCTTCACTGATTTTGGTTCCACACACAGCCGCAACCACCACTTCAACAAGAATGCCCAACTTGTCGTTGAAGCCGCCAAAGACCAATTCTAGTCCAAACTCTTTTACTTGCAGCGAATATGTGAGCTCAGCTACATTTGCGTGGTACGCATACTCATTAAGTGCATCCCGAACGAGCTTCACGCACAATTGGCTGTGAGCCCGATTGTCCACATTGGCAACCACACTTGGCAAGTGCAGCGAAAGCGCAACATGGGCGCGGGGCGTAGCAAACACACGATCCGGCTTGTACCACAACTTCCCAAATGTAGTCTTCTCACACACGAGGGTTTTGACTCCTGTGGTGTCCACAAGCGAGAAATCTCGCGGAATAAACGGGTTTGGTCGAGGCAAGTGCAACTTGGAATTAACTCCTGCACTTTTCCAGCGCTGGACACTGGTGTCCGTGATATCATTTCTGGAATACTTGACGCCAAACCACTCCTCCTTGACTGCCTATTACCACAGTAACACCACATTCGGCACAACGACTTAGCACATTGTCAAAAGACAAGGCTGCGAAGATGAAGCATGTATACAACTGCTTACCCTTGCTTGAAAGTCTGAGTACTCTTCAAATGTCTTTGAAACGATTGACAGACAAACGGTTTCAGGAGTCAAGTGAGCTAGCACTTCTTCGACAAGTTCTGTCTTGAAGACACCCTTGAATAGGTTATAGCGCAAGATGTCTTCCGGTGCAACATTAAACATTGACTGACATTGATCAACACTGGTTAGCTAAAATGCAAAACGCTCCGTGGCTATGAAGCAGCACTACAGTACTATACCTGCATGATTTCACCCAGTTCTTCGCATCGTTCAACAGCGCTATCCTCTTCCTGGAAGCGAAATGAAATGTCGGCCAGCGCTGCCAACTCGTCGAACACCCACTTCGGACAGCCTTCTACCTTTAGCATGTGCAGATACTCAAAAACAGCGAGCACAATGTCTTCCCAATGGGAAATGCCCTCCAGCGTAAGCTTCATAGTAATGTCAAACTTCGCACTGTATGTACCACATTCGTAGCCATCGGTGTCCGTTACACCTGCCGTAACTGCAGAAATCCAACCTCTCTCCTTTAGCTATAGCACAAACATCTTACACCGTCAGTAAACATTTTGACCTCAGTTGCGAGGCAAGGCTGCTACGTACGTAAGAAAGCACGGATCCTTCGCTTTCATGACCCAGAAGGCAAGCAATGTAATCTGCAGGCTTTTGGTGATGTTGACCGAGAATAGGTGGGATCATCCAATCGAGATGAAGTGTGTGAATATCCCGGACGGGCACAATTTTGCATAGGAAGGATGTGCCAGCACCTTTAGCTCCAAATGGTGGGCCGTTTGACACAAAAGATGGCACCGTCACGTGCTTATTTGGAATCGCACTGAAAGATTCGGTCACCCACTTCTCCAACTCGTCCAGCGTGTTTTCACCACACACAACGAGCTTCATGATGTTAGCTGAGTAGTACTTGTCGTAAAACTCCACGATGTGTTTGTGCACATCAATCCCCGTCTTCTCCGGCAGTTCATGTAGACTCTTTTTATTTCCCCAACTAAAGCGATGATACGGGTGATTTGCAGGTGATACGTCGCACAAAACTTGCTAGAGATTGTCAATCACAATACAAAAAAACAAAAACAATCAGGAGCCAATGAGTAGTGGGAGCAGCAAGAATAGTATCTACATCTCAAACCTGCGTACGAATCCTATCATTTTGCATTGCCTGGCTAAACTCGGACTCAATAGCAGACAATTCTCTTTCCATTGCTTCTGCCTTAAGCAAGGGAGAAATAAAAAAGTGGGCAAACATATTCAGTGCTGGCTCGAGATGAGCCGGTCCTACTTCAAAAGTATAGCTTGTCACTTCATTATCTGTTGCACCATTGCTGTAGCCCCCATGGGCACTCAGGAATGACTCAAATTCATTCTCATCGGGATACTTTTGACTGCCCATAAAGAGCATGTGCTCTAGAAAATGTGCTAGACCAGGTACTGCCACGGGCTCAGCAAAGCTACCAACACCCACAGTAAGACATGCACCAGCACGGCGTCGAAGTTCACCTTCCTGTGTCTCTCTATCATCATCATCAAAACGACCGCCCTCGTCGTCTTCATCCTCGCTGCAGTCGCTATCACTGCCGCTCCTCAAGCTCTGATCATCATCATCTTCATCCTGTTGACTCGATTGACTCTCGCTTTCATTTTTACGGGCGATGGCAGCCATTACATGGGACAGTTCAGCAGTAGATATAAGCAGTACTTGCAATGAATTTGAAAGTGTTACGAGTCGATATTTCTTCTGATCATTGAGCGACTTTGACTGTTCCACAGGGTCCATCGTAGCTCGTAGCTCTTGGATACGTAAGTGAGAATGTACGATGAATGGGTACAGTTTTCTGTTGAGTGAGTACCCATTTTCGCTGCGTTTTTCGGGCGCATTCGTAAAATATGACCTTTTTGTTTTTATTGACCCATTTTAGAACCCCCATTACCAGCCACAGACAAACAACAGCCTTGGGGACTTGTAATCAATCAATCATGAAGCTCGGACGTGGTATTAATATTGAGCACATTAAGCGCATGACGCTGCGTACGGTGAGGGAGAGAACTGAGGGACAATCTGAGACGCTCACGTTTCTGGATGCACTTGAGCGTAACGACTTTGATGAGGCACAGTGCAAACGTGAAGCCCGTCAGATGATGCTTGTATTGGACAAAAAAAGAAAACGCCGCGCTGCTGAGCATCGTTCCACGCTTAATTTTCATGTAATTCGCATGATGAAACGTCACCACGATCCACGTTGCTAAGGATGATTGGCAGAAGAAGACGATAGGAGACGGCGTAGGGTGAAGACGACGTGTCACAGTGTCCAAGTGGAGATGTTATTGGCAGTTGTGTAGAGCACCAGTAGCATCTAATGATCAAGTTGCTTTGGCATTATGTCGCACCGTGTTTACTATGGTGTTGTTGATGTGCTGTCACCGTTGGTAGTAGAATAATGAATCTTTGGTGTACTCTTCGTTCCAAGGCGTGCCATGGCAGCGGCTTTGTAGTGTCTGTTGCAACATATAGATTCATCTTGCTTAACTAAAAGCTATCAACTTGTTACCATACTAGAGTCGACATTATTTAATTTGCAGACTTCGATACATATCGTTCGGTTTGAGAGTGTGATATACACAATGTACATGTCCTACCTAGTAGGAGCAGCTACATACATGTATGTATCTGGCTGTTACTACTTGTGTATGTACTTTTGCAGAGAGGCTGGTGATGTGAATGCCGATCCGATGTACTGAGAACGGGTCTAATTGGTTGGAGCGGACCGGGCATGGATTCCAGTGCAATTAACTAGCTCTCTACATGCGATTGTAATATCATCAATATCATAACTACATGTCGGTCGGTCTTCGGAATAAGTAGCCATTTTTTACTTGCATTGTCAATATGATTGGTAGAAAACAACTACATACGTGCTGGAGATTTAAACCATAAGAAGCGACGCAATAATGAGCGCGTTGGAAGCACAAAAAGAGAATGTGTACCTACATAGTGGCAACGGCGCTAGTGAGTTGCAATTTGTCATTCAATTAAATGCTTGATGCATCTACTTAGCGACTGCATCTCTTTGTATCGTACTAATTGACGTTTCTGTCGTCTTCTCTTCAGACCAAGACAAAGTTGTTTCGACACCACAACGTGGGTTTGTGATTCATAAAGACTCAGAGTCCACTGGCAGAAAAGGTTTGGAAAAAAGATCTGCAGATAAGAGGTCAGTTGATGACGTGTTGGTACGAGTTGTGTATGTGAGCTGATTGGCAGTATCTGTGACCTCTTGCTGTAGACGTGCGCTGGGCGATATCTCAAACAAGCAGCGGGATTGCCAGAGAAGCAACAAATCTGACGGCATCACGTCTGCGAAAAAGGTTGGAGCTATCGAAAGCGTGGAGAAAGAAAAAAGAAAAAGCACTAAGAAGAAGATCAAAACCCCACTGAAAACAAAAGCTGTTGCATCGCTTGAGCCCAAGACAGAGATCAAGCTTTTACGCGCTGATGAAGTACCTGTTAGTACTTTGTGGGTCGCAACCATGTTATTTGTCATCGCTCACCGTTTGCTTGATCGTTGCTTTATTTTTCAGGATGTCGAGTTTGCATACGGCGGACTGTCGTCACCTAAATCGGACTCGGCGTACTTGAAGGGTTTGCACGATGAGATCGTACAAGATATTCTGAATGACGAAACACCGACTCTCTTTGATGATTTTGATCCTGCGCATGGTATCGATACCTGGTGCAATGAGAAAGCAATGCTGGAAAGTGGGAAACCACCATCTCCATGGTGGTCGACGGAATTGGAAAAGACGGACTTACAAGAGAAGGTGGAGGAACAGTATCCAGTGCTTGACGACATGCCACCACCCGATGACTTTTCGAATGATTCTCTTGGCGACCTTGACGCTGACCAATTGCTTGAAGATATTCTTAGTGTGGACGTTGAAGCAGTTTGCACTGAGTGAAATGTTGGAAAATCTCATATGGCTCGAAACAATTGCTCGGGAGTGCGTCGAGAAATTATTCAGGCTTCCATTCATAATATATATTTGCTTCGAAGTATTCAACTCGATATTTTATTGCGTGCCCATCCGCGCCATTGCCAAGAACTTGGCAATAACATCATCTTCTGCACACTGCCAATCATTAATTGATGCAAAAAACACAGCAAGTTGCTCCTCTGGGGAAGGTCCTGTCGACTGCTGCCGAGATGGAATGGGCAAACCATGCTTGATGCAATCCAGTACTTCTTGGGCCCGTTCGACCAACTGCTGCGGTATTCCTATGACCACACATTTGCTTAAATATATATATGTTGTCACACACAGCTTAGCTCCAGCACGCTTACCGCACTTCAAAGCACACGTTAGTGCATTGCTATGCTTAGAAATACCGGGACGCAGCTCAAATAGCGGAACAGCGCTGGACGTTGCTGAAAACGATTCTGGCGCATCTGTGGACGCCATGACATTACACATTATGCGGCCAGTGTCGGATGAGCTACCAGATTGATGGCCATCATTTGGAGTCAGCGACTGGCCGATAAACAGTGACGGCTCAAGCAGGTCGTCACGAAAGATTTCCTGTGTACAAAGTGACATTAGAATATTCAAGTGGACTATTAAAATTAATGTACTTCAAAGTACCAAAAAATGGGTCGTCAACACAACCCGGGGTCTTCCGCTTGTGAAGTTGCATCTGGAAAGATGGTTGATGATTGAACTCTATGATATAATAGTAAGAAGAAACAAGGTACCAATCGGCAAAGTTCCGGCAGAAGTTACGCACCAACAAAGCAATTCCATCGAGCTCAGCCGTTCCTTCAACATAGTAGCATTAGCATAAGTTACTCCTATACGGGACAAAGATATCAAACCTTTTCCAAATTCGTCAATCAAGAACAGCGAGCGACCGTCGCCGTGGTTGAGCATCCATGCCATCTGATCAAAGCAATAGATTAATACACACGCATCGCAATAACGCTGGCTTACGTTCTTTTTACCTGGTTGCAGTCGATCGTAAAGGAGCTTTGTGACACTGTCGCGGATTCCATGCTAAAGATTTAGGTCAGCTCCAAGATGTGTATGATAATGTAAACGTCAATCATACCTCTGAATTCTGCTGAAAACTTTCGTAACCAACCCTATCTCCGCTGCAATGTGTTGTTAAGTCCTGTACATGCTGGACAAGCTTACTGAATCAGACGGACCTTTTTCAGCTGGCACGAAGGATCCGATTTGAGCCATGTATTGCAGCAGACCAACCACTTTCAAATAGACGGATTTTCCTGTTCATGCAACTTGGTTAGATGCCTGCTGAGACCGTTAGCCGACGGAGCAATTTTTGCGCACCCGATCCGTTTTGTCCCGTTACAATTTTCAGCCAGTCGCTAGAATTTAGTAAAACGTCATTGGGGATGTAGTGCTCAACTAGTAGCTCCTGGAGAGGGTGGCGAGCTTGAGTCGCCTTCAAGATGTTGCTCTCACTTATTGTTGGACTAGAAACAAACAGTAAGCATTGCTTAAGACTCAAATGTATGCGCCGTACCGAGTAAAATTGAAGCTTTTTGCACAGGATGCGAACGAGATCAAGCAATCAAGATAGGACATGATCCAAGTCATCTCTGTCGAACACAATAACGTCAGTCTTGGTTTTCAATAAATCAATGACACAGTACGGACCATGGATACTACCCTCGTACTCCAGCAATGCCATCGTTAGCTCTTCCAGAAGTTCTGTGAAAACATACTTTTAGCTTTGCACTACAGATTTTGATCAACCATTCTACAATACTACCTCTTTGCGCATCCAGAATGTAACCTACGCTTATGCACAACACGTTAATCGCCAAGAACAATACAGTACGTAATCTTGCTAATTGCACCATAAATATCCCCAATCGACTCGTCCAAATCGCGGCAGCAAGCATCCTACACAAAGATAGGTTACAAAAGTACGCGCAGTCGTGATAGCATACAACACTGCAGCGCAGTTACCTTGTAATAGAATGTTGTGTCGTCTTCTTGAAATTGGAACACAAAGTCCGGCAACGTGGTGGGGGATTCACAGCAGATGACATACCCAACTTGAGGAATGTACTGGACTGTGATCGATGACAAAGATGGATTTGCCTCTTGGACCTGAAACGCGACCTCCGTCAATACCTGCATACGTAACAATTAGTACGCATGACTCTATCTCAACAACATCTTAATGTCGTACATTGTCAAGATCTTCATAGCGTTTTCGTGCCTCATCCAGCGCTTCCGACACGCCACTTCTAATAACCACTGTGCGTTCTTGTTGGCTCTCTTCAAAATCCACTACATTTCCCAGCAAATTGCTAACGTGAATGACACCACGCTCCCCTATGACCCTTGCAAATAGATTAGGCAGCGAGTTGCTTGTTTCGCTGAGGCTTTCTATGAGGGACCTACCATGAATACACACACAACAGTTAGCACATCGTAGTCAGCCCACATAGCCAGCCCAGTATATGTATGATCGATTATGCTTACTGTGCTTCCAAGAAACTCCCAATGGAGGCAGCAAATCGACACCAGTCACTAACTGAAGCGCAGCGCCTTTTGATGCGCTGAAAAATTCCATTCACATCTCTAAACCGTTTCAGCTTTCCACACTACACCATATTAGAATCAGCGAATATTCCAATAGCTCTATGTGTACAGTCTTACCAATAGTTGCCGAAGCTCATCGTATTCAGTATTCGCGAAGAACGCGACAGAATTATGGCGCTCGGCGATTTGAACACTACTGACAAGCGGAGTTAGCATCCAACGACGCAACATGCAGCCGCCAGATTTGGTCATGGTGCGGTTGAGAAGTCCAAAAAGACTACGATGATGCATTTCTTAGTAGGTAATTGAACGAACGACACTGGTTCAAGTAAAGTAAAACAGCACCTAAAGCCTTCCTTTGCTCGACCAGATCCCTGTAAACATTACATAAGAAAAGTGGAAACGATTGCAAGCTGCGTGTGCGGTACTTCACCTTGATAAGCGACGGATGTGCCTCCTGTAGAGAAAACGGTGTAAATGAATACAAACAGAAAGAGACTTATCGCAACATCAGCCTACATGGTTGAATATCTGAAGGGACTGCAGAGTGGTCTTGTCAATGTACATGAATCCTTCGAGTGCAACTTGCTCCACCGTTGAAAAAAACACGGATTCAACATCATCTAATTGATTCCCGGTCTGCGCAACGTTAGTAGTGTGATTACAAACCTTCTACAACCAAAAGCCTACCTTTTCAGTGTTCAAGTAGAGCAGCAATGCTACAAAGTGCAAGTTAAGATTTGGTATGATAGATAGAAACACCGCATGTCTTACCGCCGGTGGCACGAATCAGCTGAGTGCTCTCAAAATCAAAGAAGCTTTGCAGGAATGTGTAGGTTTCGTTCCTGTTTCCGACTACAAATTTAGTTTACCGATATAGTTTCAAGCTTATCAAAGAGCGAGGGATACCTTGACGTCGATCGTGGTTGAGATTTTCTGATCTTATTACGAGTGTCTCCGATCTGGACATGCCCAATTGCTTGAGTACCTTTTAAGTAGCTGAAATCTGCTTTGGAAAGCGGTGTTTATTCTTCAACAAGCAATTACATACTCCCCCTTCACATACTAAACCTTCACCTGAATGCTACAATATCCCATATTTATCAGCTGTGTCATGCGTTAAAGTCACATAAGAGAACATGTAGACCGCACTTTACCTTTCGGACGCTAATTCCCGTCTTCGTCTGCAGTTTTTCGTCGATCTTCTTCACCATTCGAAGCATTCCATTTGTACTTGCATTTCTAGACGAAACTAGCACGCGAGTCACCTCGAATTGTGTATGTAGTCGCTCCAGTATCTGGTTAGTGTATCATCGTTAGATATGAATCAGCCGTTTAGCCTTGCAAATTCAATAAAAGACGGCTTCACCTCCTCTAGATCTCTTGAATCATCGATTTGTATCTGCAAAGTCTTAAGACTCGTGTCCAAAGCGTTGTAAATTGCGACACCAAGTTCACCTCGATCGAATAGAATCGACATGATGACCAGCTCTTCGTCCTCCGCTTCAACGTCGCTCACGTTAGATAGCACATCTTCTTCCTCTTTCTGCTAAAATATCACACGTAGTTAATGCACTGATGATATATCTCATAAACCCTTCATCATAGGATACCTGGGCTTGAGTTCTTGGCATCTTGCTGTTAGGTGTGCGCACTACGGAATGGTGAGCCGAGGAGTGATGGTCATAACTGCAACATATGCTCTATCAGAGGCTCATCAATCGACTTGATAGGATTTGGAGACACATTTCAATTGAAAAGAGTATCAAATAACCACATGGTAGTCATACTAACGAAGCTGTGTGGACGACCGCAGTACTGCAGTATTGACGCTACTTGTTTGTTGTTGTATGCGATAAAATGCTTGCAGGCATCAGCACAAGTTTTGGAGAATCTCATTACACTCAAGGGATCGACTGAGATCGTGACAGAATTCTTTTCGTACAGTATCAACACGTACGAGTTGTGGTGTCTCCTGATAACGCTCTTGTCATGTACTAATATATACGAATTGACGTGCAGTATTTTGTACCAACGTGGTATCTACCCTGCAGAAAGCTTCAAACAGGTTCAGAAATATGGATTGAACATGCTAGTGACGGATGATGATAAGCTCAACGACTTTTTCACTAAATTCCTCCACCAGCTGTCGAGTATGTATGGACATGTATGGCAGCTTCGGATAGTGCGTTTTGTTTACTTACAGTAGTCGAATACGTGTAGATTGGCTGCTACGTGGTGAGGTACAGAAATTGGTGCTGGTCATTACTGGGATTGAGACGCAGGAAGTACTGGAGCGGTGGGCGTTCGAAGTTCATTCGGAGAACGGCAAAGGCGATAGGTGCATGTGCAACATCATTCAATTGTTTTTGTTAATTCATTGCTGACACAAGTATATTGTGCACATATTGGATTAGTAGCACAACTGCTTCTAAATCCAAGAAGGAGATTATGGCTGAGATCCAGGCAATCATTCGGCAGATTACAGCAAGCGTGTCGTTTTTGCCTCTTTTGGAAGAGCAATGCGCATTCGACCTGTTAGTATACACCGACAAAAACTCTGAGGTGCCTGCACTGTGGGAAGAATCAGACCCCCGCTACATTAATGACTCTGCAGAAGTGCGCTTGCGTTCGTTCTCCACAAAGGTGCGATAGCTGTTAAGTTTATTTGGCGTTTACATGCACTAAACCGCATTACGTGCTATGCAGGTTCATAAAGTCGACGCGATGGTAGCATACAAAAACCCTGAAGCTGACATTTAAGCACTTCGAAATTGCAGCGCTCCGTCTACTTGTCTACTTACTGCTTCTTGTCCATCATTTCAAAGCGCGATAAAACGGTCTCAATGTCCTTAGTAAAGTTCTCTTTACAAAAGTACCCTTCCGCATCGAAGTAACGTCCGACGTAAAGCTCCTCCTTTTTGTGCTTTCCCTTCGTGTTGGCGTGATGAATGCTGATGGTATACTGCGACTCAGAGTAAGGGAATGTCGTCCGCACAAGAATGATCTTTCCAGTCGATCCCTGCACACCAGTTCATACATACATACATCAGCAAGTCTGTGTCGTTGGAAAACGATAGAAAAAGGTTCGTACCGATCGCGTCATCCGCAGGATAATATCCTTCTCAATCAAAGTGGTGTAGATGTACACGAGCGCCTGAATGAAGAAGAACCTGTCAGGCAAGACACAACCACAAATGACAATCAAAAGTGAGCTACAACAAACACATACCACTGGGTAAACTAGCACTTACCCAGCGACACACGAGTAAACGAGCACGTGTTCAGGAATAGCGGGGTGCTTGTAGAAGTGTGACACGGCCGCAATGATTATAGCCAGCAGCATCAGCAGCAGTTTCGCATTATCACGTCCATAGTGTAGATTGAAATCCTTCTTCTCCTGAAAAAACTCCACAATAGTGTCATCCAGCATATTCTTAACGGCGTTCTGGTCGCCTGTCTCAACATGTAGATCTGCTCCCTCGTTCATACCAATCCTCACGTCAGAACACATCAGTACACGAGTACCTAGAAACCATCGCTGTGAAGCAAAACAGACGATACACACCATTCAGCACCATTCCATCGTCCGCGTCCTTGCACTCTGGTGTGGGGGCGACGCTGCTTGATGCGCTCATGATAGCAGTGATTTTCGTTGCTGATGTGGCACTTTTGTGTCGTAATTCCTACGATAAAGCATATGCCTTTATGAAAACATACCGAAACCGACATGAACATTGGTATGCGGTATGCCGTCTGATAAGTTGTCCATCTCCTTTTGAATGCTGAATATACTGAAAAACGCAGCCACTCGAAGCTTTTACCAAGAGGCAACAGCAAATAATTTGCAACAACACCGGATCTTGAAGCTAACGTCATGACTACAACAAGCGTTACAAACAAGGAAATCAAGCGCAAGATGAAACGTTCCAAGGCAAAGCATGATGCTGTGGAATCGCCCGTTGTCTCCATTGGACATGCCACATCCGTCACATCAAGATCACTCGCGTTCGCCGTGGCACCGCCCAAGTTGCAGTCACCAAGTCCCAATGCACGAGGTTTGTTGCTCTGTTTATACTTCTCGTACTACTATTCGGACATATTTGTATCGTGTGTGCATTCACGTGACTCTGATGTATTGTGTGTACGTATTGCTGTAAATGCAGGACCAAAGCCATCTCCAGCAAGCAGATACGACAGTTCATTGGGACTACTGACGAAGAGGTTTGTAGAGTTAATTCAATCTGCTCCATCAAAGGACTTGGATCTAAATACGGCAGCGGAATCACTTGGTGTTCAGGTATATAATTGATTATTGCAATTGTTGGTCGAGTTTTCATAGCAAACGAGGTTTCCGTTGCTCTGACATTTGATGGTTTTAAATCAATGTTGTTGTATGTTGGCAGAAAAGACGTATATATGATATTACAAATGTGTTAGAAGGCATTGGCCTTATTGAAAAGACGTCCAAAAATAATATTCACTGGAAGTACGTACAGTAAACCCAGGCTAGATCAATTGTAGTGACAGCGATGCTACTATCCAAACTGTGATTATGCGTGCATACTGATAATTATATGTTTGTGATGTAGAGGTGCTAACGGACCTAGAGGTACAACTGATCGCTGTCAAGCAATGGATTATTTACGACAAAGCATTTCAGATCTTAGGCAAGCGGAGTTCAAGTACGACCAGCATATCAAGATGGTGAGTCAGAACATTCAACGTCTGTATGAAGAAGAAGCGTTCGACAAAGGCAGTCTCGATAACTTATGCTATATCACACACGACGATATGAGACGGCAAGAGAGCTTTGCAGACCAAAGCGTGATGGCGATCAAGGCCCCACCTGGTACAACACTTGAAGTGCCTGATCCCGACGAAGGTATGCCCGCAGGAAAACGCCGATATCAGGTTTTCCTCAAATCGACAGGTATGAAAAGCTGCAATTTGTAACTAATCGTTTCGTCTCCATCACTTACGTGTGAAGATCTTTCTTATAACTGTTTTTCTAGATGGACCTGTGGATGTGTATTTAGTTCGACGAAAGACTGACGAAAAGGAGACAGAAGACACCTACAGTTCAGCAAAGGAAGCCGAAGAGTTTGCAGTTCATGATAGCCCTGTACCTCCTATGGACCAAGTAAGTCTTGATACTCATCAATGATCATGAATTGGCTTGGTGCTAATACCTTTCGCTGCTTCTTTACATCAGAGATCATACGACTCGGACAGCGGGATCTTCAAGCTCGCACCGCTAAAGGTATTGACATATTTACGTCCTCAGCATACAAACTTGAGAGTAGTCAACCATGTCGTGGCCTATTAACATTGCCCTTCAATTGTTATGAGTAGACTGATCCAGATTTCTGCTTCAATCTGGATGATAACGAAGGCATCTCGGACTTTTTTGCGGATATTCCGTAACGCAACGGTGACGGTCTCTATCATGGTGCAACATGTAGCAAGCTCTGCAGCCTGACATCTGCCTTGCGGGCGACGACAGACGGGGTCCATTCGCACGATCACCAGCAGATCATCCCATTTATTTAAAATCCTGCTAATTTAGCGAGTTGACTCTTTTACTGGGTGAAAACCGCGACTCTAGAAGCTGTTCAGCACCGTTTTGACTCAATCGATGAGCCGGGTGCGACAGCACAAGCACGAGTGCCTGACCAACCAGCAGCAATCAAATAGGGCGTTAGACTTTACGCTTCTTGTGTGTGGTTTGCACTGTTCGGCTTGAGTTTTTAATAAGCATTATTGGAGCGTACCTGATGTAACCTCTCGACTGATTCGCCGACTTCCAAGAAGTAGAATTTGGCCAGTGGGTTTGTGTTGTCATAAGAGCAGAGTTGATCGAAAACACACTGAGAGCACGGTAGCAACGTGACTACTAGTGAAGCTAGCGTATGTTATGCCAGTGAACGTACCTGTGCTGCGTTAAACGGGACATCGTGATGCCAGTAGATGACATCCAGGTGACAAGCAGGATCATCTATAAACCTATTCGGGATCTCCCTGTGAATGACATGGAGCTGTGGTGTCTGCATTGTATACAAGTAACTATGTAAACACTTCACATACACCAAACATCCGTCGCACAAGCAGCAAGTAGCATTGTACCTGTTTGACCTGTCTGTAGATTAGCAACAAGCGAAAGGATGAAGCAGTCTCCTATAACATCAAATTGCAATGTTAACGGTGGTAGCATTCTCCGGGCAATGTAAAATACTCGGTCATACCATATCTTGCTGTGCACCAAAGTAGCAAATTGCATCAGAAAGGAGTGCATCCAGATCCACTGTGCTGTCATGATCAGTTGAGCTAAAGATTCGTGGCACTGCTACCACTAGAGCACCAACATCTCTTGTAAACTATTTCAATGAGCATAACGTACATCTTGTCAGCAATCTGCTCGATTTCAAGCTCATCCTGATTCTTCAGTATCTACCTCCTGCTCAATGACGAGTTTTGATTCCTGCACTTTGGCAAGACTCATGCAATGCTGCAATAACAACAACAGCAGTAGTATATGTCCACCAGTAAGCTATAGTCAAAACCTCTCTACAGCACCATTAGTGAAGGACTCACATCGCCATTCATTTGCATCTTGATTCGAATGATCTTTTGAAGTGATGCCTGTAGCACGAACGTGTCGGTATCTTGCTCTACATCCACACCACACAGACAGATCATCTACAAATACCGAGCCGCACAAGCTTCATTAGTTATTACAAAGGCACGGAGAATGTAAACGATACCACATAGCATCATTTGCTATCTAACGTACTAAATGTTCATGAGCAAGCGTTAGTTGACGAAGTGCTTGCACATCGTCCAGCGTTGGAACGACTTCCATGTCAAATTTACTGATCCAATGGTGCAAAAATGACACAAAACCAAATTGTTTTCGTCACACTGTTCGTTGACAATCACTACACTTCTCGTTACTGCTACCAAGCAAAGCATGCGACCTACGTCACGAATTGTAAGAAAAGAATCAATGGCTTGTACAACTTGTTTACTTTGTGACATGTGTCCTGTCAACTAGATGATACTGCTATATAAACAGTCGATAGCATTGACTTACTGAGCAAGTAACTCATTCATTGACCATCATGAGCCAGGTCTGTTACTCATTGCAAAAGCAGTGTATTTCATACCGACACCAGCAAACTTCTTTTTCCGTTCATCAGCTTCTTTTTTCCGTTGTTCCAATTCCTGTGTACGTTTTGCCCAGTACGTTTGCCTTTTTGCGCGATCCTCAACTACTTTGCGAAACTTTGATCCAGACTGCACCTCTTCCTCAGTCTCGTCACTCATATTGCTGTCCTCACATACCAGCTGCAAATGTGTTACCTGTGTCGTCAATGTCAAAGACAACGTCGTGAGTATTTCCATAACCTCAATGTGATTGATCTGTGGCAATATAGAGGACCAGGCAGGATTCAACGACATACCCACATGTCACGAATCTCTCTTGAATCTGCCTCAACATCCAGTAACACATCACCTTTACGAGACATTACAGTCAATCCAACCTCGCCTACGTGTGAATGAGTCCACAATATCGTAAATACCGTCCCCCAACCATTATCAATGATCACACATTACCAACCACCACGTACCATGTGCCTGGATAGAACTAACCATGTGAAGCTCAATCTTTGTCGTAGTTTTGATCGAGTCGTGTGGCTTCCACAACAATCTGATGGTTTATCAACGGTCGATACACAACATAATGAGCAGTTGAGTCTCAAAAGAACGTCTCAACATGTTACACTTTCGACGCACGTATGTCCATCTTCATCTAGCTTCATATGGACTCGTTCCGTTCCTGTTTGTAGTCCTAGAATTGTTTTTTTCCGCTTGAAATAAGCACCTAAGTATGCAGCAAACAATCAAGTAAACACCATGTACGTAAATTACCAGAGTTTCTTAACTCATTTCGTGTCACCTTTTTGAAGCATTAACAGCCTTTGCATTCCTTCCTGTCGTGCTTGACATTGTGTAAAGCAGTTGAGCTGGTTTCCCATGACGTAGTTTTCTCTCAAATTGACGTTCAACTGATCGTTATCATCAAGTCATTCATTCAAAGGATCAGTCTAAAAAATTTAATTGCTTGCAAAATCCGTATTTCTAACGTTTCTAAAAACAAGTCGACCAACCCTTTCGTCAAATTGTAATGGGATTTTCTTTTCTCGTAAAATCAGTAGATTATACAAAAGTATTATTAAGTCCACCCTTCCGTAATGATAAAAATATAAATCCTATAATATTCTTATTTGTACCAATTTTTTATAAAAAACACTACAAATTAAAAACAATTGGACGTTTTCTTCATTAAATTATCCAACAACAAACGTCGCTCTACTTTGTTCGACCGACGCGTAGCGTCCATCTCATCTCATTCTATTGCTTCCTTTGTGATCTCTCGATCCTATGGGCAATAATAATACCAGTCATTCAACATCGAATCTCACGTCATCTCCTCCTCCTCCGCCTCCTCTTTCTAATGGTCATCGTCCATCGAATTTCTTTGGTGCATTTCTCTCTGGTCGTCGTCTAGACTTTACACTCTCTAATATGAGCACATTACATACCCAATTGACCCATTTTCAATCACTTCCAGATGCTGAAATTGTCGAACTCTTGCGTGTTTTATCTGAATTTCTCATTTATTCGGATCAACATCGTGTGTCCGTGGCATTAGAAGATCAAGTGAGGTCGTCTGGATCGGATTCTTCGGATTCTCACGATAAGAAAACAATGGAAAATCCTGGTGCATTATTTGATTACTTTGGAGAGAACAATATGCTTGCATTATTAGTGGAATTAGGTACAAAGGAGCCGTCATTTCCAGTACAGGTACAATTGTTACAGACTATGAGTATCTTGGTCCAAAATATTGCTACACGCACGTCATTGTACTATATTCTAAGCAACAATTACATTAATCGACTTCTTGAATGTCCATTTGCCGTTGAAAGTGATGATGATGTACGAGATTGGTATGTCACGTTGTTAAAAGCTTTATCGTTACGACTGAACGAAGAAACAGTGCAGTTTTTCTTGGATACTCAACATGGAAAACACTTGAGTTTTCCACTGTATACAAGAGCACTCAAGTTTGGACGCTTTAATGAAACAATGGTCAAAGTTGCCGTGAAAACATTAACACTTAACGTTTTGAAAGTACCGGATGCAAGAGTACGTCGATTTGTATTGCAGTATGATAATCTAAATTACTTTCGGGATATTATTGAGATGGCCAACGACTTGACATTGACACTGCAAGGACTGCTGAATAATTGGCCTTCACCTGAGGAACACGTGCAGAGAACGGCATATGCGGAAAAACTAGAAGAAGCAGTGGACGCGTACATTGATCATTGCTTCTATCTACAGGACCTGTTGGATGTGAATGTACCGGAGTTGTGTTATAAAATCGGAGATCTGCTTTTTTCCCGACATATTAGGTGCTTGTTGGCGACTAGTATCCTGCCAGATTGCGGACCCCCGCCACAACGAGTTTCGACACAGCTAGCGCTCTACCTGCTTACTAGACTTTTGGGCATTTTGGAGCATGCACCTCTCGTGAATGCTATTACTTTTATGCTGATGTCGCCTGACGCGGCAGAAGACTGTGAGTACTCAGCAGTAGATCTTGGAACGGGGTTTAGACGGCGGCATAGCAGCTTGCATTGCTTGGAATCGGTGGATAGCAATGACGACGATGAAGATACCGTGACAACAGACAACTCGCTACGACCGCTATCTCCTCAACCTTATTTGCGATGGGATACGGAAGCGCCTCCGATGCATGTGTTTCGTCCTCATTCAGCAGCTACGTGCGAGTCATCGTTGTGCTACGTTCAAACGCGCTTTGTTATGGGTGAATGGCCAATCGAGGAGGTGAAAACATTTGTCCCGCAGGGCACCAATTGCTACCGCCAGTCTCTTCTCTCATTGCTGTGTTCAAGCGATGAGCGTCTCTCTTCTACAGTTGTGATGCTTTTGCTAGCCATTGTCAACAACAAGGCGGTAGACCATGCTTTGCTACGGGAACTAGACATGCTACCCTTGCGGCACCGCCACGGGAATTTTGCGGATTGTGGTGACAAGCGGACAACTGCTAACGGTCACGATGAGTTCACGCAATTGAACGAAATCGAAGATATTGTCACGACCGACGGCTTGGTTCTACCAGCCTCTACAGCCCTGTCATCGCCGTATAAATCTTCTGACTCGCAAGAAATTCAAGAGGAGTCTAAAAAAGATGTTATCGTCGACAAGGTCGGTGTGGAAGATTTTTCACTAAGCGAAGATGATGATGAAGTGTCCAACGCTACTGAAATAGACAATGGTTTGTCGTGCCGTACCGACGCATACCCCTTTTGGTTAGTCGAGCTGGCATTGGAGGTCCTTGTGCAAAAGCAAAGCTCGCGCTTGTTTAGCACGCAACTGTGCGCGCGCTTGCTCGTGGATATTGCGGGGGACACACGCATCCCGCCTTCCCGTTGCCTCACTCAGCAGCACGCTACAACACTTAAAAACATTCACTCAAGTAGTGCATGCCTTGTCATGGAGAGTATGCGCGGTGTAATGGCTGACGTGGATCTGTTCATTTACGTGCTAGAAAAAGAGGTTGCAAATTTTCAGCGGAACTGTTTTCCAATGGAATTGCACCTGGATTCCTCGTCACCATTTGAATGCCTCATTCCACTTGAGAAAGAGGAGGCTACTACCTCTCCAGCGTGGGCTGGTTCGCGGGACACATTACCGCTGCGCTACCCCGCAAACGAAATGGAAGAGTGTCGTAGATCCATGCGGGTGTTTCTTTCACTTCGAAAATTGCGCGAACTCCTCGACCCAAGCTATGTAAACGATAGGCTGGAGCGGTTTGTTGTCTACCGTCACCCGCGTACAAGTGTACTTGCGAATGCTGCGTGCGGTAGTGGCTCGTCAGCGCCATTGAACGGTATGGTATCTCTCAGGTGCATGTATCGCGAACAGCGGTTTTTGCTGATGCCGACGCGGCTTTTGATGGTGATGAATCCCGAGGCATTTGTACTTGTGGAAAAGATCCCCGATCAAAATGACGACAGCAAGTTGCATGAAGGGGAAGGAGAAGGCATTGTAAAGGTATTTGCACCAATTCACCGCACTTACTGTACCATGGATCCACGAGATGATCGTGTATTGCAAGTGTCGGTGCGCTCTACACTACCTGTTCCAGGTTGCCGAAGTGCCCGGAAAGGCCACCAGAACGCATCGAGATATAATCAGCTAATGGACTGGAACGTTTTGTTGATGTTCCCGACCTCGGAAGAATGTGCCCAGGCTCAAGCACATATTAATATCAGTGGGACCGAGGTGCGCGCGTATAAAATGCACCACATTGAGAAGAGCCTCATAGCACAAGTAAAGGTGACTCAGTCGTGTAGCAACGAATGGCGAAAGTTGTTTTTCACAAACGCTGCGTTAAACACAATGGGCGGTAACAACGAGGACAAGAGCAGAGCTGAGAGTATTGGCGACGACACAAAAGACAACGGTGCTGAAGGTGAAGACGAGGACGACGACGGAGAAGACGAAGAAGAAGAAGCAATAGAAGAAAGAAGCGGATAAAGAAGACCAGAAAAGACAAAGCGAGTGAGAAAGGCCGGCGTCTGATCGAAAGACGAGTCAATAAGAAGCATGTCAAATCTACCGCGCGAGACTGCTAGCACCGGTGCCACCTACCATTCTGCGGCTTCACTTGCAAGCATCTGGCATGACATCGAATGGCTTCGCTAATAATTGTGTTGGAAGAGCACTGAAGTATTGCCGGCAAGGCTGAGCAACTTATTGGCGTTCTGCACAACGGCTCTCGTAAGCCCAACATTGAGCAACAACCAATTATGATGTCTATGACCTCTGAACAGTGCCGTAATGTTTGTCTCAAGAGCGCGCATGTTGTCCGGTGTGGCATGTGATGTATGTATGTATGTGACGTGAAAGTCATGAGCAAGTCACGTTGAATCAGTTCAGCTCGTCATCGCGTTTACCATTATCTGCTGTTGACCGTGGAAGACCCATATCGATTGTCATAGTGGCAGTCTTATCGTTGTTGTCAGCTCTTGAACGAAAACATCAACGGACCGTCGTCTTTGTTCCTACACCAAAGATGACCCTTGGTCTTGCGTCAGTCCTGCAGCGTTGCATCATCAATATGGCTACTCTAGGTAGTTCTTCTGGAAGTGTCCCAAAAGATGGGGAGCACTTGCAGCTCCGTGAATGATGGCCTGGTATGTCTGCAGTAAAGTTCGCGTCAGGAATAAGATGGTGCCTATCCCAGCTGGTTGAGCTTACATCGAAGGTTCGAGACCTCCAACGAAGCATTTGCGAAGGTGTAAGCAGTACCCGTGTGAGCTGTCGGTTCCAAATCGGGCGGAGGATCGACCTAGGTAGTCGCTATGGACGACGTCTTGTAATTAGTCTCAATGCATCGTATCATTGCCACAGAACGAATGTGGCGCTTTAAACATGTTGGTTTCATTCAACAAACGTTGAGCTGGCTATCATGGGCATTCTAGCTAGATTGGCGATAGCGGCTACCTGACTCGGATAGATGACCACATATTTAAGGCACAGCTTTGACTACGGACCAAATCGACTCGCACAATGATTCCAGCATCATTGCCGTCCTTAGCTACCAGGATCTTTGTCTTCCGCCAGCGCTTTTTGAAGTTGACCTCTCCTTCTGCAAGCTTTGCTGCGCTTCCATTGCGTTGAACAGCATACGGCATGCCAGTACAATACGGACAACGTCTTGAAGTGCATTATAGCAATGCCACGCTCAAACCAAGCGCAGGCTCCTGTAAATCAGCACATGCAATCCTAGGCTCGCCAAGGTTACGCTGCCCTGCTACAAACGACGTGTTCGTCTTGGTATTATTGTATCGGTTCTCATTGCGCAAGCTCCACAAGGTCAGACATCGGTCTCCAAATTAAGGCTACTCCCAACGCAAACGCACCGAAGATGTTCTAGTAAAGCAGTTAAGCTATTATCGAGTCGTGCCAGCCTCTTGCTTGACTTGACCACGTTCTCCACAATAATGAAGTTGCTATCGCCACAATTGAATAAAAGAAAACATTCCATGGTATACCAATCTTCATTCTCGGGTTATGACGTTCGCCGTTTGCGGCTCTTGGCCTTTAGAATGCGTCTACCTTTAGCATGCTGCGGAGCAGCACCGATGTTAAACCCACCGTCAGCGGGAGCGCCAAAAGCTCCTGCAGCAGGAGTTCCGAAACCAGAAGCAGGGGTAGTAGCCCCGAAAGATGTGTTTGGAGCGGCGCCAAACGCAGGAGCTGCTTGGTGGAAGCCAGAGCTCGGTGGGCCGCTGCTGAAGCCATTAGGTGCACCATATCCTGGAAATGTGGACTGCGGCGGAGCAAATGCCAAATCAGACTGGTTACCGAAGGCAGGCGCAGGACTGGAAGTTCTGAGCCACCAGGTGCGGCGCCAAATCCACCGGTGTGGCCACCGGATCCGAAGCCACTTACGACTGCAGGCGCAGCTCCATATCCACTCGGGGCTGGAGCACTTGATGCCCCGAACGAAAACGCTGACTGGGTTGCAGCCGGGGTACGAGGCACTTGATGCCCCGAACGAAAACGCTGACTGGGTTGCAGCCGCGGGTACGAGCGCACTTGCAGCGGGAGATTGGCTTGATGTTTTGAAAGAAAACGCTGGTGCAGCTGGAGCTGAAGATGCAGAGGTACCGAACGTCGTCGAGGGAGTAGCAGTAAACGTACTACCAAAGCTTCCTGCGTTTGCTCCAGATCCAAACACATTAGACGTGTTCGGTCCACGAACAGTCGACGTAGAACTAAAACTCGATGTGCTTGCAGACGTCTGGCCAAACGTTGGAGATCCCGCTGGTTTGACAAAAGACGAGCCGAACGTAAACGCCGGCGTCGAAGCAGCAGCCGATGACACCTCCGCGATTAGAGGAGTCGACGTTCCCGCTGGAAGCGCCGTTGGCACAGAAACTCCAAAGCCAAACGCGGGAGCAGAAGACGCAGCAGCACTAAAAGCAGGGACATTACTAGTAGCAGACGTCGTGTCCTGGCTGAAAGTGAAGCCTGCAGGAGATGAAGTAGATGTTGGAGTGGCTTGAGTCAAAGTAGCACGGGCTGAAGCAGACGAAGTAAGCGCCGAAGTGGATGCCAAAGCACCAAATGAAAAAGCAGGAGTCTTAGACTCTGCGTTCTGTCCAAAGCCAGCGGTAGACTTGGGTTCTGCTGCCGACGATGATCCAAACGTAAAACCAGTCGCAGAAGGCAGTTTCTGCGCATCCATCGGTGTGCTAGCTTTTTCGGTAGAGGTGACACCAAAGTTAAAAGTGGAAGATGTGGACTCTTTCGGGTTTTGCGTGGTTCTAGAGCTGCTTGATCCACCAAAGTTGAATGAAGGTGTCGACGAAGATGTCGTAGCGGGCTCCTTGGCTGGCACTTGAGGTGGCTTTGAAGCCATATTAAACGCAAAAACCGATCCGGCAGGCTTTGAGCCGGACGAGTCTGCAGACCCAGCCAGACGCTTCTTCGGCCGATCTGATTCGTTCGGACGACCTGATTCGTTCGGACGACCTGATTCATTCGGGCTCACCTGCATCGGCCCCGAACCCACGCCAAAGCTGAATCCAGCGTCCGCCTTAGTGTTCGTAGGCATGGCCATACCAAAACTGAACGACGGAGCAGAATCGTTGGTTCGTGCTTCGGCCTCTGGTGTTTTACGCTTGCCCTTGCTGTTGCTGTCAGCGGTGTTGGTATTGGTGGCACCAAACGTGAACCCACTCGAGACACTCGCTAATTTCGTAGCTGCCGACGCTTGATCTGGAGTGGGCGTCGGCGCTGTCGGTGCGCTAAAAGAAAAAGATGGAGCAGAAGCAGCCTCACTGGTCACGGCAGACATTTTCGTCAATGCATCATCGGTCTTCTTTACAGAAGCAGAAATTCCAAACGAGTTCGGAGCAGCGCTTGCAGAAAAAGCCGCTCTCGCATTCAATACAGCGGTAGCATCAGAACTTAAGTCTCCGGCAATCTTATTTTCCGAGGAAGCGACAGGGGCTGTAGCACTATATCGTTCCGACGTAGTTGCCGTGGCAGAATTATCACCATCCTTGGCTGCAGCAGACGAAGGCGCACCAAAACTAAATCCGCCCGATGTGATTGCCACGGCAGAACTATCAGCATTCTTGGCTGCAGCAGACGCAGGTGCACCAAAACTAAATCCACCCGGCGTGATCGCCGCGGCAGAACTATCAGCATCCTTGGCTGCAGCAGACGCAGGTGCACCAAAACTAAATCCACCCGACGTGATTGCCGCGGCAGAACTATCAGCATCCTTGGCTGCAGCAGACGAAGGCGCACCAAAACTAAATCCGCCCGGCGTGATTGCCGCAGCAGAACTATCAGCATTCTTGGCTGCAGCAGACGCAGGCGCACCAAAACTAAATCCACCCGGCGTGATTGCCGCGGCAGAACTATCAGCATCCTTGGCTGCAGCAGCCACAGGTGCACCAAAACTGAATCCACCCGACTTGATTATTGCCGCAGCAGAACTATCCGCATCCTTCGTTGCATCAGACGCAGGTGCACCGAAACTAAAACCACCAAATGTAGCAGGCTTCTCTTTATCATTTTTCGAGTCCACAACAAAAGGGACTCCGAAGCCACCCTCCGTAATCGAGCCACCTACCGGCTTCTCGGCATCAATCGTTTTATCATTTATAGTGGTCACACCAAAGCTAAAGCCACTAGATGTAATTTCTCCAAAAGCGTTTTTTAACGCCGTCGAAGAAATCTTTTCTGCAGCATCACCTCCGGGCTTAGCTGTTTCACAGCATGGGCACTTCGCACTTATCGCCTCGTTCAAAACGCTACATGCAGGACACTTCCATTGCCCAGGTTTCAGCTGCATGAATCTGGCAAGAGGATTCACAGCACCTGTGAGAGAAGCAGGAGGTGCAGCACCCGTCATATCTGAACTACCCTCCTCATCCGTAACAAAGTTTCCTACGTCAGCCTTCGGCTTCTCGAGCTCTTTAACAGTTGGTGGCTTTGATATCCACTCAGACACCTTCATCTTGGGTGACAAAGGCACAAAGTCGAATGGAGGAGCGTGGCCGCCATCCTTACGTGCAGTCTTTCGGTTGGAAACTTTCACGGGTGGATCACGCATACTAGGCGGAGGAGAAAACACAAATTGAACACGAGTATCTTCGTCATCCACTTCCGCCTGCTGCACTCCTTCAACACGAACCGGAAGTGTAAATTTGAACTGGCCTGTCGTCTGATACTGTAGCTGGCCAGTTGCAAATATCTTGGCAATGGGTGCAGGGGTCATAGATATCACCTGTGGCGAGAACAACGAGGCCACGCCGTTTGACACAGCATTAGCGCTCTTTAGAGGAGTATCAACCACAGTGCTCTGTGTGCCACCAAACGACGAAGCAGCAACTATCGCCGAAGGTTGCGGGAATGCCACGCGAGGGACGGTAGTTGTCGGCGGAGGCACGTCATCGTTGTTAGCCTCCGCTTCATTGCCAAGGCTCTTCTGTTGACCATCCACCAAGGACAAATGGTACTTCGCCCATGACATCGATGTAGACGGTGTCGGCTTCTGCGTCTCTCGCTCCAGCGGAGTCTGCAACTTGTTGAGCGTCGTCAAAATCTTCTCCACAACAGCAGCAGAGTACGCGTTGCGCTCGGAGGCGTTACGCTTAGCTCCTGTCAAAAGACGTGAAGGACGCGGCTTTCGCAGAAGGCGTTCCTCACGCGTAAGCAGTCCGCGCAAAGAGGTTCCCGAAAAGATAGATTGTGCGTTCTCGCGATTCCTAGGACGTTTGGAAAAGGGTACACCATCCGCAGATCCACGCTTCCTTTCGTTCTGAATGACCAAGGAATCATGGCTCGGATTAACAGTCAAGCCAGACATATAGCCTGGAAACGACGGTGGACCTGGGAAGCCCCGCGTGAACGGGCGCTCAAGACCGTTGGCCAAAGCAGCTTGTGTCATCGCCAGCTGCGTCTGGGGCGTTGTCTCCACCATTTCATGCAGTTGATGCTGCAGTCGCTCATACTCTTCGAGTGTAATGGTCTTCATTTCTTTAATCGCCGCCAGGGCCGAGTCATAAGGCGACGTTGCAATAGATTTCCTGCGACGTTGAGTAATGCTGCGCACTTTCTTGGACTGCTGTGAGGGTCCAGGAAGAGATACACAATTATCGTCACGTTTTTCCTCATTATCAAGACAATCTTCACCGTTTTCACTACCACTCTCACAAAAAGAAGAAGCAGAAGAAAAGCTCAGTGTCTGAGATCCTTTCTTGCTTTTGTTTTGTCTCAAAAATCGTGGCGATGTCTTCTTCTTGTGTGTGACCTCATGTTTCATGGGCGACGTAGCAGCATCCAACATGGTTTTCTTTATCTTTCCTGCACACAACATCATCTCCTCCTCCTTCTTCTTTTCCTCCTCCTCTTCTTCTTCATCATTTTCCTGTGTTGTCTGAATGTCGTCTTCCATCTCGCTATCTCGTGTTTTTACGTGATCTTCTTCCACTTCGTCTTCTTCTTCTTCTTTCATTAGTTTATTTACTATAGGAATATAACTAGCAAGACGAGAAAAGAACCCGTCTCTGCGTGTAGACGACGTCTCTTCATCCCTCTTTTCGCCTCCTTCAACATGTTTGAACATAGAATAAGGTGCAGCAGCCTCACGTCGACGGTGACGTGCCTGTACGCGACGCACTTCACGATGCAATGGTGCCGTGGATGACGACAGAGACATTATCGGCAGATTAAGAGTGAATGTAATGGTTGCAATATATGTATGGGTGACCTCTTAGTATCAACCACTCCCTTTCGATACTGAAATCAAGAGGTTAAACTATAGTCATGAACTTATAAAAACCTCGGCACGTTTGTATTGAAATGTGAGATTGCGCACCTTTCTCAGTTTCATTTGAAATTTTGTATTATAAAATTACACTGACACTTTGTATTTTGGTACCAAAATTAGAGTTTACTATTAATTATAACTAAATATATGGTATGAAAGCACCCTGCTGCTATTCACAACATCCATTGCAGCAATTGTCTATTAGATTCTCGAGTAAACAAACTCCCACCTGTTACATATCGTTCAAAAAGGTCAAATTGAATTTTATCCGGTATCCTCCATTGTCATCTTAATCATCGGAATCCGAATACCGCACATGAGCTGCTGAGCTGGAAAAAACATTCTCGACAATAAGATTTGATATAGAACATGTCACGTGGCACTTGCTGATGTTGATTCAAACGCTTAATAGATAATGCCATTGCAAAGGGCGATATGACTACAATAGAGCCCTCGTTCAACCAACAACAGGCATTAGGACACTCATTACCTGATTACTACTTCCACTCAACACCCAATCTTCACCGTCATCGTCAACATGTAGTGGAATGGTCTTCATCCTCAAGATATTCCTAAGCTCGCTTGTGCCAAATCTTTGTCCATGTCAAGTCGTCCTCGTTTCATATATCCCCATAAACACTGTGCTTATTCCTTATCCACCATAATGCTTCTCCCAACGATCTTCTAGTACCAAATGAGACGACAATATTCATCCAAATCAAATGCACCACAATAGTTTATTGCAGTCAACAGTCAAATTACCTCTCGCCTTGATTAACATTTATCAGTAAATTAATCAGCCATCCATTTCGTATGATGTGCCTGTGATCTATCGGCCTTTCGGCGCAAACACCATATAAAGTCTGCTAAACGGCTTTTACCGACACTGTCTTCAAAATACACTTTTATGGCTTATTCTCGTTCCAAAGCTTCTTCTTTTACCTCATTAATGGTCAAATAAGTCTGTGGAATAAGTGGAATACGATCAGCATGACGATTTCCTGTGTCGGTGCTTGCTATTCAATCTCTTAACCCAGTTTTACTTCACTTCATTTTGACGTTTCCTTCTGAGTATTTTGCCTACACACCTGCCACATTAGTTTGGTGTAGTTGTACTTTTGTACACTAGGCTTACACCCCTTTTGTGTAACCGTACCTAAGGTACAATGGTAGAGAGACCCTTTTTGGTGTGACTGTACTTAAGGTACAATGCGTCGCCATAGTACTTGGTTAAGGTACTATGGATATGTATATATAGTAGGAAAGCAACATAGTTAGTTGAATAAAATGACTAAGACTAAGTATAGAGCAGGTGCTTCTACATTAGTGCAAGAAGGTGAAAATAAAAGAAATCAAATTGAAACCTGCTCAGTTAAGCATTTTCTGCTTGAGCATATGCCTTGTGAAGGAAGTATATCGGTAATTCTGGTTCCATAAAAGACGTTGCTTGTATACAAAAAGAAGGCAAAAGCTTGTGATGCTAGCCTTGAGAGGAACAAGAACCCGAAGAAGTAAAACTCGTAAAGCCAGTCCTTCCCTCCGCACTGAGTGCGTATAGTAGCTTGGTTTACTAATAATTTATTAGTTTTAGGCGTAAGTAGAATTAGCATAAAAGAAAAGTAAGGATAGAAGTAAGACAACAATAGCAATAGCAAGTAACCGCGAATAGAACCAAGCCGTCAAAGACACGCTGCCTCCAAGAAGGGAGGAATACATCCCGATGGAATGGCCAATGCCTGCAGCCCTGCGCCACCGATCGTATAGTAGCTTGGTTACGGTAGCTCGGTCACACCTAGTAACACTTGTAACCAATATACAGATTATTTCCAGTAGAGACTTTGTCAATATGTCGGCATCATGATGTGAATCTTGGGACCACAATTCCTTCTTAAGCATGACAAAAAACTTGAAACGTATATAAACTTGCTTCGTGCTCGATGTACACTTCTAATTCTCGAGCTAACCGGATTGCCCATTCCACACTGTCATGGGCTGCACACGCGTAGCTTCAGCTCATTTAGCAACTTCTTAATCTTAAACAACTAGCGTTCAGTATGCGAACCGGATATGAATTCAGCCTACATCTTACTCAATGATACATTTGAATGCTTCTTGCATAACCAAGGCACGACCGCACCGTTCATTGTTAGCACACATCCAGACACAGACTTACGGTTAGTCTTTGTCGGCAGCAAAACCCTCGTCGCTTTAACATGATCTGGATATCTCTCGACGTGGTTTCTACACCATTACATGCAACTCTAACCTTGCAACATCTTCAAATATCTAACAAACGCTTTGCGTATTTTAACCTTTTGCTTTCGACTCGTGCGTCTGTCTCATGGCCTTGTGAACAACGAAACAAACGTCTGGACGCGTGCATCTTGCTATCTATAGTAGGCTTCCCATCAACGGTTGAAAGAATTCACATTTAGCTTACCATCGCACCGCTTGCAGTTAGGTGAACCAAATTTCGTCTATCGTCCAGATTGCACTCATCTCCGATTGGGATCCGTATCCCGCTCGCTGATTCCAACCCAAAATCGTTCAGCAGTGTATCGATCATGACCTCTTGATATAAACATAACCATATGAGTCGTACCTCGCAATCCGTAGTCCTAGAAATTTTCTCACAGCTCCCAAGTCTTAAATAAACCATACTTTTATTTTCGCAGAAAATCGTCGACAGCGCTTTACTTGGTGTCTGTGACTAACACGTCATCAACATATACACCGACTACCGTGCACGTTTCACCTTCGTACTTTTGATACAAGCATGTGTCCGTCGTGCACTGTTAAAAACCAACTTGAATCAACTTCAGAAAGTACATGTAAAAGTCTGGTTGAACAAGGGCGTCGAGTCGGCCAAGAAGACTCTCGAATACATGAACCTAAGCGGCGTAGTGGGTGACATTGTTGCCAGTCCAAAACTTTCAGTCTGGAAAGAATACGTCAACGACTTCAACAAAGGTCGCACTAAGAGAAAATACGCAACTGACGTTTAGTGGCTAATTCCAACAATGCTGCTGTGTTTAATCACTCGAAGCGTTATGGAAAGCTCCTGAAACAAAGGACATAGCCGCGAGGTTTCAAAATAAGCTGACAGATACCTAAGAGAGATTGCCTCGTCACCCAGGCGAAGTACTCAAATTCATGGGGCTTCATAATGACTTTATGGTCAACTTGTTTCTTGAATAAAAATAAAGTGTAGACATTTGCTCCATAGTCTATCCGCTTGCTTTAGTCCATATAGTGATCTCCTTAGCAGTAGTGCTAGCTCATTCAAATATTGCACTAAAAACGATTAAGCTTCTTTTAATGAAAAACCATGCCCTTGGGCACCTTCACGTAGATATTTAGGTGCTCCTCTTTTCGGCCTTAACGTATGCATTTGGTGCATCACCATGACGTGCCGGTACATTCCACCGCCCAAAGAGCCACCAAAATCAACTTGACCGTTTTCAAAGAATTACGGCCGCAATAGTCAGCGTATAGTCAGCTTCACATACTTTCTCGTTACCGAAAACAACCAAACAAGCCTTTTATTGTTGGGTATCTCTGTTTGCATTAGTCTTAGTCTAGTTAACCCACTTGTTATGCAAAACATGCGGTGGTACCACAATATCCCAAACGTCAATTTCGACTTTAAAGCATCCATCTTGTGAGCCACAGCAATCATTTTATGTTTTCGGTGGCTACTTCTGATTGCCACACCATAATGCTTTGACTCTTGCACCGTGACTGCATTTACGATCACCCGTTGTTCAACCAAACCTTCGTCCTAGGGCCTGCCCGAATTTCGGCGCGCCGAGTGCTGACCTTATACCAATTTGATCTCTAGTCCAATCCAGATTTCGACTCTTAGAGCTCTTAGTAACACGTTCTTCACACTTGGGTGCAGGGTGTAAGCACCTGTCCAAGAATCGTTTATTGACTCTTCCTGACGGTTGACCGTATCCAAGTAGGACTTGAGCTGTCGATTTGCTACAGTGTTTCCATGCTTTGCGCATGTTGTTTAACCACAACCACCTTATCCGCTGGGATGTACACTCTGTGCCCCTTCTTCTTGCTGCCCTTTAAGGCCAAAGAGAGGAGCACCTAAATATCTACTTGAAGGTGCCCAAGGGCATGGTTTTTCATTAAAAGGAGCTTAATCGTTTTTAAGTCCTAACTTTTGTCACATGGTAACAACTCTTCCAATTGATAGGAATGACTCTGTAGGCTTTGTTTCCTACTTCTTTAGGTAGTTGTTGCTCAGCTGCTTCAATTTTTACTTCGTATTGTTTGTCTTTAATGCGTATGAGAAATACAGAAATACAAGCTTGGGGATACCAGGATACTGACTGACCATTCGTCATCACACTCAAGTTACTCGCGAAAGTATTCACTATTATTCGATATCTACGTATATTGCGAGTAAAAACCTCGGTCCCAGCAACGGTACAGCAATACTTATGCTTCACATGTAGTAGTATAACGAAACAACAGCAAGCAGTACAGGTTTCTATGTAGCAATGGCCTTCATTTATTAGCAGCACCAAGGCATAGTTGGCTCGCTATCCGGCGTCTAAGCTAATTCGCATGCATTTTGCCCACGCACAAACAACGGTCTTATACCTTCCTCTCAAAGCAGATATTGCACAATTCTGACACCTCTTTCAGTACCTTCAAAGCCATGTCCATATCCTCTCTCGTATGAGCCGCTGATATGCAGAAGCGTACGCGAGCGAGCAGCAGCGGCGTCGCAGGAAATCCTACCGTCACCACGGCCAAGTTGCGCTTTAAACACTCGCGAGAAAACTCACCTACCTTTGACATGTGATACAACATCACCGGGATCACAGGCGAATCAAAGTCACCCAGCGTGACCACACCCATGTCCATCAACTTCTGGCGAAAATAGTTGCTATTGTCGCGCAAAGATGCAATACACTTGCGGCCAAGGTCGGTGCCGTCCCACCCAGCAATTATGTTCAGCGCCGTCAAAACTTGCTGGGCGACCACCGGAGACAAACTTGTCGCGTAGATCGCGCCTGAACTTGAATTGCGGATAAAACTAATGATCTCTTCTGACGCAGCAATGTAACCACCCATACCACCAAAGCTTTTGGAAAACGTGCCCATCAAGACATCGATCTCGCTAGGGTCGACGCCCGCATACTCACAAATACCGCGACCAGTACTACCCAGCGCGCCAATGCTATGAGCCTCGTCCACATAGATATAGGCTTTGTACTTCTTCGTGACGTCCACCATTTCGCGCAGACGTACGATCTCCCCTTCCATGGAGTAAATACCCTCAATCATCACTATGATCTTCTTCCACGGACGGTGCGTCCGTGGCTGACCTTCCGCAATTTTTGTACGTAGTACCTTCTCAAGGTGTGCAGGGTCGTTGTGCTTAAACACGCCTACTGAAGCACCCGATGACCGTGCACCATTGACAATGGAAGTATGGTTCAGCGCGTCACTAAGAATGAGTGTGCCTTTTACCGTGAGAGCGGGAATACTGGTTGCATTAGTAGCGTAGCCCATGTTGTACACAATACACGATTCCTTGCCAATAAATTTGGCCAACGCTTTCTCCAGTTCAATATGTACCAATGTCGTCCCAAACTCCATGGGTGGTACAGTAGACGCTAGTGCAAACTGTTTCACCGCAGAAAAAACGCCCTTACTGCATCGATTTATCCAGTCATCTGCAAATCCTAAATAGTTATACGAACCAAGATTCACACAGCGTCGGATACATCCATCTTTGTTATGTAGTGTCTTGTTCTCATCCACGGAATAGCGTTCAATCAGGTCAATCTGGGCGCCTATAATAGCGTAAACAACAACCATGAGTAAGAGTAGCTCGTACAACATAAAACAACCATTCCTTTTTTGTCGTCTCCTAGAATAAAAAACTCCAATAGAGAGTTCAGACAATGTCATACAACATACCTGGGGAACCAGCAACAGGACGATTAAAGACGTCTTGTAGCCGATGATAGATGCGTTTCGTATAGAAATTCTCAAAGGCTACAAGCAAAGGTGCATACCCTCTTTTCGCATGATCAGAATAACGTGAACCACCAAAAATACTACCAGCATGATCACGTAAATGTCCAAAAGTAATAAGAATAGCGTATTGAATATAGCACAAAATGGCCGCAGCCAACGGTACGTGCTCAGCTGCCATGAAGATCAAATGGCTGAAATCAATGCTTTCAGACTATGCGACTAATTAGTGGGAGGGGTTTTTCTTATCATTTTGAGAAAAAAACTACTCTTTTTCAGCAAATCATAGACGTTCTACGCGACGATTCGTTGAAGCTTGATATTTTACTACTGAGATAATAATAGAGCCTCTCTGACTTTTGTCTCTGACTCTTTGTCATGTATGATTATGATTATGTTGGTGGTAAAATGTAATGCATTATGTTAATGAAACAGGGACACGGTCGGTCGGATGCGACAATGTAATAAAACGTTACATTCCTCTTGATTTTTGTTGTGTATCAGCGATGCGCGCTCTGCGAAACGTATACGGTCGATATACACCCCTTGTCTTGTGGTCGATAATTGATGGTAAAACACACACGATGGAGCTGTTTTTCTACAGTTATTATAATTTGAGGACGTCGATTGTGATCATGGTTGTTGTGGCTGATTTTAGTGTGAGACGGTAAGGTAATACTGAGATAAGCAGAGCACGAATCCGCAACGAATGGAGGCAGAGCTGGTTGAATTTGTATTGATGGTGCTGCAAAACGTGTGATGCTTTTGGGAGGGAAACGGCTGCCAGTGGTGGACATCGTTTGCACTGGTTGGAAGAAGCTGCTGTCTCTTGTGTGGGTGTTAAAAGCCTACAAGCTGTTTACAACGTCCACGAGTACCCTGGCTGGCTATGGCAGCTTGATGTAGGACATTGACAAGAAATGAGACTAGTTTACTGCGCTGATCTATTGTCGTTTACCTATGGACATTGTCAGCCGTTTTGTTAAATCTCGTTGTTGCAACTCCATCGGTTCTTTTACGAAGGCCGCTCACAATTTTAATTTGTTTGTGACTACTTATGCTTCGCCTTCGCGTATTGATGCTACCCCCGGTTCTTCTAGCACTGAGTGTGCCTGTACAGTCAGACCCGAGTTCGTGACCAGCGACAACTCGTACAGCGTGTTCTAATATGCATCAGCAAAACAGCAATGGCTACTCAACAACTTTTACCAATTGTACTTCAGATTTCCCAAGCACGACAACTCCTACCTCCAGCTTGCGCAGGTTGTACTTGACCGAGTCAAACTTTCGACGCAGTGGACCGTTTCTAAAGTCAAACTGAATGAGTTCGCCGGAAATGGCTTCAACCATGGCTTTGCATCGTTTCACCTCTTCCACATCCCTTGCCGTAGCTTTAACGACTGCAAACCTCATCAACTCTCCTACCAAAAAAACACCAACCAACACTTGTCAACCTACTTCATATAATTTTCAGTCGACTTCCTCTGGCTTACCAGTAAAGTCAATGACACCGCCAAGATACTCATTCATCTGCAAGACTGGAACGTCCTGGCGCGGCAAAAGACACTTGGTATCGAGGTAATAAAAGAAACATTTGGCTTCTGCATACTCTTCCAAAGAAGACGCCAGTGCACCGTCTCGCAGCGAAGAATTGTTCACCGTTAGTGCCACCAGCTCTGGAATCACCTGGTTGATGTCATACACATTGAGCAATACTAGAAAAACACCATCACTGAACTATTCTACTCACTCCACCTTCTCTGCATTGCCTAGCAGCTTCAAGGCTTCCACACTGTCTGCCCGATGTAATGCAAAGATTGCTTGCTTGCTGTATAATGAAAAATGATAGCGTCATTATGTGATGCACAAGACGTAGTGAGCAGTGTGATCCTAGCTGTCTTTCTTCTTCACTCGATAAGATTTGCTTTGTATTGAAATGATTGGTACCTAGCCTTGAGGATCTCTCGTGAGCGCTTGATGATTTTCTCGCGCATCTCGTCGTACTCGTGCATCTCTAGAAAAAGAGAGAAAAGGAAAGCGAGAGAGTAAGCGTGTAGAGAAAGAGAAATATGCGGTAATAATGAGTATGTATATACCGCGATTCATATCGATGAAATCTTGGCGATTCAGTACATTCATAGTCATAGCCATATCGGCGGGAGCCGTGGTTGCGTCAGTCAACTCGATCCACATTCGCTTTATAAAGTTGTCCCTAATGATTGCAGTAAATCTTAGTATTTAGTATAGTCAATTTGAGGTAGTATTATGACATCGTTGTGGTCTAATCATTAGATATTAGATAGTACTATTGGGCTGTGGATATAGTATCTCATCAGTATACGATAATGTTGCAGGAATATTTCATACTATAGTACTGCTATGATATTTAGACCACAATTATGTAGATTATTATTTTCTGCAGTAAGTCAGGATATTACCTAATTTACAAGCTCACGTCAAAACCTCAGGATCTTGAATATCACGATTTCAATCAGCAAGGAATCCGTTGTGCAGACCGGCATTATACGCTTCCGTACACGGTATACATAAATTGCGTAAAACCAAATTGCATGTAGCTTATACCGAAGCTTATAACGCCACCGCTGGAAGATTGCACCTCCAGCAGAAGTGATATGCAACAATTTCGGATCGCCTTGACGCGATCGCCGGAATGAAAGTGTTTCGCCCCGTTTTTGACTCTTCTCAAAGCTTGGCAAGGCCGGGGCGGAACATGCTTGACGGGTTCTCCTTGGATGTTTATACCTGTTGATTGACTACATGTAGCAGCAAGACACTTTTGTGATGCGTGAATGTAAGAGCTCAATGTACACTTGTTCTTTTTACGCGTTGATTGCATGAACAATCTGGTCTATCGTGTGTTCAGACAGACCTCGTGCGGTAATACGAGGCTGTTGCATATGATTGATGAACAAATGCTAAGCGCCTGCTTACGGCATAAAAAATGATCCAGTCCTTTATTTTGGCCACATATACATACAGTTGTAGCGCAAAGGGGCGACGACTAAAATTTAAAATTTTGAAATGAACTCCAGCGTGTAGGATTTGACTTATTAGTTCAAGAACGGACTTTTAAGCCATCATGAAGCCCATTTCTAAAGACCAAAGACGTGTATTGGATAAAGTTGTTCGTTCTTTTTCTTTGTTTTCGAAATTTTGACGAAATAGTAATAAAGGCATGAATGAATTAAATAATATCAATTATCTTGCTTTTTGACACTTCTTTTTTGCTTTTTGACACTTTGTTTTGCTTTTTGACACTTTGTTTTGCTTTCTGACACTTTCCTCCTTTTGCTTTTCTTTAACTCTGAAATTTCAAACGAACAATAGCAGCAAATCAGCGAGTTGTCGTGTTATTTTGTCCCAGCGTTTTCAACAGTACTTTTATTCGTATGGTATGGGTTTTTAAAACTCCCCCCACTGTGCATATTCAAAAAAAGAAGCTGTGAGGGCAACAAGGTGAGTCTAAAAAACAAAACAAAATCATGTTTAGAGAAGATGGATAATAGACAGATAATGTATAAAACTAGTCACTTGATCTCATCATCGCACATTCAGTATCAATGCGTTGTGTACGATATCTTGGCATCATCCACGTACGTGTGGGTGATATGAGCATTACGACGCTCATTTCTCGCGGATGAAAAGCGATGCATCTGATCCCGCCCGAGGGGGTGTGCCATGCCTGATTCTCATGATAATAATACTGATTTTTTTCTTTTGGATTTTTGCGTTTTTATCTTTGTCTTTTTTTAGTCCTTGGATCTTATCTATTCTACAAAAACAACCATGAGCCATTTTGTACGTCAGAGTAAATTTCGTCATGTGTACGTGGAACCAGCCAAGCTTGAATCATGTTATACAAACGTCCGTCTTGCTACGGCCACGGGAGAGCAGAATTATATTAAAGGGAATACTAAATTCTTTGCTGTATCGATCCAAGCTGGTGGTGGTGCGATGGCTGTTGTACCGTATGAGAAAGTGGGAAAATTTGATCCAGATTTTCCACTCATTTCGGGTCATCGTGGTGCAATTCTTGACTTTGATTTTAATCCATTTCATGAACATTTGATTGCATCGGCTTCGGATGATACGACGGTGAAGATATGGGGAATTCCAGAAGGTGGGCTAACAGAGACATGCGTGGATCCACTTGTGGATTTGACAGGACATGGACGGAAGGTGACGCTTATTAAGTTTCATCCGACAGCGAATAATGTACTAGCGAGTACATCTTCAGACTTTTCAGTGCGTCTGTGGGATATTGAAAAAGGTGCTCAAACTGTCAAGATGGAAGATCATGGAGAGAATTTGATTCAGGATCTAGCTTGGAGTTGGACTGGTGGTGTCTTAGCTACCACATGCAAGGATAAAGTAGTGCGTCTGTACGATGCTCGTTCTGGACAGGTTGTTTCGGAGAAGGAGAATGCGCACATGGGTACAAAAAGTGTCAAGATTAGCTTTCTTGGTAACAAGGAGACATTCGTGACGGTTGGCTTTACGCGCCAGAGCCAGCGTCAATTCAAGGTGTGGGACCCACGTAATCTTGATAAGGAGCTTAAGAAGGTCGATATTGACCAGGCTGCAGGTGTCATCATGCCATTCTACGACCCGGACACGAACCTTCTGTACTTGTGCGGTAAAGGAGACGGTAACATTCGCTATTATGAAATGTCGGAGGGTGAACCGTTTGCATTCCCTATCAGCGAATATCGTTCTACGACTTCTGCCAAGGGTATGGCAATGATTCCGAAACGTGGCTGCGACATAATGAAGTGCGAGACAACACGTCTGCTGAAGCTTACGTCGAATGCTATTGAGCCACTGCATGTGTTTGTTCCACGTAAGTCGGATGCTTTCCAGGACGACATTTTCCCCGACACGTACGCTGGTATTCCCTCAATGACTGCCGACGAGTGGTTGGGTGGCGCTGACAACTCTCCGGTGCTGATGTCTCTGCGCCCTGAGATGCAGGGTAAAATTACTAACAATGGCAAGCGTGCACGCTCTACATCAAAGCCTAGCAGCGTGGGTTCCGGCATTGCTGCTCGCGTGGCTCGTTTCGCCCGTGGTGGTAGCAAGAATGACAATACGCCTGAAGGCAAACTGAAGTCCGAGCTGGAGACTGCTAACGCACGAATTGCACAGCTAGAGAAGCTGCTTCGTGAGCACGGCATCTCGCACTAAAGCGTTTGCGGAATGCTGACTGCTACGAATACTGGATAGAGGTCTAATATCCCCTGTCGATTGGATTGAAAGTGCCGTTAGCAGTGTGAAGATCGTTTGGATGGATATGGCAGTTTGATACGAAGCGACACTTGATGAGCACTTCGTTTTCTCTTTTGGCTTTTGCAGTTGGAACCAAATACTTATTAGATTCGTGAGCAAGCAAGAGGCCTACGCACGCACCGAGTGGATAGCAGGACAGAAACATACCCAGAAAAGTGTCAGAAAACACGGAGTGCATGTTGAACAAACCTGCTTGTTTTATTTACCTGGTTGCTTGTTGTGTGTGTGGGTTACTGTTGCATGACTAATCTGCGATTGTATACATGATCAGATTGTTGCGACTACTTGGTAGTCACGTTACCCAAGACGATTAAGCTGAATGTCGTCACCTCGAGTTGTGGGATAGCTACAATGTTTTGCTGCAACGATTACAGTCTTCATATTGCCTTTGAGTCCACCAACTTAACAATCAATGTAATGTCCTGAATATAGCGTCATTGGCAAAGTTTGCACCGCACAGGGTTTGCACCGCACCAGCCATTGTACAACTACACTAAAGGTTTGTCCAAAAGATTGTTTCGCAAATTCGTTGATGGAAAGTGCATGTGATGTAAAACATTTGCTACCGGCAAGTATAGATCATCTAGGTACAGTTTGTTTGTGTGTAGGTGGAGGATACGAAGTATGACATTTATTATAACTTGTTCTGTCTGAATCTGCTTCCATTAACAATGTCTCGCTACTTGACTAGTCGTTTTACAGTAGTTACACAATAAAAGTAACATCTGGAAATGTATTGTGTTTTACAATACCAATGGGTTGGTTATTCAAAAGATTGGTATTATCAGCAAATGCTTCCACAGTAATCACGCTGCTTCGGCTAGCAGGTAGTTTTAAAGCACTTGGCTATAGACCTGTATATTGCATCATTTCCTATTTGTAAAAGCCTTAAAGGCTTCTACAGGTAAGGATTACCAACTGATGAGTGGTTTGATATCACAAGTAACCATAACTACTATACCTTTAATTTTGCCCTTACGTACAAATAGCTATTTCTGCTACTATTTCCAATAAGTACTGATTAGATTTAGCAAACATTTTATGTCAGTGTATGCAAATAGAACTAGTGCTACTACGCATGCGTGACGTGTCAATACAACTTTATCTTACTTGTCATCAGAACGTGAAACTTTATCATTTATGAACAGCTTAGCTTTTACTATTCCGAAGCTTGTGCAGCTTCCGTTCTCAGTCATCTCAGGACATAGAGAAAAGAATTTACATTGCTTACTTTTTAGGCGGACAGTGAACGGCTTGCTGTTGTAGCACCGCACCTTGAACACTTAGAGACGCCGTTGGCAGCCTCATCCACATCCTAGTGCATATACTGTCTTAGAACGAACGTTCCTGGCAAGCGACTTGAACAAGTCGCTTGCAAGCCAAAGGTCTTTAACAACGATGTTGATAGCCCCATATCGACGACGTCCAAATCAATGAAAGATTAACTAACCACTCGGTGAAGCAAAGCTCAGCTTTCTTCGCTAGGCTCCAACTTAACCGGGTCAGTGTTATTTATCTCCATTTTCACTGCTAGCTCCGTTGTTTCAACGTCATCGATGTTTTTATGCTTGGCTTGCTCGCACGGGTCTTCAAGGAGCGCAGTAATTTCAGGTGAAAGGTCTAGAGGTTGGCCATCAGGACTGGCAGTAAATTCACGCATGAGACCACGCAGCTCCTTTTCCTCGTTCAACAGCAGTGCAAGCTGAGCAACAGGAAGTCTGCGAAGCAGCAGAGGGAATGATGCCGGCTGAATGAGTGCCGAGCACTTGACAAAACCCTTCCATAGCGCATCCTCCATTTCCCAAACCTTTCTGTCAACAAGAATCTCTAAGAGCGATGCCATGTCGCGCTGTAACGTTGGATATGCTGTTACGCTGAGAATAAGAGTGCGGAGCGAAAGTTTTGAAATCTTTTCTTCCTGGACCAGTACACGACACACGTGAAGCAACACATCCGACGGAAAAGCATGGCGGTGCTCCACACAGAAATTGATAGCACTGATAACCTTCTTTTGCATGGTTGGCTCGGTTTTTAGATCCACATGATGTAGCGCCACAAGCAAGTCAATCGGAGCTACCGCTTGTGGAGGCATTACCTTTAATAGTCGCGTAATAGCGACTGAAAGCCGAGCTTGGGGTAGGGACAGGAGCTGAGGCAATAATGGGAACAAGATCTCGCCACGGATGCTGGGCAAGATCGGAATTAGAACGGAGATAGAGTCTGGAATGTGTCCATGGCTATGATACAGCTCCAAAATTTGTTGGACGAGCTCATCCGTACCCGACGAGCTTGGTTCGTTTGGCCGACCTCGAATTGACAAGATCTGAATGACGTGACAAACCAATCCAAGGGCGTTCGGCTCATACCCGTGCAATTGAGCGACAACATTTGCACTTCCGCGTTGCTTGAGATGCTTGATAAGCTTTTCAATTGCACGGAAAACCACTTGGCGTACGGTCTCCGAAGCGTATGCATACGTTGCCACCACGTGTGTCAAAAGTGGTGGTTTCTTTGCGCACAGCGCCAGGTACAGTTCCAACCGCCGGAGAATCTCTTGCTCGCTATCCAAAGATTTCAAAAGATCAGTTTTTTCTTGAATTTTGTCAGCATAAGCGTCAAGCTCGCGACAAGTGACTTTATCAGCAAGAGCAATTTGGTTTACTTGATTCTTCAACCAGTTGTCGCCTTTTTCCCCTGATTCAGTCGGTTCTTCGATAATTGGTTTTTCAAAATTGTCGTTCTCACTTGCAACCTCAGGCATAGCCTCGTCGTCAGATGCGCTCTCCTTACTGGGCTTTATTGGTTCTCGTAGCGAGTACACCAGTTTAATCGCAAAATCTTCGATGCCGGTTTTGAGGGCACTGATTCCATACATTTGGTTCGCCACGCATCGGATGGCAGAATTGCGGTAGTGCTCGTCCTTATGACATGTATATCGCAATAGGATTAATAGACACGGCGTCTGGCACACCTTTCGTTCCTTTGCTAGATCACGCAGCAAACTGATGCCTAGCACAATTCCAGCCTTCTCGCTGAATAGCGCTACAATGATGCGAAGAATTTCCACTGGAATACGTGGCAATTGCGCTACTAGAACTCCAAATAGTTTCTTGTCCGCCGACGAAGTAAGATCCATCTTTTTTTGGAGCGCATCAAAGAAATAGTTAACGGATGCCCGGTAAACATGGTAAGCAGCACAGCTACCAGATGCCGCTACTTCCTTGGTGGAAACGGTGCTTAACTGAGAAGATGTAGCACGGATATACTCTTGGCAAAGCAAAGTTGTTGCGAGTGTTGAGCGCACAGAATAATCGCCCAGCACAAAATCCAAAATCTTTCGATAAACAAATGGCAGTTTCGGTGAATTGTCTAACGTCTCCAACGCGTTGTTTTCATCCGTGCAAAGAAGCCATGGGTTTGTTGCAAGCCGACAAATAATGCCTTCACGCAATGATTCATCACCTCGAATTTTTACCCCATATTCATTTTCCACGATCCGAACAAGAGCATCAACAGCCATTTCATGACGCCAAGCAGACGTCTCCGACTTCAAATGCACTTGGACTACATTGTCCTCCGATACAGATACTAGCGGCTCCGCAATCGTAGCAGCATTCTTTGATATCCAATCGCTCACCTCTTCGACAACTGTCTCATCAAAAATTGGTACAAGTGCAGGCTGTTCCTTGCTTTGCACTTGCTGTCTTGGATCGCGTCTGAGGCGAGGGTCACGCATTCGCTTGGCGCTTTTTTCAATTGCAAGGGCTGATGAAGGAGTTGCAAGCTTTGCAAGCAATGTAGACATTCTTGTCTTCAATGCGCTGGGCACTAACTCCAATTGAAGGTTAGGTGGTGCTGGAGTGGGCATGTCGGAAGCAAAGCTCTCCAGCACTAGATTCGCTACTTCTACAGCTTGCATATTTACAATTCCGTCGTGAGTCACCTTCTCTTGTGAAATCGGAGAAGCTGACGACCCCGACAGATTTACACGTCTGCGCTTGGCGTTCGCATTGGCATTCTCCACTCGCTCGGTGATGGACTGTGCCGCTGTGCGTTTACCAATCCTTGCTCTGCGCAGTGAAGCCTCCGTCGGTGCAGATGTGTACTTTCTTCGTTGTTCTTTGCTCTTACTAATGGCGGCAAATGCGCGTTGAGACGCCCCTACAGCAATCAAAGCGTCCGTCACCTCATCGGCAAATGCCTGTGCCGCCGGGTGGCTAAGCAGCTTGACTAAATTTGCCGTTAATGTTTTCTGTATTGCAGGTATCGAGATTGTATTGGAGAGAGAAGTAAGTCTAGGCAGAATATGCGTCATATGTTGCGGCCGCACAGCTGCAAGCAGTGACAGGGTGTTTACTACCACACTCAACTCCCGTCTAGAGAGCGGGAGTTTTGTTTCCGATGCACTTCCAGCAACTCCGCACATGCGTTGCAACATAACAACCCCAAAATCCTCCAGTTGCGACTTGTTCAGAATCTTCTGCTTCGTGTTACTCAACTGGTCCAAACTACAGATATTCGGCTGTATGTTAGACCGCATTGGGTCTCGATACACTGATGCATCTTGCGCCGTACTGAGAAGCATCACACCACTCTCCAGCAGCTTCCACGCTCGTAACCATACCATTGCGCTGTGACTACCGTCTCCTGTCTCGGGTGGGTTGGCCACAACGTCTGCCGCCGCTTGCAAACAGCGGATCGTATTATCCCAGCACCTTCTGGGCTCCTCATCCACGTAATTCTCAATACTTTCTACCCGAAGCATTATCTGAAAGCTTGCGTGCAAATTATTAAGCACTAGCTGCAGTGCCAAGATCGCATTCTTCTCCGTCGAGTAGCTAAGCAGTAAGACAGTGTGACACACGTCATAGAGTCCCGCCAAGAGCGCAGATGTCGCGGTTACTACCTCAACTGACGCTGTATCTATTTTATCTGCTGCTATCTTCACCTCCTGCGCCACAAGCTGCAAGATCGAAGCCACAAGTGCCGCATTCTGCAGCTGTGCAAGCTGTCCAAGCAAAGGCAGCACACTACGGAGAACGTGTCGCTCATGACCTGATGGATCACGATGCTTTACAATCTCCTGCACCTGATGAAACAACTCTGTCTGTTCAGCGTTACTGCTTGCGCCTTGTAGCTGCTCGAGTAGCGCCGTTACCTCTCGGTCCGCGCTGTTGTTGTCCATCTTGTTTTACCTGAGGGTTTCCCTTTTATTCTCTGTCTATGATCAAGTGTCTCATCGCTCCGCTCCTTTCTGTCTTTTTGGGTCAATAATACCAAAACAAATAGGACATTTGTTTCGGACAAACCCATTCTTTTTACGATTCCCCCATAAAATTTCTAGTCATACTAAAACCAAAACAAATATGGAAGTGTTGGGAAATCAACCATTGGTCATTGATAATGGTAGTGGACTGATGAAGGCAGGATTTGCAGGTGGAGAAACACCTCAAGTCGTGTTTCCTTCTTTTGTGGGAATTACAAAACATACACGTATGATGCCTGGTGGTGCGTATGAAGGTGGTGACGTCTTTGTAGGCAATCGTGTCCAACATCATCGTGGATTGTTTAAGATTCAGTATGCTATGGAGCACGGTATTGTGACAGATTGGAATAGTATGCATCGTGTATGGCAGCACGTATATTCAAAGGATATGCTTAATGTTCAGAGTGAAGACCATCCCGTGTTGCTTACAGAAGCACCGTTAAATCCCGTGGCTAATCGCCAACGTGCGGGCGAAGTCTTTTTTGAGGCATTTAATGTGCCATCACTATTTGTATCACCTCAGGCAGTACTGAGTCTATATGCTTCAGGACGTACAACGGGTGTAGTACTGGACGTAGGTGATGGAGTAGCACATGTCGTGCCGGTCTACGAAGGCTTTACGCTACCTCACGCCATCACTCGGATGGATATTGCAGGACGAGACGTTACCCAACACTTGCAAATGCTACTGCGTCGCGCAGGTTATAATTTCCAAACATCAGCAGAGAAGGAGGTGGTACGAGAGATTAAGGAAAAGCTGTGCTATGTGGCCTTTAACCCCACTAAGGAAGAGCAAATTGAAGCTGAGAAGTCTCCTCATGAAGTCAAAGATATGCTTAGCGCCAAGTCAAATCCTGCTAGCGCATCGGGAGACGGTACTTCAGCCTACTACCTACCGGACGGCACGGTGCTCAACGTGAGTCTTTGGTTTTGTATTTTACTTCTGTTAGAAAGAGGCGCTGTTTTCAATTTCAAGCAATAATATGTGCTGCTTTTTGGTTATGTAGATGGGTCCTGAGAAATTTCGAGCTCCAGAGGTGCTGTTTCGACCGGAGATTATTGGATCGGAGGCACGTGGGGTGCACGAATGTTTGGTGCAAGCCATTATGAAGTCGGATCTGGACCTGCGTAAGACGCTCTTTTCGCAAATCATCCTTTCCGGTGGTTCGACGCTTTTCCCTGGCTTTGGCGACCGTCTACTCGCCGAGGTGCGCAAGAAAGCACCTAGAGACATCAAAATCCGTATTTCGGCACCGCCCACGCGCATTTACTCCACATGGATTGGTGGCTCCATTTTGGCTTCGCTTGCAACTTTCAAGAACATGTGGATCACTAAGAGCGAATACGAGGAGTATGGAGCTTCCATCCTCCATCGCAAGAACTTGTAGACATTAGAAACAAAAGATGTACGGAGAGCATGAAGCAGAGCGCCGGTGCCAAGCTATGCTTCTGTTATTGTTTTGGTGTGAAGCGAGTGAGACAACCTTTGGCAGGTTCTTGTTTTTGCGTAGAGCGTACCGAAACAGAAGGGGTGCGCAAAGTATACAGAAGCAGAACCATTCATGACTTAGTGGAATACAGTGCAACGCAAACTATGGTAGGTGAGTAGCAATATGCACGTGACTAGAACTGCAATACGTGTACTACGTGTACTTGTTTCTACTTGGGTGCGACTAATACACTTTAGTCGTAATACAACTGAATCCCCTTATGACGAATCGACAATTATACCAATATGAGCCGCACGCCGCTTTTCTTCCCGCAATCTCCGCTTCATCACCAAAACAGAAGCACCCCAGAGCACTACACCCCACGACAACCAAGCTACGGCGAAAAGGAGCACGTTACGAAGCCCAGTGTAATTTTCTGAACAGCGAGGATTAAGCCTTGCTTCGCCGTCAATTTCCACAGTGCCGCAGAGAGGAGCCCACTCGTCCTTAATAAGGCCCAAGATAATAGGGGACGGTACATCTCCTAGTGCGTGAATAAAAAGCGTGTTCGCTGCAATGGCCATAGATTGCCGAGACTTGGGGAACAGCTCTAGTACGGCAATTGTTTCAGGAACGGATAATGCACACATGCAAAAGAGGCACAAAGTGAGGAAAATCAAACACGGTATCCTGAAACTAGCAAAGGCCACCATCACTAGTCCAAACACAACCGATGCCAGCATGAGATAGAACAAGGCTTTCACGGAGATCATGCAGCGACGACCAATCTCGTAAGGTTTCTTCTTTGCAAGATAATCCACCAAAACTCCTCCCACTGGTGTACCAATGGTACCGGTAATAGCCACAAGTCCACCAAATATAAGTGATACAGTTGTCTCGCTTTCAAACAGCCCAAGGCCAATAAAGATGGCCGGGCTGAAGGTACTCATAGCTGCTAGCGAAAACGTGTAAGCTGCATGTCCAAGGATAATGAGCAAGAATGGAACGCAGCTGCAGATACTCCACCACTCCCCAAAAAACGAAGGCTTCACGATGGGCTTGTTACGTTCTTTATCTTCCAGGTAAGCGGTCACACTAGTTTTTTCGTTGCCACCTGGAGTGCTAGGCATCACCAGCAGCTCACTCTGCTTGCTCTCCAGCCCCTCAATCTTGACTGGAGCCTGGTTCAACTCATCTGGTATTATTACGAGGCAGCTGACTACAAACGCGACCATCAAAACACCTTCCAGATAATAGGCACCAGCCCAGCCAAGAAAAGAGCTGGCAAAGATCGATCCATAAATGTAGCCGACCGCGGTGCCCACCGTGATGGATGCCAAGTAAATTCCTAAATACAGCGAGCGCCTCGTCGGAGGTGCATAGCGATTGATAAACGGTGTCGCTGTGCATTGAAATGAGGCTTCACCAACACCGCTCAATAAACGCCCGACGATCAGCACATAGTAGCTTTCGGCCATCTCCGCGGCACCGCAAATGATCACAGCTACGATCCAGACAGTCATGCCAAAGGCAATAATGCGAAAAGGTCTGTGCGTTAGTGCACAATAGCCAAACACGATGGAAAATACCGAGTAACTAGCGATAAAGGCCGATGTCAGGAGTCCAAAATACACAGACTGACGCAGCACACTTACGCCCAATGTGTCCGTGATAAACCGTTCAAACTTTTCAGGGGCTCCAGGAATAATTCCACGATCAATATAGTTAAGAAGATTGATACAACAAAGCAGCACGATGGCACCTTGCTTGCCAACCTTGAACCCGCCCATGGTCGTATAAAGACTAGAAGAAGAAGAAAAACTGGATCTGAGCAACGGTTGCGACAGAAGCAACACGGTCTCGGGATCGTCGGTTTGCCTCGGAGAGAATACAGACGTGTCAACCACGGGTTTGTACACGGAGACTTGGGGAGTGGCCATCATACATATGCACAACTTCTTCGTTCTCAACGATCAGTTCCTTTCTCTCGTTCCGTCACTGTGATATCCAGAGCACACTAAATTTGTAAGAAAACAAACAAACAGTGCGAACTTAGGACGAACTTGTTCAAAATCTCTTGCTTTTAGTAAAGGGGCGAGTCATTCACTTATTCCTCCTTCTTTTTTTTGCCCGTCGCTGGTCACATCTGTCAATTAATATACCTCCATTTTGAGTCGGACTGGAAGAAGACCAGACTGCTGCAGATCATAGCTACAGTGTCCCGGATCTCTCTGTGTCTATGTAAATTTCAGCGCGCTATGATACTTTTTCATATCCATTTTTGTACTGTCAATGCTAAATAACGTGTGTGGTAGCACTGGAAAGCTACAGAGGAACTAGCATTTTACCTTGGATTCATTTTCGTATCACTTGCAGGTGCAATTGATTGACTCAACGTGGCTTGGGCATTCTTGCATGAATCTCAACCGGTCGTTGTATACTTTATTTATTCAGTCTCATTTTGTCCTTTCAGCATGCGACCAGACCGTAATCCTATTGATTTGCTATAGCATCTTTTCAGCTGCGGCACTCACGTTCTTCCGAAGCATATGACGCGATCTTCAACATCGAAAGAGACTGTCTATGTCCTGCGTTTTTTTGCGGGTGACGAGATCGACGTAATGTATACGTATGTAATCATTTGACTGCGTCAGCCCAGAGATAAACAGATTTTCTGTATCCGTATTATACGATAAAATCGTACCTAGTAGATATATCCCATACAAATAATGATTTGGAGCAACGACGACGACGATCAGGATATGGCCAACGCCACTGCGTCATTGCCAACGTTATTATGCACAGCTGAAAGCGTCAAAATCCTTGTGACTCTACTGAGTTGTTTGACACATGGTAAGCGTGATGAGCGCGTACGTTGCGACGTGGATAGACGCGGTTTGCTCTTCACGGCGCATTCAAAAGGAAAATCTCTACAGCTGAAAACTTCAATTGGTCGGGAGCTATTTGAGAGCTATCAATTCGGTATTATTCGTGATTCAGACGTGATAGAAGAGCAACACGAAGATGATGAAGTAAACGATGAGGTTCAAGTGAGTTTTGCACTTAATGTGAATCTACTGATTGAATGTCTGTCTATGTTTGGACCCTCTGCTCTCGTGACGACATCACTTCGAATGACATACAAACCTGAGGTATAATGAGGTGAAACAAACTGTGGTATGAAGACAAAATGCGGTATCTTACTGACTATATCTATACATGTATGACTGCTGTTGATGTAGAGTGCTAGTTTATTGCTGGTTGTGGAAGATAATGGTGTTATGTGCGAGTGCTCAATGCAAGTGCTAGAACATGAAGGAGGAGACTTGAGCCAGTTGGAGTTTGAGAGCTCGTTTGAACAGTCAGCGGTGGTAGCACGCTGCATCATGCAGTCGGAACCACTTCGAGACGCTTTTTCTGAGCTCTATGACTTACCCAGTGCGGCAAGTGTGACCATCTCTATGGCAGATGAAGATAATAGAAATCCTGACAATAGGTCAGAAAGAAAATGTCTGAGCTTGAGCGCGACATCAGAGACTGGGTCGTGCGAGATCAGCTTTGCACCCACATCGTCTGCGTTCATCGAGTTTTCGTGCGCTCCGATCGCCGAAGGCAATTGTACTGGAAGCTATGGCGCTACTTTTCATGTTGCAGTGCTGCAGCAAGCATTTAAGGCGCTTGCATACTCCAATGAAACGTTTCTTCGTATGAACGGTGATGGCTTCCTGTCGATTCAGCACATGGTTGAAAGCGGTACAGGTGACAAAGCTTTCGTTGATGCCTTGATCAGCCCCGAGGACACGTCCGTTGCGTAGATTGGCGTGGTCATATTAAACGAACGAGCGGGCCATATTGGAATGCAGCATGGTTTCAATTATTAAGTCAGGCCAAAAATACCGTGTCAGCAGAGCATCAGAAGTCGGGAGATAAACGCAGGGATGATGATGCAGCAACGTGCCACGTTTTGGGCGTGGTATCTCACGTGAACCAATATGCTTAGGTAAGCATCTACTAGATTGCTGTTTACTATAATTGTGTACGAAGATGACCTACGTAGTTGATCTCGCGCTCGGTGAGATCACGAAATATGAGATCAGTTCAGCGGCAGTTACCAGATGCGCTTTGATGATACTCAAGTTGTGGTTTCTTTCTACGGATGCTAAGTAGATGCAAGTGCTACGCATTCACTAGTCGCTCAAAAGTTGACTGCTTTTTCGATTCATGGCATGATTCATGATGGTCAGGTGGGTGGATTAATATGGATGGGCAGTGATACGCAAACCAGGGGAAGTGAGGTGGTGTTCGCAAGTTGCACACGATACTCGGCATATTGGGATAGTGCAACCGGTGGCCAGTCCAACTGTGAGGCTTTTACTCCAAGACGAAAAATCGGGTCTGGCTATAGGCGTCATGGGCTTGGCCACAGAGGATAGCTACAATCTCGTATCTCAGAGAGATGGCAATCCGAAGAGGACTTTATTACTTCCCATCCCATACAAGCAGCTGGAAGTTTAGAAGCGTGCATACTAGCTCCATGCACGACCGTATTTGACGGTCGTGATATTTCTGTGAACCGCGATACGTATGTGCGTGCGAAAATTGGCGACTAGTTGGCTGTATGGCTATTCTAAAATACGGTTGCTGGCACAAAGATGTTATGTGGCATAACAAACTGTATAATGTTGAAGTCATCACAGAGTGTAGAAAGCCTTCTAACATCAGCACATTACCGCCGTAAGGGATCGAAGTATGACAAACACCAGGTAAGTAGATACGCGCTTTAATATTCTTCATTTGTATCCACAGTATTTGAACCTCAACAGTAAACTATTTTCTACACTCTTACCGAATGAGCATTACTTTGTGCTACGGTCTGAAATTCCAAAGAAACGCGTACATGTGTCAGGTCTACTACAAACACGAGTATGCTGAGACGATATGCAGAGTGACGTGCGTCCTGATGATAAGCAAAGCGAACGCACCGAGCTACAATGCATTACTGGTTGAACTGAGCAAGGCTTGCGACCTCAATTCGCTTCAGCTGGCGTCATCTAGATATGGCCTTCCATGGTGGGCATGCCGTCTGCAGTACCAAACGAGATATGACAGGTGAGACGAGTGCACTTGTTGCGGATATTCATGCATACAATAACATAAAAGCGTACATATTGAATCACGGGGCGGACTTCCCATAGTAGACGCCCCCCTACGTTATTCAATATGGTTAGTGTCATAGCTTGCCAGCAGGTCCACTAACCGCAACAGCATGGCAAAGGCCACTTACCTATTTGAGCGCTGCACAGCTGCAGCCTCTTGTTTCTTTACCTTACTTCCATTGATCGACGGATGGTCCCACTGCGTGATTCGTAAAGTCGTATTGCAGTAGTAATGCTTTTTTTTTGAGCGAGACAGACGAATTTCCCAACCAGAAGGAAGTGGTAATGCATCCAAGTTAAGCGACTCCCTCGCCGCAAAATCTCTTCGGTTATCCGAGTTCTGATATACACTCGCAGACAATCCGTCCTCCCCGTAGTACTTGTCTTTGACAGCTGTGAGCCTGTTCTTTAGAGACTCCATTGCACCAACACGAGCTGCGCTGACCTCTTGCACGAGTGACGGATGACCACAAGAGTCGCCCATATCACTGCCAGAATAACGATTCTCCTCATTGCCGTCAACACCACCGTTGTTACGCCATAGACTCAGCCGTCGCGCGGATTGACGGAGGAACTGCGTTGTTTCAGCCGATCGCTGGGCCAGTGCCGCCTGCATAGCTGTCGATGCTCGGCTTGCATCGTTATTGTCGTAGCCGTCATCAAACTCTTTCTTTGATCCTAATCTCCGAAATACAGAGCGACGGTCCTTCCGCATGGATTTCTGACTAGAGAAAACAGGGTCGGAGCCAACACTTCCACGAAGCTTTGCACACTCATGTTCCACAGCTTCAAGCTTTTTGTCCTTTTCTCGAAGCTACAAACGGCGTATTAAGTGACAACAATCAGCAAAATAATATTTACGAGTCTTTTTCGTATGCTGGGCCTTACCGCGTTCTGGAAACCTCGGATCTTAACTTGAAAATTTGCGGATTGCACCGTTTGGTCAAACTTTAGCTTCTCAACCTCACTTTTGAGTTGCGTAGCTAGTGCGCGTTGCTCTTCGTTCTCTTTACGCAGACGTCCAGCCTCTTCATTTAGCTGGTGTATGATACTATCCGCGTCAGCCATCCACGTATGAGCAGTAGATCGCCCACTAGAGCGCGTGCCATTGCTTTCTGCATAGTACTGACTGTCAATAGACGATGGAGACAATCTATCCTTCTTAACTTCTGCGTTTCGCCGCTGTTCATCATGAAGACGCTCATGCAGCTTGTTCAACTGGTACTCCATGTCAGCTTGTTGCTTCTTCCTTTGAAGCGCTTTCATATACTTTGGTCGCTCGTACTTCATGCGCAAAAATGCCTGAATCTTCACAGCAATCTTCCGTTCATCATTAAATTGCTTGCTGCGTGTTCAAAAAATGACGTTACAAATTAGCCACCCATACAAAACCAATCTCAAGACAAAAATTACCGTTTCGTAAAGCGACGAGCATATTTCTGAATAATGATCGCACTTTTGTTCTTCTCAGCCTCAAGCGCGACGCGACGACCCTTGTATCCGCGCCAGTGCGCCTGAAGCAGGATCAAAGCAGTCTTGAACGACTGGTACCGGTTCATCGCGATGACGCATCGAGCAACAGACTAATTACCACAAATTCACGCACCAGACAAGCATTCAGAGGAAGCATAGCAAACAATACTCAAAAGGAGAAAAATGCACCTGCAATTTGATAATTGCTTGCAATTTGCAAAGAAGGCGAAGCCTGCAGCAAAATCCGCGCATATAGTGCTGCAAGTGTCGTGCTTGAATATCTAACCAAACCTCCTTTTTGTCCTCCATCCGTTCCAAAATTCCATAACGGAAGTATATGCGCGACAGTCCTATCTGGTATTGCTCAGGCGAAGATAATCCCATCCTTCTCATCAGCGCCTCACATCGTTGCTTGACAGAAACATCGGTGTTGCGTTGTTGCACGTCAAATACCCAAAACTTGTCCATCATGTCCTCTAGCAGCAATCGGTTTGGGTATGCAACGCGTGAAATGCGGATTGCCTCGATCACACCTGCGCAACGTAGTTGTGATACTACCATTGGCTGATCCAATTCATTTGGGCTCTTGTTTCGGTTCGGCTTAATACAACGAACATAGTGTACTTTCGTTTGCCGAATGCTAGTCATGAGCTCATTGAGGTTATCCTTAAATTGCGTACCAACATTTGCCACCGCCAGAGAACCTCGTATCACTCGACTGCCTCGAGCACTACTATTGCTTTTTCTTCGCAAGGAAAGCGGACTGCCAACCTTTTCGGCAAAAATTGTCCGGATGAACTGCTTTGAGGAGCCCCGCATCAAGTCAGACAGATCAGGTAAAAGAGCATCTTTGTGCTTTTCGAGGAAACCCAGTGATTCGTACGTAACTGCCCCAGCGTAGTGCTTAATAGTGAACTGCGTGCGCGACGTGCGAGGAAACACAATAACGTCCAGCTCATCTTTATGAATGGTCGAAAGCTTCGAAACGAGCGACTCGTCATTGCCCTTGGGACGCATCACTTCGTCATTAAGCAGCGAAATAATACCGAGGCGATCTTCAATCACCGAAATGACATCTTGATTATCTGCAAAGTCAATATGACTCCAAGCAATACCTTCGGCTTCGTACTCAAGTTGCACGCTTTTGAAAATGTCCTGAGTAAATTTTTGCTGAAGTTTCTCGTTTGCGTAATTGATGCAGAATTGTTCGAAAGAATTATGCTTAAAATGCTCAAAGCCGAAGATATCAAGGATACCTACGTGGTAGCGCATGTTCTTGTTACACTCCAGAGAAGTGTTGATTGTTTCTACCAGCCAATCAAAGACATTAGAGTAAATCGCTTTTGAAAGTGCGCCAACGCACTCCTCTGCTTGATCTTTCTTCAAAAAGGCGGTCACCTCATCCCCAGCAACTGAAATCTGCCGAGAGCACAATGCTTTCTCCAGATTCTCGATCGAAATGCCTAAAAGTTTCGTCGCGTTCCTCGCTCCTTGGTTAGCGGGCACAATCTCCGACTCCTCATTATTATTCTTTGACTGAATTTTTACCTGTCCAAGGTGGATCACGCCTGCAAGCACCTCAAATAGCACATCCTGCTGTTCCTCCGTGACACCAATAAGACCAAGCGCCGTTTTGGTGCGTTCAAAGTGTGTGCCGTCTGACGTACCCTCAATCTCAATAGTTTTCTTCGCACCCGTATAAGCGTAACACTCGCTCACGTCATCCAAAAACCACCGCTTCTTAGTATCAGTCGCGGCTAGAAGCTGGTAGAAAATGTGGTAGTTTCGCTCCATCTCTTCGTGAAAAATCACCCGTGTCTTTTCTAGCAAATACGTTCTGCACGTTGCTCCAACTAGAATACCATCATTGTCGAATTGTAGCTGCGTGAACTTACCAAATCGACTACTATTATCGTTTCTCACCGTCTTAGCGTTGCCAAATGACTCGAGCAGTGGGTTTACTTCAATAATCTTCTTAATTGTATAGTCATTCAACCCTCCAGCAACAGAAGCCAAATGATTCATAAGAATCTTGGTCGTTTCCGTTTTACCAGCACCTGATTCACCACTGACAAGAATAGACTGGTTTACTTTATGGCGCATCATATCATTATACGACGCCATAGACGTCGCGTACACATGAGGTGGCAAGTCTTCCCGTGCTTTAGTCTTGTACTGTGATTGTACATGCTCTGAATAAAACTCTGGTAGCCATTGATAAGGATTCACAGCAATACAAATGTCTCCTGTATACGTATATGGCAATTTCTGGAGGAATCGGCTTTTGACATTGTATAAAATCGCAGCTTCGTGCAAATAATTGAGCGTCGTCATATCTTCAATTCCCTCAGGTCCCAAGTTTTCATTCTGATACGGCAATGACTCGAGTTGATAGATCTCAAGTAAATTCTTGACCTTTGAGTCATTAAAGTCCAACACAAGCTCTTCATCACTCACAAACGCATCAGGATCACCTGGAGGAGGAAATACACGCAGCACTAGCGTTTTCTCAGGCGTTTTAGAATCTATACTCTTTATCTCACGCAAAATCTGTGCTGGAAGCCACACGTATGTCTCATCAGGCACGTAACACTTGGTCCCCGCACCTGACTCCTTAATCGCCATGTTGAATGCGGAATGAAGGTCGTGCCGCATTCAACACGGCGATAAAGGAGATACAATTGGCTGAAAGACGACCATACAAACATTAAGAGAAATGAAAACTACGTTGTGTCTACCACATCGAATATCTATCTTTTGTCAAAGCCTATATTCTATCATAATAATTGCATATTTTTTCTCTCTAGAGTATGGAGGCGGTCATCCATGAGCTCGAGAGTGACGGTACGCGGCATTACCCAGTCCCCATCCTTTCAATCTACTGCTAACGATATCTCTATATCTATCTACATCAATGCAGCGCAAATGAGCGTATTTCTAAGCCCTAATTGTGACGTGAGTGCCATCGCCAGCGCAGTTGTAGCACGAGATTCGGCCTCGCGGGACGGTAATGGCTTCGCTGAACGCCGCACGAGTTCCATGACTAGCTTAGCCACAAAAAACGAAGAAGTGGAAGAGACGAATCAATGTGAGAAGTTTGTGGAGCGTCTGAACGGTGCAGCGCAGCGCATTGACCGCGTTATCTCGAAGCACATTGGCGAACATCACGCCACGTTGCTGGACCAGGTGGGATCAGTAGACGAGATGCAGAGCCATTTGACGCTGGTTCAGAGCTCTGTGGGACACTTGAAGGAGTCAGTGCAGTCTCTGGAGACGCTAGTCCGCGAGAAGCACGAGAATCTGCGTGACACGATTCAGCGTTATCGCAACATCAAGCGCTGCGGAGACATTGTACAGCGATTACTGCGCTTTCAGAATCTTTCGGATCGCTTATTAGGATCGGATTTGAATCAGGTTGACGCAATATTGACAGGGGTAGCAGTGGAAAATGGAAGCGGCCTGACAAGTGATGCGAGGCAGAATGAGATGGCCCTCGCTGGCGCTTGCGATCAAAGAGATTGAGATGTTGGTTCAAGAAGAGAGGTTTCAGGAGCTTAGCGCCGTGCGTGCCACATTGCCAGCTATACGAAAGCTTAGCACCAATATAAAGCGTGAGGTGCGCGCTACCCTGCGCTCAGGTATCCGGAGTCTGAGTCAAGCAAATGTCGGGGATGCACTGCAGATCCTTTTTTACCTTGGAGAATTGGGTACAATGACTCAAGCCTCAGTGAACGATGTGGTTCAGGAAGTGGAACGTAAATGTGCTACCGCTATCTCAGAGGATAAACTTGTGCGTTCCGGTGGTGCCAGCATCGACGGTTTGAAGTCAAGTAATGGACTCTCTATCTCAGGTAACAACATTTTGCAGAAGTCGGACTTGTGGAAAGCGGTTCAGGATGTTTTTGATGTCATCCGTGTGCATGCGCTTCAAGTGTGGAATCTGCAGCGCGTTCTGCTAAAGATGGTAGACCCGGCATCAGGCAAAAGGTACATCGATCTAGTTCTCAAGCTGGAAGAGCCGTCTCTCTTTGCCACATTCTGGGAGGTGACATGCGCCATTGTACAGGAGCTTTTCGCGTCGACACTAAACTACAATACGGCGGTAAAATCTGTGTTGATTGCGGAATATCCTCGTATGCGAAAGCAAGCTACAAGCGTTTTAAACGAACTGTATACCGCTACAAAGCAGAGTGCAGGTGCAGAACTTGTGGCAGATGTTCTGGTCGTTGCAGCTGATGCATTTGACGTGAAAATGGGAGCAGTAGAGAGAGAGTTAGCGACCGTTGCGGGCTCTGCGGCTGAGCGCACACAATTACTGGACTCCATGGGGCCATTGCATGATGCGTTCATTGACCGCGCCTACAGCAGGATGTCGAACCCCATACAGCTCATGTTTCCCCAAAGCTCTGATTTTCACGCGTCACCGCCCGGTCGCAGCGACATCCAAGCTCTGTCACGTGCAATTCTTTCTGAGCTTGAGCAGGCCGGCCGAGACCGTGTACTGTTGGATGATGTTCTACAACAGGTGCGGAAGGCTGTTATCTTGTTTTGCTCTAATGTAAAAAGAATTATGTACCAGGGAAAGGCGGCTGCCGCGACAATGCCGTCTTTAGGACGGACACCTGCGCAGGCCCACAACGTCGGGCTCATGAATGTGTTGAGCTTACTGGATGCAGCAATGGAAGAAGTAAGAAATTATGTTGAAGCTGCAGCAGCTATCAATGGTTCTGACGCAGAAATCGCAGCATCGGTGTCATCTAGTGCTAATGTCAATGCTACTAGCGTAGTCACACCAAAAGAAGCAACATTGTTGTGCACGACAAGTATAGATCCGTGCCGTGAGATGATCAGTGACCTGGAATACGCCATGTTGGGATCCTATCTGCAGGCACTTGCTGTATTGCTGGAGGGTACATTTGCTAAGATGCATGATGAGTCCTTTGGTGACCAAAGTGCAGCAAATGGGATGGCATGTTCTGGCGATGCACCGCGAAGTAGCGGTGGATTCCGCTCATCACAGGGCTCAAGCGGCTCCAAATATATGCAAGAATTCGTCAACGCATTCTCCGTCATCCTGGAGGACCATCTTCGTCGTCTACCTGTCGCTACTTTTGTCACCAAGTGTCTGGGGGATTTTGTAGAGCGACTCGTCTCGGTGTTCATCCGACACGCATCTTTGCTACGTCCACTTACTGAAGATGGCAAGCTGCGTTTAGCGAATGACATGACACAACTGGAACTGCAGCTAGAACATATTATGCCATTGCGCAATGTCGGTGCCTCCTACGAGGAGCTTCGCGCGTTTCGTCACATGATTTTCCTGGAGAGCAGTGACATTCTTCGAGATGCTACAGTCGACAAAATTCGACCGAGCAACGTGTGGCATCACCTCACGTCTCGCGCTCCGCCTGAGCTTCAACTTCCGCATCAGATGAAACAATTGACAGCTTCGAAGTATATTGAGTGGCTAGACACTCGCGCAAACACAGGCCAGCCTTCGCCGTCTACTCCGCCTTCCTCTTCGAGTGGCAAACCATCTGCGCTGTCACCGTCGTGGAAAGAGCTACCGCTTGGCTATCCGTGCTTGAAAGACCCTCGCTTGGGTTTGCAAGCTGAAAAGAAGGCGTGGAAAGAAATAAACAAGTGTCTTGATGCATACTCTCAGCGGGTCAGCGCGTCTGCAAATGCCGAGTTGAGTCCAATCTACGGCTTGTTACAGGAGTCAAGTACCATCCTGTTGGCAGGTTACGAAGTAATGGTTTCTCGGAAAAAGTAATAGAGCTTATGCTTGGTCCATTTTACGTCATTAATGCATAATTCATTGGTTGCAGAGGTGTGAAAGCTTCAAATCGAGACGATGCACTGCCAAAGCGAACAGTACCTTTTGAACTGATTTCAGTTTGAATATTTTCGCCCACACCAAATGACTCTTTTCCAAAAGACTCCTACATGGCTTACTGCTTCTTTTCTAGGATGATGTTAAGCTGGTTGTAAAGCGACTCCTCCCTCTTCTTGTCGATCGAATCCTGCATGCGCTGCAGCGTTGCAAACATTTTTGACTTTGTCGCTTCATCAAAACGGTCGAGGTGGTCGAAGCACTGCAGCAAAGGGTATGCAGACATTTGGTTGACCTTGCCAATCTTAACAAACGCCTGCACCATCACGTCAAGACCCTCATCCGTGGCCAACGAGAAATCACGGATTTGTGACAAACAGCGTGACAGCGTCCGGCCATGGCTGGACTGAGTTGGGTTAAAGCTTGGGCTTGCCAGAAGCTTCAATATCTGTTTGCCCACGTCCTTCGAATCCAAGCTGCTCACGATACCGATATACTTAGTCAACATATCAGGTGTCTTGCGCCACTCTACGAAAATCTCTTCCTGCACCTTCGTGCGCTCTGCAAAGCTTTCGTCTTCTAGGACAACACGGAAACCAGTGATCTGATCCGTCACAAAGGTAGATTTTTTGAGCAGGTCCAGTGCCAGATTGGATGGTGCTACTGTTGGTGCCACTTTAGGCACCGTACTGAGCACGGAAGACTTCCCACCAGCTACAATAAGCAGCAGTAGATGGCGCTTGAGAGCACGCTCCTGAAACTGCTCCACATGTGGGCCAGGACGAGCCGCGTCGCACAGTTTTTTGTAGGCGGCCTCGATTTTTGCCGAGTACTTAACCCACACTGCCTGCAGCAAGGCTGTGGTCGCCTCCTTTATTGCAGCATAGTGGTGGCTTAGGTCATCGCGACTCGGGATAGTTTTGGCTTCGACCAGAGTCAATGCACGTGCAGACGGAGTAAGCTCGTCTGAGAAGAGGATTGAGCCGTGCAGTTCTACAAATTCAAGCGAAATTTCCACCTGCTTGTTGCCGTTCAGCAGTCCTTCAATTACCTTCGCCTTTTCAATATCTGCTACGCTGCGGTAGGCCTGATACTTGTTCACAGCATCCGGGTCAGATAGCGCTTGCTTCGTGAGCCGCGCTACCGACGGGTTTGTCTGCTTCGACTTGCCGAAAAAGGACCATCCACGAGCAAAAGACAGGAAATCCGGTTCCTCCGCTACATCCGGAATCACCAGCTTGGCGTCCTTCGTTTTCATGAGGAACACGCCTTTCTTGATCGACTTACCATCCATAACGAGTGACCAGTCGATCGGAATTTCCCAAGGACCATTGTTTCCAGCTGGCTTATCCTCGAAACCTGTCTGCGAAATCTCCACAACATACTCCCTCGAAGCAGCCTTGTATTCCGTTAAATACGTAACCTCAGGATAACCTGGGCGGTTCAGCCATGTCTTTGCCAGGTTTTGTAGGTTTAGTCCTGAGCATTCTTCCATGCACTTGATCCACTCCATACTCGTGGCATTGCCAAACGCGTACTTTGTGTGGTACATATCAAGGGCTTTGTGAAAAACATTTTCGCCCAAAAGCAGCTCCACCATGCGAACAAACTCAGGAGCTTTTGAGTACGTCACAACAGAAACAAGCTCTTGTGTCTGATTGAAACCCTGGGGTTCGACAGACAAAGATGTCGCTGACTTGTCTTGGGCAAGCGGTCCGATAGCTGGGGTGAACATGTACAGCACTTCGCTCAAACGACTGTAGTCCTCGCCGAAAATGGTCGCAGCACGCTTGCGCTCCATGTGTACTGTGACAGCCTCGTTCAGCCATATCTCAAATGGCGACTGGCCAGTAACCTGGCTGCCATTGATGTTGTGGTAGTACTCGTGAACCTTCACGTGCTCCATATACTCGTATGACTTGTCATCCATGCGGCAACTGGGACACAGACATGAACTTACAATAGTGGTGTTACCAACGTTCTCCATGCCACCATAGTACGAGTTCTCCATGGCAATCTCGCGGTACACCGCACCAGTGTACTTGTATCCGGTTTTCTTCCATGCCTTGAGCAGCTCCTTCAGCTCCGCGCGAACAGCTGCCAGACGTGCAGCATCAGCATCACTCAGTGGCGTTTTCACATCCTCCTCGTTCGAACCACGGCACAGTTCGCCTTCTTTAGCCTTAAGAGTTTCGCGCTCTTCCAGCAGCTCATAAATACGCTTGCGCTCATCATGGTGTTCGCAAGCCTCTGGTCCCAGACTCACCATCACCCACAGCACGGAGTCGTGCAACATCTTGACAGCAGCCTTGGCGTCTGCCGGCTCAAAGTAGTCCGGGAACACCAGGATCTCCAACAGCGTTGTATCTCCATCTGGAAACTCAAGGGTGCGTCGAAACGTCTCATAAGTGCCTACACTCAAAAAGAACAAGTACGGTGCCATGTTCACCTTGTGATTGTAGTACTTGAGCACATGGCGAGATGGATCGTCCACGCCTAGTACTTCCTCTGCCGGATGGAAGACGGGCACACCGGCATTTGTATAGAATCCGGGTGCCAAGTCTCCATTCGTAATAATGTTCGTGTAGCGCGTATCTGCGACAATGGTGGTAGTATAATAGGCCTTGGCATCCATCGTGTCAATGCACGGTACAATGCGTTGGAATCCATGCTGCTGACACTGAGTGATGATGGTCTTGGGTGCGCCCTCAGGCGTGTAATCAAAGTACAGACCTTCCAGAATATTCTCAGTTGGGGTCGCCACTGAGACTGTACGGATCACAACTTCTTCTCCAAATTGTATCGGGTTGGCAAACTTGATGACAAGAAAATGGTCTTCTTTGTCTACTATAAACTTGAGCTCAAAAGGCTCCGCAAAGCTCTGAACATGCGCTACAAAGTCATTTGTGTTACCCAATGGTTTAAATGTGTTAAACTGCTCCACGGATAAAATCTCCAGTTCCTTTGAGTTAAGTTTAAGCTCCGAGAGTGGTTCGATCCCATCGTGCTTGAGTGTCGTTTGTAGTGTTACCTTCACCTTGGCTTCCGTGATATCAAACACCATATCAAAATGAAGTGGTTTGGTCACTAGTGGCTTGAAATCCTCGCGCGTAAAGCGATACTTTTTACTGGGTGTAGTGCTTGTCATTTCTCCTTTCTTATCTTGTAGTTTGGATTTTGTCGATGAATGAATAATCTATTTATCAAAAAGATAGTAGAAAACAATATCGATTTGAACGAGGAATTAGTGCTTTTTTATTTCTGATTAAATCTCTGAAAATTGTACGCACAATCTTGTACTCACGCGGTCGATATATTATCGTTTTGCGAAGTACTCTATATCGACGCAATGATCACAATCACATACTAAGCTATGGCTATGACAGAATTTATACATCTTTCCATGTCCCTAATTTCTGATCTGGTCCCACCATGAACTTCATATGCTTTAGCTCTTGAAAAAAGCATGTGATGCAGCGTCTCGCTACGGCATCAGTGTATGTGAGAATGCATGGGTGAAAATCTAGGCCTCATAATCTGCTCTTCTTTCCATCATAGTGTCGAACGGTATCAGAATGTGCACACCGCGCCTTGCAGCGGCCATGTTCTCCTTAACTTCTGGTGAGCTTGACAAATCGTTTTGAACTGTCAAGCAGCCTGTACTACTTTGTAGCAAGCTACTTATGCACTAAGTGCTGAGGAAGACAAGCTTTACGTCTTAGGTTCACTAAGCGACTCAAGGAAAGCTTTATAAGCTTGTGCATTCTCGTGTAAAAAACTTACGTCGTAATGCGACCAGTATCGAGATACTACTTCCTTTTCACAAGGATTACCGCTCTAGCACGTGTGCTATTCAGAGCACTATTTTAAACTGATCTATTTAATGTGTATCTTCCAGCACTACATATAGAAGCATTTACCCTATATTTAGCGCTATTCACTATTTATCTGGCTCTGTAGCCTTCTAATATGTAAACATATGCATTTATAATGCTTAGACTACGTAAAATCACCTTATGCCTATCAGCCACGATGCAACGCTCTGTACCTTAAGTACGATCAACAGTATCGCAACAGGCATAGATATGTTAATATTTTTCTGGTGAAGACGTCGCGCCAAGAGGCGCTCAACGTGAAGCTATTGATGACCCAGCTCATCGATCAACGTCGGCGGGGGTCGGTGACCCATCAATCCATGTTCAGCCCCCCAAATATCTCTAAGTTTAAATGTCGTCTGAAGATCCTGGAGCGCAATGCTCTTGGGTAGGTGACGTCGCACCTGTCATCGCTCGATGGCCGTGTTGATCTACACCGTCGCTTTTTTGAGCGTTATCGCTCAGAGACTTCTGATCGCTTAGCAGCGATCAAGCGTTCTCTCGCAGAGCTTCGGTGTCAAATTGAACTCCTGGTATGCCTCCACCGTCCGATGACGTGTTACCCGCCTCCTTTAGCCGGGGGTATGGTGAAACCCTCGAAGTCCACCAAGACTGGGTTGATATATGGCTTTAGTTGACTCACATAGAACACAGGGTGTGATCGCAGATGAAGCATAGAGGCTAAGCCCTTCTTGCCTATCAGATTGAAAGGTATAATTATGCGTGGACGTAGTTTGGTTTTATATACCGCAGAAAATGCGCGAGTAGGTAGATTCCTACCGTTTAATAAAACGAAATCGCCCAATTTTTTGACCCGTGTTCGTTCTTTTTGCCTTTGGCATCTGCTTGTTCCTTCGGAACATCCTGGCTTTCAGACATAGCGTATCTGAAGCGACGTAATACGTCAAAACGCGCTGAAAGAAAAACTTCCACCTCTTAAATCGCAACAGGGCTGACAGCATCCTCCCCTTTCTCTACGGTCTACCAAACAACGGTTACTTTTCCTCTGTGGTTCACTTTCTCTCCGGTCCACCGGTCCACATATTCTTCATATTTTTAAGCCCTTCACCACATCGGCTACGCGGAAACAACGTGTAGCATGCATCGCAGCGGGTCATGGGAGATAGGGACTTATTACTCCCTCTCATCCATAGCATTTGCTTCCGTCACCAGTACCAAGGTACACCAGTGCGTTTCCAAGACTTTTGATGGATACTTTCAGAATAACAGTTACGTGTCACCAACGTTTGGAATGCTTTGCAGCGGTTGATGGGGACTCATTAATCCTTTTCAACCACATCGTTTACTTACTCTCAACCATAGCAGTTCTTTTCATGCAATTTCCATGAACACTTTCAAGATATTACGGTGGCGTAGTGAGTGTTGAAAACGGGTTGATGAGACATCCAACCATTGTCGTTGCCGGCCGCCTACTGTTGGAGGGGGCCACTGGTAGCTTGGTCCCTGAAGGTGGATCATGGTTCCTCTGGATCAAACTCATCCTGGTCAATCTACATAAGGAACCAAGTTACTGATGAAAAACGCTTGGTAGTTTGATGCAAAATGCAAAGTGAATGTACTAAGATTCTTAGTTGACAAAATATCTTGCTACTCTAGCCTTCTTTCAATCATTGATCAATCAATCATGTCAAACGAGACGTCTTGACAATACTACCACTCGACTCGTTAGCAACATGCCGCTTTGATTCCGAGCATGTCCCGGAGATATTCGAACTGCAAAGCCGTAAAGGGCCTTGTCATGAGATCTGCCTTCATGTCTTTTGCTGGACAGTATTACAGCAGTACTTGACCGTCTGCAACCTTCTCGTGTACAAGCTAAAAACTAATTTCAATATGTTTAGTGCGCTTGTGGAACTCCGGATTCTTGGCCAATGCAATCGAGCCTTAGTTGTCCTCGTAGATTATGACAGCTTCATCAATTTACATGTCTCCAAGATTGCACAAGAATACTTCGAGCCCCACAGCCTCCTGCGTAACTTCCCCAAGTGCCATGTATTCTGCTTCTGTTGATGATAGGGCGACAGTTCGCTGCTTTTTCCTCTCCAACTAATGCATCCATCATTTCATCATGAGCGTGTAACCTCTTGTGCTCCGTCGAGACTCCATGTCGCCGGCCCAGTTTGCATCCGAGTATCCTTGTAATCTTGAGTTACCACTTGTTTGACATTTGATCTCGTGCGCCTTCGTTCCTTTAATGTATAGAATACCCTCTTAAGTACCTGCCAATGTGCTGGACACGAGTCCGCTGCAAACTGACTAAGCACTCCCACTGCAGCAGCAAGGTCAGGACGAGTACATACCATAAGATACATAAACCACCCAACCTCGTTCCTCTAATGTACGTTTGCCATCGTCTCTGCAAAATTGCAACCTCCTTCGCACATAATTTTTGTCAACTTAAGTCCTGGGTCTTAAGATGTCTTTACCAGTTTGCTGTTTTCCATGCCAAAATTATTAAGAATGACTTTGACAAATTTGCTTTGCCACATCGACACTTTCCCAGCATAATCGTCCTGTATTAAACGCTGTGGCTGAGAAATCGTAATGAGTCCCCATTAGCCGCTGCAAAGCATTCCAAACGTTGGTGACACGTAGCTGTTGTTCCAAGAGTAGCCATCGAAAGACTTAGAAACGCACTGCTGTATCAAGGCACTGGTGACGGAGAACAAACGCTGTTGATGCAAAGTATTGTGTCCTCATCAGCCGCGCAAGGCATTCCACACGTTGGTGACGCGTAGCTGATAGTCCAAAAGTATCATCGAAAGTCTTGGAAGTGCACTGCTGTACAGTGGCAGTGGTGACAGAAGTAAACGATGTGACCGAGAAGGAGTAATGAGTCTTCATCAGCCGCGTATAAGCATGCCTCAAGTTGGTGACGCGTTGCTGATATTCCGAAGTAATCTATCCCAAACGTTGGGGACGCGTAGCTGATAGTCCGAAAGTATCAACAAAAGTCTTGGAAACGCACTGCTGTACCATGGCACTGGTGACGAAAGCAAACGCTGTGGTTGGGAAGGGGTGGCCCCGCTGCAAAGCATTTCCGCGTTGGTAACGCGTAGCTGATGTCTTGAAAGCAGCAATCAAAAGTCATGGAAACGCACTGCTGTAACATGGCTTTGATGACGGGAAGCACACGCTGGTGGCTGAGAAGGTGTATTGAGTCTTTATCAGCCGCTGCAAATCATTCCAAACGTTGGTAACGCGTAGCTGATATTCCTAAAGTATCATCGAAAGTCTGGAAACGCACTGCTGTACCATGGCACTGGTGACGGGAAGCAAACGCTGTAGTTAAGAAGGAGTAATTATCGCTGTTGTTGGACGGATGCTATTGTATCTTCTTTTGAGATTTAGTACGCTTATGTGAAGAACGCATATGGGTAAGCTTAGTCATGGGTTCCCGAACCAAAGCCTTTATCTAGCATGAAGGAGCTTGTATCTACGAATTCTGAAGCTCAAAGAGCGAAACTCACTCTGTGCCCAAAATATGCTGGAGTAGTGTGATACACACTAATTGGGCTTCGCTACCGTAAAAACTGGCACACTGAACACAAGGATACAGAGAACTTTCGCTGCGAACTGTTGTAACAGCGTTACAAATAATCTCGTCGACGCAGAAGCTGTCTGTAGCCTGCGCTTTCAAATTCTTGCAGAGGGGCCAGCTTGTCTAGCGATTGACAGTTTGACGCTGATAAATCGGGCTTTGCTGCAAGTTTTTTGCTCTAAGGCAGAGTACTACATGTCACATTGGTTCTGATCCAGGTCTGACAAGAATCTGCAAATCATGTACCAGAAAATACCAGAGGCAGACCAAATCCCATAGATCTGAGCTCCCTGCGATGCCGATGTGACTTCGTCCGTACGCCAGGTGTCCTTATTCTATTCCGCTGAGTGTCCTGCACATCTGCGCTACTTAAAAGATGCTCATCTACCATTTCATACGACGACCTGTTTTCTTCAGCAAACGTTTTCATTCTTCGATAAACATGCAAGGAGTAAACGACTTGTAGCACATGATGGATACGATTTTCGTAAATGCCCTTACTACGTACTTCTGCTACAACGCGGAACACTTTCTTAAACTTGCAATATGATATTATTACTTGTAGAAATTGTTGAACGCCAGTTGTTACCAGGTCATCAATCGCAGTAGTGGTTGCTTGATGAAGTGGAGACGATTTGGTCGTACCCGATAGAACAGCTTTTTAGGTTAGCTACTTGAGCCATGGAAACATTGCCACCCACATTCCTTGACAACACCTTGCCGTCCTCCGGGGATACATTTCCAGACAAAACTGGAGACAAGGCTGTTATTGATTCCTCTGGCTTTGGTTCGTCGACTTTCTTAATGAAAGGGTCAGTTTTCATGTTGCCATCACCACTTGTAAAAACCTTTCTTTCTTCAGTTTCATTAGTGAAACCCAGCGGTGATTGCTCCGAAGTTGTAATGCAGTCAAAAATTGGGAAACCTTGCTTTCGTTTTTCAGTCGGGCTCACAGCATTCAACAGCTTTGACAACTTAAACGTGGACAATTCAGTCACTCCGTCTTCCGGTACTTTCTACTACTCAGCGAGAGACGCTTAACAGGGACTGCTACGGGGTCGACGTCAGGTTTTGCAGTTAAGTGGGCCGTAGGCGGAGCAGATTGTGTTTTTCTCTCGCTGGACCGCGGTGCATTTTCTGACGCTGTGCGGGGATAGATTCTCACCCGCAGAATCGATCGTAACGGGCCTGAGCGTGGCTTCAGCGGCGGGCGCACTGGAGCCTTCGTCGATCCAGGCGGACGAAAGACAAGTAACTTTGAGACTGCAACGTCCTTGTCAAATGCGCACACTGCATCAACATTCCCAAATGAAATTTTGGACGGCTTCCAATCGCCGTCATCGGCCTGCTTCGTCTTCACGAACTCGACATCCTGAGCATTTTCAGTCAATCGCTTGCTTACTTGATCCAATACCACTGTTGAGCGCCGGGCTCGCCAATTGTTTGGTGTCCCAAGCTTGCCAACAGTCACAACATTTCCGAAAATGTCTCTGTCACGGCGAGAGGTGCGACCATTACGCGAGTCTGTTCACAAAAAAAGGCGCAATTCACGGGTCAGTAAAATAATGTATCAATAAAAGCAAACCCAGAAAACGTACTCATCAGATTCAGCAAATGACTCGCCGAGTTGGACCGACCGCCACTATTCAAGACAGTCGATGATTTTTCTTTCTCCAGTCTAGCATCTTGTGGTCGCAAGCTGTCCTTTACTTTGGCTGTAGCTGAACGGTCATTGTCTTTCACGCTACGGACGTCGGAAGTGCTTTGCTTCTGGAAATTTGATCCTCGCAAGTGGCTTTCTTCTTCACGTTGGACCCTATCCTTGTCGGATTTTTGGTTCACTTCTTGAACTCCAACGTCAGCTTTCAACTTTTGGATTACCCATGTAGCAAGGCTAGGTATAGCAGCATCTTTATAAAAACCCTGTTTTTCAATTCCACGCACTTTCTTGCCAATTCTGCTATCTCTGATCACGTCTTTTGTCACACCGGGCAATACTGCAAGGGTCTGTCGTCATTATATCTTAAAATGAGCCAGTTCAACAAAATGTCATTCCGCATCAGTCCCAAGTCTTACCTTTAGAATAAGCAGTACTCCTTGCTCCGTTTCCACTTGGTCTTCCCATTTAGACAAAAGCTCGGCTAAGGAACTCAGGCCATCTTTCTGCACAAACGCCTCCAGTGCTTCTTTATCCTTTGTAAGAACCAACAAGGCAGCATGATCAGCGTTAATGCACAGTACGAAACCTGCGGATCGTCAGCTGAACAACCGTAACATACCTTCAAGCCTGCCGCGGAAAGAGCCTCTAGCTGCGCCTCCATCGCAGTATTTTTGACTGTGCTGACAACAATAAATAGCACCTTGCGGACGATGTTGAACGCGATGTTGTCAATCGCTTCCATTTCTGTCTCGTGAATGACAGGGCTTGAAGGTTGCCTGGTTCCTGATGACAGTGAGCTTGTCATAGGACTCCGTTGGGTCTGCCCTGTAACATTGGTCTTCAAATCGAGAGTCTTTGGCCGCTTTGATGATAATGATGGAGCACTAAGACTTGTTTCCCCTTCGTTTTGAGCCGGTTTTTCTATCTTTCGTTTGTTCTTTCCGCCAACTCCAACCGGGCGCAAATTTGGTGGAATGCTGTCAGATACTTCTTGATATGTAAGATCACAGCATTCCCCGTCGATATACATCACACGAAACATCTTTGTTGCAGGAAAGTAGCTTACCACGGTACCTTGCACAACATTGATACTGCGTCCTTCTTTTGTAACTTTCCTCGCCACTGGCTTACCAATAAGCAGATTAATTTCTTCTGGGGTGCTATTCAATGAGCTGTCGCCTCTCTTCTCCTCGTCTCTGTGATCCTTCATTTCTTCTTCATCTTCTATTTTCTCCTCCTTTTCCACTTCTTCTAGCGTATTGGCCGGAATAGATACAGCTGGTGACTCGTTCGTCGCCTCACTAGAACATGACGAAGTAGCGAAACTATTGCTGCACATCAATCCAGGAGCATTTGCATTAAGGCTCAGCACCGTCGGTCTCCTTTTACCTTCAGACGCAGTAGGAGACGACACTTCTGCTTCTACCGACGACATACTGACGATATCTTCATCTTTATCGGTCTTCATAGCTGACGGTGTGGGCGGTTTACTTGCTTTGGGCGGCTTACTTAATTTAGGCGTTTTGAGTGTCTTGGGCGGTTTGGGCTTCTTAGACGTCTTGGGTTTCTTGGGTGTCTTAAGTGGCCTTTGTGGCTTAGGCAAGGAAAAAAGGTGTGCCTCGACGTCCTCTTCCGTCATCTCCTCGCTGTCTCCGTCATCATAAGAAATATGATAGAAGTTCGTCAGGTCTGAATGGTGGTCCACGAGGCCTTCAAAAGGGTCTCTATATCCTCTAAAGTACTTTTTTATGCGCGTCCCCAACGGAAAACGCTGCGTTAGGTAGATCCTAGCCTGGCAGCAACAGCAGCATTAACAGCAAAGCACATTAGCATCAACATTAAAAGGTAATACCACCTCCCTCGCACGTAGAAACGCATGATAAAGGTGGCAGGTAGACAATAAGTAGAAAAATTATTGGCAGCTAGTACATATGACTTTCTTTATAACTAAAACTTGCAACTACTGACCATCGTTTTTCTTTGAAAATCTCCTGTTAAATCGTGTCACACTGATTTCGGCTCAATGTTCGCCTAGCTTTGTCTAATAAAAACGTGTTTCAAACTCACTAGACCTGTGCAATTGTAATACTAGCAGCTGAGAAGATGTTAACAAGGACACACAAAAGCAGGGGCGATGACAAAGTCTCACAGTCGTCGAATCAAGTGGTCTGCTTGTTTGCTTTTGAGGTTCTAAAGGACGGAGGTAAGACGCAATTATACCGAAACAGCGATTGAAAGATACCGGTATTCCGTAAAATTCATCTCACGAAATTTCTTAAACGTTTTGTTCAAAATTTAAGTTTTATTCGAGTTGCTGTATTTCGTCTGCTTATGAACCAACCAGTGCTGCTAAGGCAACTGACAATCTTAAGGCAACGCTAAAGTGCAATCTCGAGACCAGTGTATAGTGTAGAACAACTGTGTTCAGCGCGCAGCCACGTGCTACCTGGAGCTGCGAGTCGTCGTCAGCTACTGCTCAATCGAGGCTAGTGGTCCCTGCATGCGAAGTTGTTGTTAGATGTCGGGTGTTACAGAATAAAACATACGGCCTTCCTGCGAGTGCGAACCCATTATTTTGGCTTGGAAAAATGGAACAAGTATGACTAAACAGGAAACAATTTCGGTTTGCACGATGGCTAGAAGCGCGAACGATTAGTTACTGGCCAAGCTTATCATTAATATCTTACCGTTGGCTACATTATCAATCGTGCAAGTTGTAGATGTGCATTTCTCGTAAAAGTGTCCCAATAGGTTGCACATGATCAGTGGCATACCCTAAGCCTACGTAATGAACTGGCTTTATGTAATAAGCCTATTTGAGATGGCCACAGCACAGACTTTCTGCAGCAGGTTACTGTCGCCTTGTTACTTTGACTGTCCACGTCTTGGCCAAGTTTGCTTGTTTAGTCCTGAGCATTCTTGTATGCACTTGATCCCACTCCATCGGCATTGCAAAACGCGTACTTTATGTGGTACATATAGTGGGCTTTGTGAAATACATACTGCCGAAAAGCAGCTCCATCATGCAAAACAATAAATTCTGAAGCATTCAAGTAAGGGCTGTAATCAGACTAAGAAGCTTTTGAGTAGTACAAAGAAGCTTTTTAATAAAAAAAAAAATTTTTTATAGAGCACACCCCAGGTGACTGTCACGGTGGTAATTGCGAAAAATATTAACCACTTTTTATGGATTATTAAACCTTGAAAGGCGTACTTAGTACGTGTCGATTGGTTTAAACAAGCGAATAGCTCACAGCAACAGTTCACTTATATTCGTTTTAGTATGAATTCAAAAATAGATTTTGTAGTTGATACATGCATACGTACTCAGTTTTAGTGGACTGAATGCACGCTCTTTCTATAAGGTTCCATTGCGCGATTCCTGCCGCAATATAACCGCAGCCAAGCTGCAGTAGCCAGGCTACTATTTGAATGAAGTGCAGATAACAAGTTCTAGAAGCTTTACGCATATAGCATTCTTACCCCTCAAAGGTCTGCTACACCAGATTACATTCTTAGTTATACAACCAACGTCTTTACAAGACCAGTGTCTCAGATACTCTTTCGTAGCCGCTTGTAGCAGCAACTGCTTACCGAAAGCAGATCAAAAAACGAATAAAATCGAGTTTATTCTCCAACACTAATTTGAAAGATACATATTCTATACTTGGTGCTAGTCACTTTATATAACTGGCTATGTAGCATTCCCTAGGATATGCATATATAGCCATAGTACTTATCCAAGTTCGATGGTCACGTCGATCCGTACCATGATGCGGACTCATTGTACCTCAGATGCGGTCACACCAAGGCACCCAATGATTTTGCAGTACAACACATCAAAAATGGTGTGGCAGGTGTGTATGTATTTTACAACACCATCATCAATCCGTGGGACCTAGCGTACCCATTATTCTTCGAGTTTCCAGTAAAAGTTCTGTAGACTTTACTCTCGCTTTTCAAGCAAAACACTTGCCTGTAAAGCGTCCTGAGCATATAAGTGGTCATTTATTGCTGATTAAGCACCTAAGTTGATTTATACACTTGCTTATTGATCCTTTTCGTGCATTTCATCACTGCGCTTCGTCAGCGATTCCTTACTCCTCCGGACGATGAAGTCGTATAAGGATTGTTTTGCGCCGCTATTACATAAACAGAACTAGTGAATACATTCTTACGTAAGCAGACAAAAGCTGGGTAGGGTACAGCGCGGCACAATTCTGATTCGTTGGAACTTGGGAAGCCAGGCCGAATATCCTCCAACAAAATACCACACGCAAATATGGACGGGCCTGAGCACCATTGTACTTTAAGGAAAAGAACAAACAAAAAACAGATGATAATTTGCTTTAAATTACGCTTTATTGTAGGTAGTAGTGTGGCTAGGAAGTGAATCGGTCTTAGCCAGTAGCAACAACATAGTACGGCGTTACCTCTAGATAAGCCATATTACTCAATTGGCTAGAAAAGACTGCAATGTCAGTGTTGCCTACCGCATCACGCGGTAGGTGAAACACAAGATTATGCTGATGATTTGCCACAACCAAGCGGGTTCGGGCAAACTCACCAGAGGCGCAGCCATGCTAGCAGAAACTCACCAGAGGCGCAGCCATGCTAGCAGAAAAGGTTTAACATGCTTACATAAGTAACGACCCCTTTACACAGCTTAAATCACCAACAACGGGTGCTCACCGAAATGTATGACTTATCACAGTCTAGAGGACCACCAACGATGGCTTCATAAAGTATCTGATACGTGAGGTCCTCATCATGAGGCGTCACGATGTGGTGGAGTGGGTTTTCAAAACTGCGTAATGAGACCCCAAGCCACTCACTGTCCGGACTGCTGACTGTCGGAGGAGGTATTCAGATGCCACGTATAGACCTTATCTCACCTTGTGTACCCGTCGGCTGGCGAGTTGCACTCTTCGGAGGAGTTGGTTGAGATGTGGTGTCGACGTTGGGGTGCCTCGAGTGGACATACTTCACTCGGTAGGCGGGTAGGTGGCCACTCAGTCGACTAGGTCGAGGGTGGACTTATAACCAAATTCTTCAGGGAGATTCTCAACCCTGGCCTTTTTCGCCTTCCTCGATAGCTCAGGGGTGTTAGCCGCCTGGCCTTTACTTGCTCCCGAACCACTAGGGTGGGGAGACCGCTTCCGATAGTGGTTCTATGGAGGGTCCTACTCAGACAAACCCACAGGCCAAATATATCCTGGGGCTCTATTCGCACTTAAGTCTTGCCACACAACTGTCTTTGACGGGGGCCCAAAATATATCCCTTCCCGGAACAGGTGAGGAGACTTAGTCAGTACCTTGGAAGCACGACGGAGGTGTGCTATGTAGATCGCAAATTTAGTAGTATTTTAGTATAGCCCTATCTTTTAACTGCTTTTACTCTATCTTTACCCTCGAGACCTGTTTATTGATTCTGCTTGCCGAGAGCCAAGAGTTCAGAGGTGGAGGGCCGGGTGAAGTCACAGTTGTATTGAGGACCACGAGATGTATGCATCTAACGACGAGGTACTGACCCTGGAGGGTCAAGTGAAGTCATCAATGGATGTAAACTTTGAGGCTAACGAGGTTCATGCACCTAACAACGAGGTACTGACCCTGGAGGGTTGGGTGAAGTCACAAGTGGATGTTGTCTTTGAGGACAACGAGGTGCATGCACCTGGTGACGAGGTACTGGCCCAAGAGGGTCGGGTGAAGTCACAAGTGGATGTTGTCTTTGAGGACAGCAAGGTGCAAGCACCTCATGGCAAGGCAATGACCCAAGAGGGTGGGGTGTAGTCATTAAATGAAGTGGTCTTTGACCTTGAGGTGTATACACCTGTGTACGCTGATGCGTCGGATGCTGAGATCATCATGAGTAGCGATGATAATATTGTGAGTGACGGTGATAGCAAACAGCTATATGCACTCGTCAATGGTTTGACTGGGGATGTGAAGAGCCGGTGGCTTTTTCAGCTATACCCGCAGTAAGCGCTCTGTTAGAGCTGGACGAGTTGTCCTTCGTCGAGTTTGGCAGTGCCTTATAGGCAGGCGACATCGCCGAAGTGGTCGTTATACGACCTGAGAAGGAGTTAAACTCCTCATCTTTTTTGGATAAAGCAGTCTTTGAAGATACCAAGAAGGCGATGAATGCGCGTAGTGGATCGCATATCCTGAAGGAATCATTGGATCCTTATTTTCCTTTGTTGAAAGAATATGGAGATGTTGTATCCATAGAACCAACTACGTGTCCACCTCCGGGTAGAGGTGTACGTTATAAGGTTGACTGGTTTCCAGGAACCAAATACTGTGTGACGTGACAGTGACCGCTGCAACGAGAACAATGTGACGTCATTGACGAGTTCTTTCGTGCAAAGCACGCGGCTGGCTTGGTGCGTGAGAGCAAGTCTCCTCACTCTACGCCCACGTTTTTGTGGGAGGAAGCCTTATGGGAAGTGGCGAATATTGCATGCTTAGAATAAGCTAAATGCAGCCACTATTCCGGCTCAAACACCGATTCCTTGCAAGGATGTTCTTCAGAACAATATGGTGGGATGTACGATGTACAGTGCCCTCGACTTAGTCGACGGATATTACCAACTGCTCATGCGAGCTAGTGATATCCCGCTGACATCGGTCAGCACTCCGAGCGGGATGCTCTGGGAGTGGTCAGTGATGCCCCAAGGGCTGTCTAACGCACCTGCAACGTTCAATCGTCTGGTGACATAGTTGTTTCGGCCCCATAGGGCGTATACACAGACATACTTTGACGATATATTCGTCCATAGTCTAGCCGAAAATGGAAGTACTGTTGTGGAAAATCACATCAAACACCTGCGAGCTGTGCTAGGTTGCATGAGGATGCATAAGTTATATGCCAATATTGACAAATGCATCTTTGGTGCGGAAGAGATTCCCTTTTTGAGATGCTTCATTGGGAAGCAAGGAATCCGGGCAGACCCTGTTAAGGTCAAAGCCATAGTGGATTGGCCGGTTCCAAGGAATCAAAAGGACCTCCGCAAGTGGTTGGGCTTGGCAAATTACTTGCACAAGTATAGCCACAACTATGCGAAAGTGGCTAGGCCATTGTCCAATATTTTTTAAAAGGACGTGGAATGGTGTTGGAACACCGGGCTTCACAATACACGAAGGCATCAATACACAGCTTGCAAGTGGACTCGGTCGGTATCAAGAACGACATGCCTATACCCTCGCTCAGACCTACAACTGCTGAACCTGTGGAAAATATCAGATTCTATATCCGTATCGTGCTCTCTCATACATCCCACGGTTGTAACAAGCGTTAACGACGTTTGCCATATAAATGAAGATGCCGGCTCCGCGCACGACGATCAATCTATGTAGAGGACGCTTCATCCAATAAGACTGACAATGTGACAGAGACATCGAAGTTCGCCCGCCTACAGATGAATGGAAGACAAGCCTTGTCGGTTATAGGTTTCATCGAGCGTGATCCTGACTGGTCGAGTTGTATGCAAGCTGCCAAGGAACCCGTTCAGATTCACCTCGGCTCCTCCCGCCTGATATGGAGAATAAAGCATACTGGCAGGATTTACAGATGTTCGATGAGCAGCGAGTCGTTGGAAGTGATACAGAGGGCGAACTACCTGGAGCCAGACGTGCTCTGCGACAGCTTGACAGGGCTAACCATCTACGGGAACAAGTCGCAGGACAACGGCTCCGTAAGACCAAAGTGTCGATGGCGTGAGCCTTGGCATTCCTCCCTATTGTATTCGCGTGAGGTACGCACGTGTGAAACGTTTCAAAGGGTGAAGCCCTCGACTAGTATGGCTGCGCCTTTGGCGAGTTTGCCTGGTACCATCGGGGTTGTGGCAGTCCATTAGTATGGACTTTGTGTTTGGCCTACCGCGTGATGCGGCAGGCAACACTGGGATTGTGGTCTTTGTTGACCGACTGAGCAAGATGGCTCACTTAGCGGCAGTGCTGGAATCCATTGATGGAGAAGGAATAGCAAAGCTGTTCATGTATCGTGTGTTTCGACAACACGGATTGCCTGTGGCAATCGTCTTGGATATAGACCCCGTTGGACGGGTAAGTTTTGAACATTCGTCTTTAAAGTGCTGGGCACTAGACTGGCCATGTTCACGGCGGATCATCCACAGACCGATCAGACTGAACGCGTGAATTGCGTTATTGGCGATATGCTTTGCATTGTTTTTGCTGAAACACGCAAGCAATGGAGCACGATGCTCACACTGGTAGAGTTTGCGTTAATAACGCGGTGCATGCCTCGACAGGCTTCACCCCATTCTATGTGAATGGATTGGTCAACCCTCGCGTACTTTAACGCTACCCCCTACCACATCAGGGAGATAGCCGAAGGCTTGGCTAATATCAGCCCTGTTGCGATGCGCAAGAAGGTGGCAGCGTTTCTGTCAAGGTGTCTTCTCGATAATGATTACGCCGTCAGAGGGAAGGCCATCCGTCAATCTAGCTGTCTCGGCTTCTTCGAATGTACTATACTCTTTACGAATAATCACGGATGGAGGAATAAGCATCTCGCCTATAATTTTGCGGTACTCGTCATACTTCCTGGTTATAGTCTGGACAACCCCGTTCGCCGCAATGATATCCTGCCTCGAGCTGCGATAGACGTGACATGTTGTTTTCCTGATTCGAGAGAACGGTCCTGAGCATGGTCGAAACATCAGGAAGCTCCAGCATGGCAGGACTAGGCTTTCTATCAGAGGCCGGAGTGGCGCTCACTTTACTAGTACAGGAAGAGATAGATCCATGCCTCGGATGAACGAAAAGATTGCAGTTTTTTGTTCTTAGTGGATCTGCGACTACAGCCAGACTATTCGGGTTAATCAATCTATTAAAGAAACGGTTGACCGACCTGATAATTGAATGGGCGGAAATATTTGGCGATATCCTCTCCAACAAAAAACAATGACATTACAGCTAATACCAAAAATGTTCCGTGAAACTGCTTATGAGCACGGAAATCGCGATGCAGCATCACACACTGCTGAAAAGAGCTAGAGCATTTTTTTTCGGACGTAATATACAGTGACTCTTTTCCACCAGAAACATCTCCAGCACTTGGTACACACGTCCAATCTAGCGGCATTCAAGCATACGATACCGCTACTTCACACGATGTTTAATATTTCACCCAGGTGCCAAGAGCAACATTCTCAGTCCTTGTGACTCGAGGGTCCCATTCCGGCTTTTTCTATCCCCTGGATCCGTTGCGCCCTTCCACAGGATGTCCGATCAGGAAACTCTTAAAGCACGATCGTATTTCGCCGACTTCATAAGCAGCACTGTCCTTGTCTCCTGCGCGAAGATGAATTGTACGAGGCTATCAGTAATCTGCTTGTAAAAGCGGCGAACGGAGTTGTCCAGACTATAACCAGGAAGTATGACGAGTACCGCAGAATTATAGGCGAGATTATTATTCCTCCAATATGCCTATAGGTAATGAAGCCAAGTAAACAGATACAAACTGATACAAATAAGCAGCGCGTCATCCTGTCTAGCCAACGAAACAGTCTTTGGCAAGAGCAGGCGACAAGGTCATCTCCACTTCATCGCAACTATCATACATCGACGCATCTATGTCTCGGTTTAGAATATAGTTATTCTCATGCTTTGCTCGATGTCTTACACTATCAACCCTATAAGTTTTCCGTGGGAAGGAGCTACTCACTTAACTTTCCAGCGTTTATGGAGGCTAATTGAACGTATGTCGCTGGATTCTGGGAGTAGATATCTTATTTCGGCTCTTGAGTCTCGTTGCGCCCTTGGTTATAGCACCTACTACGATATCGCTGGTGATTCTATGAAGGACGAGCCTAATAAGATTATCACGAGGGCGGGGAGTCTGATGCTGGATTTGCGGAGGGCGGTAACTCATCCACCAATTTCCATGTGTAGCGCTTCATACGTGCTTGACGACACAGAGGTTATTTCATTTCTAGCGGTCTCCACCTTCAAGAAAACCTAGCACTGTTTCGAATGTGGATTACGACGGGGATGAGGTTAACGTTCAGATTGTAGATGATCGGAAGTGTGAACAGGAGGCACGGTCGAGTATAGATGCTAACGTGTTGTCTAAGTTCTCGGATGAAAATGTTGAGAGGGTTCTCCGTGAGTTCAGGGGCAAGTTGACGGCCGATTCTCTGGAGAGGATATCGCCAAATCTTTCCGCCCATTCAATTGTCAGGTCGGTCAACCGTCGGTGGTCGACTGTAGGTGATACTTGGTTGGTAGGGCACTAAATCATTAACGACCAGAAATACGATTGGGATAGCTGGTTTCTGATGGCCGGTTGCCCGTTCAACCTCGCCTTTCCTATTCCTCGGACCCCTGTAGATGGAAGCAAAGAGATGCTGGTTCCATCATCTCTTTACGACTCCCGACATGCCAACGTTAAACCCCGATAAAAGCAGATCGTACTCATCTTGTTCCGGGTCGGAGTATTCGTGGAAGTCCTCGTCGTAGTCGTCGGTATCACCAACCTCGAGGTTGGAAGTAGCAATCTGCGTGGAACTACTGCTTTCTGAATTTTTCCGTTTCTTCTTTTCTATCAACATCTTCCGTCCCTTGCCTGTCTTGCTGTCCCCGGGCTTCTTCTTCTTCCTCTCTGGCTTTTCCTGTGCTTCCTCCTCCGACATTGACTCCGATGCAGGCGCTTCCCCTTTAAGTGATATGTTGCTAAGCAGAGACGAGAAATCTATATGTTCATCGACGATGGCACGGTATTGTCAAGTTCCTTCGTATCGGTGGCCACCCCGTCGTGTACTCCTTCTCACTTTCTTATCTGGTGGAAACGTTTAATCGGCTGGCTGTTACCGGGCTCAAACAGGTTGGATGTTGCTACGTTTATGACAGGATCGGGGAAGATGGAGTCCTAATCGATCTCGGTGGAATTTCTATGAAGATGCATCCCGATAAGCCCGGTTACGCTGTAGCGAAGTATGGTAGCAAGGTTGAGTACGTGGAGCCGGCTGTTAGGACCAGGGATTTCCGTGCCACGAAGATGAGCTATGCTACCGATGTGATCTACGGCGACTGCGAAATAGGTTATTCTTTTACGGGATCGGCGGTGAAGGAAAAAGCATTGCGATATCGACGATAACTTCCAATCTTCCAGGTGTGGTCGGGACTCTCACACAGGATTACGTTGGCAGAAGCGTGTACAAGATCGATGAGGCTGATATGGAAAAGATGATGGAGAATAGGTTCGTGTCTTATGGCGACGTCTCGATAGGCCACAAGGGATACATCAATGACTCCTCCCTCAAGATCATGTCTGGAAACGATTCGGTATCTACGAAAACGATGACGGGGAAGCTCCAATGTGGTGGCTTGGCTCCCTTGGACGGTTTATCTATTGTGAGGCAGAGAGCCCTGTAACGTCCGACGCAGAATCCACCATATCTTCGGCTTCGGGCAGCGTGGTTATATCGAGGTCAAGATGCAACCCTGTATCGTCCAGTAATGGCGAAGGCTTTTACTTACCTCAATGAACCCACTCTTGAAAAGATGCTGGAAGCTGCCAGAAATATTAACAGTATTAAAGTTGAACATGAAATGGAGATTGCTTTTTTAGAGAATCATTTGAATACAATGACGGCAAATAAAGCTCTCAGTTTTTTGAGGCTTGACGTCCCAAATGAAAGCAGCCTGCTAGGCACCAAACAATTTAATCTGTGGGTTGCAGATCGAAGCCACGAATTGCTACACGGTGGTGCGCTTCTTTCATACGCTAGTGAACGCCAATGCCATGTATGTACCCACGTCGTAACGAGGTGTATATTTTACATACACACCTGCCACACCAATGTGATGTGGCTGTACCTTGGGTACAGTGGTATGTTCGATGTGACCGTACCTAAGGTACGAAGGGTCGGCAGAGAGCCACGTGGTCACTATACTTAGTCAAGTATAGTGACTATTACATGTTCGCATAATAATGACAGGCTACCAAGCGAGTAATAGTGACTAGCACTAAGTATAGGATAGGTGCTTCTATATTTAGTGTTAAAAGATAAACATATATATAAATCAGTCTCAAACCTGCTCTATATAGCACTCGTAACTAGAGCGTTCTATTCCTCCTGAGGAATCGTATCATTGATGTAGTCTCTTGAAGACATGTTGTCCACAAACAAAAGTCATAAGCTTGTAAAGCTAGCCTTGGGAGGGTTAAGAACTCTTAGACACATAAGCTCTCTGGGCTTGTCTTCCTCTGCACATAAGTAGCTTGGCTACAGTAGCTCGGCTACAGCTGGTAGCCCTTGTAATCAATCCCGCACCTGGGTTTGCGACTACTTTTCTGCGTGAGAATGGACATCGAAGAGATGTCAGCGATTGCCTGTCACAGGCGCAACAGGAAGGGTTGCAGAAGCTGCTCCCTATCCTTGGCCCTAAGGGCGTGTAATACCTCATCGCCCAGAGCGAAGACGAGGTTAACAAGCGTATTCTTATGCTTAATGAATATAATAAAGCCCTAGTCAAGCATGTAAAGGCACAAATGCCTTCTTCTGCGCCTTCGCCCATGGCGACTATGGCGCAAGAAGTGGTCCGCAGACCAAAACCCATACAAATGGAAGACGATAAGTTCGACAGCAAAGAAGGTGACAACCTTATGCTTTGGTTCAGACAACTTCAGTCGTTTATGTTTGTAGCTGATATCGCCTATGAACCGTACCGTGTGGGCTTTGCCACGGGTAAGTTGGGTGGATTAGCCAAGCAGTGGGCGTTCACATGCGGTGCATCACTGCAAGATGCGTTCCCAACATGGGCCGATCTAAAAGTTCAGATGACCTGGCAGTATGCACCTCCAAACCAAGCACACCGTAATCGGTCGCGATTTTTGGCGTGTCACCAAGGCAAGCGAGAGCTTGCGGCATATGTACAAGAGTTGAGAGCTCTCTTTGCTACCATGGTCATATACTCTATGCATAAGGCAGTGCCCGTCACGGTCTTCATGGAGGGCCTCCGAGTTGGCGTTGCCAGGACGGAAGTCTTCCGGGTAAACCCGTCCTCATTCGAGGAAGCTGTTAAAGTGTCATGGAATAGCGAGACCAACTTAAAGGTCGCTAGGCCTGCCACTTATAACTACTCGTCTGATGGGTCTGTACCCATGGACTGTAGTCAAGTGGAGGATGAAGAAGCTGAGCTTCAAGCTGCGGAGCAGCAAATCGTGCGCAGATGTTATATCTGCAAGAGCACAAGCCATTTGATGGCAAAATGCCCTGCAAGAAAGGCATATTTGGCCTCGAAGGGTCGACGCTCCATGGGTAAACCCTCTGGTTTGCCGTGGGGAAACGCAGAGCCCAGTAGGTGCGGGGCACCCTACTGGGGAAGAACTGAGTTTGGTGAACCTCTAGGAGGTAGAAGCAAACAGGTCTCAGCCCCAAAGAGATCCGTACTCTCAAAAACGGAGCGAGAATGCAAGCCAGGCTAGCTGGTCGTCGAAGGGACGGTCAAGGGCTTTAATAAGCCATGGATCATTTTGATCGATTCGGGGGCATCGGGCAATTATGTGCCCCGTGCTACCGTGAAAGGTAGTCAGTAGTATGCTGAAGCGCTTGTAGCGCTTGTAGCGCTTAAAAGTGACACGGTCACAGTTGCTTAGCGACGGGTACGCGTGTTAAGGTACCCAAAGTCCCGATGGACTTAAATGTAAAGTTCTTGGACCTTAACAGCATGGAACGCTGCTTAGTCTTAGACCTGGATGCGAGGTATGACCTCATCATAGGCATGGCATGGCTAGAGGGATAGGTAAAGTCACAAATGGATGTTGTCTTTGAGAAAAACGAGGTGCATACACCTAACGATGAGGTACTGGCCCAAGAGGGTCGGGTGAAGTCACAAGTGGATGTTGTCTTTGAGGACAGCAAGGTGCAAGCACCTCATGGCGAGGCATTGACCCAAGAGGGTGGGGTGTAGTCATTAAATGAAGTGGTCTTTGACCTTGAGGTGTATACACCTGTGTACGCTGATGCGTCAGATGCTGAGATCATCATGAGTAGCGATGATAATATTGTGAGTGACGGTGATAGCAAACAGCTATATGCACTCGTCAATGGTTTGACTGGGGATGTGAAGAGCCGGTGGCTTTTTCAGCTATACCCGCAGTAAGCGCTCTGTTAGAGCTGGACGAGTTGTCCTTTGCCGAGTTTGGCAGTGCCTTATAGGCAGGCGACATCGCCGAAGTGGTCGTTATACGACCTGAGAAGGAGTTAAACTCCTCATCTTTTTGGATAAAGCAGTCTTTGAAGATACCAAGAAGGCGATGAATGCGCGTAGTGGATCGCATATCCTGAAGGAATCATTGGATCCTTATTTTCCTTTGTTGAAAGAATATGGAGATGTTGTATCCATAGAACCAACTACGTGTCCACCTCCGGGTAGAGGTGTACGTTATGAGGTCGACTGGTTTCCAGGAACCAAATATTGTGTAACGCGACAGTGGCCGCTGCCACGCGGTCCCACCTTGGTCGTTCGTCAATAGACCTCGGTCCTTCCATCGATGGACCCTCGGCCCCGGTCCCTGTCCTTTTGGCCCCTCGATCGGTATTCCCTAGCCAAGCAGAATAAAGAATCAGGCCTCGGGGTAAAGATAGAGATAGGAATATACTAAATATTACTTAATTTTGCAATCTACATAGCGCGCCTCCGTCGTACTTACTAAGTCTACCCACCTGTTCCGGGAAGGGATATATTTTGCCCCCCATCAAAGACAGTTGTGTGGCAAGACTTAAGTGCGAATAGAGCCCCAGGATATATTTGGCCTGTGGGTTTGTCTGAGTAGGACCCTCCAATAGACCCACTATCGGAAGCGGTCTCCCCACCCTAGTGGTTCGGGAGCAAGTAAAGACCAGGCGATTAACACCCTTGGGATATCAAGCAAATATAAGGAGAAGGCCAAGAGTTGAAATATTGTGGTGGTGTGGGTTTCCCCAAATGCGTAATGAGACCCCAAGCCACTCACTGTTCCGGACTGCTGACTGTCGGAGGAGGTATTCAGATGCCGCGTATAGACCTTATCTCACCTTGTGTACCCGTCGGCTGGCGAGTTGCACTCTTCGGAGGAGTTGGTTGAGATGTGGTGTCGACGTTGGGGTGCCTCGAGTGGACATACTTCACTCGGTAGGTGGGTAGGTGGCCACTCAGTCGACTAGGTCGAGGGTGGACTTATAACCAAATTCTTCAGGGAGATTCTCAACCCTGGCCTTTTTCGCCTTCCTCGATAGCTCAGGGGTGTTAGCCGCCTGGCCTTTACTTGCTCCCGAACCACTAGGGTGGGGAGACCGCTTCCGATAGTGGTTCTATGGAGGGTCCTACTCAGACAAACCCACAGGCCAAATATATCCTGGGGCTCTATTCGCACTTAAGTCTTGCCACACAACTGTCTTTGACGGGGGCCCAAAATATATCCCTTCCCGGAACAGGTGGGTAGACTTAGTCAGTACCTTGGAAGCACGACGGAGGTGTGCTGTGTAGATCGCAAACTGAGTAGTACTTAGTATAGCTCTATCTTTTAAGTGCTTTTACTCTATCTTTACCCCTGAAACCTGATTATTGATTCTGCTTGGCTAGGGCTGAGAAGCCGAGAGGCCTGGGACCGAAAGGCCGAGAGGTCAGGGGACGAAGGGCCAACGCCTATCGACCGAGGACCGAGGTCCATTGATGCAGGACCAAGGTCGAACTTTAGGGACAGGGGCCGAGGTCCCACCGACCGAAGGGCCAAGGTCTACCTTTATGAATGAACGAGGTCTACCAATGATAAACCAGGGTCTACTTTGAAGGACCTGGGTCCACCTCTAGGAATCGCGGTCTATCGGGCTAATCGCGGTTAACTCCTTTGAATGGCGGCTAACTAGCACGCACGACCGTACATTCTTCTCATGTAACGGTCGTTCCATCCCTTTTAGCGTCCCGTCTCTCTGTCCCTTGCCCAACGGTCGCTCCTACTTGGCGGGTACTTTCTCTTTGTCCCACTGGTCCTCTAACCTACCAGTTCTTGAAACGCTTCACCACAATCTCCCCTGAAGAATTTAGTCATAAGTCCACCCTCGACCTAGTCGACCGAGTGGCCACCTACCCGCCTACCGAGTAAAGTATATCCAGTAAAGGCACCCCAAGGTCGACCTCTTTCAAGGCCGACATCACATCTCAACCGAGTCCTCCGAAGAGTGCAACTCGCCAGCCGACGGGTACACAAGGTGAGATAAGGTCTATACGTGGCATCAGGGTATCCCCTCCGACAGTCGGCAGTACGGAATAGTGAGTGGCTTGGGGTCTCTTACGCAGTTTTGTAAACCCACTCCACCACTGTCACATCAACCTACCACTGTACCCAAGTTACAGTTACACCACAATGGTGTGGCAGGTTTGATGTACAATACACACCTTTGTGTAGCCCTGTTACAATCTTTATCACTACGGACTGGAAACGCGCTTTTCGGTAACTCTTTCTACCTAGATGTAGGCATGTTAATAGTCTTGACTCAGCCCATATCATGCTTTGTTAATGTACGAGGCACAATGGCAAAAGCTTAACAGTACGCTACTATCCATCGACGTTTGTCGTTCTTGAATAGGCATTTTTGCAAAAGGCACAAGTTGTCCAATCAACTCTTCTCGCGTTGTTACTGTTGGTCTGATGACCACTGCGTTGACGACTCCAAACGCTCATTGCCAAGACGCCAATGTTCAGCACTAAGCTTGACGCGGTTGCATTTCCTTAACATACTCAATGGTGTGGAAGCAGCATAGCCATGCGTGCGGCACCATGGCTGTAGACTTGCACGTTTGAATTGATGTGGTCCTCAATCACTACACAAAAAGCAAGCACCAAGAGCCAATGGAATAACCAAGAGCCAATGGAATAACCAAGAGCCAATGGAATTCCTAAAAAAAGAGCCAATAGACTCAAGGTCGTTCTAACTGATGTAGCGCCATAGCGGTGCTCCAGATCACACGCTTTGAATATCTTGTTTTCCTTCCCAGCCAATGATATATACCATGTGTAGGAAAAAGAGAAAGCATGGTTAAAGACTTCTATATTAAAACGCAGGACAGACGCGTTTCGGTACCTCTCCGGGGGGCGTGCCAGTGGCGCTAACCAGACTAAAAACCTTCTAGAACTTAGTGTAACCACACAAATCACCCACATTAACTAGCTGGGGCGTCAAACCGGAAGGGAGTGTCCGCTATGACAACTCCACTTCCAATACCATGCGTTTGTTTCGGTCGATTCCAAGCCAATGGCAGAATGTTGTTATTTTTTTGAGCACGACCATATAGCGTTAAATGTTTTTTCTTAGCTTGAATTGTTGTTACACAAACAAACTTGAGTAATGACAACGTACAGCGAATCAGTGAAGGCTTTGTGTAAGTAACCTCAGGTTTAAACTGAGCATTAATTGTGTCAACCAGACAAAAAAGTTACGAAAGTTACAGTCGATAACCTTGATAAAACTGTTATTCACCTCAATGTTTGAACTGCTCTTGTGGCTTAATAAGATGCTGCTTATAGCAATCATGCTGCTACTTCTTCGTGTATGGCAAGTGGTTATCCCGCTGCGCATAAAGGTTACCCTGTCTGCCTACTTGAAGCCTTCTTTTCACTACCCGAGTGCACTAAATAGCAAGAATGACAAGGTTACACAACGTCATGTTCGCGTTATGGCGGTTTTGGGCTCAGGGGGTCACACGACGGAGCTGTTGAAGCTCATGAAGAGACTCAAGCGAGACGTGTACACCCCTTTTACTTTTGTAGTGGCAGAGACGGACAAAACTAGTCAAGTCAAGACCGAGTTGGACTGGAAACCCGCAGAAATTGATTCGTTTGCAACTATTCCTCGTAGTCGAGAGGTTGGTGAATCATGCAACGCGTACAAACGGTTATTAACAATGGAATCGGATATGAATTGAAATGGATATGGATCATTTAGGTTGGACAATCGTGGTTCTCTTCAGTATGGACGACGTTGCAATCATTTATATCATGTTTACATTTGGTCTACAATCGTCGTCCACAGCTAGTACTATGCAATGGTCCAGGTACGTAGAAGCTATCTCAATCATGAGTTGATGTGTACCATTGACCATTGCGTGTGACGAATGACTGTTTTATTGCTGCGTCTAGGCACTTGTATCCCCATTTGCGCGGCGGTGCTGCTGTTCCGAGTCTTTGGCGTGCAAACGGACTCGAAGATCATTTTTTGCGAGAGTTTTGCGCGTGTAACGCATTTGTCTCTCACTGGTAAGCTTCTTTACTACGTAGCTGATGAGTTTGTCGTGCAGTGGCCACAGTTACAGACGAAGTACAGGCGGACAAAGTACTTTGGTGTCATTTGCTAGAAAAAGCGCTGTTGTGGCTGCAGTAAAACGAATTGCTATCGTGCTTTAGCTTATAATGCACTACTGTGTTTTTTACACATAGATCGACAGTGATACGTGGTCAGGTCAAATGATAAATGTTACGAGATTGACATCATTATTTACTTGCGAGTGAAGTTGTTCACAAGTGTAGTCAGCATAATTTTCATTAGTAAGTGTTGACAGTCCTTGCCATACATAACCTTTAAATCGAGAGAATAATAAACTACCTGCTTCCGAAACTGAGATTTGATCTTCGCGACGTTGTGGAATCAAATAGGACGCAATCTCTCACGTCTCATTCGGCTATTTCGCGTGCAATTTTCTCTTTGTCTCGCAATGCAGCACACGTCCACTGCCAGTGTAGGCTCGTCCACAAGTTCATTAGGCTCAAATTCTACAACATTGCCGTTTCCAACTTGAAGGCGTTGTCCACCGCTGTCGAGCGCGTAAAATTCTCCACACATCCGCTTTTTGCAATTTTTCCTTACTACTTCAGTGCATTCTTTTGGCAGATAATGACAGTTGCAGCAACGCAAATGAGCTGCGGAAAACCTGCGGAGAATATTAAAAAGCTGAGTCTCTTGTGCGCATCGCTAGTTCTCGTGGTGCTCAGATCATTTTGCTGCAAGAATTATCTCAGTTTTCGTACTTTCCCATTGAGCTTAATGCTGGCAATTTTCAACTGGCTACGACACTTGAAGAGTCAGTTTTGGTGCAGAGTATGGCTTTGCTAGCTCAGGAGCTTCATGTTGTCATTCCTATTAGCTTTTTTGAAAAATATAGATATATTCGTACTACAATTTGTGCGCTATCATTGACGCAGACGGAACGGGGTGCTTGCTTGATGTTACACGCAAATCTCATATTGGTGGTGCGTTGTTTGCAAGAATAAACAGTGATGTGTTTGAGTGAAGTCATGTCTCTAACTAGTCGGATTGTGATCGGTAGTTGTTTCATACAACTAGATCGACTAGATCGACTAGGATACAATGAGAAATACTGCTTCACACCCTGGATGACTCGTTTAAAGTGTGGGATACAGTGCGTATCAGATAAAAAATGGAGAGATTTTCTCTGGTATGTAAAGCTATGTTTTGCTTTTTCTCGGTGACACAGCGTTACGGTAAGATCGGAGTAGCGATTGAATCGGATCAGTGGTATCTAAAAGTGGCACTCAGTTTGGTGGTGCAAGGCGCCGAGCTACTGCTGTACCCAAGTGCCATGGGTAGCAACCAGTATGATCCAAACTTTGACCCGCGTGATCAGGGCAACGAGTGATGCAGGGCCACGCATCGGCAAGCATGGTGTCTGTTATATGCTCCAATCGCTTTGTAGCTGAGATAGTGGACAGCATTCAGGTCACGTTTGTCGGATCCTCCTTTATCACCGGCCAAAAGAGCGAGATAGTACGATCATACTCGTACATTTTGAACCATCATGAATTGTAATGCGATAGTGTAATTGGTGTTTATTGAATATTGATAGCTTAAAATCGCCGACCGGGAATCCAAAGGTGTGCTTGTGTAAGCTTCGACCTTGAGAAGTTCCATGTGCGACGAGCTAGCTGGGGGCCGATTCGCGATTGCCGACCAAACCTGTAAGGAGCTCTCATGACACGTGATCGTACTTTACAGAGACACCCTGTGCCTGGGCCCTAAAGGGCATTTTATACGTGTTCAGCGCATGGCTAGCAGTAAGGCCAAGCTACACATGCACTACGTGCCGAGGAAGAAAAGCTCCAAGAGCCTATATCTCTTAGGGCTCTTAACTCTCCAAGGCTAGCTTTACAAGCTTATGCCTTTTGGTTGCAAGCAACCACGTCTCCAAGAGACCAGTATCAAAGATACAATTCCTTCTCAAGAAATCGAACGCTTAAGCTGTAAGACTTACAGAGCAGGTATGAAGCTGATTTCTTTATGTTTAACTTCTAACACTAAATACAGAAGCACCTACTCTATACTCAGTGCTAGTCACTATTTACTGGCTCAGTACCCTGTTATTATTATGCAAACATGTATAGTCGCTATACTTGACTAAGTATAGCGTCCGCGTGGCTCTCTGACCATTCGTACTTCACTACTCTTGTACCCAAGGTGCAGTCACACCACATTGATGTGGTAGGTGTGTATTTTGCATACACCCACCTTCGTGTAACCCCGTTACACCCTCCCCACCAATCCGTGGAACCCGACGTACCCACGATTTTTTGCACTCAATTGAAGGCATCAATTTCATTTTCTTTCCAGTTTTCTAACCTCGCAATAAGTGCCTCGCACTTGCAAACAAAGCTTTAGTGTTCTGACACTTGCTCCTTGAGCACACAGTGCATTGCACTCACGCTAAAGCATTATAGTGTTACGGAACTTCTTTATAAGTATTCAGTGCCTAGCACTTGGTATTAACGCCCTTTTGTGTTTACAAATACTTGTGAATACACCATTTAGTGCCTAGCACTTGCTTTTACGCATTACATTGTTCTCGACATTTGCTTTTCAAGCACTTGTTCCTATTGCGCTGTTCCGTCATGGATCCTGCAATGCGTTGATACATCTTTGGGGACGATGACAGTGACGTGCTTTTAGGGGCAGCGGCGCTGAGCCTCCGTAGGGTCACAATACTCCAACACCACCACGCTCACCAAGCGACGCCGACTCCCTTCTGTGTCTTCTTCCCCAAGGTAAACAACTACATTGTGCCAAGCACCACCGCGTCCACGCAAGACGGTCCCGAAAACGAGGTAAACCAACCCTCTTGACGCTGCACAGCGTCGTCAACTTGATGACGAGATCTTTGCAAACCTATATCATTGAGTCCCATGCCCGTACGATCTGCGAGAATGCAGATAGTGTTGCTCTTCGTGAACGGCTCCTTACTTCCCAGGAGTTTACGATGAACTCGTATCAGGAGTGACTGTCACGACAGTCACGTAGGATGCTCGTGCACACACTAAACTGCATACCAGTGGTGCTTAAACCAGGTGAAACATCTGCACAAGATGATCACCAGCTCACCCGTTAAGTAGAGCGAGCATGTAAGCTCTCAAGTTTGTCAAACTTGCGTTTAAGCGCTAAAGCGCAAGACGTTTGGTTATAACGTCGTCTACGTTTTAACTTTGCTAAGCTCAAAGCGAAACGTCAATTACCTTCCACCTACAGGTCAAAGACTTGTGGGGGACAAGCTTTTGAAGCTGTTGCCCGTACCTCTCTTGAAAGTGATGTAACGACATTGGCTTCTTCTGAAGGTCAGAGGCGAAGCCATCCTACTGACCCTACTTCCACAGCACCTAGTGCTAGGAAGCGTCCGACGACAGCTGTCGTCACTTCTGACCGTCCTGGTCAAAAGCGTCAACGGCGTCAGGTCAATCCTGCCCGAAGGGTACCTCATACTCCTACGAGTCGTACGCTGAGGGTAACCCCTCCACTTCACCAAATATTAGTATGACACTGATGACGACGCCGAGCCAAGCGACGCTCCACGTGAAGCTTTTGATAATCCAGTTCATCAATCGTCGTCGGCGGGGGTCGGTGAACCATTGACCTCTCATCTCTATGAGATTGAGCGTCGCCTGACAATCCTGGAGCGTGATGTTCTTGGATCGGTAACGTCTCACCTGTCATCGCTCGATGACCGTGTCGATCGACACCGTCGATCCTTTGAGAGCTATAGCTTTGAGACGTCAGATTGCTTAGCGGCGATTGCGCATTCTCAAGTCGAGCTTCGGTGTTAACGTGACCTCCTGGTACGCCTCCAGCTTCCATACGCATCGATGGTTTCGTATTACCCGCCTCCTTCCGCCGGGGGTAAGGGGACAACCCCTCGAAGTCCACCGAGGCTGGGTTGAGATATGGCCATAGTGAGCCCACATGGAACACAGTGTGTGTTTGCATCTTTTTCGGAAGGTTCAGCGTATAGGCTACGCATTTCTTGCCTATGATCTTGAAAGATGTAATAAAGCGTGGACGTAGTTTGATTTTGTATACCACAGACACTGCACGTGTCGGTAAATTCCTAGCGTTTAATAAAACCAAATCATCCACTTTGAGCTCGTGTGTTCGCTCTTTCTGCCTTTGGCATCCGCGTGTTCCTTCTGAACATCCTAGCTTTCAGCCATAGCGTCTTTGACGCAACGTAATACGTCAAAACGCGTTGACAGAAACGCTGCCACCTTCTTGCGCATCGCAACAGGGCTGATATTAGCCAAGCCTTCGGCTATCTCCCTGATGTGGTAGGGGGTAGCGTTAAAGTACGCGAGGGTTGACCAATCCATTCACATAGAATGGGGTGAAGCCTGTTGAGGCATGCACCGCGTTATTAACGCAAACTCTACCAGTGTGAGCATCGTGCTCCATTGTTTGCGTGTTTCAGCAAAAACAATGCGAAGCATATCGCCAATAACGCAATTCACGCGTTCAGTCTGATCGGTCTGTGGATGATCCGCCGTGAACATGGCCAGTCTAGTGCCCAGCACTTTAAAGACGAATGTTCAAAACTTACCCGTCCAACGGGGTCTATATCCAAGACGATTGCCACAGGCAATCCGTGTTGTCGAAACACACGATACATGAACAGCTTTGCTATTCCTTCTCCATCAATGGATTCCAGCACTGCCGCTAAGTGAGCCATCTTGCTCAGTCGGTCAACAAAGACCACAATCCCAGTGTTGCCTGCCGCATCACGCGGTAGGCCAAACACAAAGTCCATACTAATGGACTGCCACAACCCCGATGGTACCAGGCAAACTCGCCAAAGGCGCAGCCATACTAGTCGAGGGCTTCACCCTTTGAAACGTTTCACACGTGCGTACCTCACGCGAATACAATAGGGAGGAATGCCAAGGCTCACGCCATCGACACTTTGGTCTTACGGAGCCGTTGTCCTGCGACTTGTTCCCGTAGATGGTTATCCCTGTCAAGCTGTCGCAGAGCACGTCTGGCTCCAGGTAGTTCGCCCTCTGTATCACTTCCAACGACTCGCTGCTCATCGAACATCTGTAAATCCTGCCAGTATGCTTTATTCTCCATATCAGGCGGGAGGAGCCGAGGTGAATCTGAACGGGTTCCTTGGCAGCTTGCATACAACTCGACCAGTCAGGATCACGCTCGATGAAACCTATAACCGACAAGGCTTGTCTTCCATTCATCTGTAGGCGGGCGAACTTCGATGTCTCTGTCACATTGTCAGTCTTATTGGATGAAGCGTCCTCTACATAGATTGATCGTCGTGCGCGGAGCCGGCATCTTCATTTATATGGCAAACGTCGTTAACGCTTGTTACAACCGTGGGATGTATGAGAGAGCACGATACGGATATAGAATCTGATATTTTCCACAGGTTCAGCAGGTCTGAGCGAGGGTATAGGCATGTCGTTCTTGATACCGACCGAGTCCACTTGCAAGCTGTGTATTGATGCCTTTGTGTATTGTGAAGCCCGGTGTTCCAACACCATTCCACGTCCTTTTAAAAAATATTGGACAATGGCCTAGCCACTTTCGCATAGTTGTGGCTATACTTGTGCAAGTAATTTGCCAAGCCCAACAACTTGCGGAGGTCCTTTTGATTCCTTGGAACCGGCCAATCCACTATGGCTTTGACCTTAACAGGGTCTGCCCGGATTCCTTGCTTCCCAATGAAGCATCTCAAAAAGGGAATCTCTTCCGCACCAAAGATGCATTTGTCAATATTGGCATATAACTTATGCATCCTCATGCAACCTAGCACAGCTCGCAGGTGTTTGATGTGATTTTCCACAACAGTACTTCCATTTTCGGCTAGACTATGGACGAATATATCGTCAAAGTATGTCTGTGTATATGCCCTATGGGGCCGAAACAACTATGTCACCAGACGATTGAACGTTGCAGGTGCGTTAGACAGCCCTTGGGGCATCACTGACCACTCCCAGAGCATCCCGCTCGGAGTGCTGACCGATGTCAGCGGGATATCACTAGCTCGCATGAGCAGTTGGTAATATCCGTCGACTAAGTCGAGGGCACTGTACATCGTACATCCCACCATATTGTTCTGAAGAACATCCTTGCAAGGAATTGGTGTTTGAGCCGGAATAGTGGCTGCATTTAGCTTATTCTAAGCATGCAATATTCGCCACTTCCCATAAGGCTTCCTCCCACAAAAACGTGGGCGTAGAGTGAGGAGACTTGCTCTCACGCACCAAGCCAGCCGCGTGCTTTGCACGAAAGAACTCGTCAATGACGTCACATTGTTCTCGTTGCAGCGGTCACTGTCACGTCACACAGTATTTGGTTCCTGGAAACCAGTCA